CAGGGAACGAGGCGATAGTCAAGCTGTTGCTCGATACAGGCAAGGTCGAGGTTGATTCGAAGGATAAATGGGGGTGGACGCCGCTATCGAAGGCGGTAGAGCGGGCAGGGAACGAGGCGGTGGTCAAGCTGCTTCAGTCGCACATTAAACGCTCTGGATAAACTACATTTCGTCTTAACCTCCTCTCCACCCACCACCTACTACTCTCCTCTTTTTATATACCTTTAGGGTGGCAAGTTAAAATTTGGAGTGGCAATATGTTGTGGCAAGTGATATAGGAGGCAGGCACGCTAGCAGGGAGGGGTGCCAGTATTGTACTCTTTGGTCTAGTGGCAACTCTTGGTCTGTGGCGTAATCGTGGCTGTATGCCAAGACTCGCATTCGTACCCTGCTTGTTGGCCGGAGCCAAAATGGTGTTGCAACAACGGGCAAAGGTGAAGCTGTACACTAGACAGCTTCTTCTAGAACTGCTGTAGATGGCACCTCCAACGTAAATAAGGTAGCCAATGATATCGATTAGAAGCGTTCGCAACCCTAGGGCGAACCGCAACACAACAAACTTTCCAATTGAATTGTATCTTGTAGTTACTCGCCTTTTCCATTATAAATCTCGCATGTGTCAGCGAATCCATCGGCCCATCAGAAAGCTATCTCCAGCAGAACTTCCTTTCGCATCAAATGCAGGCATTTCTAAAACCTCGCATTTGTCAGCGGATCAACTCGCTCCGAGATACTAATAGCTATGTGGACTAGGTATAGAGCAATCGAACAGCTAGCTACACGATCAAAACAGCTCCCAGCATCTCCCAGCATCCCCGTAGCCCTGGCACTTGTCCGGCGCAAAATCCAGCAATGGCGTCGCCTCCAACAATGGCTGGCCCCAAACCGCCGCCACCGCTCAACATGCCCCCCTCCAACCACACCGTCAAAGTCTCGATAATCGACAGCACGACCATCGCCAACATGCCAATGGCCATCATGGTCAAGCCCCCCGTCCTCGCGGGCTTCTCGCACGTCAACTGCCCCTCGTACAGCTTCCTGCTCGAGCACCCCTCAGGCCGCACGCTGCTCTTCGACCTAGGCGTACGCAAGGACTGGGAAAACGAGGCGCCCGTCGTAGTAAAGCAGATCCGCGACGCGAAAGTCGGCATGGAAATCGAAAAGGACGTGTATGACATGCTGGCGGACAGCGGGCGCGACCCGGACGCCGTGGAGGCGATTTTCTGGAGCCGTAAGTCTCTTTCTTTCTTGCTCGCTTTTTTTTTTTTTTTTACTCCCCTGGCCGCCGACGGCGTGATTGGTGGGCGGTTGCTAAAACCCCGGTTTGCAAGACTATCATTGGGATCACACGGGCAACCCGGCGCGGTTCCCAGCCTCTACAGCGCTGATGGTCGGGCCGGGCTTCAAAACCCGCTTTCCCCCCGCGTGGCCCACGGTGGCCGACTCCTGGTTGACGGAAGACGCATGGGAAGGGCGCGAGCTAAAGGAAGTCGAGTTTTCCACGGAGCTCAAGATCGGGCGCTTCAAAGCCGTCGACTGGTTCGGCGACGGCAGCTTCTACGTGCTTGACACCCCGGGCCACCTCCTGGGCCACATCTGCGGGCTGGCGCGCACGACGCCCGACACCTTCATTCTTATGGGTGGGGATGCGGCGCATCATGCGGGCGAGATCCGGCCGACTGAGTTCGTGCCGCTGCCGGCGAGCGTGGCGTTGGAAGGGGTAAGGCCCGGCGCTGGCTTCCCGGTCCCGTGTCCTGGGGAGCTGTTGCTGAGGCGGGTGCATCCGCGGGAGAGCGCGACGAAGCCGTTCTATGAGCCTGCGGATGGGTTTAATGAGGATGGGCCTGAGGCGGAGCGGTCGCTGGAGGGCGTGACGGAGTTTGATGCGGACGAGAATGTGCTGGTGGTGCTGGCGCATGATGCGTCGCTGCGGGATGTTGTGGGGTTTTATCCGCAGGAGGCGAATGAGTGGAAGCGGAAGCTTTGGCGAGACAAAGGGAGGTGGAGGTTTCTTACGGACTTTGGGGCGGGGTTGAGAACGGAGGAAGATGGGTTGTAGGACTTGTGTTGGTGTAGGACTTGTGTTGAGCTGAAAGGGGGCGGTTTAGCTGATTACTTTTGCATCTTGATGACTTCTACCAAAATCGGAACCGTAAAACAAAAATCCGTATAAATACTAGTATCTATTATAAGTTTCCAGCTGCTTAGCTCCAGTGGATCGTCCAAATGTCTGCAAGCTGTGTGTAGTAAGACTATCAGCTACAACATAAGAATATACCATGTCCTAACAGGTACGCTGAGGGTTATCGAGGCCGCCAATTTCGCGAAACGGTTGGAAATAGACAACTTTTATGGTTTATGCTGATAGAAGGAAGAGAGGAAGAGCCGAGAGCAGATAGTGGTCTACGGACAACGTCATGTAGTCCTATTAACTATTAGCGAAGAGTACAAAAAGTCGCGCTTAGTCCGCTTCCTTATACTCACTTCTCCAACGTTATTCGAAAGGACTCGCTCCGCGCTTCGAAAAGCAGCACAATCCACCGACGCCCTTTGTCCATGTTGATACCCTATCTGGATTAATCCTATGTCCTCAAAAGAGTCAAATCATAATCAGTAGTATACTCAAAAAGATGCAATACCAACCTCCCCTCCCCAAACCCCCAGATTCAGGACCCCCCCAACCCGTGTCCCCAACCCGAGTCATACCCGCTCCACAGACGCAGGTATCCGTCCATCCACCTACGATCTGTACCCCTCCCCAAACGCAGCCGCCCGACGGGTGCCCGCGTCCCGGAAAAAAACGCCCACGCCACCGTCCAACCTCACCAACGACGTCGGATCAATAACCCGCAAAGCTCCAGCGCAGGAAAAGAAACCGAGACTCTGCGCGCGCCGAGCATATTCCGCTTAGAGCGAGGAGGCGATGGTTGGGAGAGTGAGTGGGGTTACAGAGGGGTGTACGAGGGGCCTGTCTGCACGTGCGGCTTGTCAGCAAGCACCCAGGTGAGCGAGCGATCTGGGCGGCACGAGCAACGGCCGCGGTCCCGTTTAGGATGAGAGACCGGGTTCGTAGGTCCAAAGCTCGATGGGGAGAGCGAGAGCGAGAGAGCGTGCGTGCATGTGTGTGACTGGACGACGCCGCATCGGTATCTGTATCTGCATCTGCATCGGCAAGCCTTCGATCGTGCAGCACAAAATCCTACGCGGCACATGCCTCAATTGCCCGAGTAGAACGAGAACCCCGAGCAGCTCAAGCGTGAAGATCGGCTGGCATGCCGTAGGAAGGAAAGCAGCATACGAGCTGAAGCTGTGCTGTGCCGTGCCGCATCAAGGCGGCAATCCTCGAACCATTGGAGCGTGCCATTGATGCGGCACAGTCTCAATCTTCATCCTCGCCCCTCCCCCCAAATTTCCAGGCGCACGGCCTGGCTCCGATTCCGAGTCCGATTGATCTTCGTCCCCTCATTGTCTCATCGAGTCTCGAGCCCGGCTCGGAGAAAAACGCTAGTCCTGCAGCTCCGGGAACTAGGGTTGAGACGGCGCCTGCAGCGAGCTACGACGGCGTCCAACGGGAGGCGCCCCGGCTCTGCTCACGGCTCGGAGATCCATACGGGTACGGTATGGTATGTACCTCTTTTTCACACATACCACCCCAACCCACTCTCCACACAGCAAACACGAAACTAAGCTTCAATCGCTGTAGCCCCGCTAGCCCTATCCACCGAGCACACTTCGTCTCGGCCCACGAGCGCGACGAAGCCGCTGAGACGCCACCCGCATCGTGCAAGACCCGCAGCCTCTGAGACGTCGCCCGTCGCCCAGAGCGCAATCCCCAGAAGCCCCCGGACACGACCCACGAAATATCGCGAGACAAGTCGTCAGCTCGCGGTCCTCTGCCAGCTTTCAGGGGGGGGCATCGAGTCTCGAACGGTGATTGCAGCCAACGCACACGAACAAAACCCAGAGACAAGGCATTGTTCAAAACCGCAGATGGGGGACGGACCCGACGTTCTTGCGGGCTTCGTGCAAGCCTGGATGGATGGATTGGCCGTGGGTGGGCCTCAGTGAGGGAGAGAGACAGACTCACCACACGTCTCCAGCACCCAGCTACCCACTCGCAGGGCACGTCCGGTGACCTTTGGTAGTATAGGTAGCATCCCACCAGTTCCGTCAGCTCCCCTCACGCTTTCTACGCTCTGAAGCGCGGAGGCGCTCGCGATTACTCAGTGACATGGTGCATTTGCGTGCTGGGCGGCGCCCTCTCCTTTCCCACACGCACTATTCCCCAGCAATCGCCGGCAAACAAGCTTGCGAACTCGGCGGCTTGAGCAACGCATGCCAGGGCCCCTCCGCACCCACGCCCGCATATCCAAGGCGCACTTTGCCGCCGCGCTGCATCGTCGCACCAAGCGCAATAAAACTTGGCCAGCCAACCAGCCCCGCGACCTTGGTCCAGCGACTCGGCCGTGTCTGGCGCGTAGTAGAGAGGGCGGGCTAGGCAGCGGATGCGCGAGCCGTGAGTTTGCTGGTGCGCCAATGGCAGCGCGACGCGTACCGAGAGCGCGCGCTAAAACGTCGGGTATTTGGAGCTCGCTAAAGCCGGTCTTTCGTCAGTAGATGATCGCCCAGCCTTAGTGCGGCACAGAAGCTAATCTGAGATCAGCGCCGGCCTCAGACCGGCCCCTTGGCCGCCGCCGCCGGGGGCGGAGGCGGGGAATCGGCTGCGCTTGCCCCGCGGCTGCAGGTACGGTCCAGCGAGCGACAGCGAAAGGCTGGAGTCGTGTGCCACGGCAGCTGTAAGAGATGCGAAGCGAACGTATGTAATGTGCCTGATGTATCCTGGCCGTTGAGGCAGAAACCAGGTCCAGCGCTGGTACTACCCTGCGGGAGATCAAAGTGTATTACAACCACATGTCAAGGCGGCTTCCATTGCTGCGAGGCTAGATGGGGCAGTGGAAAAGCTGAAAAGTTTGGAGTATTGGGAACAGAGTGCTGGGTAGGAATTTCGATAGAGCGTCTTGCTGAGGAACGAATTGCGGGTCCACCGAGTCCTCCATCGCGGCCAGAGAAGGCGAGTCTGGTGGGCCATTCAGAAGCAGAGCGCGTCGTCGGCCGATGCCACAAGACCTAGGCAGGCGGGCGTGGCAGGCCGACATAGCCCACGCCGCGGACGTGCAGACGCGCATTCCGTGAACGTCAGTGAGCCCCCGCGGAGAACATGGCATTCGAAACGGCCTAGGACGGGCCTTATTTCGCGGGCGCCGAGTGTCCCGATGCTGCCGCCTGCGACTGCAAGTCAACGCCAACACGGAGTCGGAGTTTGCCAGTGTCATGCGTCCCTCGTGATACCGACAGAATGGGATCAGACTCACCACCCTGACGGCAAGTCGTCTGCCGACTGACAGTGGCGCCTGGCCAGCTCCAGCAATCACCAAATGAGCGCCATGAGGAGTCGTGATAGTGATCTAATTGCAGGCGAACAGCTTCTTCGCCGCACCCTAGCCACCTCGCCGCACCCTAGCCACCTCGCCGCACCCTCGCTGCCCTAGAGCTCTCCTACGGCAGTACTGCGATTGCTTCGCCCTCGCTGGCGGCCGCCTTCTGCGACGAATGGCTCGTATCTGCACGCTCCCCAGACGAAGATCATGATCGCCAACTGCAGCGATCTGCCCGGTGGTGTCTTGCCTGAGCCTGAGTAACGTAAAAGCGTCTAGGCGGCTGTCATCCTGTCAGAATGCCATCCACCTCGCCAGACGAGTTTTCGGTATCCAATTGCGGCTGTCCGGTCCGAGCATGCCGTCCAGAACAAGGAGGTACTGTAGCTCAACACTATTGTTTCGGCAAGCCGAGAGAGAGCATCGAAGGCTATGCCAGCAAGCAGAAATCCTGTATAATGTGGGCGGATGCTGCTCAGCACGGACGTGGCACAGCATGGGCTTGGCAACCGTCGTCGACTAAGCTCGAATCATGTTCTGCTTCTTGGATGCACAATTCCAGCTTCTCTCTGCATTCCTGTGCTGCCGCCTCCTGAACCGCTCATTGGTCCATCCAGTGGCTTCGGAGTGGCCGCTTAGACGCCTCATGGTTGAACGGCGATGTCGTTCACGAGTATCAGATTCCTGTGGGGTGCAGACATGCAAGCAATAGTTGCCGGCGCATATGCAGGTCCGATTGCGGCTTGCTGAACCATCGTTGGCCGAATGCTTAACCTCATTAGGAAGCGAGGGAGACCCCTGACGGCCGCTGTCCAGTGGTCGCGAGGCTGTTGACGCAGAAACAGGGGGCAGTCTAGATCAATGTGGCTGTTGGCACGGCACCGGCTAAACGGTAGGGTGTCATTCTTAACTCTAAAGAGGCGCTCAGGCTGACATTGCAGCGATGCTCTGGGCAACACACCTTTAGTTCCCAATGCTCTCCCAGTTCTCTGGGTTCAGTCCGTTGATCCACTGCCAGGTCAGGCCCGCTTGACTGTCGGCGCTTAAAGGAGTCTGGAGCTCCTCATCCTTCTCCCGCACTATCGTCAAAATAGAAGCGGGCGGCCTTGCGTCTCGAAAAGCAACTTTTCCAATCTCTTGAAGTTCGTGATAGTCTGCAAGGCAGCTCGTTCTGCCGTCCAAACTGTCCCTGTGCCGAGTCCTCCGGTTACTGAGCCATCGACGAACTCGAACCAGCCCCTTGCATACCTTGCACAATCCAGGTCATCATTCGGTATATTACTCGTCTGGTCTTTCCTGGAATCCAGTATCCCAAGCTCGACAGCTGGGTAAAGTTGATTTCAGAGCCGCATCAGGTACGCCATCTGGCGGCAGAGTACTTCCAGATCGTACGCGAGTCCACCTACCATTCTAACGCAACACCATCGCGTTCGCGACCGCGCCGTTGATCTGTAATATGTTGCACAACGGTTAGTACAAGACTTTCGATACTCACTTGGATACAAGTTTCAAACTTCTTTTGCAGACTGCGTGTCGTTTCCAAGCCCACTTCAAAAGCTCAACTGAGGACCCCTTTTTATCGTCACTCTCAAAAACGAAGTTGATGATTCTGTTGTTCTGTCTTTCTGTATCTTCTTTTACATCAACATTCCTTCCTTTGTGAGTCCCTTTCTTGGTTGAAGATGGCGATGTCCTTGGAAGGGTTTCAGTCGTTCCATTCCTCGCTCCTAAGAACTTAGCAGTGGAAAAATCGAACTGACGATGACGACTAGGTAATACACCATCAGCTTTACTCTACGGCCCTATAACGCCAGTCATGGAGTTCTCGCACGAGCCGAAAGACATCTACCACTCACAGAATTCTTTCCTCTCATCCGGTCTACTTACGCCATCGACACCTGTGTACGAAGGGCGACGAGATTCTATCGTCTCAACACAGTCATATGCACAGAGCTACGGCTCGGGGTCGTTTTACTCCCCTAAAACGCCCCCGACTCCCATATCGCAAAGAGATCCTGCAACGGAAGACTTCACCTTCGTTCATGCTGTATCGAGTTTCGACGGTACCGCTGTTAGCGCCAGCGAAGACGTTTTTTGTGAATGCATCTCTGAGGTCCCAACGCCTTTGCCGCAGTCAATGCGAGGTATGGAGAATCACTCGCCTTTCCCCCAGGAATGGGTCTATGTTCAGCAACAGAATCAGTACCCGATACGCCAGGGAATACTGCATTCAAACGACAGTTCACCTGCGGCAAGAGACCTTCCATCAGCATTCAACGCACTGCTGGGTCCTCAAGCACAGGCCCAACCCAGTGTCGGGGGCCTGCCCGATTCGAATTCCTGGTCCATATATTCGAACAATGCTCACGGCATCCCAGATGCTGGACCCCATGATCTGGGATACTCGTATGCCCATCCACCGAGCCTCTCCAACAATGTCCAGGTCGATCAGTGGCCAGCCAGCACGTCGGGGCAGGTATTCCCTTGTATTGGTGCCACGAACACAATCCGACCCGAGCACTCCGTGTTCGATATGGAGGATGGATCTGCATACATCCCAATGCAACCTGATAGTTTTGATGAGAGCTTTAGCTCTTACGATACCTGTTCCTCGCCAATGCTTCATTCCCAGCAGGACTCGTATCCAGATATCCCGACTGAAGATTACCCTCAGGTCAAAACAGAGGAGTCCGACGCTGAGGAATATGACATAAAACCCCAACGGAGGATTTACGAATCGCCTACCGGTGGCAAAGGTGTAAAGAAAGAGCACAGAGTCTCGAAAAAGAAACCGAAGAGGGGAAAGACCAAATCGTTTATCTCCACACTTCAAACGGGCGACGTGCAAGTGCAAATGGAGAGAGACATTGAGAGAAGTGTGGACGGCAAATATTACCGCCGTCATGGAGGTGATCAAAAGAAGCTTCCGTGTGAATTTGAGGGCTGTGACAAGACATTCGCGCGACCGGAGCATAAGAAACGGCATGAACAGACACACGAGAATCTTAAGCTCTACGAGTGTGCAATTTGCGAAAAGCCTTTCAACAGGCATGATAATTGCCTTGCGCATTACATCACACATGTGATGCGCGTAGATGGCAAGTCAAAACGAAATAAGCCATACCCTCTCTCGGAGATGGAAGTCATGATCCGACGCAGATTGCGAAAGATTGGAAGACACGAAGAAGGAGAGAAGATCATCGAATGGATCCAGAACAAGATTCTGGGGGAGGCGGATCAAAAGCCAGCAAAAATGGCAGTTCGAGCGTCTCTTTGAGCAGTCCTATGCCTGTGGAGGTAATTTGACGCATTTTCGGATGCCCTTACTATTTGTTGTTTTCGCTATTAGTAGGAACGGAAGACACACTGTGTCGGTTTCGGTTTGGCCGCTTTGGCAGAAATTCTTCATGTATTGGACTTTGTTTGCGGATATTTGTACTCAACGAGTCATGGAGTCGCGACGGATGTTAATGGTGTCGGAGATACGATAATGTAACAATTGGTTTGGATGGATCACTCAATAGCAAATAGGTTTTTGATGCAGATGGCAAGTGCTGCGATGGTGACGGTGAGAAGCGCGTGCGGAGATAGTTTCACGACGTTGACGTTGGGGAATCTTCACCTTTGTACGACACCTGCGGCGCTAGTCGGCTTAGTCATCCACGATATTCAAATGAACAAACATAACCACCTCAAGGAATGGCTCCATGCATCTACAAGGGACTGGATCAGAATTCTTGGTAGACTCGAGTTTCTCGTAAGTGAAAGCAGGTAAGCCTCGGGAATTTTCGTGACCCCGACAGTTGTATTCGGACCCCGACGGGGCCCGAGTAACTGACCACTGTTCTGTAGCTCTGGTCTTAGGCCATAGCATTTAGCATGATATCTGATGAATTGAGGTCACCACTGTAGGGCCCCAGCTAGCCAACGCACCGACAAAGGCATGCAAACCCTACTCCAATCCCCAGTCCGGAGAAGTTAGCTTCCCACCCAGATTCCCGACAGGGCATCGAAGTACCCCAAACAGTGGCTCTCTGAGAAAAGTCATAATCTCATTATTCCTAATTCGTACAATGTAAGATCGCCTATATGCAAAATTGTACAGTACATGGCGGAAAAAAGAACGAATGCCTGTATGCTGTATCCAGAGTTCCTATCCAAAATCTGATAACACCGATCGCAATGCTGAAGCTGAAGCGCCAAACTCGCGGGAAAAGACAGGAAAGATGTTAGGTAAATAGCAAATACAATAGCCGAAACTAATGGTTCAATATTTACGTTGGCGTGGTTGTTCCGTTCTGAGTAGCATGCCGGGTGTTCTATGCTTTCACACCAGAATCCGGTGTTGCCGTCTGCACCTCCCACTTAGGTGGGGTTGGCGAGTTCACTTCAACCTGCGGCGTTGGCACTTGAGTCGCTGGCTCCGTGTTGACTTCTTCGTGTGCGTCCATTGGGGAAAAGGTATCCAGCGGGCCAACTGAGTCGTCAAGATGCGAATTCTTAAGCGCGAGCTCGAGGTCCTCGGCCGAGAAAGCTGCTTCACCCGCTTTCGTACTGGCACTTCCACGCCCGGTCTGAGGGCGCGAGCCCGTGTGGATGGATTGCGAGCGGCGGCCGACGCTGGAATGTGGGGGTTTCAGGGATTCATGGGTGTGTGTGCGGGAGAGGCCGACTGCAATTGAGCACGAAAAGTTAGCCATCACAGTTCTAGGTGGTATACAGCCATAAAAGTGAATTTGAGGCATTTTCTACACACCATTCGTCACATCCCCCTCCTCCTGACTTCCTTCCCGTACACCTCCGTCCTCCCCTTTCGCCAAACTCGTCCGCGGCGCCTGCATGCTCAATCGACTCGTCTGGAAACTTTTCCGCCCATTCGTCGCGGTGCTGTTCCGCCGACTCGGCATCCGCGACCCCATGGGCGAGTACTGGCTCGACCCGCTCTTCCTGCGCCACGCCCGCGCGAAGCTGAAGGCTTCTAGCTTCTCTTTGTGCTCCGGGGCAACGGGGCGCCGGTATTTCATAGGCGGCATCTTTTCGCCGGGCTGGTAGACGTTGGGGTCGGGCTTGTTGGTGGTGGATTTGGAGAGGGAGGGGTGGCCGTCGGCGCTAGAGCGCGTAAGGGCACGCTTGATGCGTTGGCGGATAGGCATGGCAAGGGCGGACGGGCGAGGTTATTCCAGCGGGTTTAGGGGGTGTGTAGTTGGGGTAAGATTTGGAGTGGAGCGTGGAGCGACGGGAGGTGAGGAGCGGAGACGGCGGAGATAAGGTGTAGAAGTGTGGGAGCAATGCCACAGCACTTTCGCGGGCGTCGCAGAGGAAGAGGTCAGAGGGAGGTCGTCTGGTGTTCATCCGGGATAATAGGTCTCGGGTGGAGTGAGAGAATGAGGCGGGTGGGATTTCCGGAGGTGAACGATTGACGTTGCGCTGCGACTCGACCTGCCCGGCATGGCTGGGACGGATGGCTGTTTGGCGTTAGCCGGTGGCATCGGCCACTGTTGCGTGTTGCGGGAGGGATGGCCTGGCCAATTGCGCCGCGGGGAAAGGCTGTTTTTGAGGCATTTTGGCAGCGAGAGGCGCGAGGAGCGGGTGTGTGAAGGGCAGGTCGAGGGTGAGTGCTGCAGTCCTCGGGGGTACTGGCACACCGGCCATACGGAGCGGTTTGGGCTGACAAGCATTGCGTGGCATTCTGGGCGGTTGAGGCTCTTAAGCACCTCGTTCTGCGCCTGTGGGGGCTTGCGACACGCTTTCGGAGAATGCTTGCTATGCAATACAATAGAAAACGCTTATTGACGGCACTCCCTCCGCACTTTCTGGAATGGCCTGCGAAGGAGCAGCTACCGACCTGGCGTGTGCGACGATGCCACCACCGCTGCTTCGTTGCAAGGTCCAGAATCAAGAAAGAGCACCTGTGTGTCTGGGTATTCCATCCAAACACCCTCGCAATGACGAATAGGCTTCTGTTCTTCGCTCAACATCACCCCACTCACCACCACGACGTCCCACTCACGATACATGCTTCCACGATCAATCAGACCCTGCGACGGTTCTAGTGTGGCTGGTGTCGTCGTCACGCGCCACTCGCTCGCTCGTCCTGGAATTGTGGGGTCTCGATCGACGCATCGACTGCGTCATGGCAGCTACAAAAGACAACGCGCCGGTTTGTGTGAATTGCACCACCACTCACCGCCGTCCGACGACCCCGCTACTGCACTATATGGGAGCAGATGCCGCAAGCATTGGGAGGCCCGTCCAGACTCGCCCAAATGTTGCCCGTGAAGGCTGCAAGTAGCCCAGCAAGTAGCCACTGGTGGGACACAGTTGACAGCGGAGCTTGCCACTACTGGCTAATTCCAACGCCATGGAGCGTGCTTGAGTGCGCCTCTTCCCAGATGTGAAGTCCCGTGGCTGCGTGTGATGTCTTTCGGGCAATGGCGCTACCGACAGATGAGGTCATTGCTACAAGAAATAGCCTTCAACAAGCTCCGCCCAGACTACTCATACCCACCTCGCACCTTTGGTTTGTGTCTCAGCACACCCTCCCTGTTCTACCTGTCTCTTCTCTAATCCGAGCTCGAGAACCTTGTCGCCATGGACAAGCTAAAGAAGATCCTGTAAGACGACCACGCCGAATCCATGCACCCATGCTAACCCTCCACAGCTCCCCCGGCCAGAAGCACGACGATCAAGTCTCTGGTCAAGGAGAGTCTGCCACTGCAGGTGCTCACCACCCCGCCGGCGTCACTGGTGCATTGACCGGCGAGGGAAGCCATCTTGGAGCTGCAAAGGGTGCAGAAATTGAGCAGTAAGACAGCACCAGTTCTAAACCTCAAAGACTCTTTTTAATCTCCAAACTAATCATAGTCACAGCCCTATCTACGATCAATTCACCCACAACACAACTAGCCCGACCACGACTACCTCGACCACAACCGGCACGACTACCTCTACTTCCTCACACCCAACCACTACTGGCGGCAGCCTGCAGCCGGAGAGTGCATCGAGGCCCGGAGCTGCCGACCAGGCGAGCACTATTGGCGTCAAGGACGGCATAATGGGACACCCTACTCAGGAATCGACTATCCTTCCCGACCGCACTGCGAAGAGGTCGATATACCCCGAAACCATATATCAAAAACTGAGAATGCTGACATCAATAGTGGTAATGGCAACTGGCTCTCGAACAGCTCGGGGCGTCAGGCATCTAACGACGGCCTCACTGGTGACCGTGCCTTCCCATTAGCAAGAGGTGTATCATCCACTGGCCAGTCCTCCTCCACTCAACCCAGCCACGGATATCTCTCCAACACTGAAGCCCGAAATACCGACCGCAAGCCTGACCTGGCAACAGCTGCTGCCCAGACTGCATACAACGAGCATGGGCACGAGCATGCCGGCCACGGCCACACTTTCAAGGGAGACCCGTGTTCACCGGATGAGGAACATGCAACCGTCATCCCCGGTCCACATAGCACAGACACCGCAAACAGACTCGATCCTCATGTTCCAGGTGCCTACCCCGATCCTACACCTGCCGAGGAGCGCGAAGAGCCAGGATTCATTTCCACAGAAGCAGGAACTGGTCGAGGACTCTACGACAATGAGCGCGAGCCGGGCACGGCGCTCTCTTCAGATACACGTCAAGCGCCTACCTCGTCTGAGCATCGTTATGGTCGCGATGCAGCGCTCGTTGGAGGGGGAGCTGCTGGTGCAGGAGGCCTCTATGAGGTGACTAAGCATCACGACGACAAGGCTGCGCCAACGTCCCAGAGCCAGTCATTCTCCCAGAGCCAGTCAATCTCCCAGGGCCAACAGCCAATCTCTGAAGCCCCCCAGCCTCATGCACTGCTCCAGGAGTCAATTCCTGAGAGCCAGGATCCTTCCTCTCAGCATCACTACGGCCGCGATGCGGGGCTTGTAGGAGGGGGAGCTGCTGCAACCGGTGGCCTCTACGAAGCAAACAAGCACCGCAACGACTCCGAGGTACCCACGTCCCAGAGCCAGCCCTTCTCTCAGAGCCAGCCTCTTTCCCAGAGCCAACAGCCCCTTTCCCGAAGCCAGGAGCCTCTGTCCCAACAGGAAGAGCCAACTTCCCAACATCACTATGGTCGCGACGCCGCGCTTGTAGGAGAAGAAGCCGCTGGTGCTGGAGGACTTTACGAAGCTAACAAGCACCACAACGACTCTGCAGTGCCTACTTCTCAAACCCAGCCTCTCTCCCAGAGCCAACAGCCTCTTAAGCAGACTCAACAGCCGCTTTCTCAGGCTCATGAGCCTACTTCCCAGCGAGAAGAGCCTACTTCTCAGCACCACTATGGCCGGGATGCTGCGCTTGCAGGAGGCGGAGCCGCTGCCGCTGGTGGTCTGTATGAAGCAGACAAGCATCGTGAGGAGAATATCGCTCCAGGATACAGAGAGAACAAGAGCCTTGAGAAGGAGTCGAAGAAGGTAGAGAGGGAGCATGAGAAGGAGCAAAAGAAGCTTGACAAAGAGCAGAAGAAAGACGAAAAGAAGTATGAGAAGGAATACAAGAAAGACGAAAAGAAACATGAGAAGGAGCAGACCAAAGAGGAGAAAGACAAGAAAGGCGGATTTCTCGGCTTTCTTCATCGCGACAAGAAGGACAAGACCTCTGATGAACTTGCCCAGGAGGAGAAAGATCCCAAAAACCGCCACTACGGTCGGGATGCCGCCGTAGTTGGAGGTGCCGGAGCTCTGGGAGCTGGAGCTTACGAAGCCAATCGCGAGCGTCAAGATACTGGCCCAGCCTCCAAGACCATCGGGCCTCATGATAGCAACGCTGCCAACATTCTTGACCCAAGAGTGCAACCCGAGCCTGAGAAGATGAAGGACCGTACCACTGCTGGACCGCATAAGTCGAATATCGCGAACAAGCTGGATCCTCGCGTCACGTCCGACCCTGCCAAAGCAGAAGAGAAGGCCGCAGATCAACATCACTATGGCCGCGACGCTGCTGTCGCTGGTGGCGATGGAGCTGCAGGCGTTGGAGCCTACGAGGTTGGAAAGCATCACGGCGATGAGCAACGTTATGACCCGACATCTACTACCGGTGGCCAGAACACAAACAGCCCCGAGCAACACCAGCTCCGCCATACTGGCCAGCTTGGTGCCGATCAGGGCGGTGACGAAGCTCTGAAGCAGCACACCGGTCCTCAAGACACTACCAAGTCATCCGATCACCACTATGGCCGTGATGCCGCATTGGCTGGCGGTGCGGGAGCTGTTGGGGCTGGAACATACGAAGCCAACAAGCATTCAGGCGACCAGACGCAGATCCGTCGCGACGACCCGAGCGCTCTCGGTGGAGCCGCTTTCTCTTCTCCTACCTCTACCACCTCTCCCATGGGCGCTTCTCCCACGGGCGCTGGCGATTCACTCCGATCCTCAGCCGCTCAACGAGCTATCGCGCAGCACCGCGAAGCTGCCGCAGACGCCCACCAGCCCTACGAATCTGCCATCCGCGAAGAAGGTATCGGAGGCTCCCCTCGCTCCTCCGAGCACCACGGCCGTGACGCAGCTCTAGGCGCCGGCGCTATTGGTGCTGGAGGTCTTGCAGCCCATGAGTACGACCAGCATCGCAACACGCAGCCCTCTTCATCAGTGGGCGAGCAACGCTACGACCCATCGTCCAATCGCACCCAAGATCCTACCCAGCAGCACCACTACGGCCGCGACGCAGCTCTCGGCACGGGCGCTGTTGGCGCCGGAGGTCTTGCAGCCCACGAATACGACCAGCGCCGCAGCACGCAGCCCTCTTCTTTAGTGAGCGACCAAAGCTACGACCCATCGTCCACTCGCGCCCAGGACCCTACCCAGCAGCACCACTACGGTCGAGATGCCGCAGTCGGTGGAGGCGCTCTCGGTGCCGGTGTCGTCGGCTCTCACGAGCTTTCTAAGCATGACGAGGAGAAAAAAGGCGGTCTCTTCTCCCACAGGCACAAGACAGCTACCCAGCCTACTCAGTCTACCCAGCAGGCCGGATACGGGGACAGGCGCTCCCACAACCACGATACCACTGAGCCCCGCTCCCACAAAGGTGAGTACGCCGCTGCGGGCGCCGGTGTCGGTGCTGCGGGTGTTGGCGCGCATGAGCTCTCCAAGCACGACAGGGACAACACAACAACCGCCACTGGCGCTCACCACGAGTTTGCCACCACAGGCGTTGTAGGCGGCATGGGCTCGGCTGGCTTGGCTGAGAAACACAACTATGGTCAGCGTGATTCGTCTCCCCTCAGCGACTCGAAAGCATATGACCAGAAAGTCCTCGAGCGGGACGCGAAACACCGCGAGGAAGCGCTAGCCGCCAAGCGCGAGTTCGAGGAGAAGGAGGCAGAGAAACAGCGGAAGAAGGAGTCAAAGGGTGGCCTGTTCGGGTTCTTGCATCGCGACAAGGACAAGCATGCGGGCGAGACTACGGAGGAGGGCAGGAGATCGGGCGATTACGGTGCTGCTGGCACTGGTGCTGGCGTGGGTGCTGCGGGCATCGGAGCCGGTGCCTACGAAGCTGATAGGAGCGGACGCAACAAGCTTCACAAGGACCCTCCTGCTAGCCACCCTGCGGCACAGGCTGGTGAGGGCTATGGAGCCACTGGACAGTCGACTGGTTTGGGTTCTGATTCGTAAGTTTCATGCCCCTTTATAACCCCTCAAAAGTGAACGGAACTAACGATGTTATGCTAGATCTGAAATGCACCCGGGCTACGGCAACGAGGCCAAAAAAGGCATCGTGACGGAGCCGCATACCGGTCTTCCCATGAATGTCGGCAAGTACGGTGACGGCGCCGGTGGCACGGATGGCAATGAGGCGCTCCGTGGTGCGAGTGCGCATCAGGGCAGTGAGCAGGGCGCGGATTGGGAGGGTATTCGGAAGGCGAATACGCCGTACTAGGTTCTTCTCTAAGCCGTGGTTAAGAGGGTGATGGATTCAGGCGGTAATCTCTTTGTCTTCATTGTGCAGTATGGAGTATGGACGGCGACCTTTCTTTCGTGTATTATATGGAGGATGATGGGATGATGGGATGAAAAGTACACGAGTATGATAATGGGATCTCTGACCTTTCTCGTTGCCTTTTCTTGTTTGTGCGGTTTCGTACCGTGATGCGTGGTGCGTATCACTCGGGTCTATACGGGAGATGCTTATGCTTCCTTCTCCATTGTTGTTTAGTTTAGTGACGCGTGTATGTGTGTGTGTGTGTGTGTGTGTGACGTCGGGTCAATACAGGAGATGCCGCTAGTGCTTCACCGCTTCTTCCATCCCCGAAGTCGCATGCTCGTCACATGCTCCTATCGGTTAGCGCCAGGTTTTCGACTCTAAGAGCCTGTCCGCCGCCGGTTTTGACCTCCTTTTTTTTCTTTTCTTCGGGGAGGAGTTGGGGTTCGACGGGGGGTTCAAAACGAGTGAGGTTCGCGAAACATGGGAGTCGGGAGTCGGGGGTTGGGGGTTGGGGGTTTGGGGAGAACAATTCTGAATAGCGAAGGCTGCTGGGAAGGAATATGGTACTGTGCCAAGAACAATCGTAGAGTATGTCGATGGAGTGAGGGGGTTTCTCGTCGTCGCCTTTGGCTTGAAGGGATGTGTATGAGGGAGGAAGGGAGGGTGGCATGGAGGCGGGAAGGGAGGGGTTGTTGGAGGCCTCATCGCTTCCTTTTATCTTTAAAAACAGACGTGGATTCTGCTAATGGCACAACAGTTTGGTACCAGATTTCTTCATGAAAGGCCGTCTGCTGCCCGTCTTAAAGTTCACTACCTTCTTTATTATGGAGGGAGTTGGGGGGTTCGGGGCGGAGGTCAAACTATGTGATCAAGCTTATGATGGAGCCGGGGGTTTAGGAAATCAAACAGGTGTGTGGATCTCCGCGATGGAGGAGGGGGATTGGGAGATCAAACACGATGCGTCTGATACTGTGATGGAGGCGGAGTGTGTGTGGGGAGATCAAACACGATGCAGCCGATACTGTGATGGAGGCGGGTTGTGTGTGGGGAGATCAAACATCAAATGCACATCGGATATGGAGTCGGGGGACTGAAAGATCAAAAACCCTAGCGCCACGCTGGCATAGTGGTTGTGGGAGCGTGTGGTCCAACTTGTCCGCTCCAAAGGCATATAGTTGTCAGGGCCTGCGGGCGACATTAGCCTGTGAGCGTACAAGTAGCTGGCAGTTGGGAATCGAGATCGATTCTCAATTCACACTCTTTTGTGGCGCTGTTGGTAAAGCCAGCTGCCCGGCCTCACAATAGTGCTGTGTTAAAACTTGACCCAAAACTCCAGTATGAAGTGGGTTCTCCTGGTCTTTGGATCAAATTGTGTGTATGAGGGAGGGTATCATGGAGGCAGAAAGGGAGGTGTTCAAGCACTCACCGTTTCTTCTACCCTTAAAATTGGATGTGGATTCTGCTAATAGCATAACTCTTGGCACTATGTTACTTTTATAAAGGGCCGTCTGCCGCCTGTTTTGAGCTTCTTTCTTTCCTTTAGAGGCGAAGTTGGGGTTCGAGTGGGTTAAAACTGCATAGCGCGGGTGTTTTATGGAGTCGGGGGTGGAGAGATCAAGCACTCACGGTCCATCAACCAATGGAGTGGATTCTCGTGGCCTTTGGATGAAACCGCGCATATGAGCGTTATTATGGAGGTAGGAAGGGAGGTGTCATTTAAGCACTCGCCGCTTCTTCCAGCTTTGAAGCCAGTTGAGGTGGTTCCCACATGGCTCCAGCTCTTGGTACCAGATATCTCCTATTTAAAGCCGTCTGCCGCTAGGTTTGAACTTCCTTCCTTCAGGGGCGGAGTTGGGGTTCCTGTGGGTCAAAATTCCCGAAGTTATGTGGGTGGGGTGGGGGGGATCAAAGACCTACCTGGTAGATGTTCGATGGAGGTGGTGAGGGCTGGGAGAGCGAATACTTCCTGGGAATTTCTCATGCAGTTGGTGTGCGTTGGAAGATGAAAGAGCTTCCTGGATTTCTTCTGATGGAGTTGGTGGATTGGTCTTGGCACTACAAGCAAATGGAGACTAATTACGATGGCTACACCGGTTAAGCAGGCGAGGGAGTAGAAACATCCAGAGCCAATAATCCAGGATGAGACGGACAGCATCAAGCAAAACGCATTGAAGAGGCTGAGGCTGCAAAGACTTTCCACTGTGGGCCTTGCAATATCTCATGTGGCACGGAAGCGATGGGGAGAATGATGATCAGGATGAGTGCTATTGAGCAGTATGCAACACCTATGTTGCGGAAGTTTGTAGTGGGAAGATGATGAGTCATGCTGCTTGAAGATGATAGAATGGCGACACAGAAATTGTACGAGACGAGATAGGAATATTTTAACCATTTTACCTTCTTCTTTCAAGGAGATAGGATGGCGTTATTCCGTCATCCTATCATGCTCTTAGGCATATGATAAAAGGACGGCACGGACAGCGTGACGCCTCTAGACCTTACTACCTTACTCTTTCAAGTCATGTGCAAATCACATGACCTCCCTCCCTTGGCACCGAGCCCCGACTACAAAAGCTTCTCTCACTCGCACTCGAACTCTGCTTCCTCCTTCATCGGTTCGAGTCGGAGGTTTTAAACTGGAAGGCCAAATCCTTTATGGAGAATGTGCGGACGGGGGTCTGACAGTCAAAACAGAGCGAAGAGGCCTTATGGCTTCGGCGCTGTGCTGCGGTTCAAACACCGTGGAGCAGGCCGTAATGGAGTCTGAGTGAACCGCGTGGTGCAAAAAGTAGCTGGCTCACATGCGAGTGGTCGGAGCAAGGGGTTTGGTGGAGGTTGATGTGGGAAGTGATGATGAAGAGCGAGATGAGATACTAACGAAGAAGTATAATCATCTAAATGGATGGCAGAGATTGCTACTAGGAAATGAATGCTCGTAAAGTCCGGTCTAAAGGAATACTGAGGATCGTCAAAGGCAGTGTTTAGTGACGAAATGACGAAGAACAGATGTAAAAGTGTTCAGCAGCTGGAGTTGAAGCAGATGGAAGCGTCCGCCATGTTTTCGCGGCATTGGGAAGGGAGAGGGCGTGACGGATGAGATATGAGATTATTCACTCACGTCACCCCGTCACACTACTTTTAATCACCAACGCAACGCTCCCATCGATCGTGGCTTGAGCAGGCAGAAGAGTGAAGCAAACCTAAACCCTCTTCCGCCCCCACCACCTCACCCTTTCTCAGATCATGTGCAAATCACGTGCCCATAGCTCTTGACGAACTCCCTCCGATATAAAACTCCACACAAGTCAAGCTCAAGACTTCTTTCCTCATGGGTCGGAGTTCGAGGATCAACAACGACGCTGGAACGCTTCACTGGAGTGTAAATAGGAAGCTCAAATGACTTCTGCCAACGATTCTATGGTTCTGCAGCAAATTGCTCATGAAAACTTCCCATGGAGTCTGCTTCAGCTGGAGCGTTCAACAATGGTGCTGTGTCCAATCCACCCTCAGAACCAGCAATGGAGTTCGTGGGAAGGAGCCGTGTTGTTCAACACATCCAATCCACGGGCACCATGATACTGGGAGTATGGTGGGGTGTACAACCGAGCATTCCACTTGTTCATGGCTGGAGCGGAGGGATCAAAGCGGAGATCGAATAGCTTTGGCAGTGATGATGCGCAGTATTTCCCTTCAACGTCGATGAGCCCTCCTCTAAGAAGATGGTGACGATTTAGGGTATAACTGTTGTACTGAATCTTCCGAGATAACATAAAAGGGAATTAGGCAGGATACGTGATGCTCCTCTTGTCCGTTTCTTCTCGAAGTCATGTGATAGTCACATGCTCAGGATCTTAGTAGGTTTCTTCGAGTATAAAAGCTCGCAGTCGAATTTCAAAATGTCGGACACAGGCCAACATGGCGCTTGGGAGGGGCGAAAAGGATAAAACTCGACCTTCGCACCGCGGCATGGTATCGTGAATTGGAAGGGTCCGATGGAACTACGATGTTGGGGTGTGGCGGCTTCGAAAAAGCCTCCTGCAACACCCGATGTAGTCTGGTTGGGTGTGGTGGAGCGCAAAAGTCACAGCAGAAGACGTGATGACTAGGGTGGAGGCGTGGTGGGCTCGTGTTGAGGAAACGATGACGTGCAACTTCCCGTCTAAATAATGATGCCCACTACTCCAGGGGCTTGGTTGTAGCCATTGGCATGCTTTATCGTTCCTGTTGGATGCGTCAACGCTAGAGAGATGGTGAGCACGACTTGCTATTAGATGCTGAAGGACAGTAGTGGTAGATGTAATAAAGGCGAAAAAATGACGCTCAAACGGGAACGAATTCGTGAAAACGGGTAGAAAAGGCTAAAGAGATGGCAAGGGGGCCTAAAGAGTGAGGCCCTAGACGTCGAGGTGCCACGGTGGCCCCTTTTGTTGCTTTGGATCACGAATCTAACCGCGCAAGACTCATTTTGTAAGACACGGAGGGTCCTCTACGTCCCCCACTGCGTCTACTTTCCGTAGTCCGAATTTTTAACGTGAAGGACGGGCCAGATATCGGGTTGCCGTCAGGAGGATGAGGAAAGGACACTGAGGGAGGTCCGTTGACAGTCTAGCCCGTTTTGTTACTTTGACTCCCGGATCGAACCGTGCAAATCGAACTTTCATAGGGACGGCGTAATACGCTGGGTGGATGTTGGGTGTTTACTTTTTTTGACGTAAGTGACGGCATCAAGATTGAGCTGTCGGAGATAGGGTAAGACTGACCTAATCACAAAATTCTTAGAGTCCCTCCGACGCCCGCATCGATACGGCGAAAGGAATTGGTGACAGTGCGATTTGAAGTTTACTTTTGCCTTTCTGCAACCTCAAGCCAATTCACAGTCCTCGGCCAATTGTCTTCGTATCTCGGTCACAACGGTACGGTCAGCATGATACGGGGCGCTTCAGCTCATGTTCCAAGTGTCCAAAGCTCTTCATTTTGGTCCTTAGTCTTGATGGCAGTATTGTATGCAATGGTATCCTACCCCCAATCTGCCCTCGCACCTCAACCTTTTTGAATTGCTTTCCCCGCATGTGGTTTTTCACATCTAGCATCTTGCCTGGTAAAAAACCAGGTCCCCCAATCCTCGGGTATCACCTCCCCACAATCCGCATATTTTTTAAACCGCCCGTAAGGTAGTCGCAAGAGCACGTATCCCATTTCGCATCTCTCAATCGTCGTCGTCAGCGTTCAGGAACGGGTTCGCGATCTCCTCTTTGCCGTCGATCGGGGAAATAAGGACGAGGAGCGTGCCGCGGGCGACTAGCAGGCCCAGATCTCTCGAGTCCTCGTTGCCTTCGTCGTCTGTTGAGATGTTAGCTTCGTTCGCAATTTAGCTAATATGGGACACTCACCTTTCGTAATCTCCTTCGCCTCATCCAGCACCAGATTCATGAGCTGATCGTAGCCCTTCAGCGTCCCAATGACTGTTTCCAATTAGCACCACAAAAGACCGCACTGCCGTCCCAATCCCTCCATCCCCCCGCCAGTCCTCCAACGCTGCAAAATCCAGAACGCGCGCGAGCATGAGAGCATTCGATCTTACCTTCCCGTCCCCCAGAGAACTTGACCGTAATCTGCTTGTCCATGTACTTGTTGAGGTCGAGGATATTCTCCTTCTTCGGCCGTTCCGTAGTTGCAGCAGCACCTCCGCCCCGGGCTCCACCCCTGCCGCCGCGGTGGTGCTCCCCGCCGCCACGCCCACCGCCGCGTCCGCCCCGGAATGCGCCGCGGTCTGACATTGGAAAAGGAGAGGTGGGACTTGTGGGATGTCGTAGGGCGAGTTAAGGTTGGGTATCAGGTGTTTTCGTGGCGATGTTGTAGTGGATCGCGGTCGAAGTTGAGATGCAGAGCGGGATTGTTAGTGGTGGTGGGGGTAGCTCCATTTGAGCCACGTGACGGGGCCGCTTGGCGGACATGGAGGTTGCCGCGCGCACGACGGATCTAGCCATCTGATCATCAGTGATATTGAAGTCACCGTTTTGAGCGACCTATATTGGGCGTTCTAGACAGGTCTGGCTGGATACGTAGGATCCTATTCTCAACGCTTTGACAGTTGCGTGGGCTGCACCTTGGGAGAAAGAGGAACGCATGGTTCCTACATACAGCATCAGAGGATTCAGACGTCCTAGATTATATGCTCTAACAGATTGAAGGTGTTTTCCTCAAGATGTTTTGCCTCATCAAACTGTCGGGATGCATGCAAGATGCGTCGTCAGTTCTCCCCCCGACTGGTCGGAGCATCTCTCCGTCGGCCGGGGCGGAAGTGGAGCATTGGGGAGTCGTTCCGCCTTCATGTGACGGGTGGCAGCACGGCTAGCCCGCTGAGCCGTGCAGCGAGTTGGTGTGAGGGATTTCCGCAGTGAGGGCCAGCGGACCCCGCAGGCGACAAGGTTCCATTGGCCGGAGAGAAGGCCTCCGCTGGCTAGTGCGGCTGTACGGTGGACCGGAAGTGTGGTGGATGCTGGGGCGTGGGGAGGCACCGACCACACTTCCAAGAATCACTCCGAGAACGATGTGTTTTGAGATGGTTCGAGGGTCAAAGCCGTAGAGAGAGACGAGGGCCTCTTCATGAGCACACAATTACCGTGGCCCGATAATGTATGTTGGTGTTGTTTGAGCAGACCAAATCTCTGGGTGGTGCAGCGAGCCGGAAGCAATCTTCTACCACTAAACCAGGTCCCAGTGATTGCTTGAATGCTGGAATACTTGTTGAATCTGGGAGCCCTTCCCAAGTCTCACGAAGCTAGCTGTGAAAGAGTTCTGAGCTGTTCGCGCTCATCGCTGCATATTCTCGTGCCGTCCATGCTTCCGCTTCGCACCCACCACGGCCATATCGCACCCCACGTACAGTACACCGTATCTGCTCCGCTGGTCAGCCAGCGCTTCTTTGTCGCAACCTCCCGGCTTCCTCTCCTCCCCCCTAGTGTGCAGTCTGGAACTCCTCTCTCACCCACCCTGCGCGGACAACTGCGGCCCCCTCCCAAGCTCCCCTCCGACTCGCTGTGCCGCTGGCCAGACCACTCCTCTGCACGTCTGCCGAGGTGCAGCGCATGGTGTGGGAGGGTTGAGCGAGCTGCTCCTTCGGGCGACGCATCCCGCCCCAGTCCCGCGAGCCGTCTCCACCCTTCTAGATTCCTGGCCGTGCCGCACACCACCACCACCGCGAAACCACTCCGGACGGCGTCGTCCCCGGTCCCTTCGCCCTTCTGCGCGCCCCCCTCCCTCCGCCGTCTCCTCCACGCCATGAGCAACGTCGACACGGCCACGCAGAGCGAGACGCTGACCATGAACGACCTCAAGCGCAAGCGCAGTCCGTCCCACGACCAGCTGCATCCGCCGCTGCACAAAGCGGCCAAGACCCACAACCACCTGCAGATCAACTATCTCGCCCGCCACTGCAACGACGACCTGCCGCTGATTACCAACGACGACACGCTGCCGAACATCCTCACGCTTCTGAATGACTACCAGGGCGTACTCGACCGCCATGAGTCCATGGCCTGCAACCTCGGTGCCCGTCCGCTCGGCCCAATCCTGATCAAGCGATTTGAGAGGTTGTTCGACGGGCCGCCACGAGTGCTTAAGTCGCATGGAAAAGATGGGACGACAGTATCGTGGCTCGACGTCGTCGAATTCGCCCGCAACAAATCCGAGCAATTCCAACTGGGCCAGATGAGCGAAGGCGTCCGCGTCTGCCAGTTCTACACCAAGCAATGCCGCGTGCAGATCTCCGAGGAAGACTTTGTCTTGATATCGTCGGGAATCCCGCAAAAGATGATCCCGCCGCAGCCAATCACTGAAGACGAGGAGAAAGAGTTGGGAACATTGGAGATACTGGAGAAGAACCTGGCGCAGATATGTCAATTGGCGGACCAAGGTACGGAATGCCGGTATTCTCCCTATGTAGTTGCTAATTATGTACAGTCGCTGCGCGAACAAGACAGCTCAACCACCGCCTCAAAGGCCGCAAGCAAGCAATACTAGACCGAAGAGCAACTGCCAGCCCTGTGCCTCCAATCCGTGCCACAAGCCCCTCCAACGTCGCCTTAATGAACGGCGCAGCCCAAGCTGCCAGCACCACACTCGCCAGCCTCCTCTCCCAACCCTCCCAAGGCTTCGTGGCTGTCAATTCTCGCCCCCCAGCCGACCAAAACGGCTCCAACGCCGAATCCTCCCGCAGCGGCGCCTCCACAACAACCCGCCAAGACCTCCTAAACAAGTTCTTCACTCTCAGCGACCGCCGGCCCTCCTCTCAACCCTCAAACGGCGACGCCCGCCGCGCATCCTCCGGCCCTCAACAGCCCTCCTCCCATCCCACAACCCCTTCCCAGGCACCGAAACCCACAATCAAAGCCAGCAGCTCCCAACCCCCTTCCGTAACCCCCTCCGCCACCATCCCACCCGCCAGCCAGATGACCGACGCCGAAATCGCCCAACTCCTCCTCCAGAACAACTCCCCCGTCCCGATCCCCGGCACCCCCGCCTCGCTCCTCCCCGCGCCCACACCCCGCGGCGCGCCCCCGACGGAGAAGGACGACGGCGGCCCGTTCAAGGCCGAGATGGTGCACCGCATGGAAACACTCGCCAAGGGCGAACGCATCCTGCCCCCCTGCGACCGCTGCCGGCGGCTGCACATGGACTGCCTCAAGAACCTGACCGCGTGCATGGGCTGCACGAAGAAGCACGCGAAGTGCAGCTGGAAGGAGGTGCGCGAAGGGGAGCTCCACGGGATGGGGCTCGGGCTGGGGTTGAGTGTTGGTTCCGGCGGGTCTGGCGTCGGGATGAGCGGCGGCGGCGGTGGTGTGGCGAGCGAAGACGAGGGGTTCGAGGCGGCGAGTACGGGAAGTGCGCCGAGGGAACAGCGGTATTCAGGGAGTCCGGGGCGCTTGGGGAGCGAGGAGGAGAGGGAGGGGAAGCGAGTAAGGGAGCAGTTGCAGGAGGCGGCGAAGGCGAGCATGGCGCAGGCGAAGCTGGATCAGCAGCGGAGTTTGCAGATTGAGCGGGAACGAGAGTTAGAGCGGGAGCGGGAGCGGGAGAGCGGAGGGCGTGAACGAGAAGGGGTTGGGTATCAAGCTATGGTTGCTTGATGGCATTGTTATCGATATACCTGTGAGACGAGAAGCGTGCGCAAGTTGGGGGAGCGGGGGGGTTCAAGGTGTCTGATTATGTTCTGGGGATGGTGTTTATGACGGTTCATTTGCGAGATATCCTCCCACAGCTAGCTAAGGTTAGCGAGTCTGTATTGCGCTGTTTTTTCTTGATACCTAGTCATATTCTTGTCCATTATTTTTCTTCCGCGATATCTTTGGCGCCTGGTGGTCGGCTGCCTGGGGTGCTTGTTGGGGCATAGTGGGTACAAAAGGGTGCGGGATTAGTTAGGGCCCTTCCCTTGCTAAGAGGTACATAGAGATGTTTATACCCACTCGCTTGCCAATTGCCTTTCAGTTTCCACCCTTCTTTTTTTCTAGTTCGTTTTACATGTATACATTGAAAATACAGTACTAGAAACAACAAGCTTAGACACGCCGTCCTTTCCTATCTCGTTCCGATGTATAATGAGGTGCTAAAGCACCACAAATAGCGTCAAGTGGGCCTCCGCTACAGATCTGGATTCTCCACACCCTCTCCGTCGCGAGCAATCGCTGGTGCGACCGCCTCTGCATCGCCTGCAACACCGGAACCCCTCGAAGGCCTATGCAAAAGGTATCAAGATTGATCTCGGTGGCGTAGGTTACAACTAGGCGCTCGAGAAACGTCGCAGATGAGGACTAGGTGGAACACACGGGAAAGATTGAGGGCGAGAGCGAGGCTACACGCTCGAAAAGATACAAGGAACGGCGCTAAGCCCGCATAGGAAAATAAATTTCGTCTACATAACGGCATAAATAGCGTCAAATGATGCTCTCGTTGGTTTTGTACTGCTCAGAGCGTGTGCGAGCTCGGTATGCTGAGCTCGGTATGTTGAGCTGGGCTGATTTTCGACCTGGGGTCATCTTTTCTCAGATTTCTCAACAATCACTCGCTCTAATCCTTAGCTCTCTTATATGTTATGTCCTTATACCTGTCTTGACTAGCTCTAGAGGGTTCATAACAATCGAATATATGGTGGTGTCGTGTTGGGCAAGCGCGCTAGGTCGTTCCTGCGCGCACGATTGAACTGGTCTTCACGTGACGCGGAGCATGTCATTTGCGACCTCCCGGAGTTCTTGCATCAACATGCCTCATATATGTTACATAAGTCAGCTAGTTAGTGTTGAATGTCACGATAACTGGTGGCAGAAACAACGTGACAGGGAGATAATCCTTTCGAGCACAGCCCGTTCAGAGCATCATTCTGAAAAGGTTTCGACACCATTTTCATTATTGATGGCGGAAATGAACAAGGACTGCTGTAAAGACGAGGGAGGTGGAGCGGTAGATTAAAAGCTCCCGCTGGATGGAATCACAGAAGTATGCATTCTTTAGACTCAAAGGAACGGGTGGCGCACTATGTCTGAGGAATGCTATTTCTACAACACTCACGATGACGAAGTAGAGACAGACCACAGGCCGCCACCGCCACTGCTGTGAAAACACTGCCGTGCTACATGGATTTTCAAAGACCCTTGTTGTACAAGGAGCCCTTGCTATATCCTAGCCAATTATTAGCCATCCAACAAGCATAAGTCTCAAGCTCGCTATTCCGCTAAGTTTGAAATAAACGGGCCACTGGCTAGCGGCGATGATAGCGCAGGGCTACTAATATTCGTCTAATATCCACCTAGACAATATCACCATCGGAATCTAAAGTATTATCTGCAATATCCTCTTTAATAGAACTGTTTCGTGCGGCTTGGGGAGTAGTCTCCAAGTATGCTGGGGATCTAGGCCTCGGCAGGACTCATGGCGTCGGGGAAGGCGAAAAGGCAGTGCAAAAAAGACCTGGAGGCGCTAGGAATGAGATAATGGTTTCGCGGGCCATGTGAGCCGTGAGTCGCAATCAAAGTCATCTTGGTGGGTTGCTCAACCAGCGCGTTGGAATTTGCTGCCCAGCTTTGATCCCCTGACACATTGCACGTGATGCACGAGACTTGGCAAGGCCCCGCGCCGGATTGTCGTTTCCAGAGCTCCCGTGCCTCCACCATGGTTTGTACCGCGATTGCATATTCCAGAGCCTCAAAGCTCGCCCGCCTTAAGACTTCGAAAGACTAACCTTTTCTTCCCTGGCGCACTGGACGGAGCCTCTAGCTTATCCACTATCTCGGTTAGTCTTTCATGCTGGGTCATACCACGGTACCTTTCGGTCCACGATATTTCCTCAGTCTACAGCACACCAGAAAACTGTGCACTCAATCTTTACAGAGACAAATGGCTTCGGGGTCATCTCAAGACTCTGAAGTCGCTACCATCCTTCAGGAATCCAGCGGCCAAAACCCACCCAAGCCCCCGTTCGAAGTGGTGAAGCAATACGATCCACGGGGTGAATGGACATTGCATCGGCTTGTTCCATCCACCAGCTTTGTGTGCAGACAGTGCAACAGGCAGAAGAAGGCGAAACTTGTTGCTACACGCCATAGTCGATGGGACGACCTTTGCTGCAATGCTTGTTATGGCCTGCTTCTCTCAAAACAAAAACAAGGTAGAGTATTTGAGGGGGTATTTGAAATGGCTCGTGCGTACGCCTCACCGCCTATTTCTGATTGGTCAGGATCAACGATTCTGCTGTGAACACCCAAAAATCAGCTCGCCCCTACGCCCCGTGGCCCCTTATTCCTAATACACCCACTTACCATGCTGCTATTGCACTGTGGACAAGCCAAAGAACAGATTATACAGGACGCCATCAGTGGACATCAATCTGAATATTACGGGAGCCCCTCAGCTAGCGCATTCGCCTATGGGATACACCCGGATACCATTCTCAAGCGCATCAACAGAAAACGCTAATCTCACCAAGATGTACATAAATTCCAACAGAAGTTAAGCCCCAAATCAGAATTAGCAGTTGAAAGATACTGTATATTACTCCTAGAGCATAGATTCTTATTAAAAAAGTTATATATCTATACTATTGCCCTAGTATTAAGGGTGTTATTTAATGCAGCGTGATGGACGTGCAGTACAAAAAACAGCGTGGGGAGGCATTCTTATGTATTCTTAGCACTCCTGCAACCTTAACACTATGCTAGGACTTGACAATATACAAAATCAATTGAGATACGGTGTGAGGAACATCAAATATGCGATAGAATGCTAATTTGTATGCGATTGCCCTTACAAGCGGCATTCTCCGTCATTTTTGATGTTCCTACGCACGAGCCATTTCAAATACCCCGTCGATTTCAAGAACCCCCTCAAATACTCTATTCAACGGCCCAAAGCTGCAAGGGCACAGCAAAGTCTAACAGAATACAGGAGAGTCGCAACATTGAACCCCCATTTGGGATTTCCAGAGATGACCTTGCCATTTTCGTATCAACTTGCGTTATCGAGTTCCATTTTTGGTACCACCATTGCAAAGGTTGTGTTTTCTGAGGTTCGCGTTTTGACTGCTGCGAACACCGGATAGAGAATTTGGTCCATAGCTTTGCAGTAACTTTCGTCGGACGAGCAATAGCCTTAATGTGACCTCTGATCGCGGCAACATGAGCTCGGAGGGTACGCCTTCGACGGGTTGCTGAAACCGTTCTGTTCCGAGCAAGGCGAGGCACGGCGGTCAGCAGACTTGTTTTCTATCCTGCATTCTAGTTAACGTAGGTGATGGGGTTATTGCGGCGGAGGTAGTTATTGAGGCTAAGTCGATGTAGCTTAGTGCCGCGAACACCAAAAATTTGTGTGACACCAGCATTTCCACACACAATCACGCAGAATAACACTAAAAGAAGGAATATTCACGGTTTTTGAAGCTCTACTTTTGTATGGAGCTTCCGTATATAGCGAATAACTTGGTGGCGTAGTTATACGTCGTTGTCCTCGCTCTCCGTGCTGCCATCGCTTCCTACCGCGTCCTCATCACTACTGCTATCACCCTTTGCCTGCTTAGCAGTAGCTAACTGCTGCTCGGCATGCTCAAGCGCACCTAATTGCTGCTGCGCGAGCTGCTGCGCGGCGTGTTCCGCTTCCTTAGCTCGTAGGGCCTCAGCAACTGCCTCTGTAGTTTGCTTCGCACGTGCTATTTTATCTGCTGCTATATAGGCCCTCTCTGCCTGCTTAGCAGCTTTGCCTGCTTCACCTGATGCGCGTTTGGCAGCGGCCTGTAATTCTCGTGCAGTCTTAGCGATAGCTCGAGCGTCCTTCCTCAGCTGTAGCTGAACGGCTTCTTCGTCCTTTGCAAGCTGCTTGATAGCGCTAGCAGCTTTCCTAACTGCTTTTGCAGCAGCTGCAGTGTTCTGCTGTCGCCTGCTTTGCTGCCTCTAAAGCGAGAATTGCAGCAGTTGTAAGAACTGCTTCTGTAGAAATTTTCACCCGTTTTTTAAGCTTCCTTGCCCTCCGCTCGCTCGTATGATGGCGCAAATCCGTATTTTCTTGAGGCCAACGGGGCATGTTGGTTGGTAAATTTAAACGTGTGAAAACGCGTCTAGCATCGCGACTTTGTGGTGTATGAGGATTGGTGATGAGTGAGGGGTTGATTTTCCTCGCTTAGCAGAGCGCTAACTACGTACGGAAAGTCTATGCACTAGCCTCAATAACTACCTGCGCCGCAATAACCCCATCACCTACGTTAACGGCCTCCAGACTTGCAATCGATTATTATCGTGCCTCGCCGTTCCATAATGTGGGAACCACTTTAAATGGGTGTTGGAATTGAGCTAGTTCAAGATGAGATAGTGAAGGCATCCCGAAATAAAATCCTCTTTGGGGATGCCCAAAGTCACCAAGAGCTCTTTTTGCATTGCGAATTGCCCCAATGCAATTGTGCAAACAGCGTGCGTGGTGGCTGTGGGATCGTGCAGTGGGACTTCGCCAAATAATGTGTCCAAGAGTCGTAATAGCCACAGAAGTCTCCTTTCTCTAACTTAGATCGAAGGGAGTCCGCCGTCACATGGAAGCTACGTATTGAGAGAGAATCCACTTGGCAACGCCTGCATATTGATCGTGTGCGGCACAGCAATGGCACCAGTTGGCGCGATGTGGCAAAGTATGATTGGCGCACTGTTTCTATGTTGCTGAGCAATCGAGGTAGGCACGCATTCTATAGCTGATTGGAATCGAGATTGCATTTGCACATGTTGTTGGTGCGCGACTTGAATAACAGGAAACACCCCGAGAGTACCTATCACTTGAGGTTAGGGAGCACCGTATCCCGCTTGGACACGTTAACAACCTGGGCGAGTTGATATAAAACCAAATCACGGTAGAATAAGAAGTCCAACCGCAGGCTTACCATCACAAACAGTGAGACTCCGCTTAGCGGGGCGTATGGTGCTCCAAAGTCTCACTTTTTGTGATGGTGACCCTGAACGGGTAGCTATTGGTTCCCAACGCGGGGTAAAGGATCATCGCTGCGGCCCGCTCACCGGAACGGTAGTGGCATAAGCTCCCGTCGCATTAGGCCTAGATATGATGACCAGCATCAGTTCATACATACGTCCCGTTTCCGCGCAACCACTAGTTCGCGATGGTGTCCCCACTCCTCCCCGCTTTGTTGCTTTTGCAAGCCACATTGGAAGAAGTGTTGATAACAATACCCAATGGCCGGTCACGGCAGCTATTTCCTCTAGTAAGCAAATTTATTGGTTCCTGGAGCAACTTATCTCTTGAGCCTCCGAAATTGCTCAACAATGGCTGGCATATAAAGCTACTGCGAGGACGGGATTGTCCTGGTCGGTGGTCAGAAGCGACAATGTCTACGGCACCGAAGCAAACGTCTGCCCAAGCCGGTTCGGCCATTAATGGCATTACATCCATTTCTGATTCCCTCAGAATGGCCCAAGACCTCAAGGCTGCTATCGAGTCTTTTGCCTCAAACGTCGGATTTCAAACACTCTCCCACTTGGTCGATCAAATCCCTCAATTGAGGGAAGATATCCGAGCGAAGGACAATCAGCTCAAGGAGCTTCATGCACTATTGGAAAGCCAAAGGGACGACCACTCGACGGAACAGCAGAAAGTATTGTCAATCTATGAAAAGAGGTATGACAAGTATAAGGAAGAACTTGGCACACTCCAAGGTACGATTGCGCGGCTGCAAACCGATATTCATGACAAAGAAGAGAAGCGCGCCGAAATACAAACCACGCTAGAAGTTGTCAAGGCAAACGGTCGTAAGCTTGAATCTAAGCATGAAGCAAAGATTTCTAAATTGAAGGAGAGAGAGCATGAAATCACAGACCTGAAAACTCAGGTGCAGGAATCCCAGGCAAAGGCAACCGAGTTCTCCAAGAAGCTGAGCGAATCCCGGGATCGGGTAGCTAAGCTGGAAGAGTCATTAGACAAAACTAGACGTGAGCATGAAGGCCTCAAGAAGGAGTTCGAGGGAACGGATGGACAGCTAAAGGAATTGCTTAACTTCTCTGCACCTCTAGATGACAGGAACCTGCAAACTACGTAAGCAACTTGAGATCTGCCGTGGCTTCAATAGCTGACAATGTTGCTGTAGGGCGAACGAACTGGAGAACTTGTGGCAGTCGGCATCTTCGTTAATAGCGAAATTTCTCGGCAAGAACCTACCAGACCAGATGCTCCAGGTATGCTTATCCAACGCCCTCTCAAGCCCACGTTCTCATCTGGTGTGTAGAAGCATTGGGGCAAGTTGCATGAAAACTCTATCTTCAAGCACGAGATACCGCTTCCGCAATCGAATTCCGACATTGCAAAGGAAATGCGGATCGCAACAGTCCTTGGAAACCTTGCGAGACTGGTGAACAAGCACATATTCCAGTCTGTGTATCTATTAGACGAAAGCGACGGACTCCACGACCTTCTGCGCCGCCAAGCGGTTGTTGAAAACAGGAAAGAGACTTTTGTTCGAGGCATACTGCTCTCAATGTTTCCTGAGGAGCAAGAGGAAGAGGCAGGAAAGAGGATAGACTGGGTTGTCGAGGATTTAACAAAGGAAGTCGGTATCCGCGATGTCCTAACTACCGATGTTGTTGGGACGTTCGAACGGGAACTAGAAATATTCCTAGCGCAAGCGCAACGGGTTTGGCGGTCCGTCCAGTGCAGCAAGCAAAGACTGGAGCCGAGCTTCGAATACATCCCTAAACCCGACCTCCCGTGGAAGACATTCGAATTTCAGGTGGCAGATTGCAAGAAAGAAGGGAAAATCAACTCACCAGTCAACACTGACCGCTCAGAGGACGAGCTGTACACCATATTCCCCCGAATATATTTTATGACAGACAACGTCCAGCCAATCACTGCCGGTACTATCCTTAAGAAAGCTCAGCTTCGCACCGCCGCGCAGGAAGTGCAGGAAAGTGCTCCAAATACCCCATTTGCGCAACTAGCCTCAGCGCGCTATCGTCCCAGGCGAAGTCGCACCATGTCCATGAGCGCTGAAAGTGGTCGAAGCGGACCAGTAGAGAAGCCTTTTTTATCCGAGACGGTCGCATCCGCCTCTTAATGAAGAGAGTCAAACGTCATCTGATTCGCGGTTAGCCAAGCAAAAACATAGGGAGGGAATAATCTTTAGCAAATATGAGGGTTTTGTGGGGATAGCTCTCGATATCAGGGGTCTTGATACAGAAGTCGACAAAGGTGGAAACATACACTGACTCTACGTTTGCTCTATTGGAGGTTTATCGCATAGACTGGTGCTGTTGCAACGCGCTCGCAAGCAGATCATGAATCGCAAACATACTATCTCTTCTACGACTGATCTGCTCACATGATTCTCTAGCTTGCACAATCCCCCAGCTTACCTAAGTGCCGGAAGATCTCCCGTTCACACAATTTCGCAAAAGCCCGCAAGTATATCCACGATCTTCCAGATGCGATAGCGTAGAATGTCCTAAAGTGGTGACTGCGGATAAGTGCGGTACGGGAGCTTTACTGTCTCATGCCTCTAAGTACAGCAATTGCGCCGGCAATTGCTCGCGATAAAGAGGGTGTGGAGAGTCTTAATCCTTAGCGAAGGACTCCCTAGGCCTGTTACGAAGGAGTTTATTTTTTTTTAAACTCTTACTAAGCGATGTCCGGATGGCGGAGCAGGTTACAGGGTTCGTTTTGGAGGAGTGTGTGGTCGGCGAAAGAAAGGGGGGAGCGGATAGAAAGTGATTTTTTCGAGGTACATACATAGAGGACCGTTGGAGCGAGCGTGATTGCGAGCCACCTGTACGAGACTCGTGCCGCCGAATTGATCCGCCCTCGTGCCGTCGACTCGATTCGTGCTCGTCGCGAGTAGTGAAATGCTCCCCATTCTCGATGAATCGGCGTGGTGTGTTTTAAGGGGCGGGGTTTCTTGGACACAGGATATGTTACTCGTACGGGCTGATCTTCAATCATTGTGAAACAACCCGACGGGGCCCGAGTATTAGACTTGAAAAGGACTACCTTACTTTATGGTTATCCCCCCTACAGTAAAACCTACGTATAATGATACGGGAATTTAGTGATATTCTCTATACAGTGATACGAGGTGCCGGATTGTACGATTTGCCTCCTATATCACTAGCTCCCTGCTTAGTATAGTATCACTAAGCCCCTCTTATACAATATCATACTAATCGTGCTTGGATTTGTATGGGAGAGTGGTCCGTGGCCCCTCTGGCACCCCTTTTTTAGGTTGTTTTGGGACAGACTGGCTTGCAAATTGGCGGCACGTGACCTTGGTAACAGTTGATACTCCCTATACAGTGACAGTAGCCCCCCTGACCGACCCCTATCACTATACGTAGGTTTTACTGTATTCATAAGTTGGAAACTTCACGCGCGTAGGCTAACTTCTAACCGCCCAAAACCACCCCAACATCATTTCCTCTAACGCTCTACACTTTTTCCACCACCTATCCGAAGTAAGGAAAAAAACCACGTGACAAGTCCCTAATATTTAATATCAGTTAGGTAGTCCTAAGTATCACGAACCCCAACCATCTCACTCAATTCACCCCAATTAAAAGAGAGTTTCAATATATAATCTCGGCCTTTCTACAGCGCCCCCACCTCTCCCCGATCCCTGAATGTGCAAGTGGGCAATGTGCAAAGTGACGAGATCCACAATCCTCCCACCCACCCAGCCCTCCCAACCCGAAACCAACATAACGACCAGCCCGGCTCTTACAAAAAGCTCTCGCAACTCCAATATGATAAAGTGCTAAAAGGAATTTGATCGGTGCCCTTACTCATCAATCGCCTGCAAATGCTTTCAAATTCAATACCGAGAACCAAAAGAAAAGCAAGAAAAACATCGTGGAAGCGGTGTATGTGAGTGAGCGCAACCGACCAAAACCCGAGCAAGCTTCAAGCGAATACTTCGAGAAAGTCCGGTTACCGTCCATACCCGTTCGAACTCGATGGTAGCTGGGAGGGGGACGGTTTCCAACTGCGCTGATCGTCAGCCGCCTTTTTTTTTTTTTTTTTTTTTTTTGGGGGGGGGGGGATAGGTAATGGGGTTATGGGGTAATCTTACATTCTCACTTTCTTATCATCGCCCGCTGATGCAAAGACCCTGGGATCTGTGGGATGCCACGCAACCGCATTGACGCAGCCGCCTGGGTGCGCGTCTAGCTTCTCGACGAGGTGGCCGTTTGTTCGCCAGATGTAGACTCGCGAATCTGTTTTCCGTTAGCATCTCTCAGGAACTTGACAGGGGGGTGCGATGCCATACCTTCACTCCCCGACACCACAAAATTCTCATTCGCGCCGCCAAATGAACTCCGGATAATATAAATCGTCTGCGTCTGCCCCGTGAACGTCTGCCTCACGTCGCCGGTATCGATATCCATAAGTCGGATCTTGTTGTCGTTCATGCTAATGAGCATGTGGCGGGAGTCCTGGCTGATGTTCACTGAGGTCAATTTGACGTCGTCGAGAGCCCATTCACACAACTTTTCACGGGTGACGAAGTCATATACCAAGATGCGGTGCTCAAGGAGAACGACGAGGCGCTGGCCGTCTGGGGAAACGGCGAGGTCGTGGACGCGGAGGCTGCCTTCGGTCCATTCGTAGAGCTTGTCGCCCTGCACGTTCCAGAGACAGAGACCGTGAGCGGTGTCTTGGGAGCCGACCACAAAGGACTCGCCGTTAGGAGCCCATGCTGCGGACGTGACTGGATACGAGAATTCGGTGATGGTGGTGAGTAACCTGCCACTCTATTTATCTATTAGCAATATCCTGCGGCGATACCCCAGTGAAACTACACACCTTAGTGTCCCATATCCGCGCAGTATTATCCTGAGCTTGTGCGCACGTGATAAGTTTGCTGTCATCCGGACTCCAAGCAACATAGCACACGCCACTCTCATGGGCGGTGAGCCTATGAAGGATTTTGTATGTTGTTGTTTCATAAATGATGACGGTAGCGTCTTTGCTTGTCGTGGCTAGCTTAGTCCCATCATGGGAGAACCGTAAGAACCACACCTCGTCGGTATGATGCCGCAGTTCTAGAACTGTCTTCAAGGGAAGATCATCGCGCTCGCAGGTGTGATCGACATACAACGAAGGAGGAGTAGCGGTGTTGTGGTAAAGACAATTCGAGATCCAGCTGTCTTTTAACTGATCTAGAAGGATTGCTAGCCGATGTTCGGGTATCATTACGCTCGGTGATATTGACTCTGTGAGTTGTTAGCAGTCGACATGATGTGTGAAGATACGGATCGTACTTGAAAGCTCTGAAAGAAGTATTGATCTGGACTCTCCTCCTGCACCATCCCATTGGGCTTGATATTTGAGGTCATCGGCGGATTGGCACATCATGAGACTAATTATGTCAGTATGGTTCATCATTTCGAAGGAAGTTCACAGTGTTACCTTGATAGGGCGTGGAGCCTCCCCTCGTCTTGATGTAGAGGTGTTAATTCCTGCCTCAAAACCATTAGAGCGCTCCCTAGATCCCGCGTTTCGAGAAGTTCGAGATATTTCTGCTGCCTCATCCAGAATTTCATCTCGTTCTCGTTCGCACCCTCCGCAAGCGTTAAACCGCCAGTTTGCCGTGACGGCGACCACGAAGATGTTCGGGGCGCCTTTCCGTGTGATTTGTTCCCAAAAGCTGCCCCTCCACTTCTTAGACCCACGCCACCCCCGCTGTCGTAAGAATGCGTGCCAAATAATAACGCCTCCGCTTCAGCCCAGTCGCCTTGTAGGACTGCACTCCGAAACGCCGCAACGGTCGGCCCTTCAACCTCGAAGCCACTCTCCTGGCTCAACGCGCCCGCGGCGCCATGATATCCCAGATCCGTCAAGCTCTGTATCAATATCCGCGTCAGTTCCCCTCGATCATGGCCGTAAAACGACGGCGCTAGCTGCGGCGGCCGGCCGTTCGAGAGTGCGTTTCCATTGGTATATGAGGCCGCCGAGCCGTTGCTCTCGGACTTGACGTGGGAGTTTCCGTTCGCAATCTTGCCCAGACTCACCCGCGAACCAGGCGAGCGAGTCGAGCCGTTGGAATAGGTCTGTGAGGGGGACTGGGACCGTTTTGTCGTCTCGGAATCAAGGCGCATTGTCCCGTCAGCTCGGCGCCTACGCTTCGACTCGTGGTTTGAGGGCCTGCCTCTGGTTCTGGTTCCGTCGGCACTTTCCGAGTCCTCCGAGCTGCTGGAGAGCCTACGCCTGCGCTTGGGAGCTGGTGTAGGTATTGCGGGGGTTGTATGGGGGGTGCCTAGAACGCCAGAGGCACTAGGTATGGATGTATTATGTTGGGAGGCTGGTTGGGCAGAGATTCGCTGGGAAGTAGAAGTTCGGGAGGTCGAAATGGATGGGTGGTCGGAAGTGAATGGGGTAGGAAGGTCCGGGGGAGTTTCGTCGGCCAGGACGAAGTGCTGAGGAGGGTCTTCCGCGAGACTGCGGACGTGATTGCTGAACAACGGGTACCGCACCGGCGACCTGGGCTCAGAGCAGCCGCATTCGTAGTCGCTCGAGTGCTGTAGAGCTGGACGTGACGGCCACGGCGAGTCGGGATGGGCCTCGGGAGTCTATTCGGCGTGTGATGAGCTCTCGGGCGGTTGGAAGGCCTGGACTGCTGGATGAGAGCACTTTGAGTAGCCCGCGGGTGGCGGAGAGAAGTGGCCAGGCAAGATGATGGTGACTCGATCGCACGTCGCAAACTCCAGGCTTAGGGGCTCCACGACTAGGTGCTCGGGAAGCTGGGGCTGTGGCGGGGACGATGGCAGGTTGGGTTGACGTTGAGCTCGCGGTAGTCTTGTAGTATGCCGATGTCCGTGGGCCCTTGCCGGATGCGTTTTAGAGGGCAATGAAGCAGCTTTGCGGCCGGGACAACGCACGAGAGAGGCCGACGAAGCAGACACGGGGCAGCGCAGTGAAAGGCAAGCGACGCACGCAGCAGAAGACGAGTGTATTCTTTTGGGTGCACAGCGCTGCGGTTCTCGTGTTCTCGTGTATGCCTTGATGCTACGGGACGGCGGGCACGGTCACGGTGGATGCATCATGGGCTAGCGGGGGCGGTCCGATAAGAAACAGCCTTCACCTGACATAGGCACCCCCAGACAACAACAGCATGCTCAGTACGAAGTAGGCGCTCAGCACGCTGGCGTCAGTCTCAGTCATACGCCGCGTCGTGGTGAGGTGCCGCAAACGCGAAGCTTACCCTGTCTCACCCGCTTCCAAGTCTCGGGCTCGAGGGATCCATGGCCAGATGCCTGCACCAACTGCAAGCACGCATCATGCCATCGGCACATCATCCTTAGCTTCGTTGGCTGTGTAGAGACCCCAGTAGACAAGAAATAAGGCCGGCTGTGCTCCACTAGGAACAACGCATCAGATGGATTATATATCTACTACCGCTATAACTGTACCGCATATGCTTTCCACCCCGCCTTCTTTGTCTCATACGCGTCTACAACAACCTCATTGTCGAGTTGCTGGGCTCGGTGTGCTCCTTGAACCAGTTCAGGAGCTGAAACATGGTCGCCTTTGGTGTTCTTGTCAGGTCTGTGTAATTCACATATTGCAGCCCGGAGCGCACGCTAGGAGGTAGTGCCGGATCCCCATTCGAAGTTGTCGACTGCTCAAGTTAGTTCCACTCCCATTGAGTTTGAACCGTGAATGGTAGGAACTCACAGATAGCCCAAGCCCACGCGCCCGTCACATTGACCTTGTCGTAGGCAATAGATCCGAGAATGCTATCCAGACAGTTTTGGTAATCGCCAGCACGGCGAAGATCCCACAGTAACTATCTGATTCAGAGTTGTAAGCTGGGACTCAAACGGCTCCGCAGGAATCGTAGGGAATAGCTCCGTCGTGAGATACTTCAGAAACCTGCAGATACCTGTAGCCGTGTCATAGAGCCCGGACAAAGCAGGATCAGCCGCTGGTCCAATAGGGAAACCGTCTGCATCTGTCGAAGCGCTGCCAGCACATTCGGGATACGCTGGGTTCGAGCTGTTGGACGCGCACGCCTCAACCCCGCCGTCGACTTCGAATGCGTAGAAAGCAGAGTACCCGTCAATGGCGTAGAAATCGTTGGATTATTACAATCACCTACAGCAATCACTGCCGGTAGCAAACAGGGCGCTCTCATGTACATAATGTCGCGTTCTGTCAATGTTCAGATGCTACGGCCTGCAAACCAACAGAAATCGCAAGACCCCTTAATCAAGGCCTTTTGCTCTGGCGACAGCTCCCGTAAAAAGCTTCCCAGAGCATCCTTCAAGCTCGTGGCGCAGTCGCCGTCCGTCCAAGGCCCTCCAAACCAACCCTCGGCGAAGTCGAAATTCCTTCGCCTAGCTACTTCAGCGGCCTTGGATGTCGAGTTGGCTTCGCAATAATTGCCAGAGTTCTTGAAGGTGATGTGGCCTTTACCCTTGAATTCTTCGTGGTACCATTTCGCCACCTTCGCGTGTGCTAGAAGCGTGTAATGGCCGCACAAGAAACGCGCCTCCAGCCCTCCCGTCACGCCGTTGTATGCAGGATAGTATTTGCCAGCCGGGCAATAGCTGTATTGCCAGTTGCAATACTGAGGCTCGTTTATGGTGAACCACGTGTCGACGTACTTGTCTTAGCGGCCGATGATGAACTTCGCGTAATTGAAGAAGTCGTCGACGATATGTGGATCCGTCCAGGCACCGTACTCGTTGAATAAAGCTAGCGGAGTATCCCAGTGAAACAGTGTCACGGCAGGCGAAATCCCGTTCTTGACCAGTTCAGCAATAACATCATCATAGTACTTTACACCTACTTCATTCAAGGGACCTTTACCGAAGGGAAGATACGTGGCCAGCTGATGCTCGGGCTAAAGCCTGTGACGCCGAGACTCCTCAGCCGGGCAAAGTCTTGTTTGTAAAGATAATAGTGCTCGGCTACAACATCGGCGGTGGTGTTGTCTAATACTTGGTCTGGCACGCGATGAGCGAGTAGGTTCCAGATGGAAGGCCACTTCGCTTCATCTTTTGCAGCGCCTTCAATCTGGTATGCTGATGATGCGATGCCCCATTTGAAGTTCTTTGGCAGCTTGGACCTTTCCAGACTCGTGTCGTTTGAGGCAAGTAGTGGGTGCATAACCCCAGGAGTAGGATATATCAAGGCTTCGGGCGTCGGCGAAACCGTAGTAGTGACTGGTCCAGTAGCTACAGGTCCAACCTGATCCCAGAGAAACGCCAATACTTGGTCAGAGAAGTCTCGATTGACTGAAGTAGCTGTTGGGGCTGCTGAGACATTGTAGACCTTGGAGCTGTATCCAGATGCTGTACCAAAATTCAAGACGCCAGCATTATTATAAGAAGCAGCTAGCGACAGGGAAGCTAAAGCCAATTTGAGAGCGGAGAGGAGCACGCCATGCTGAGCGTAGGAGCTTAGTATAGTCATCCTGTTGGCAGTGGCAAACAGAAGAGCGAAGACTGCGGGAAAAGAAAGGGTAGGCTTCTAGCAAGCAGCATCAGCTAAGGCTTTATTCGTTGTGGCTTCCAAAACGACTCAGACTTTTTGATCAACTCATCTCTCGTTCCCGGGAACACACACCTTGGCACTTTATGTAGCATGGCTAACGCGGGGAACTTATACCAAAACGAAGGGACAGCTGCAAGAGCTGCTCTGAGACTGGGGCCGTGATAGGACGGCAATGTTGTTTTGGGATGGAGCATGATCTCGGTAGGGCCGCCGAGCAACACGAGATGGGCAAGCTATGACGAACTCTGAGGTTTAGTGGGGAAATGTTGCGGGTAAATGGTACCTCAATTGCCAAATCCTGGATGAATCCACGTTCGCGGAGATTTAGCGCGTGCTTCCGTGTCTGATTTGGGTAGACCGCACACAGCGACCGGGTACAGAATCGAGGAATATGTCGCTCATGGATCTTGTAGCTGACTTGCATGAACGGGTTAGGCGGCCGTCTTTCCTGTAGATCTGTTGGCTTGGCCACTAGAAGTGGTGCAATTGGGTATTGGTGGAGTATTTGGAGATGCGTTGTTGGGATGCATCCAAGCGACATCCTCAGCTTGTAGGCCTCCGAAGCCAGGCATCATCGAATTGTGAGAGAGGAATGTTCACATCAGAAAGGCCGCGTGTGGAAGATGGTAGAGAATGGGTGCATTCAGAACAGTTCACCTTGAAGGCAACACTGCTTGTTCTTAGGACATCTTGGTGTATTTGTCTAGGTGGATCAAGACCACGTCTTAATCGTAGCTCTAAGTACTTACCACGCCGATTCAATGGCGGAATGCCCCAAGCTCCCGTCTCCTGCAGTTCGTTAGCACGTTGGTATAGAAATTTTACTCAGTCGTGCTCACCACCAAGTCCTGAAGCCCACAGTACCAACATCAATGCCAAGCTCCTTGAGAGCACCAGTATCGAGATGGCAATCATATGGCCTCTTGACTCCATCCTGATGGTCTTCTGTGGGCTTGAATGACTCCATGTTCTCAAGCGGCAGGCCCAGAATATCCGCAAGCTCCTGCACAATCTCCCATTTCGTCATCTTATCCTCTGACGAGAATTGTAGTATGGTAGGCAGATCCTTCTTGTTTCCCGGCTCCAGATAAAGCTTGCTAATGTCCAGGCAGACGCGGGCCACATCCTGCGTGTTTGTGGGGAAGCGCTGAGCATAGTCGTCGACTTTGATCTTGGGATAAGTGGGGCTCAGCTCTTGCGAGGACCATATCTGCTTCATGAGGATATTCACGGCACTCTCAGATGGCTCGCAAGACCCGTACAATATTGGAACGCGGAGAACGACGCTGAGAACGGGGCTACCGCCATGTGTGCCCTGTGCCGTTATCTTGTTTGTAGCTTCCAGCACAGCCTTCTCGCCGTCGAGCTTCGTTTGGCCGTATACGTTTGGAGGATCGGGTTTGGAGGTGGGTGTGTAAGGTGCTTCGCCAGGAGCTCCGGAGAACACATAGTCGGTAGAGATGTAGATGAGGAAGATGCCGCGAGAGGAGGTCGCTGTCGCAAGGCCGCTGGAGGCCGTCACGTTAAGAGCGCGGGCCGCGTCAGGATCGGAGGTACAGGAGTCTGGGAAGCGGTTTGCTGCGCCTGAGATAGCCCGTAGAGTCAGCTACATCATCCCGAGGGCTTTTGATGGCGGAGGTTCACGACGCGATGGGGGAGGGAGGACGGCTCACAGTGGACGACGACATCTGGCCTTGAGAGACGGGCAGGTCAGCCAGCTGGCATCACTCTCATGGGCATCACATACTTGACTTCGTCTAGAACTCTCTCGACATCGCCCTTGCTGAGGATGTCAAGCTTGACAATGGCCGGTGGGTTCACTCGTGTGAGCCCGGTGCCTACAGCTTTCCAGCCGTCGCGATCGAAGGCTTCCACGACCTTGCGGCCTAGCAAGCCCGAAGCTTTGCGGCATCAGTAGAGTAACGGCAGCGTGTTCCATGACCTACGTACCGCCAGTGATGAGAGCAGTCTTCATATTGGGTGTCTTTGCTTCGTGCGAGCCGGACCCGCGACGCATTTCATCAAGCGGCATCAACAGCGAGATGCAACGTCATCGGAATGTGCACATGTTGGCAGCCTAGGCCTGTTCTCTTCTTCAAAGTCCCACACAAGGTGAGAGCATCAATGAAAAGATGGGTTGAGGAGATATCTCACTCGAGGTGTGTTTCCAAAAATTCCCTGCCGATCCGAAGACCAACAGGAGCGGTCATAGTTGTAGTTTTCAACTAGCAAAAACACGGTCTCGGACGAATCCTCACTGACACGCGTATGCCCTTGCTGCGGAGACGTTAGCAGATGGAATGGCGGTGGCTGCTTGGGGTTGGGGAAGAAACTTACCACTAGGATGAGGAAAGAAATGGGACGAGGGCGAGCTGGCCTTTTATTTTGAAAATTCGCCAAGCGTTTTAGCGTTTCTCGGCGGCTGCCTGGCGAAAGCCCCGATCGCCGGCAGCACGTGATTCAGAGTCGAGCTCTGGCCATACTTCACCCAACGAAAGTCCACCCCTGCCACTCTGCCAAACGCGGCTCTCCCAAACTTCATCCATGGAATTGATGCACTCTTACGAGACGTTCCAGGCATATTCCAAATTGGTCCGTGCCAACGGTTGAACTTTCCAGACGAAGCAAAGGGCTCCACCACCTCGTCCTTGGAATGCGCCTCGAAGGTCACATAGCATAATACCTAAAGATGCCCTTCGATTTCCCCTGTCTCACATTCTCTTGACCATGCCGCTCTCTCCCGCCGTATCCTGTCATGTCTGCGGAATTACAGATCACCTTTCCCAATGCGAAAATTGCAAACTTGTCTCCTACTGCGGATCTTATCATCGGATGCAGGACGAGGTCGACGGCAAACATATCCGACTATGCTCCCGGATCAAAAATGCCCAGCATCTAAGTGATCTTGCCAGCGGAGAGAAAAGGCTCACTAACAAGCAGCTCAAGCGCCTTGTTCCAGCTCTTATGAAAATCGGTAGCTTCGCTACCCTGCAACTTGCTGTGGACCTCTCTGCGCACGTTTCATAATCTGTTCTATTCTATTCATTCAAAAAACCAACTTATCAACCTTGAGCACGCGAATGGCTAACGAATTTACAGCACCCACTCTGATTCCAGCGCTCTCCCATTCCCACTCCTACTCTCGTGCCTTCGCCGGGCTTGCGCTGCTGCCGCAGCAGACTGCAACGCAAACAAGTGTCTCGCCCGCGGGGAATGCCCAACCGCATACGCCCCATCACCGTACACATTGCTTCTCCTCCCTCCCCAATGCCATTCCGGCCTTGTGCTCTCCTCACTGCCACTCCCGTCGTAGACGTTGTTGCACTCGAAATATGCATCGTCGCTCCTGGGAACCTCCCCCGCTCCAGACATGTTCGGCAAATCAAAATCTAAAGTCTGCGTGCTGGTAGAAGACGACATCACCTCGATGTCCCCGTGCCTCCAGACTTGCTCCTGCAATCCCTGGCTTTGCTCCCAGTGGTCCTGTACCTGGTCACGCAGCGTCTGGATATGGCCTCGCATCTCTCGAAAGGCACGTGCCCATGCTGCTTCGATGGCATGGAGGTGGCGGGCCTTGCGCATGGCTTCGTTCACCCGGAAGCCCGGGAAGAAAGTGGGTATTGGTGCTGGCGCATAGTCCTCGAGTCGAGGCAAGTTGGCAGTGTGAAGGGCAGGGAGATGGGGACGGGTACGATTCAAGTCGCTGGGCGGTGGTGGTGGTAGTGGCGTGGGACGAGGAGGGGGACGGCCACGAGGGCGGGGGGGGGGGGGTGGCTGATGCTTACCACGAGAGTAACGCTGTGCGGTAAGCTGGGGTAGGGCTTGGTAGAGGACGAGGAAGAAGGCGAGGAGAAAGGGGACTAGGACGTAGGAGGACGGTGGGTAGGTAGGGAAGGATGAGGGATGAGGCATGGTGCCGTTTGTTGGGAGGGAAGGGTTGAAGAATATTCAGCGCGTTCGAATACAGAAAAAAGGTAGAGTAAGGTGTTGATATATATGGGTCGAAACTTGACAGCCGTTTGTGGGTATGTGCTGGCTTCATCTTACACTATCTCGCTGATGTGTTGGAGAGGGTGATTGAAGGGCAAACGAGAAGTTCAACATGAGGTCGTGATCTGGATCTGGTCACGAGCGTTGTCGTTTGTACGTCGACGACGGGAGATCGAGCGATCTCAAAACTGTAAACCCTTGTAAGTGCACCGAGAAGAGAGTATCATGACGGATTGAGCTAACGATGAGTGAAATAGCCACCACAGGAGCAGAAAAAAAAAACCAACATCTGCATAGACTCTAGACGACAGCGAAACGATAACACAAAAGAATATCTAAAGAGCAAAACACCACCTTCCTCGGGGGAAGGTGTAGAAACCCGGGCGTTTCTCCGTGACGATGGACTTACGTTTCCGCGCTGCGCGGCCTTTCGGGTGATTCTTCGGGAAACAGCCATAGTTAAGTCAATTCCTGACAAGGGCTGGATTCGAACTCACAACCCCTGCAGGTTGTCGTTGGGGGGCGGTGCCCGGAAGGGGCACCTGTTTTGCGCAGGGTTATTACCGCTGCGCCCGACCGGCCTGCTGCTCGAATTAGCTGTATGGAGCTCAGAAATTTTCGGTATATAAGGATCCACTGCGGAAGTGAGGTCATGTTTACGGTTGCTGGTGGAACTTGTTGGGATTTCTCTTGCCCCCAACACCTTACCACTATCTCGCTACCTTTTTTTCTCTACCCGACTCACTTTGAAGCATCCATTATCATCTTTTCTCCTTACTTGTATAGCAAGGCCAATCATTAAACGCCCAACCTACTCCCATCTCACCTCACATCGCCTACGCCGGCCTCGCTCCCAACTCTTCTCTCACCATCTCCCGCAACCTCGGAATCTCAAACACGACAAACAATACTCCCTCATCACCGATCAACTCTCCACCAACTTTATTCCACCTCCGCGCCCCTCCACAAATGTGGCCAAATCATGGACCAACAGCACCTTCGCTTCTAGCCCTCCTTCCGCTCCTCGCCAATCCCCTGAGACCTATCGTCCCCCATCTCCAGGGCGTTTTTCCCGTAGTCCTTTCGTTAGGTTGCGCAGACCGTGCCGTTTGGCAGTTTTCCTTTCTTCCCGACAGGGATGTACAAGATTCCGAGTGCTTGGGGAATGAGAGGCTTGAAGGACTGTCCGCGCCCTTCGAGGCAGACGAGGCCGTAAACGGTGGCGATGCCGTGGGTTGATTTAATATAGTGGGTGCAGAGATCCGCGAGGGTGGTCGCTGCTGGATGAGAGCGAAATATGGGGACGATATCTGCGAACCGGTGACCGGGCCGGACGGCCAGCGTACGTTACTACTCTAGAGTGGATGACGTCTAGATCTGGGCCCGATGAAGTCATAGCGGGCTGGTGTGTTTGAGGGTTCTGAATGGCTATGAGGAGTTTTGGGCTGCTTTTGGAGAGACTCAAGGTCACGATCCTCGTGCTGCTGGTCAAGATGGCGGTTTGTATGAATCTTGCAAGACCTAAAGTATTTGACACTGTCATCAATACGTGGGTCGGATTTACACGGGCATTCTGCTAAATTCTGCTTCTGATCACTACTGTTAAGCGGTCATGTTCATTCCTTGTCTAATCCTCAGCCGGGGGGTCTGCCTAGGTGTACTACGGCTTTATTGCTGTGATGTTACGTCAACGGCCCGCTTCAAAGTTGTAATTTGAAGGTGCTAGATCTGTAGATAACATTTTGGACATCAAAGATAACATTCGAAGGCACTCCCATGTTTTTCCTCCCCTCGTCTCAAGTTTCCAGTCTCGGTGATTGCCCTAGTTTCAAGCCCTCACTTCTCTTGATCAATTTCTTTACTAAAGCCGTTCGACCTCGGATCTTGCATCTCGCGCGCTACTTCGTCATTGAGATGTTCATTATAGTTGGTAGTCAACGACGAAGCGACGATTGCGAGACAGCCGAACGCAACGACCGCGTACCAGACATACCTAACATATAGGTCAGTATTAGAATCTCCTCCATGTTACTCATAGGACAGATCGCTTAACTGAACGACCGCGCGGAAGCCTCCGCCATTGCTGCCTCAACCGCCAGGGTGATACCTGGCGTGATCCCCGGCACATTCGTAAAATTGCCCGTCGCCGTATCCATCAACAGCGTCGGGATCGAAGACGCCGGTAGTACATTTTTCAGAGCTGCTTGCGACACCAAAGCAGGCGTGATACTAGCCAGTTTGCTATTCAGAATAGCAACATAGATGGCCGTCGCACACATCGCAGCCGTACTCCTGACAGATCCGAGCGCGCCCAACGCCGCACCCAGATCCTCAGGCGGACAGCTCAGCGGCGTCAGCACCACAGCGATACACTCGATCACCCCAATACACCAACACGCCGTAAGCATAAGGCCACAGTCCAGTGACACGCTCCCAGGACCAACGGCAATCATCGCGCCCGCCATCGCGGTGAGCAGACAGCACGTGAAGAAGAGCAGGCCGCGCTGGTACGAAATCCAATGTAGCATGGGGCCTGCCATGAATTGGCCGAGCTGCGTGCCAGTACCAACCATCGAGGCGAGCAGGGCTTGGTGGATCGGGCTGCCGCCTAAGAGGCTGGCGATTTGGGACGGCCAGAGGATGATCATCGAGTAGTACACACAACTGCCGACGGAGGCGGCGCTGATGATGGCGGCGAAGCCCCGGGATTTGAAGAGATGCATGGGGAGGAGGGGGTCGCCTTGTGGTAGATGTCGTAGATTGTGAAGACTATTATGCACAAGGTACCGACCACGATTGTGGCGATGACGTGGGCAGATTTCCAGGGGTAGGCGCCTGTAGAGGTGTGCTGTAAGTACCATTCGTGGAAAGGTGGCGAGAGAATATATGCGGAGCAATTGGAATGGAAAAGCAAAGTGTGCTTACTGCCGCCCCAGTTCAGCCCGGTCAAAAGCAGAATGAGTCCGAGAACGTAAAAGGACAGGCCAACGAAGTCGAGGCGTTTGATTTGTTGCCATTTAGTGCGATTGGTATGCAGTAGTTGGAAATTTGGAGGATGGTAGCAAATGAAGAGCAGGATAAAAACAAGCCCTATCAAGAGTGTTAGTGGACTGAATAGATAAAATCGCCTGAGTTTATTCGATGCCGAGACTCACCGGATACGATGAGGCCTAGGTAGAAGGCCCATCGTCATTGAAGGACGGTGTCTGTTCTTAACGCCGCTGCGATAGGAGCTCCGAATCCGATAGTTGGGAGCGCTGAAGCGAAGATCAAGCTGCACCAAAACTCAGGTTGAAAATTGATGTGAACTCTGTCTTATTTCGGGGGCCCGAAGGCCAAACTATATACTACGTAGGAAGTGACTGTATGCATAGGCAGAAGCACTAATTGGAGGCAGCAGTAGGCAGCATTAGGCAGGGTAGGCCACCGTACCCCAACCCCTCTCTGTAGAAGTTGTAACTGGCTAGGCATGTAGGCAGCTACTATGCCAGCAACTCCAAGTCTGTACGTAGGTGACCGTGAACCGTATGAGTTGTTGATCCTAGGTTGTAGCTGTTACAACCCGAGTCCAAAGGTCTCTGTGATTATTCGGAACGACTGCCAGGTATTAGTGCGAGAGAACTAGCCTTGTGGATGGTTCATTGGAGGAATCTTACGCTCGCAGACAGCCGCTGCAAAAGATATCTAGATCGCAGCTCCGAGCCCACTACAAGGTCATAAAATCAGCCATTGTTATGGAAGGTACCTCATGCTCTCAAACTCACTTGAAGACGTTTCCTCCGACGATAGTATTGACAGTCTTCGCCGTGGCTCCCATAATAGTTCCAATTATGGCGAAGGCATTGCCGATAATGAAGAACCACTACGTGATCGTACCATTAGCAGGCGAGGATTCCAACCGGAGAGCGTGAGGAAGCCTTACCCTTCTCGCAAAGATATCCGAGAACCTGCCAACCAAAAGAAACGAGACAGATAATGATAACGTATACGCAAGTGGAACCCAAAGCAGATTCGAGGAAGGGCCGATGTCCTGATTGATCTGGGTTAGCGAGAGGACGTAGCCTAGATTGGCGCTGTTGTATCTCAGGCACAAGGCAAGGATGAGCCCTAGAAACGCCAGTTCTTCCAGTATCCGGGGCCTACGTTGGTGCCTAGGGCGTCCTCGGAGATATCGAAAGTATCCGTGTGGACAGCGACGTGCTCTACTGGTTTGTGGACCGATATCTGGTCGATGTACTCGGTCTGGCTAATCGTCTTCTCGACATTGTCGGAAGTTGTCATGGTGGGAGCAGAGGTCAATTTCAGGGGTATGGATGAAGCTGAGGAATGGGATGCGAGCTCTAGGGGCGAGGGATTCTTTCTATGGAATATATCTCGTTGGCTGGATGTCTAGACCTCTCCCAATGGATGAAAAATGCGAGGAAGAACAACCCGAGGGTTTGGAAATATCAAAGAAAAGGAGGGCTAGATGTGCTAGTGCAGTTAGAAGAGGCTTGAAAACATCCACAAGCACTGATAGGCAGAGCTTAGCGTAAGGAGAGTGGTGAAAAACCTTGGAAATGTAGGGAAAGCTAGCCCAGCTGCATGGTCTTGGGAGTGACTAGATACACATCGATGTTAGCAGATATAGAATCGCATCTCGTAAAACTCTTTTAGCGAGTATCCTGCTGATGTGTGAGCCAGGGGTAGTAAAGGGTCTGATGGGAGTGGTCCGGCTGGTCAAAAAGTTGAACTACTATCGTCGAAGCAACTCCATCTGTACTAGTACATTGATAGGGAATGGTTAGCCAGAATTCAGCTGAAGTATGGTTCTTTACGCATGGCCACAAGATCTGGGGAGTGCGGGGAAAACCTAGGGAAGAGGCGGAGGCGTCGCAATTTTGATTCGTGGCTTCGCGGAACATCGACACGAGCTCGTACAGCTTTGATGGCGTTCTAGTAGTTAGGCTCCCATTACGATTTAGCGTAATGAATCATTAGAACGACTTCGCCTTAGAAAGGTCCTTCTGTCGATGCGGTCTCACGTTAAATGGAGCATGCTGGCAAACGGGAGGATGGGTAGCGATCTCAGTCAAAAGACGGGATTTCTACTGAACCTCTTTATTCGGCAACGGATCACGTGTATTATCGACATCACTTCACTCGTATGGTCTCGCCCTCGATTTTAGGGAAGGCATTAGCTTTTGAAAATCGCGGAATTCTCTGGAAATCTAAGACAGACTTACTCTATGAAAGATTAACGATGTTGAGTCTGCTGGTACCTAAGGGCATCCCACTCGTTCAACGAACCTCAAAAGAAGTCCAAGAGAGACCTATGGCAAGATGTGAGAAGCAAAGAGCAGCGCTCGATTCTTTTCTTATCGGCGATTGAATCATGCTTCGAGAAGAGGTTGAGAACCAGAGGATAGGAGGTCAGTTGAGGAAAAGACAAGGGAGTACTTTGGTAGCTAGGGGGTAACTATGGGGGCCAGCAAGAGGGGGATCGGTTCAGATAGGAATCTATGTCCAGGTCTAAACGTCTCATGCTCAAGATGTACTCCAGATCTAGAAACCCTTCCGAACTTCCGCCACCATGTATTTGCGAATCCGACCTTGACACAACGGATCATGAGAACAAGAAGTGGTGAAAGCAGAATTGTGAGGCAGCTTATCCCGCTAAAGGTCCGTGGACAGTCGTCCATATCTACTTAGGACATCCCCACGAGCTTTCTCATATGTAGACGAGATGCCAAGGTCGATGTGGTGGAAGCTGAGCTACCTTTTGACTGACTGGCAAACTGGCAGCTGGCCACTCCTGACAGAGATTTTCAGCAAGCAAAAGTGTTAATCATGGTCCCAACGTTCTGACCTGAGATAATATAGGTCCAATAGTCCTCTCCAATGACCAGTCCACTTCATTTCCTCTTCCGTTCACCAGACCCACCTCACTGCTACATTCACTACATTCAACTACACCACACTCTTAAAAACTCACCCCCGCAGGTTTTTCTTCTTCTCCTCGCCGTTTCCTCGCGTTGAAAGCCGTAACCGACACCTCTTGGAGCAAAGGCTAATCGCTAAAGCAAGCGCAACGAACAGCACCTTCCTACTAGCTCACTCCTCTTCCAACAACAATGCCGACCAACATCTTCTCCCCACTTGACGCCTCTCCGCCCGACTCCGCACCATCCGGCCCATTCAGTGCTCGCCTTCGCGCCGCTGCGACCCCTCGAGGTGCTGGTACCATCGATCTGTCTCGCGTCCCTGCTGGAGCTCGTCATCGCTCCGCTCGAGGTGCTGTCCAAGATGCTCCCTCAAATAAAGCGCAAGACATGCGCGAAGCTCCGCCTGGTCGAGATCGTTCCTTGCCAACAAGCCCCGTAGACAACGACTTCCCCGGCGCCCTTAGCCCTGACGGTATCCCCAAGAACTACCAACACCCCACTCTAGGTGTTTTCCAGGCTCCTCGAGTGACCCCAGCGCAAGGTACGGACGTGAACTTGCCTGGCCGATATTCGATCTTGCTAACAACGCCTCTTAGACTATGCCACCCCCGATCACTCTAAGCCCTATGGCGTCCCCGTAGCTGCCCTACAAAACGTACGTCAAGACGTTCCCCTATACGGCGGCCAGTATGGCACTGGCCGCCGTGGCTTCTACAAATCGTCTCCTAAGTCCGCCACTAAGTCTGCTACCCAGTCTGACCCTAAGCCTGCGCTTCAGCTCGGTGCACCAGTCGTCCCTCGCATGGCGTCTAGTGCCACGAGCCAGCCTGGCGAGCTCCAGGAAGCCGAAGGTACACGTAAAATCTCTTGAATCCTACCTAATTTGCAGGCGAATTCGCTAACGCTATTCACAGAGCCCGCAGACATGCAAGTCGCCTACACGGCGTGGGGCGAGGCCTACATGACGCCCACACCACGCCCTCGACCCCTCACTCCAGGCGAGACGATTCCACGCGCTCCGGAGGAGAAGTTTCGGAGCAGCGATAGGGCGGAGTTAGAGCATCTGCTTTCTTGGATACGGGAGCGTTGAGGTGGTAGGGATATTCAGGGGAGTGAATGGGTGGTCAAGGAACGAAGGCCAGAGGCCCAATTTGGGGAGGGTTTGGCGATGTGATAGGGAAGAGCCTCTATATCAGGCTGTCGACGGAATGGCAGCTAGGGCCCTTTGAATTAGGCACATCATGAGAAGGTTTGATAATGCCTATGAGGCCAATTTGCGCCCTTTAAGTAGTCCGCGTGAAAGGGAATATTGATGTAAAGATCGTGAGACTGTGAAATGAGATTGTGGAATATAGGTGTAGAATATAGAAGTCAATTCTTGAGGCGCGGAATCGAGACTGTGATAGAGAAGGTCTGACGTAGTGTTATAAATACAGAGACACCACAGAGCCTTTCGAGGGCTGAAATCCATGTAAATTTTGGAGACTGAAAATTAATTTGTATATTTATAATTTATATTAGATATATTATGCGTAATAAAAAATCGAGACCGTGGAATGAAGGACAAAATGGACATAGTTGCGCTGAGCCTTTGAAAATAGACTTTGACATCGAGGTTTTGACGAAAAAGTAAAGACATCGAACCACCCCTGAACCTTCCTAATGAAATTCGACATCGATATAATTCCTCGAAACTTCAAATCAGGCTTTGAGATTTACACACTATCTGAAACTCACTAGGAGACCCTGGTGGGACCTACACTCGCTGCAAATGCTTGTGCTTTCAACCTAACTCAACGTGCGGCAGCGCAGATGATGGAGATAGGGTATTCTTATCCATCTAAAGCTCTACCCTACTGCTAGCTCGATGCTAGCGCTCATGAATAGATCCCGTCAGTCTGTAGAGAGATGCAGCGCTCAAGTCTTGTGGAGTGGAGTTGAGAACAGGGGGCGCCCTGGCGCCCGGAGCTGTCTCCACAACTACTCGTCATGTTTACGGTCCGCAACATTGCGACGAGAAGCCGACACTTTCGCAACTCCAACATTGCCTCCCGCGTCCATACTTTCCCCCACAATCCACGGATTCACCTATACCTACGCTAATCTCCACATCTGTCAATGGCTATCACCCGATCTGAACTCCCAAGGCTACACGCCGAGGTCGCGTTGGAGCAGCTTCCATGCTTCCAGTAGTATTCACACTTTAAGCAGACCAAATGCCGATTCGTAGGCTGCAGGTCGATATAAACCATTTGGTCGATTGATAGTCAAAATTGGCTACGCGTTACGTCCGCAGTTGTCCATGCAAAGCTGCTAATAGAATGTTATACGCTACTCAAATCATATGATCTCCTTAGGAGTAGTCCCCGCAACCTTCGCATCAAACGTCATACATTCCTCTAGGCCAGCCACCTCGAACAAGTCCTTAATACGTCCCGCACCATTCCCGCCGTGTACGAAGAACCCTTTCTCCTTGAGCTCCACCGCCGCCCGCTTGACCGAGTTATACACCTCCGTCATAGCCAAACAAGGCCAAATTACAATCCTAAAACCCGCTTCCCTCGCGCCTGTCGCACTCATCTGCGGCGTGACGCCTCCTTCGACAACGTTGACCAAGCATGGCGTCGGCGCGAGCGCTTCGCAGACCAGCTTCCCCTGCTCCTCCGTCGTAAAGCCCTCCAGGAACGCGACATCTGCACCTGCTTCAACTGCACCCTTCAGCCTCTTCACCGCCTCGTCGAACCCTAAGCTCTGCAGCGCATTGCTGCGCGGTATAATCACCAGGTCCCTCCCTGTTTCCCCCCGCGCCAGTACCGCTGCTCTGATTCGAGCCAGATACTCCTCCGTAGACACTAGCAGCTTGCCCTGCAGATGTCCGTACCGCTTGGTGATGGCCTAGTCTTCGAGATGCAGTGCTGCGATGTTGGAGTTGATGTAGGCCTTGGCTGTGCGCGCGACAGAAAGCGGCCCGCCGAAGCCGGTGTCCGCGTCTGCGATAACGGGAACAGAGGAGTCGAGGGGACGCGATCGTAGCTGCGTTAGAGGGAGGTTCCTGCTCCTGTCTGTTCACGATGAGATGTTAGCTTTGCTTACTTACAAGCCTCAGCATGGTAGCAGCTAGCAAGTGAGAAAATGAAAAATACTTACCATATAAAGGACCTCATGCCCGGCATCCAATCCATCATACACTCCGGGACAGATGATCAGCTTTTCGGGATCATGTATCATATCCCTTAGGATATTAGCCGCCGGCCTCCATGGTGTCTTGGTGGTTCCGTTTCTCGCAGACATGACGCAGAGTATTCTAGTCGGCTACGAAGTTGTGGTGAAAGTCTGCTTGAACCCAATGTAGAGCAGTTTTTAAGTAATGGGCCCAAGTCGGAACCATGACAGCGTATAGTTTACATCATTCTAATCCATCTCGACCCGAAGTCAGCAGTTGTTGGCACATGATGTGGAGGTTAAGCAAGCCGTCGGGAGTGCTGCTGTACCCCGCGTCGTCCATTTTCCCTAGGTTCCATCTACCCGCCTCCTTACGACAGTACTTCGAAGATAGGTCCAATCATCTACCACCTTGTTACAAAAGCTTAGAATGCCCTTTTTATGCTTCAATATACCTTTAAAATGTGAGTCATACTACACACCGTGTCGAGAGAACCTTAATCCCAACAACGGAGCTTGCATAGCTACAGGCATACCAATAGGCTCGCTGGAAAGCTCAAATGGCTCTGTTGGCCCATCGTCTAGCTCTTTCTTTTTCGAGCCTCTATCGAGAAGCAGCAAGAGGTCTTGATGATCAGAGGCCGAAGCCATGTCGTAGGGCGTCTTGCCTTGTGTATTTGCTTGGAAGGGGTCTGCACCTCGTTCGCACAGGAACGAAGTCACGGTAGTGCGGAGATTCATATCCCACCTGTATGAGCCCGTCCAAAAAGTGACAGCCTGATGAAGCACCGTTGCACCGGACGTCCCGAACGGCGCATTGACGTCCCATCCGTGCTTGAGCAAGATGCTCAGGATTGCAACTATCCGATTTGGAGCATGTTCCTTCTCAGTCTCCGACATGGTTTTTTTCAACCATGAGCGATTCATTAGTTGCTCAGCCAAAGTCGACCATGAATCTGGCTCAGACGGTTTGGCGCCATTCGCAATCAGAAATTCAACCATATCCACTTGTCGAGCGCCAACGGCAAATTTCAAGGGCGTCAGGCTTGTTGAGTATCCATATGGGGCTTCGTTGATGTTAAAACTTGAGCCTAGGAGGCGCCGCGCCATATCAATCTCGCCGAAGAGTGCAGCGAAGTGCAACGCTGTTACACGTTCTGGACGGACCCGTTTGCGCAACTGCGACCGCCAAAAGTCTTTCTTCCTGTTGAGAAGACTGGCGAAAGCTGAATGATCACCCTCGCAGACAGCGTCTTCGATTCGATCTTTAGGTTGACATCCGATCTTATCGAGTATTTCCTTCCGAGACAGGGTTTTGCCCTTGATGGTTTCACTTGCCTCTGGAGGTTCGCCCAGGCTCAGAGCTGCGGTACCAGGTGTTCCCGAGTTTGTAGAGTCATCTTGATTCGCTCTCTCCTTCTCCGTAGCTCTCGACTCGCTTCTCTCCCCTGCCGACGAAAGAGATGTCACCGTGACAGACTGCAGATCTTCCAAACCCACAGCATTTGACGGGACACGTTGGTGTGATTGTCGGAGATTAGCAACTGGCGATTGGGTGATCATCGTAGATACGGGGCCGTAACGATGAGTCTCCAAGGGCCACGCGAGAGAAGATGCAGAGAGCCTGTTTTGAATGCGATTCACCGCCAGATCTGAGTTTTCAGCCGTCGTCTGAGTCAGTAGTGGAGAGGATTCAAGATGGTCCACCTTCGTCCCCAGTGAATCTTCGACCATTCTCAAAATGTCGCCTCTGCGTTCTTCTGGGATCATGGCGAGACATGATTTAGCACGAGCGCGGTTGTTGAGCAGGACGTATATGTGTGCCATGAGCGCCGTTGACTCCAACGAGGCGTCGCTCCGCTTACCCAATAAACGCCTTCGGGCTTGTAAGGCTTTCTCACATTCAGATCGTGCGCGGTCGACCTGGCCTATCCGGATGTACAAAAGCGACAGCAGGTGCGCGACGTCGTAAATGCACCCGCGTTGTTCATCGGAGCTCGCTGGCTGTTGGACTAGGCTCATGAGAGCTTCTTCGGCATCGGCAGGCTCTTGCGTGTGATACGCACAGACAGCAAGTTTATACTGTAGACCGAAAATGTCGCAGAATGCTCTTTGCTGCTTCGGAAGCTGCTGTAGCATTCGTAGAGCTTCTTGAAGAAGAGAATCGGCCTCCTCCCACTCTTGCGCTTCGAAAGCTTTCGTGCCGGTGTCTAGCGCTGCTTTCGTAAGGTCGGTGTCCAGATCATCGTCAGAGTCGTTCCCTACTCCATCGGCACTCTCGCGTTCCTGCACAACACTCTGTGCAGAAGTGGCGCTCATCATGACGGTATGCGCTCCGTCCTCAGAAAAGATAGAAGGGACATTAGAGGCCATGTCTGAGGGATCCGAGCGTCGCTGGTCCCGGCGTATAAACTCCAGAGTACTCACCCACTCGGCAACGCGGATGTTGCTATTTGCTGCTCCCTGGCCACCAGCGACGGACTCTGCAGCGAGACTCGCCTCGTACATGGTCGTACCTTTCGCGATAAGTTCACGCGCACATTGCAATAGAGTGGCCTCAGCATGAAAAGATCGCGAGTTCCGATTGGGTTCCGACGATCTCTGCAGCTTCTCAACCAAATCTTGCAGCTTGTCTAGTTCTTTCGCAAGCCCCCGATCTGCTCGAGATGGTGCAATGTGCGCGAGTACCCTGCAGGTGAGGTCAGCTTTGTCAAACGTCAATGAGAAACGAGGCTCACGTATTGATCAACAACAGTGTAGTACGCAAGTTGTCGGTGTGCCTACAAACCTTTGTCCGGAGGCTTGTAATCTGGTCCTTGATTTTGTCCAGCTTCCACTGACGCTGAGCATTACTGATGAAACTGGACTCTTCCCCTCTGGCACTTCTGACAAACAGCTCCAGCTCTTGCATTGTTCGACTGGTATCCTCTACTTGCGTGGCAAGACAATTCCACAGCCTGCCATCGATATCATAAGGCGGAGGTGATCCTGTCTCGCTCTTGCTTACTACTTCTTCCAACTCAGCATATACAAGGTCGCATTCATTGCCAAGCGACTTGACCTCCTCTGCCAGATCCTTGACCGTGGTATCGACGATTCTGGCGTCCTGATCGGGCCTCGAAAGGGAGATTCCTAGCCTCCAAGCTGCTTTGCTCAGCGTAAGGACGGCAGAGGCTGTGCCCAAAGCTGTAAGCGGGGTAATCACCATAGCTGCTAATTGATGCGCGCACTGTAGTGAATAGGCTATGGCAATACACTCCAGAATGCGGGATGAATCCAAATCAGATAACGCAAGACTCAAAACCCGCGAATTGCTAGCTACGACAGAGAGAGAGATTATGGCTAACGAGGGGGTAGCTGACAAACACCCGCAGTTAGCCCAGCAAGTATCTGCAGACGCACCGCGTTCACGTCTGCGCCTTATCAGGCGGTATCACATTACTTCGTAAGTGGCGCACGCATCATGCATGCTCCGCCTCGGGACGGGAAGTCTAGATTATGCCGTCTGCTCCAAAGAGACGACGCATACAGCAAGGCTGAAGTGCAGCCTTGCGCACGTAAAGTCGTTATCCTTCGCTGAAGACTGCCATGAAACGTCTAAACACTGCCACCAAAATACTCGCAAGAGCCTGGGGAGTGGAACGATACTAAACTCGAGTAGGTTATCTCTTACACAGTAGCGTCCAGATCGGTCGGCAAGGTAGGGAACGAGTGTAGCAGTCGCCCTCCAGGATACGCCACGAAACACGCTTGCAGCCCTCTAGTTATGTGGCTGCGGTTAAATATAGTACAGATATCTGATCGGCTCAGCCTTCATTTCACTTTCCCATCTTCCGCTCGTTATTTTGTTTCAAAAGCGTTCCTCGAGCATCACCATCTTGCATCGAGCGGCATCGACAACCCTATCCGTCCTCAATAAGGAGCTATCCTTGTACCAATTGCGCCGTTACTCAATCAATAAGTAGTATTCTCACGACTCTGGTACTCCATGGCGGAAGCTAGGAAAGGTCCAGCGACCACGAACACGCAATCGCCAGCTCACCTTGTCGAACGCAAGGAAGTCGAAATACCCACAGGATGGAAGTACAAAAGCTCGAAACTCGGGCCCATCACCTTTCCTTGGTATGCCTCACCTGAGTCGCAGTTGATCTTGGTGTCGTTCGTCTGCTTCCTATGTCCAGGTAAGGCTGTGCAACACAACGTCGTGCTTTAGAACGCTGACCATGTAAAGGCATGTTCAATGCCCTCAACGGCCTTGGTGGTGGAGGGCAGCTTAGCAAAAACGCTTATGCTAATGACGCCTCCAACTCCGCACTCTACGCTACTTTCGCGGTTGTCGGTTTCTTCGCTGGCACCGTTACTAACGTCCTTGGCATTAGAATTGCGCTCTCATTTGGTGGCCTCGGATATTGTGTCTACGTTAGCTCATATCTATGCTATAAGCACACTCAAAACTTTGGCTACATTGTCTTCGCCGGCTGCTTGCTTGGATGCTGTGCAGGCATTCTCTGGTCTGCGCAAGGCGCGATTATAATGTCGTACCCCCCGGAGAAACTAAAAGGCCGATTCATTTCCTGGTTCTGGATCATCTTTAATATGGGCGCTGTCATCGGTAGTCTGGTGAGCTGAAGTAGTTCAAATGGAATCAAGACACAGGAAGCTAACTCCGACGCTAGGTTGAACTTGGCCTGAACTTCCACAATCAAAACAACGACACTGTCAGCGATGGCACCTATGTCGGCTTCTTAGTCCTCACATTCCTTGGAGCCTGCCTATCCTGGACACTGGTTGATGCGAAGCATGTCGTGCGCCGTGATGGGTCTAGAATCATTCTAATGAAGCACCCGACGTGGAAATCGGAGATACTCGGCCTTTGGCAGACACTTTGGAGTGATCCCTACATCATACTCCTCTTTCCGATGTTCTTCGCCTCCAACTGGTTTTACACATACCAATTCCAGGACGTTAACCTCGTGCGGTTCGGCACGCGTACTCGCGCACTCAACAACACGCTTTACTGGCTAGCTCAGATATTTGGGGCTCTCGTCTTCGGCTTCGCACTGGACTTCCCTTATGTCAGAAGGACTACACGAGCAAAGGCTGCTTGGGTTGTCATGTTTGTCCTCACCTTCGCGATCTGGGGCGGGGGGTATGTTTTCCAGAGGAAATACACTCGCAAGGAAACCAAGCCGGATAATCACTTTGTATACGACTGGAACTCAAAGGGCTATATTGGACCGATGTTCTTGTACATCTTCTACGGCTTCTACGACGCAGCATGGCAGACGTGCGTATATTGGTAAGCAACTTTATGTCGGCGTGCTAATTAGCCTTTGCTAACCCAAAGTCAGGTTTATGGGCGCAATCAGCAACAACAGTCGCAAGCTCGCCAACTTCGCGGGCTTCTACAAGGGCATTCAGTCAGCCGGCGCGGCTATCATCTGGCGCTTGGATGGGTTGGGGAACCCTCCACCATATATGAACCTGTTCGCTTCGTGCTGGATTCTGCTTGCCGGCAGCTTGGTTATTGCGCTCCCGGTTATGCTTCTGAAGATCAAGGATACCGTGCCAGTTGAGGAAGACCTCAAATTCACTGATGAGACTATCGAGGACGTCATCGGCCACGAAGTCATTTATGACTCCCCTGAGCGGGAGAAGGGTTGAGTGGTTGTCTTCAGGTCGTTGATGATTTTTTGGGATCTTGTCGTTACTTTTACTACTTGCGTGTGAGGCGTTATTACGAGTACGATGTTCCAAAAGCGCTGCTGGGCTACAAGGGCACGGGAACGGCCGAAGGGCGGAAATCTCTAGTCTGAGCACTTCATGATTAGGACTTCCGTGGTAATTAAGTGTTAGATAATGGCATGGGTAGTATTTAATGCAATTCTGGTAATCTATCAGCACGCTTTCGTAACAAGAGGCTGAATGCACATGGCGTCTGTCTCTTACTACTGCGATCCACCGCCATCGTACGGTGGATGCGCTTCTCGACTGCTTTGGCTAGGGACATAAGAAATGGAAACACTTGAAGCTTTACCAACACAGTACATGTGAATCATCACTCGAAAATAGTGTTATGTGGCAGATTTACCAACCAATTTCTCCTTCTTGTAACAGGCAGTTGCTGCTTCACCTTAAGGTAGCTAGTTTTCCTTATATCATTCTGGTTTTGCCTCTGCCTGATCTACCAACATATCTCTGCCTTCGCCCGGCGCAAGTACATCAGCTTCATCACTCGACGATTCACTCGAGCTGCCGGGGCGTACCGTGCGCTTCCGAATCTTATTGTGCTGGTTCGCCGAGCTTGAGTCACTCGACGATCCGCTCGAGCTGCGGGAGCGTACTGTGCGCTTCCGAATCTTACTGGGCTTCTTTGTCGGGTTTGAATCACTCGATGATCCACTCGAGCTGCGGGAGCGTACTGTGTCGGGCTTCTGGGTCCTATCCTGCTGGCTTGCCGGGCTTATCAAACTAACGATGAGGCCCTTAATTTCATTGTTGTCATGCGCTAGTCGCCGTATGGATTCGTTCGTATACATAGCGATATCGTTAAGCTGGCTCAACCGGGACTCAAGTTTGACGTTCTCTTGCACCAAGCCGCGAACTAGGATTTCCTGGCTACTAGCTATTCTAGCGAGATGTCAATTGATCTGACTTCAGGCTGGTATGTGAACTTACGAATTTGCAAGGGCAATCTGGTGGAACAATAGTCGCGATCGAATGATTTCCCTTTGCTGGATCTTCTCCAAGACCTTCTTTCTTGCCCCATACCAGCGAATCATTGTTGGGGTTGCCCCAAGGCTGAGCACCGATATCGTAATCGCCCAGCCTATCGATAGGATTGGACGACTGTCAATGAATTCAATCATGGGCTTGATATGTTTCTCAATTTTTCTTAATCCCCATGTTTTTCGACGCTGCGGTTGCTGCCATCTCTGTTGGGCCTCGTTCACCTCCTTCACCACGTCCTTCCAGGTCGTACTAGTACTTTCGCTAGGTCGCGAACCCAATTGCATTTGATCCAAATCCATGCCAAAAACAGTCATACACTGAGCAAGAATGGCGAGCTCGATTGAATATAGTTCTGACACAAGTCTTGTCAGCCGACTAGAATCAGGGTCGTCACCTGCCAGGCCTCCGTGCGCTATAGCTCTGCTCTCCTCGACGGTAGCTGTGACGGACTCAAGAATGGTAAGAATTTCCTCCTGCCCACTCCGTAAGGTGTTGTACCGAACATATACAAATGCACATATCGCCGCAATGAAGGTGAGAATGCCGGTGATGCTGGCGGTGATCGATAGCGGGCTATCCTGCATTTTGGCCGCGCGTAGTGCTATATGAAGACACGAAGATATGTCTTAATGTCTATATCATGCCGCTCGTGCTAGATACAAGAAATCCTGTGATGGCAATATTTGGTGTTGAATCTTTCGTGGCCTTCAGCCGCTTTTGCTTCTGTAGTGATGCTTAACGCTAAACCAAATGTGGAATAGTTATCTCCAGCCTCGAGGTGAAGACAAGTAAGCAAGTAACACGTGACTTTTATGTACTGTGATATGTTCTATACACCACTATCACTATAAATAACGACGGTTTCTGTACTTTGTCATCAATGGGGCCCTAACTAACGTGTTCTACATGCATGTGGTGGTTACAAGCGAGTGGTGGCGCTTAATTTTTGGTGCGATTTGGACGTTTTGACACCCCAGCAATCTCAACAACCATAAAGTATTAAATAAGATTATATGAATGCATATAGTATTTAGCTCATTTCAATGGCTAGGCAATAGTTTGGAGTGATGTGTCTCTGTAATTCTATTATATCGTAGATCTTACCCAATGCTAGGGGGCCAAAACTCTACTATAACTAAATGTGGCCATCAAGAGACCCTAAAAATTTGTCTTATAATATTGAAACAGCTATGCATATCTTTATTCTAAGTTATAGATTCAAATCTTTTATAGTTGTTGAGGTTGCTGGGGTGTCAAAACGTCCAAATCGCACCAAAAATTAAGCGCCACCACTCGCTTGTAACCACCACATGCATGTAGAACACGTTATTGTAGCTTTCATAGAAGAGACGTAGTAGGTCTGTGCTTAAGCGAGCTTCAGGTCGATGTCAAGCAAGGTTCTTTTCACGACACGCGCCTTATCAGCTAGTTGTGATCAAGTCGCATTCAAGGTTAACGTTTGAGGAGATTATTATGCGGACAAACGCAATTCTGTTCAGACACGCCCACTGCTGGAATCTCTTAAGCAAGCGAACCATAGCAACCCAAGACACCCACTCTCCTCAACCGGTCTCACGACCGTTGCATCCTGGTAGAATTACCCCAGCCCAAAGCATTGTTCATGTTGCTCATTCGTTCAGATCTGAAATATAGTGATGACCTCTTTAATTATACTCGAGGCCGCCTCGTTTGTGACGAAGGATATGAGATGTCGCAACGCCATGTCCGTTTCAATGTTAACGAGCTAGCTCGTCTCGCCGCCGAAGCTATGGGAGCAAAATCATGCGTCAGCATTGAAAAGTATCCTGATGGCATGTGCAATAAGAGTATGCTTCTCAGACTGGATAATGGCTCTCAAGTGGTGGCTAAAGTTCCAAATCCAAATGCTGGCTTGCCTCATTCTACCACTGCAAGCGAAGTTGCGACAATGGATTTCGTACGTTTCATCCTAGGAGGTATTACATCCAGCTATTCAAATTGACGTATCTTAGGCAAGGAATGTCCTCGGAATTCCTGTTCCTAGAGTCTTGGCCTGGAGTTCCAAAGCCCAGGAGAATCCCGTTGGTGCAGAATATATCATCATGGAGAAGGTTTCAGGGATCGAACTGGAGCGCGTTTGGCCAAGTATGAATATCAAAGACAGACTTGCCGTTGTCAAGACCATTGCTGGTTTCCAGAAAGCCTGGACCTCGGTTTCCTTCAAGAAGTTTGGGAGTCTATACTACTCGAAAGATTTGGACGAGCCAACTGGAAGCGAGCCGCTGTACGTCGATGCCAATGGCATCGATATCACAGATGAGAACATCGCTGTTGGCCCATCTCAAGGACGCGAATTAATTGACAACGGAAGAGCGACTATCAACTTTGACAGAGGACCATGTAAGATTTCCGTCTTTAAGAAGGAGCTCCTTTGACTAACAAGCCCAAGGGCGCTCTTTGGAGGAACATCACACCGCAATTGGGCATCGAGAAATAGCCTGCGTTAGCAAGCTGACTCACCTACCCAAGTCTCCAATAACCCTTTGCGGACCGGGAACCTACCAACCAACGAGACAAAAAAAGCTTAGGGCATTGAACTGCTATCTCAAGTTGATTAAATTCCTCCTCCCTACGGATCGAGCTATTTCATCAGCACATCTCTGGCATGGCGACCTACACGTTGCTAACATCTTCGTCAACCCTTCTGAGCCTACCAAAGTGGTGGGCCTTATAGATTGGCAATCCACCGAAATATCCCCTCTTTACTTCCACGCACGCCAACCTCAAATCATCGATTACGATGGTCCGCCTGTCTACGGTTTAGAGCGGCCACAGCCAGCAAAGGATATAGAAAAGCTTGAGGCGAACGCAAAGAAGCATGCAGAAGCCTTATATTTACAGCAATCACTCTGTTCTCTCTACAACACCCTGACTCACTATCAAAATCCACAACTTTATGCTGCGCTCGAATTCCAGCAAACGATGAGCTACCTGCTTCTACTCCTACCGCGTAATCTCCTTATTGACGGCGAGGCGACGTACCTCTTGCAAGTGGCTGAGTTAGAGGCCACATGGGACACCCTCCCTGGAGCTCAAGGCTCAACTTATCCTTTCTCCTTCTCAGCAAAAGAGCGGGAAGAGATAGAGGCTGAGGTTGAGGGCGTGGTACGCGGTATGGAAGCAATGCGTTCAATTAGGGAAAGCATCGGTGAGCTATTTCCTGGGCAGGGAATAGTGAGGCCAGACCAATATGAAGAGACTCTGGACGCATTAGCGCAGATGAGGGACCAGGTTATCAAGAAATTCGCCAAGACTGAGCCTGAGAGAGAGGCGTGGCAGAAAGCGTGGCCGTTCGGACCTTGAAGGCCATGGTGCTGGAATCAGTTGATCCGTGAGATACATTGCAAATGATGCCTGTAATAGTACACCTTTTAGTATATCACATTAAATGGCTATTGGTATCATTAGTTTATATAAAGAGCCGATCGTTCGATGCCTCGTCACCATGAATAGAGCGTACCTTATGCTTTACATTATTTTCAGAATAAGTTGTACGACGCATTACATGGAGAACATGTATGTTGTTCTTGTGCATGGAGGTCACTTTTTGAGCTGCCGATAGGGTAGATGCGTTTCTCGAATGCTTTGGCTTGGAACATAAGATACGGAAAGACTTGAAGTCTTATAGACAATATATGACTCCTCACACGAGGTGTTCTGGAGTAGTTTTACCGACCACTTCTCCTTTTTGTAACGGGCAGTCGCTGCTTCCTCTTGAAGGTAGTTACTTTTCCTTGTATCATCTAGCTTTGCTTCTGCTTAATGCACTAACATATCTCTGCCTTCGCCCGGCGCAAGCACATGAGGTTAATCACTCGACGATCCACTCGAGCTACGGGAGTGTACAGTGCCCGGCTTCTGGGTTCTATCGTGCTGGTTTGCCGGGTCTGAATCATTCAATGATCCGCTCGAGCTACGGAAGTGCACTGTGTCGGGCTTTTGGGTCCTATCCTGCTGGTACGCCGAGTTTATCAAAGTAAGGATGAGACCCTTGATTTCATCGTTATCATGCGCCACTCGCTCTACACATTGGTTTGTATGTGCAGCGATATTACTCAGCATGCTCAGCCTGGACTCAAGTTTAGAGTTCTCTTCCAGCAAGTCGCGAACCATCATTTCCTGATTTCTAGCAATCCTAGCGAGATGTTAGTTGATCCGACTGAGGCGGACATGTAAACTCACGAATTTGCAACGATAATCTGGTGGTTTGCAATGGAAATCTGGTGGAACAGTAGTCGCGATCGAATGATTTCCCTTTGCTGAATCATCTCGAAGACCTTTTTTCGTGCCCTGTACCAGCGAATCATTGTTGGGGTTGCCCCAAGGCTGAGCACCGATATCGTAATCGCCCAGCCTGTTGGATAGCTATCAACGAGATCAATTACGGGCCTGAAGTATTTCTCAGTTACTCTTAATCCATATCGTCTTCGACGCTGCTGTTGCTGCCATCTCTTTTGGGCGTCATCCACCTCCTTCACCACGTCCTTCCAGGTCGCACTAGTACTAGTACTTCCGCTAGGTCGCGAGCCCAATTGCAGTTTCCCCAAATCCTTGCCGAATACGATCGTACACTGAGCAAGAATGTCGGTCTCGGTTGAATATAGTTCTGACACAAGTTTTTTCAACCGACTAGAATCAGGGTCGTCACCAGGCTGCGTGGCTGGCCCTGACAGCGCTATAGCTCGACTCTCCTCGATTGTTGCTGTGACTGAATCGATGATAGTGCCAATTTCCATCCCACCATTCCGTAAGGTATTGTACCGGACGTAGATAAACGCACATATCGCCGCAATGAAGGTGAGAATGCCGGTGATGCTAGCGGTGATCGATAGCGGGCTATCCTGCATTTTGACCCCGTGTAGTGCTATAAGAAGACACGAAGATATGTTTTACTGTCTAAATAAATTATGCCGCTCGTGCCAGATACAAGAAATCCTGTGATGGCAGTATTTGGTGTTGAATCTTTCGTGGCCTTCAGCCGCTTTTGCTTCTGTAGTGATGCCTAACGCTAAACCAAATGTGGAATAGCTTTCAATACCTCAAAGTGAAGGCAAGCGGCAAGCGACTATATCTCTACAGTAAAACCATGGTAATAGCATTAGTGTAGAAGAATATTTTCTATAGAGTAATATGGGTCGCCTAGGTGTAAGATCTGCCATCAGCTCTCGGTGGTGTCGTAGTAGGTGAATCTCCGATGTACCTTTTCATCACACACAAGCCCAAAAAAGCCCAAAAAGGCCCAAAATACACACAACAGCGAGAACGGGAACTCACTAGTGGTCACCCACCTAATTACTAATCCGGCGGTTGGTAGCTTCAGTCTAGTAATGTGGTAGTGATGCGGTAAATAACCTTGCGGATCATGAATTGAGATAGGTAAATATAGGTAAGTTAGCTATAGAACTGTCCCATATCAAAGGTGTTTCCATCCGTTCTCCACCAAAACTTGCATTTCGTTAATCAGACAGTATGTCCCTACCTCCCTATTCTCCGCTACATCAACCGCTTCCCATCTTTTCAATCTTCGGGCAACAACAAAGCTCTCTACCATGCGTCGCGGCATGCCAACGAACCACGTGCATCAAAGCTTCCAGATTCCTTTTATGCGTTGACTGGGCGCAGACCACGAGATGAAGGAATTCACAGCCGAGTACGCTTCCGCATCGTAACCCACCCTAGCATTCGGAGTAAGAAACACGCCTTTTGCAGTACTTAGAGGGTTATCTGCGTGTACAAGACAGCACTCAGAGGCTTCTAAGTGCAGTTCGGCTAGTTGGTCGGGGATGCCTCGGAATCGTAGCGGAGTGCTCGCGTAGAATGGCTCTGCATTTATAGCAACCATCCCGTTCCAGCAGGACTGAATTGGAACAGGTTTATTGGATATAAGGGCGTGGCGAAAAGTATGCGATAAGAAGTATGGCCATGTCTGTGTAAGGGCCCTAGCGCCAGAGATATCCCGGAGAGCAAAGGTGTCATAGTAGCGGGGAGGTTTAGAAAAGTCTAGGGAGCACGCTGCTGCGTACTCGCCGGCATTTGCTGATAAGAGTGTGACTACGTCTTCAGTCTGTTCTGCATTAGGACTCTTCTCTACAACACGGCGGGGGAGTAGCCAGACCGTGAACATGACATCATTGAGCCACAGAACCTTATCGAAGTGTTGGTCTGTGTCCTTGAACGTCTCCTGCATAACTTTGTTTCGTAGATTTGCCAAGTATGGTATCCGGCGGAGCTCTTTCTTTTCTCGCGGTGTCCATATCCAGCCTGCCTCGCCGGGAGACGGTACCCGCGATATCTCATCTTCATGCGTTGTATCTTCCAAGATAATTGAGTGTGCAACGTTTAGCTGCGCCAACTGGGCATCCAACTCCTGTAATGCGCCTTTGCTATTATCCCAACTTCCGCTTTCGAGTACCCCCACAAAAACATTTTGGGGACCAAGATGCTGTACGAGGTCAAGGACTGCCTGGTTCCAGTGTGATCTTAATATCCTCTCATTAATCCAATGTATGCTTGCCATGAATATCCGCTTATTTGAAGGGTGTGAAGGATGCGAGACGCGGTGTGGCCTGCCGGAAAACATCAAGTAAAACGTATCAAATACGAGAAACAAGGCGATAGCGATGGGCAGGAATTTTGCACATTTTCGTCGATAGCGACGTGCGTTACGTAGGATACTGGGTAGCATCGCCGGATATCAAGTGCGGCGTGCGGAGGCATCAAGGTGTTGCATGTCGAGAAAAGGGGGTGACGAGGTGGCGGAGGAGGAGAAGACGACACCACGCCCAGCACCTCAATAGCAATAAAAGGCGACAGACTGCGTGTGATCAGCTCGCGCGCCATATTTGAAGGGGCGTTTCATATGGGTTAAGGGCTATAAGGGCGACGTGGGATCCGTGTTGAGGCATGCTTGGCACATTCCTCACCTGCCCAAGTCCCCAATAACTCTTTGCGGCCCGGACACCCACCAACCGACGAGAGTGAAAAAAGCTCAGTGCCTTGCACTGCTACCTGAAGTTGATCAGATTCCTCCTCCCTCCGACTAGAGATTGAACTTTAGACCCGAGTTATCAAGGGAATTGGATATATTACTTTGGTGGTAGCGGGGCTACCACAAAAAGATAGTAGAGTTGAAAAATGAGGGTTAGTCAGTCATAGATGACAGATGAAAATGCAATAAGGTACTGTTTTCTTTGTTGTTGAAGTATAGGCTAGGTGGGTCTAGATCTGCGGCTTCTCCACAATTCCATCCCGCTGATATACAAATAGCAACACGCAACGCCAGATGTGCCGGTATGTATGCATTGAAAGTGATCTAAAGGAGAAAAGTCGTGGATCTACCAGGAAGCCTGACCTACTGGAGGCGAACCTTGGAAGAGACGTTATTGACCCGCTGACCCTTGAAGAATACCTCAAATTCCAGCTGCGGGAACTTAATGTCGATCTCATATTCAATGAGATACCATATCCCTTGATCATTCCTGAATTTCCGAAACTCAGCATCCGGATTCCTGTCCGTGAAATCCGTTCTGATCTCCGCGGCGCACTGGATGAGACTATGCTGGAGGCCTTGATCGAAAAAATGGTGTTGATAGTGTATGCCCCACTCAACTGTGTCCAAACCTCGATCATCCTCGTACATATATATTTTCCCCGATGGGTCCAGTTGCAAGTCCGCATCAGCCGACCAGAGCTTATCCACTAGTACGAGCGAGCCAACGTGGTCGAATTTGACCATTTTGGAAGTCTGGATAGAGAACTTTTGGTCTGGTTGAAGTTGCATTCCAGCACTGAGTACCTTTCGAACGCCATAGGCGCAGCGATCTTGATCTGGACATTGCAATCGGAAGCGTTCCGGGTGAATGCCTGGGATGAAGAATTCTGCGACGGAGAGGTAGTAGCTCTGCTGAGAGAATACGGAGCATTTCGGCAGGATGTCGGAGTTGAAGCTGGTCAATCTGTCCGTGATTCCGGCAGCGACCAAACCCTTAACGATAGCTGCCTCGCTATCCATCGGTCGCACAACGGTACAAGCGTTCCATGGCACATGCATTTTGATCTGCTGAAAGAGATATTCAGAAGAACCGAAAGTGCCGCCGATGAGCATGTACTATTGCGAAGAGTTAGATAGCCGCTGATAAAGGGGCGTGGTATTGTACGTTACCTTTAAATTGATGTTGCATGCTTGGATAGCGATGATTTGATTATTGATCAAGCTAAAGATTCTCTCGACGACAGGCTCGAAGGATGCAAGGATCTCTTCATTTGTGAACGTCATGTATCCCTCCTCGATGCCTGCTTCGGGAAATTCAGCCTCAATCCCGACATCGGCCGCCCATTTCTGACCGTTGTTCCTGAAATCGGTCCTGATACGGTTTTCAAACTCCATGATAGACTTTGCGTAGATCTTGCCAGCAGTCTTAGATCCATCTGGCAGTCCCATTTTACGGATTTTACCTCGCAGGATGTTGGAGAAGTTCCGATTTACCGCGTTAGATCTAGATGAATTCTCTGTTAATAGACGGCTTGTGCGGCCAGTGACTGTTTACTCACCCGCAAGCATCACCACTACTGCCCGTACACTCCTGAACCCTGAACGGAGACTCGCTGCGTAATTCCAATGCAACAAGGTCGACAAAACTCGCACCACAATCTACGATTAGTACTGCGTCATGCTGCTTCAGATTGAGTAAGCCAGTTTTGAAACAGAAATGTGCTGACGCTTCAGGACCCGACATGAGAGTTACCCGGGGATCGTTCACATCTTGCACGTATCCAGCATGCACAATAGCCCTTCTGAAAGCCGTTTTTGCACCCTCGTTCCATATAGGAGGATGAGAGAAGTAGTATCGAACGATTGATGCATCGTTAGGGATTCTCGGACCGAGCGATTTCACTAAGGATGCGAGAGTTGCTTCGCGCAGGCGGGAAAGATAATCGCCTACTACTTCCACAGCAGACTTTCCAGCTGGAAGGGGCGGCATGGATTTTGCATCGAGGTAGGGGTTCCCGCCTTCTAATTGCAGATACACATGAAACCATTCTACTTTAGTTGTTACGCCTCTGGGATATCTAGTTCGCTCGATGGCGTCGGCAGTGTCCGGGCCCCAGCCGATGACGTTCGAGTAGGTGTCGTAGTATATCGACGAGGGAATCCTGGGCTATTGTTTCGTTAGCTAAGAGTCGTTAGCCAGTCGAGACGCCCTTAGAGCATACTTTTGTATGGTGCCCAGCTCCTGGCCACTCCGTTATGATATCTTCTCTAGCTTCGGTGTTGGTTGCATATGCGAAGGCTACCGACGAGGTCGCAGGTCCGAGGTCGATACCAATTATCAGTTCGGCTTTTGAACTGGCCAACGAGCTTTGATAGGTCTGTGAAGGCGGCAGAAATTGAATTGGAGGCGAGCTCCCGCCATTCTTTGTGACCCAATGCGTCGCCGCAGGCGCTACCACCTGCGATGCCGGTGAAAGTCGATTCGATGAGGCGTCCCGATCGTTCTTTGTGACCCATTGTACTGGTGACGTTACGGCTGACGGCAGCTGTGAGACATTTGAAGAAGTGTTACTTGGCGGATGGTATGAGGCAGGTCGCGTAGATGGCGGGGCTTGTGAAAGGACAGCCGATGGCATATTTGTAGCGGATGGCGATCGCGCATGTGAGTTGTGTGGATTAAGATAAGGATTAGGAGATGACGAAAGCGTTGAAGTGGATGGCGATCGTACATTCGGATTATATGGGTTGAGGTAAGGATTAGAAGAGGACAATGATTCCGGCGACTGGGCCTGTGAAGAAGGATTTGGACTGCCAGAAAGCGTACGGGATGAACTTGGCGGCTTATATCCAGACCGGATAGGTTGGGGTTGCACCAATCTGGCTGGTGAAGGTTGACGAAGAGGAGGAGATGTTGGCCCAGTCGACCTTGTAGATATTAAATCTGGGGTGTGAACTGTCCCACCAGCCCACGATTTACCAGAGAACTCCGTGGGGGAACTGTTTACGTGAGACGGCCCTAGATGGCTGCGGAGAGAATTCTTCGGCTCCTGCGCTGACGAAATCGGGAAGTTTCTTGCTGCGCTGGTCGTCTCAGCCACTTTGTCCTCTTGAACAAGATCGCGCAAAGGCCTTGCCAGGTATTGGAGAAACCCAGCGTCAACTTCGACATCGTAGTTTCCAGGTAAGAAGCCGCGACAGCCCTCAGCTTCAGCCATGTCACCCTTTCTTTCGTGGATGAGTGCGAGAAGTGCCATGGATTCATGAAATGGTGCACTTTCTTTACCACCCAGCCTCCGCCTTCCCATCAACGCCTTCTTGCAGTATCGTATAGCGGCGTCATGTGCGTCGCCTTGGAGCTTGAGTAGAGCTAGGGCATGGAGGCCGTCGTATGCCATCGGCTCGTTGACTTTCTTAAGGGCAGTGAGGCTAGCAAGAACATTTTCAGCGTCTCTCCATCGTGCTTGTTTGCCATACGCGTATGCTTGCATCAACCTAATCTTGGATATTCCTCCTGGTAGTTCGTCTGTTGAACGGCTTACAACTTTGCTGAAGAATCTTTCAGCATTCGGATAATCTCCAGCCGTGAAACTTGATATAGCGAGGTCATTGAAGTTCTTGACAAAGTCCCTTTCCATATCGGAATCCGGGTCGGAGTCTTCTAACTCAGCATCATCGGTCGTGCCGCTGACTGATTCATTGGCTTCTGTTCCTTCTTCTTCAATCGTTGGGGGTGGTATCCAGTTTTCAATGCGCTGGGCTTGATCATCGCTCAATGGATCGCCGTAGACAGAACCGCCCCACACCGTACCTTCGCCTACAACTGTGCTGGCACTAAAATGGAATGATTCTGCAACACGAACAAAGTGTCTCAAGTTACGTGAGATGCGATCATTATCCTCTTGCACATCGGAAGAAGGTAGCTCGGAAGAATCGTTTCGAGACTGAACGGCAACTTCTACTCTGCCGATTTGAATTTTTAGGTCTCCAAGGACCCGAGACATTGATTCCTGGGACGAGCCGCTCTTAAGCAACAGGAGTCTGGAACGATATGAGCACTTGAATGAGAATATACGCGTATATATGGGACCATGGTAATCAAAGTGCTTACACATTGATCATTTGGAAGGCGGATTGCATTGCACTGTTATGGGAATGTATCTGCTGCCGGAAGGCCGTGATATCTTTCATCATCATGTTCAGCTTTATCGACATCGTTGGCTTCCGAAGGAACCCTCTCCCCAAGAAGCTGGTCTTCTGCACCTCTACGAGCCTCTTGTCCAGTTTTCCCAGCGTAATCTGGCAGTCGTCCAGCGACCCTCGGACAGTAATCCATAGATCCCGATCTCCATTTGTTTGTGTAGTCACAAGCAGCGGATTCTGCTTCCAGGATTGGCCGATTGCATTGAGGGCGCGTTGAAGGCCATTGATCTCTTCGCATAGGCCGGCTACGCTATCGTCGACTCCTCGGGCGTCGTCTATAAAGGTGTAGAGTATACCGGAAACCTGTTCACTTGAAATCAGTTTGACGTTCAACACGGGAGGACCGCCGTGAATACTGACTTTGATACAGAGACCGGCGATGCCTGCAGCGGACGATGCAATGGACAAGGGATCCATCGCAGCATTCCAGCAGCGGGGCTTTTGGCAGAGGACGAGATGTCCACGATATGGCTACAAGAGCCGCCTTTAACGGCAGCCATGAGGGGCGCTTCCAGACCGCGAGGCTGAGTTCTCGGTTGTCTTCTGCCTTTCCAGTTAGAATGCCTAGGCACATGAAGTTGAGATGCTACCTACGGCATACTGTACATCTTTATCCACTGCAGCATCCCGTACATCGCGTCTCTCTCGACGCGTATCTGAAACTCTTCTAGGGCACGCCTGAGATACTTCATTTCTAGGCACCCAACCTTCTCCCCCGCTCACCATGATTCAGAAGCCATTTAAACCACCGCTGTTGATCAGAAAGCAGGCCGATGCTCCCCGACTAGAGCCCAAACCCGCCGCAGATGCAGAACCTCCCTCCAAGAAGCGACGCATCTCCTCGAATGACGACGGTAGCCAGTTCGATGCTATCCCTATAGCTCAGCCAAGGCCACATAACCCCGTCAACTCAGCCCGAAAGCCATTGGTTCCGGTCCGCAATCCTTCGAGCTCGAGCAGCGCTCAAGCAAAGCCGTCTGGAGGGGTAGAGGGATACTACGTAGTCCTATGGCGCAAGTTCACAATGAAGAAGAACAAGACCTGGGACGGCGACGGAGTCCTTGCTGTGTTCAATGGATATGCCTATCTCCAAGACATCTCTGGAAGGGAGCTTGGGAAGACCGCCTGTACCTCGCCATTACTACCAGGCTCTACCCTTTCCGTAGGAGGAAAAGACGTCGAGGTTGACTCTTTGATATCGAAGGAAGACTTTCTTGCTGGCAAGCCCTTTTTAGGCAAAGCTTCGAAGGCCCCAGCGCCAGAGCCAGAACCGAAACCACTCGCGAAACCGAAGCTCAAAGTGAAAGAGGAGAAGATAGCGGCTCGTCAAGTAGAGGTCCTCAATGTTGCAGCTCCAGCCAGCAAAGCTACCCAAAGCCATTTCAAGAATCCTTTGCTCTCCAGTACTGTCATGGCGCAGCCTGTCAACAAGGAGATTCCTCTTCCTCGGCATGATCCAAGCGCAGAAAACGCCCTCACCATGAGAAGGCCGACTTTACGTCCCCAGGGCAAGCAGATTGTGGATGTGGTGGTTGATCCTATTCTCTCCAAGCACCTCCGGGACCATCAACGTGAGGGTGTACAGTTCCTGTACGAGTGTGTGATGGGCATGAGATCGAACGGCGAAGGGGCCATACTTGCGGATGAGATGGGTCTCGGAAAGACTTTGCAAACCATCGGGCTACTATGGACTCTACTCAAGCAGAATCCAATCTACGGAGACGGCCCTGTGGTGAAAAAGGCACTCATTGTGTGTCCCGCTGGACTTCTCAACAACTGGCGGAGAGAGTTTCGGAAGTGGCTCGGAAATGAGAGAATTGGAGTCTTCGTTGTTGAAGGGAAGAATGTTCGCCTAACTGACTTCACTAAAGGAAAAGCATACAGCGTTATGATCATTGGCTATGAAATGCTTCGTAATGTGCAGGAACAGCTTAAGAAGGGCAGCGGGATCGATATCGTCATCGCTGATGAAGGCCATCGACTCAAGACCGCGAACAACAAGGCAATGCTGGCAATACAGTCCCTGAACACAGAACGAAGAATCATACTTTCAGGAACGCCATTGCAGAACGATTTGAGCGAGTTCTACACGGCTATCGACTTCGTCAACCCAGGCTTACTAGGAAAGCGGAATGTGTTCAAAAAGGAGTTTGAGAATCCGATTATGCGAGGCCGGCAACCTGAGGCAACGGCCAAGGATCATGAGAAAGGCGAAGCCCGATGGCAGGAACTCGTCTCAATTGCGGGCCAATTCATGATACGCCGCACTGCCGATGTGCTGGCGAAGTATCTGCCGCCCAAGAGCGAGTATATCTTGTTCTGCAAACCGACAGCTGTTCAGTCGACCGTCTACACGAACGTGCTGAAGTCTTCATTTTTCTCAGCAGCCCTTGGGAATACTGAAACCGCTCTACAACTCATCAATATCCTGAAGAAGGTCTGCAACAGCCCGACACTCCTCAAGGCTAAGCATGCCGACGACACTCCTTCAGAGATGCTGGCTAGTTTCACGGCTGCTATTGCACCCTCAGTACTCTCATCAAATCGGTGCAGCTCCAAAATTAGGGTCCTCGACGCTTTGCTACATCGAATCCATTCTAATACCGACGAGAAAGTTGTTATAGTCTCAAATTACACGTCCACACTAGATATCATCGGTCGCCTCCTTTCTTCTTTAGATTATGCGTTCCTCCGGCTGGATGGCTCCACTCCCGCCTCGAAACGCCAGGATCTCGTAGAACGCTTTAGCAGGACTAGTCAAAAGAACTGTTTCGCTTTTTTACTGTCCGCCAAATCCGGCGGTGTTGGCCTCAATTTGATTGGCGCCTCTCGACTCATTCTATTCGACTTGGATTGGAACCCCGCCACCGACCTCCAAGCTATGGCGAGGATACACCGCGATGGGCAGAAGAAACCATGCAAGATCTATCGTCTTCTTGTACAAGGCGCTTTAGACGAAAAGATATTCCAGCGACAAGTCACCAAGCAGGGTCTTGCGGACGCTGTCGTCGACAAAAAGGCCAGCACCTCGAGCTTCTCGCACGAGGAGCTAAGGAACTTGTTCAGCTTGGACGAAAAGGACCACTGCCAGACGCACGACCTGATCGGATGTACATGCGAGGGTAAAGGCCATGATGCCCCTATCGTGCCTATCACTCCCGCAGAAATAGTCTCAGACACCGAGCCTACAGATGCGGTTGATAGCGATGAGGAACTCCCCGATCTACCAACTCTGCTCAAAGCGTCTCAGGTCAACATGGAAGAGCAAGAACAGCGGCTGAAAGAGCAAAGAGAGGCGAGGACCAAGCTGACCGCCGACGGAAAGCCGAAATTGAGATCTCTCATGCAGTACCAGCACCTGGATCCGCGGTACCTGTCCCCGAAGAAAGCAGAGACAGGGCCGGAAGTAGCTATTCAAGAAGATCACGTCGATATCGAAACGCTGGTGGATGACGACATCTTGCTCGATGTCCTCAGAGCAGGAGATGAGCATTGCAGCATTGGCTTCGTTTTTGCCAAGATGTCGTCTTGATGTGCCAAGGCTAATGTAGTGTTCAGTATGTTTATGGCCTGGGACGGGTAATTCGCCTGCATTTTATTCACGGCAGACACGAAACCATGTGTAACTGATACCCTATAAATATATCAATGCAATATATACAGTGCTAGAGCATAGGTTTGTGAAAACTTCCTTCGTCGTCGAGTGTCTGATTCACTTCACGTCTTGTCTGGAATTCTGCAGATGGGCTGAAGTACCCCAAACAGTGGTAACGCTAGTTGATCTGCTGCCTTTTCGTTGATCGATTCTCGTTCGGTCGTTCTACTGCCTCGCGCGCCATCTCTCCAGACTCATGGTGGGTTTTTTACTTAGCACCACGTTCATTTGCGTACACTATTCTAGCACTGTCTGAAGTGCTTCAGCACACTTTCATAAATCCGAGTTAAGAGGTAAGCCATTCTCTTCACACGTCTAGACTATCATCACGTCACACAACTTCCCATCCCTCGTCATACTGTCTACACCGTGTTGGAAGTGTTAGTGGTGTTTCGACACGCTTTCAAGATCTTGAACCGTGGTTCGGGCCATCATTCTGAACAATCTAGAACCGCATGAGGCCACTTCTGACGGCGTAAATCAACACTGAGGATGGACGAAAGGGCACGCGTTGGAACACAGCCAAGACTATATATGAAGATGCGAGCGGAACTTTTAGGCCAGTCTACTACATTTTTCATAAAAACTTTCTGTGTACAATGGTTTACCGCCGTCTGACATGCTTCGAAGCACTATAACCAACCGCAAACCAACAGTTTTGACCAGCCTCATAACTCCAGGAGCCACCTCCAACGATGGTCACCACCACCTCTTCCGGCGACAGAAAGCGCGCACACACCCATAACATAAGCAGGTGCTCTCCCGTCGTCATCAACACACTTCCTTCTCCATCCTCCACAACTTCCACATCATCTCCAACTTCCAACGCCTCTCATCACACATCGCAAGCATGAACCCCCAAAATGACCCTCCATCGGCCCCCTCCAAGCCAACGAAGCACCAAAAACATGGCAAAAACCCCTTCTACGCCGGCCCTCCCGGCCAAACTACCAACAAAAGCGACAGCGCGCAGCCCACCCTGTCAATACCGCCTACCACCACGGCCCCCACCGCGTCTAACCGCGCCACAAAGCGTGCACGGGATGAGTTGGAGCCCAAGCCGTCGACTGACGACGATGAGAGCGAGCCCGATACCGAGCACTCCGTCTCTGAGCTGAACGGGCTGTCCAAACCCGATCTTGTCGCCCTGGTCCTCCGCCTGCAGCGGCATACACGGCGACTTGAAGGTGAGATCCGCACGGCGCTGGCGAAAGTGCCGTTAGGCGAGGACGAGTTGCGGCAGAAAGTCGAGGAGCTGCGAACGGAGATACGTACCGGGATCGCTGAGCAGATGAATGTACGTGTGGTTGCCACTGTATGAGGTCCTTCAGCAGGCTAACTGAGGTTGGATATGGCATAGTTTCCGGTGGCATTTGACGACGCGGTGTGGAGAGTGGAGGGGACGGTCGAGAGAGCGCGGGTGTGGGTGGCGGCGTTTGGGCCGCCTCGGCTGGGTTTCGAGCCGCTCAAGACGATGGTGATGGGGCTTGTGGTTCAGAGGGCGGAGGGCATGCTGAAGGTTATTGAGAGGGGATACGGGGTTGTTTGGAATGAGGGTGAGCGGAGGTATGCGATTAGGGGTAATTTTGCTCCGGTTTTGCCGGCGGCCGAGTAGGGCTGGGGGAGAATCGGAGGGGTGCGAGGGTGTGCAGGATAATATAAATTCAATGATGATTTGTAGACTGTGTGTGTACATCATGTGCTTTTGCCACTGCGTGAAGTCCTCCAGCATACTCAAAAAATTCTGAATAGGATGTAAAGTTCTCAACATCGCGATTCAGATCGGTTCTTATGATTTCCTATGACGCACCTCTACCACTGCGTGAAGTCTTCCAACGTGCTTTTCGAGTTTAGAGTAGAATGTAAAGTTTTGGAAAGCCCAAATCAAGCCCGCTATTAGAGCTCGAGTGTACACATTCTTACCACCGTGTGAAGTCCCCCAACATGGTTTTAGAGATCAAACTAGGATGTAAACGCTTCAACGTCGCATTTTGAGCCAACATGTTTTCGCCACTGCCTGGAGTCCCCCAACACCTTCACGAGATTCTAGACTGGATGCAAAATTCTCGACCGTGGATATCAAACTCCCATTCTGGCATGTACGTACCAGGCGCTTGCCCCAGCCTGGGGTCCTCTAGCACACTCAAGAGAAGCTGGACTGGATGCATAGTTCTCGACCGTGGATATCAGACTCGCATCTCCGCGTACATGAAGTCCTCCAGCATACTCAAGAAAATGCGAATCGGAAGTAACAGTCCCGAGCATGCAAATCGGACATGTAGTGGTCACTAGCGACTGCTATCATCAGGGTTGCTCCAGCGCGTTCTTCGGATCCGGCACAAGAAGCAGGAGCTTGAGCGTGTATATAGCGCCCATATTTCAGTATGATAACAAGCGCCTGCCGCCGTCCGAAGTCCTCCAACGCACTCTCCTGAATTCGAATAGGAAGTCAATGATCGCGCATGCAAATCAGACATGTGGCATACAAACGGAGACTTCCCGGAGCCCTAGTCATACACTCCACCTTCCAGGGAATCCTCATCCGTATCTGCACATTCCATAAGTCAAACGGCCGATCAGGCTACAGATCATCCTCGGAATCCTCAGGATCTTCACGCCAGTTAGTCGAATAACAAAAACCCAGTCTCGGATTCGGTGTCCTCACTCTCACCGTCTGTGCCCGAGCCGTCCTCCATGTCCGAGTCCCGCGTTGGGTTCTAATACACACGTCAGTACCTACACGACGTGTTTGTTGGATTAGATTTTAGCTTACCTCGCCCAGCCCACCGTCCGTGTTCTTGAGTTCCGGCAAGTCGTACACCTGTGCTGGGAGCTCAATGTCTTTCGGCGCGGTGATAATACCGAATTGGAGGACGCCAGAGAAATTGCGGCCCCAGTCGTTGGCGCCGTAGAAGCCGATGATTCGTTCATGGCGGCCGGGTTCTGCCAACAACATGTCAGCATTAGCGTGGGCTGAGTGGGCAAGAGAAGAGTAGAAGAATAGGCTGTTTACCCAACGTGAGAACGTTCGAACCCCCACGGGCATTCAGTTCGCCTTTCACATCGCCGTTGCTGAGATGCATCCGCACACCCGACATGACTCCCCAGTCGTCTTTGCGGTTGACTTCGATCTTCTTGATTTCTACATTTGGTGGGAGGTCGATGGCTTCGGAACTTCCGCCTCCTGACATTGATCGTGTTAATTTGGAAGTCGGGTTTGGGAGCGGAGATAGGTACCAAAGTGATGCTCATGGCCTCCCGGACTACGCATGGGCCCCCAATGCGATCTGTGGCCGTCTTCGTAGTAAACGACGCCGCCGTCCCAGATTGCCCCGACACGCATGTCGACTTTGACGGCTCGTGTTACTAGGCGAGCGCGTTAGAATGTTCTCACGGCAAATAGCACAAGGGGAAGCTATCTTACGGGTGCCATCGCTCTTCTTCTCATGAAGAAGCTGAGCCCACTCCCACACACGTTCATCCTCTGATCTGCTCTCAAACCGATCCCCGTACACACCCCTCTTGTAGAGCTTCAGCGAAGTGCCAGGCACGCGGACATACGACGTGCTCGAGAAGATCTTCCAAACGTTGCTGACGTTCCTCTCTTTGCCGTTCATCCCTAGTACGTGGAGCTTCAGATGCTCCGTACGATCAAAGCGCTTCTCGAGGTCTTCCATCGTGTACCGAAGAATCTTCATTGGCTCAGACACGGACGGATGGTCTTCCGTAGTATCATTGAATTGTATCCGCGCAATCCCAATTGCCGACTCGATACCAATCGCGGGTTTCAGATCTTCGTCATCCACGTACTCTAGTTGAACGTTGGGCAGGAGGTCTCGCATTTTCGCTGGTAGGATAGGATCGGAAGGCAGTCTGAAATGAGGCAGTGCTTTGAACGATAGCGCATCGATGAGGTTCCAGTGGGCATTGTTCGGTGTCTCAGCAGTAACCACCACACCTTCTGTCTTCTTGGCTGAGCAATATGCTGTACGAGGTAGAAAGTTCTTGGGCCAATCCTGAGCAAAACCACGTTCCATGATGCCGGGACGATGCGGTTGGCCGAAAGCATGTCCCACTTCATGGATATGTGCACCCTGGCCTATCGAGCACGCTTCCCACATGGTTCCACACTCGCCATTGTCATTGCCGACTTTGTCTCCCGGTGGTCTTGTATCTGTGAGACAGGCGGGGACCTCTTCAATGAAGCGCGGCCAAGAGTACGTGAGGTGACTTCCGAACATGCCTAAAGAGATACCGTCGGGATTGTGGCAACCCAAAGCAGCGTGGGCGAGAATGATCTTCTGGCTCGGTGAGTAGTGTGCATCGAGGATAAGACCAGCAACTACAGGGTGAGCGGAGGAGGTAAAAGGACCACCAGTTTCTTTCAATGCATCTAGGAAAAACTCGAAGAGGTCATGCTTGCGGCTGGCACTCGGGTTTTGTTGGGTGATGTTGGCACTTCGTAGTTCCTTCGTAGTCTTTGAGGACCTAATGATGTGAACCTTCGCAGTCGACCTCATAGCATTCTCGCTCTCGAGGTCGTCGTTATAAGTGGCTTGGAGAAAGTCGCGACTAAGGGTATCGACAGCCCACTCCTCATCGAAACGAAACGATCGGCGCCCAAGTCCTTTAGATCGCATGTCTTCTGCAGTGAGTGCTTGCCACATGTAAGCTGTCATACGCAGCTTTGATATAGCTCCGTCAAGGTCGGCATGCGCGGTAGAGTAAGCACCCCTCTTTACCGGAGGGCAGTCGATCAGAAGAGGAGAATCTTTTCCAACCATGATAGCGAGATGAAGGGGTGGAAATTGAAGAAGTGGAATATAAGTGACATTGAAAGAAACTTCAGCCAGAAACTCTCCATTGTGATGGTGCTTCAAGACGACCTTGTTCAGTCCAGGAGAGAGAATAATGAGAGCTCTGAAGTGGCCTTCAGCAGCAGGCCAATTTTGGACCGGAAAGGCATCAGATCCATAGGCAACAAGAGTTGAAATTGATATGAAGTCTTCCCCTTTGGTGAACGACTCGCATCGGCCTGAGATGAGTACACAGCGCTGGCGGACATGTAAGCAAGACACGCGGTCGCTATTTGGAGAGGGTACTGCGACTCATACCTGATGGACAGTCTCGCCGTCTTCAATGTTGTCTAGCCTCACGAACGATCGCTTAGGAGATCGCCTAGGAGGCATGCTGTTTCTGTACCTGTTCAAGACTTGGCACCCAAGAAACCAAGCAAAACGTGCGAGAATGTCCGCAACCACAAGAGTTATGACGCGGGTGGCAAACGAGCGTGGCGGTCGGGAGGTGTCCAGGACTGAGGGTGAACCAACACGACTTTAGTATGATAAGTTGATGTTTTGATAAGCCTGTAGATATAACGGCAAGGCGAAGTTATATACAGCGAAGGAGTCTTTCAGGAGGTCACACGAAGATCAGGCAGACACCGGTTTTAAGTCTAGCGTCGACGGTCGGGCGAATCCCTCCAGGCAGGCCAGGCAGGCAATCTCTAGACTAGCTACTTTGGACTGGAAATAGGCAAGCTTATCCCTAGGAGGTAGTTCTTATAGTGAACTGATCAATGCAAATTCTTGCAAGTGGTAGGCAGAAAGTGGCTCGAAAGAAGGGGCAGCCAGAACCGGCTCGGGCAGTTCGAACCGGCATCTAGAAGATTCTTGGCGCAATTTGTCAACCTCACCTCTCGTCGCGAGTCGTCTACAAAACCTCAGCGGCGCGACGACTGCAACGCCACCCACAACCGTTCTTCACGACGACCTCACCCTTCACCACCCATCTACTCTAGAGACCGTCATTATGGCTAACTATCTCGCTTCCATCTTCGGAACTGAGCAGGACAAGGTACGGCGCTCAACTCTCAGTCTCAAAATACCAACTAACACCCCACCCCCAGGTCAATTGTAGCTTCTACTACAAGATCGGCGCATGTCGCCACGGTGACCGCTGCTCGCGCAAGCACGTCAAACCCTCGTACTCGCAGACCATCCTCCTCCCCAACATGTACCAGAATCCAGCCTACGATCCCAAGAGCAAGATGAGCGCCGCGCAGCTGCAGATCCACTTCGACAACTTCTACGAGGATTTCTGGTGCGAGATGATCAAGTACGGCCTGATCGAGGAAGTTGTCGTGTGCGACAACAACAACGACCGTGAGTCCTCCCCTCCTCGAGTTTCATGAGCACAGGCTAACACGAACGTTACCTCAGATCTCATCGGCAACGTCTACGCACGCTTCAAGTACGAGGAAGACGCGCAGACGGCCTGCGACGCTCTCAACTCGCGCTGGTACGGCGGCCGCCCCATCTACTGCGAGCTGTCGCCGGTCACCGACTTCCGCGAGGCGTGCTGCCGCCTCAACAGCGGCGAGGGCTGCGTCCGCGGCGGCTTCTGCAACTTCATCCATCGCAAGGAACCAACCCCGGAGCTGGAGCGCGAGTTGGACATGGAGACTCGCAAGTGGCTGAAGGAACGTGGCCGAGATCCGCGCAGCGAGTCGAGGAGCCCGAGCCCCGGCGCTGCGAATGCTAGGCGGTAATTGTATCACTTGCGACACCACGGGCCGACTTTTTGCTTTTTGCTGCTTGAGTTGGGCTACTTGTTGCTAATGAGGGGTGGCTCTTAGGGATTATCCAATTGACGCTCGTATGAAGGCGCTCAATATCAAGGAGGATACTGAGATGGAGGTGTGATTACATAATGCATGAGCATGGCGTTGGGCGGGAAAATCAGGACAACGATATCCCAATTTGTATACTAGGACTTGAATCAGATGCACTAGGTGCAGGAATTGGCTCTGCATACACCTCTCTACCATTGCGTAACTGGAGTCAGCATACTTTTGAACATGCGGTAAACTCGTAAAGCCTCGCCATCGGTTTTCTAGATTCTCGAATTCGATGTCTAACATATATAATTCTCATTGGTATCATCCCCATTTTTCCTTTCCACCTTACTCCATCCAAAAAAAAACAAGGACAAGCTCCAAACAGTCAAACTCCAGGCCTCACAGTTGGCCTCACAGTTGTCCACAATACCAGATCCCCCCTCCCCTCTCCTTTGGTCCACACCCATCGTCCGCACGTCCAATTTCCCCAAGCCACGCCTCAGCCCAACCCAGTCCAGCCCAGCCCAGTTCCAGTCCATTACCCATTAATCGTTCAAACGAGCTTTCGTGAACAGAAGCACGGGCTTAGTGTATGATGGCCTTGGCCTTCAGGAACAGCACGACGATGACGATGCCCGCGACCAGCGCCGCGAAGACGAGCCAGAAGATCCAGCAGATGAAGGTGCGGCGCGAGGACTTTAGGTTCTGGCGCGCGAGCCAGGAGTCGCTGGTTACGAGAGTCAGCGCGCGCCAGGTATGAATCCGTGAAGGAGAGGGTTTGGGGAAGGGGTGGGAAGTGGGCAAGAGGGGTTAGGAAGGGGCATGGACGTACGAGTGCTTCAGCTCCGGCCCCGCTCCCTGCGGGTTCTGCGCTTCCTCGTCGAGATGCACAGCCATGCTGAAGCGGCGCCAGAAGGCGGGGTCGCGGACGACGGCCATTGTGGGGTTTCGTGAGGAGTGGAGAGGAGTTGGGTGAGGGTGGGTCCTTTCGTGGATGAAGAAGATGTTGGTTGGCGCGCGGGGTGGAGATTGTGGTTTATAGCCCTGTGGATTGATATTCCAGGGAAAGGTGCAGGCGACGGCTGGGAATGCGGGGTGTGGTTGCTACGTCGAGTGGTGTCACAGGGGGAGCTCCAGAGGAGGTGAGGAATGTATTGAAATCCGCGGCGGTTGATTGCGCCTGGTTAGGAGTCGCGATCGGGAGAGGATTGATTGTGGTCGCGTCCGCCGTGAGTAGAGTTGCTGGCGCGAGATGTGAACTCGAAATGCAGGTAATCCGAGCGATGTCAATGGGACGTGAGGTTGTTTGGGGCGGTTGATTGATTTGATCCTGGAATAGATGTGCTGGACGTGGGCGTGTGATTGCGCAAAGCGACTGGAATGAGAGTCGAAGATGTCGGGAAACGAGTGACAGGTGCGAGCTGGACGTAAAGAGCGTGGGGAGCGGCTATTCAAAGCGCATTCTTCGACTTGCGAAAGGATTGAAGGATTGACGAGAGAGAGGCGAAGGAAGTGTAGTTAGGAGAAGGAAAGAGTACAGCTGATCGCAGGCCGTCTCGACCTACAAGTGCTACAAGTGCTACAAGTACCTCCCTATCAGGCGCCGGCAGACTGGTTATCGCTGTGCGCCAGGAGGCACTCAATCTAAGGGTTCATCTAGCCAATATAGAGAGGCAGAGAGGGAGCCCTGAGGAAGAGGCAGTCCTCGGTGTCTGTGGAAGACCTGGCCGCCAATCAATCTTAGAAGCGGCGCCAATCGCAGCCCCTTTCGAGCGATGCGGCGGCGGGGGCTGCGGGTTGCCCCTGTGCAAAGCCACGGCAGAGCAACACCAAGAGGGAGGCGACTCCGGGCAGGGCGCATCGAGTGGCTGAGAGCCCGAGATTGCGCCAATATGTTTGTGCGGCGCGGAAACTTATTCTCTGGCGCTGTTTGAGCTTTGGTGGTCGTGCAGGGAGACTCCTGTGGGCGAGGCTGTTTGAAATAGGAAAAGGCGAGGACGCTGTTTCATCTCTTCTCATTCACTGTCAATTCAGAATCGTGTGAATGCAAATGTTCTTCCTGAGGTCTGTTTGCTGGCCTTATCACCATGAAGGCGCCACATGCGATGTCGCCCATATCAATATTGATCCACAGATACCAATCCAGTCAATTGATCGTCAGCAATTAACCGCACTTCTAGCTGCCAACGCCACCTATTCTTGCCACGGTTACACCCCTCCATATAACTGGGTACCTCGCCCGTTTCGAAACAGCACGATGCCAGAGAGCGCCAGCCCCGCGCTCCCCTTCTGGCTGGTCAACGTGCCACAGGATCAGTGGCCGGCCGAGTGCCCTGACTTTCTGCGTGACCTGGGCGACAAAGACCGACGCATCATCGGCACGCCGGACTCGGACTACGCACGCCTGGCCTGGCCTCAGGTCAAGGAAATCGTCGGTACAGGCTCAGATACACGCATCGCCTGAAATCTTCTTCTTTCTAACGCTGTCGCCAGAGAGCGGACGAGTTGATAGATTCCACCGCGTGCCTTCTGACTTGCGCAAGTACAGGCAGTTCACGTTCGGGCTCGCCAAGGAGTATGGGTCCATCATGAATTTCATCGTGAACGAGCGGCTGCAATGGAAAGATCTGAAGCCAAAGGGCGCGCCGTTTGAATATCCAGGTGCGGTTCTTGGTGATGGCTGTGTGTAGCGAGGGGCGGGCTGACGGAAGTGATTGCGCGCAGAGGACATCAAGATCCTTTACAACGACTGGCCATACGGCATCGACGAGGACATCGCCCACCTTGTTATATGGACCAAGTTTGAGCTCGAGGAAGACGCGGTCACGGGTCGAATCACGCCGGAGGTATCGAAGGAAATAGATGACTATGTGCGGAAGACTTTTGCTTCGCGCATCAACCCAGATCACGTCCGTACCCCGCTCCTCGTTATCTCTTCGTTTCAACTCCGTTTTGACATGGTTGCAGCTAATTTGGTTCTCGAACTGGAGATCGCTGAAGTCAGTCCATGCTGTCGAGCATTTCCATGTCATGCTCTATCGGCCTGACGAAGCCTTCATCAAGGAGATTACGAACGGGGACATCCCAATGTCTGCAAAGATAGCATAAATGAGGGGTTCTAACTGGCTGCGGAACTGACGCAAGCACTGGCAAACGGATAGGCATCGATCAAGCATTTTGCGTGGCGCATAGAATAAAGGCATGCTAAATCAGATAAAGTTCTAGAATTCGAACAGAAGGAAGTCCCTTCCAAGCCTGGATCACATTAACAGTCATCAAATGCACAGAAGAAATACTCTTGAAACTGATGCAGGGACCTGAAGCATCCTCCAATTCACTGGATAGGTATCGATATGTGCTTATCTCAGCCACGTGGAGCCCCGCACATTCACTCCGCCACCGTCGTACGCGTCCCTTGCAGCCGTGGCGAATCTTCCCGCGAACTTATTTTGTATGACACCACTTACCAGCGAGGCACGGTTGCTCTCTGTGGTCCCTTTGCCACTCTGGGTTTGATGACAGTAGTGTTTGATGAAACTGAACCCCAACGAACCCTGGGAGAGCAAACGCTGGGTTCCAACTTTTGCTCCGCGGGGGCGTTAGCGGCGTGCAGGAAGCGGGACGTTATTGGGATAGGCACGGCAGCATGATTGGTCGGTGGTGGACCCTCTTCTTGGTCAATTCGACGAGAATCCTGCTGCCGTGCTCAGGAGCCGGCCGGCCACGGAGCAGTAGAGAGACAATCAACACCGAGCGAACAATACTAAGCCGCCAGCGCCTTTGTAACATGTTGTCCATCTGATACAAGCCGGCAAACGCACCGCAGGCCAGACAAAGGCGCGGGCGGTGAGGCGCTTGGCACTGATGCGTAAACCCGGTCCTAAAAATTGGAGATGCACGGTCCCTGCAGGTGCTTGTCACTGAAGTCCAGTCCGCAACCTCTGAGCAGCCGTAGAAAGCACCTCCTCGCCCTCCACCGCCGCCTTCGCCTGGGCACCTCCCACAACCGCCGTTCTCCCCCGCCATACTGCTGCAGCATCAGCGACGCCGTCGTGCCTCTCCTCGTGGCGCGCGCTCCAATTCGCCGGACTTCAGTACCACGCATATCCGCACCTGCATCGCCGTCGACTCCATCCACCTCCCCGGATCCTGTAAATACCTCGCTCGCAGCCACCCGAAGTCTGGCGTGACCGTCCTCTCTCTAAATCCCGCAATTCACCAAAAGCAGCTGCACAGTAGCTTCTTCACGCTGGAGAAACAGACACCATGTTAGGAGCCTCCTTTATGCCCACGCGATGGCGGGGGGGTGATAGTGCTCAGAAGAAGACTAGCCCCAGCTGGTATGACCGCCATCTGTCTCCAGTGCTATTGTCTATATCGAAACGCGCCTGCACTCATCCTATACATACAATCGTCTTTGTCGCCCTTCTTGCAAGCACCACCTACATCGGAGTTCTGGACCATGGCCTGTTCGACCGCAGCCCCGTCATTAGCTCGACGAGCGGCAAGGTGGACTTCAATACGTTGATGGTGGGCAGCAAGAGGCTGCGAGTAGGAGAAGACACCGACTGGCAATGGCAGGTTGAGGAAACAGGCAGCTCGTCGAAGCTCGAGAAGGTGGGTGCTTTCAACACCACGAGCAGACATTAGCTAATACACACTCCGCAGACTACTCGGGAACTCGCACTTCTGACCCTTGTTTTCCCCGATCTCCCCGCTTTCAATTCTGCGCAAACCGCTCCTTTGGCCCAGAGCGTTATCCCAAACAACTCCTCTGCCAAACTCCTCCCAAGCTCGACGAGCTCGTTTTCCAATATTTCCCCTGACACTTCACTGGCCTTTTCGATATCGCTATCAGAGGCCCCTGAGTTCCTAGCGGCTATGCAAGAGATTCCCCCTGCTGAGGATATCGCTGAATCCCAGGACTCGGATCACGAGGGCACTGTTGAAGCCAAGAAGTGGATTATGAAGGCTGCAAGGAGCGGCTCAGGCTCGGGAGGGCTTCGCAACTGGACGCGAGACTCGTGGACCTCGTTTGTAGACTTGTTGAAGGTATGTATACTGCAAAGGCGAACCACGGAAGCACGCTAATTCGCCCGACTAGAATGCGGAGACACTAGACATCGTGATCATGGTCATGGGATACCTGTCCATGCACCTGACTTTCGTCTCCCTATTCCTCTCCATGAGGCGCCTTGGGTCGAATTTCTGGCTTGCTGCGACAGTTCTGTTCCAATCTGCATTTGCGTTCCTCTTCGCACTCCTCGTGACCCTTCGTCTTGGCGTCCCAATCAATATGGTCCTTCTATCAGAGGGGCTGCCCTTCTTAGTCGTCACTATTGGGTTTGAGAAACCCATCATTCTCACCAAGGCCGTTCTCTCTGCGTCAATTGATGCCCGGCGTAGCCAAAACACCGAAGGAGGTAACAATGAGCCTATTACCATTCAAAACGCCGTTCAAGCTGCTGTCAAGGAGCATGGCTTTGAAATAGTCAGGGACTACTGTATTGAGATTCTCATCCTTGTCGCTGGTTCACTATCAGGTGTGCAAGGTGGACTACGACAGTTCTGCTTCCTCGCTGCCTGGATCCTCGTTTTCGACGGCGTTCTACTCTTCACTTTCTTCACATCTATCCTCAGCATCAAGTTGGAGATCAACCGCATCAAGCGGCATGTCAATCTCAGGAGGGCTCTTGAAGACGATGGCGTCAACCGATCTGTCGCGGAGAGTGTCGCAGCTAGCAATGACTGGCCCCGAAATGACTCTGGACGAGTAAACAAGTCGGGTGAACACACTGTCTTCGGAAAGAAAGTACGCGACAACAGCATTCCGAAATTCAAGGTGTTGATGGTCACTGGATTCATTCTTGTCAATGTCCTGAACGTCTGCACTCTGCCGTTTCGCGCGAGCAGACACCCTGCTGCCGCCAAGATGTCCAGATTCTCCAGTGTCGTTGCACCACCGCCGATGGACCCATTCAAAGTTGCAGGAAGCGGTCTAGACTCTATCTTTGCCTCTGCGCAGGCCAGCGGAATTTCCACAGCTGTCACCGTCGTGGCACCAATCAAATACGAATTGCAGTTTCCTTCCGTACATTACGCCTCTCCAGGAGAGTTTGGTAGTGACAGTAAAGACCATCTCTCCACGACTATGGGCGGCCGCGTTGTCGATGGGCTGCTTAAAAGCTTGGAGGATCCAGTTCTAAGTAAATGGATTATCGCGGCACTGGTTATGAGCTTGGTGCTCAACGGTTACCTCTTTAACGCGGCTCGTTGGACCATCAAAGATCCCCATACTCCTTTGGATCCACCGATGGCAGAAGAAATTCAAGAAGGTGCTCCGCCTAACGTGTCTACTTCCCTGGCTTCTCCAAGGCCTTCACCACAACCTCAAACACCACAAAATGGATACTTTGCTCCTGAGGTCGCGCCCCTTGCGGAAATAGTCCAACCGCAGCCAATACCAATACCAGCGCCTGTGTTCCAGCCCATACCCGAGCCCAGCCCCTTCAGTGAAAAGGAACAGCAAAACAAGCGCCCAATAGAAGTCACCGAGGCTCTCTTGAAAGAAAAGAAGGTACATCTCATCACGGATGCTGAGTTGGTGGAGCTGTCTATCAAGGGTAAGATACCAGGATACGCGTTAGAGAAGACACTTGGCGATAAGACAAGAGCTGTCAAAATCCGACGCGCTGTCGTTTCTCGGACGCATGCCACTAGGGAGACCTCGACGCTCCTGGAAAGGTCCAAACTCCCCTACGAGAACTACAATTACGATCTTGTTCATGGAGCTTGCTGCGAAAATGTCATTGGCTATCTACCCCTTCCTGTTGGTGTCGCTGGACCAATGATGGTTGACGGACAGAACTACTTCTTACCCATGGCTACAACCGAAGGTGTTTTAGTCGCGAGTACCAGCAGAGGCGCCAAGGCCATCAACTCTGGTGGTGGAGCCGTCACTGTGATAACTGGCGATGGCATGACCCGCGGACCTTGTGTTTGTTTCGAGACGCTGGCTCGAGCTGGCGCCGCTAAACTGTGGTTGGATTCTGAAGAAGGGCAACGCGTGATGAAGAATGCCTTCAACTCCACCAGTCGTTTCGCTCGACTTCAAACTATGAAGACTGCTCTTGCCGGTAACAACCTCTACATTCGATTCAAGACGACGACCGGCGATGCTATGGGCATGAACATGATCTCGAAGGGTGTTGAACATGCATTGGGCGTCATGGCTACCGAGGGCTTTGAAGACATGAACATCATCACGGTTTCCGGAAACTACTGCACTGATAAGAAGGCGGCTGCGATCAATTGGATCGATGGTCGCGGCAAGGGCGTTGTCGCTGAAGCTATCATCCCTGGTCATATTGTGAAAAGCGTCTTGAAATGCGGCGTCGACGAGCTCGTCGAGCTCAACATCAACAAGAATCTCATCGGCAGTGCTATGGCCGGCAGCATTGGAGGCTTCAACGCGCACGCCGCAAACATTGTGGCTGCCATGTTCCTTGCAACTGGCCAAGACCCGGCTCAGGTTATGGAGAGTGCCAACTGCATCACAATCATGAAGAAGTAAACCTGCCTGCCCGCCTGACCCATCCCCATCCACATGATGCTAACAGCAAAGCAGTCTCAAAGGCAATCTCCAAATCTCCGTCTCCATGCCCTCAATCGAAGTCGGCACCCTTGGCGGCGGCACAATCCTCGAGCCCCAATCCGCCATGCTGGACCTCCTCGGCGTCCGCGGCGCCCACCCCACTAACCCGGGCGATAACTCCCGCCTCCTCGCCCGCGTCATCGCTGCCGCTGTCCTCGCTGGCGAACTGTCGCTCAACGCCGCGCTCTGCGCGGGGCATCTGGTCCGCGCGCACATGGCGCACAACCGTAGCCAAGCGCCCAGCGCGGCACCCAGCCGTGCTCCTACACCCGCACCACCGCAGCTCATGAGCGGAGGCGCGCAGACTCCGGCTTCGGCGGCTGTGGGGAGCATCAGAGATGCGGCGTCGAGAGCGGCGGAGTCGGCGCTGCCGAGGCGATAACGGATGTGCGGGTTCGACGGCGCGTGCGTGTTTCCTTTTTTACATTCAAGCACATTGGCATAGGGGCGGCATACTTTGGCGTTTGTTTTCTGACTACGCATGGTCTGAATGGCAGTACGTAGCTATTTCGTGCGCTCGTAGTGTATTCCGTTTCCATCAACGCCTCCATCAAGAGAGCAGCAGCAGAAGCCAGAGTTGTTTAAAATTTCACATCCTTTTGATATTCGTATATTTGTTCAGCGTATGTGAGAGTTTGGTGGCATTTACCTCAGTCGCCAAGCTCAGACCGGCAGCACGTGAGGTCGGACAAGGAAGTACTGGCGGGTGTGATCTAGGTCACCGGAACTTCACGATCTAGGTCAAGCGAAGTGATTTCCCATTTCACATGGACTTTACTCAATACCAAGAGTCAGAGCTGACAAGTCTGATTATTCCAGCTCAATTGCTACCTTTGTAGAGGCTTGTTGAGATATGGTCACATGGATCACTCTATCCTCGATATATACGGCTGCTCCATCGCACCAGATCACATCATCTGGATTAGGTCATCGCTTAAAAGCCTCTGCCATGTCAATAACACCCGTTCATCTCACAAGAGACCGCGAAAATTCTTCAGCTAAATAAGTGTGCAGCTCTAGGAGCCGAGCAGCAAGCAAAATGCCTTGTGCGCAAAGGTAAGTAGATTCAGTCAGCATGCCTAAGATCGGCTGCGCGAGTCTGTGACATTCTCACATGCCGTCTTGAGGCTTCCATATCTTCTCGCCCATACATCTTCAGACTCTAATCCTCGGCCTTCCAAGACTGTAGAGTTGTGCGGACCGTAGCATAGCGGCTACCATCATTCTTTCCCGCAATCAAGTGGCAACGTTCAACAAGATAAGGCTAGTTTCCGATACACAAAGTCCTAGGAAATTCATTCCCTTCACTCCATCGCCTTCCCTAGCTACAAAGGGCTCGCTGAGGAATCATTCACGCCGAAAAGATCAACAGTCACGTGGCCGTGATATCAAGGTGCTCACACTTGCCGAAGTGGGATCCCCCTACAGCCCTAGAGCCTGTTTCTGTGTTGTCACTTTTTTCTATCTCAAGTCGTTGCATCCGTGTGTCCCTCTCCTCAATTCACTCCACTACACCGTACGATGCCGGGCCTCAAAGGAAACAGCCACGCAGAAGATGCTGCCGCGATTACAACTGCAATCACCGCTATCTACAACAAGATTTCCCTTCTCCGAGACCTCAATCCCCGAGATGAAGTCAACTCGCTGTTCAGCGAGCTCGTATCTATCTGCATCCGGCCTTACCACCCCACCGTCGCCTCTAGCGTACTCTCCTCCCTCATCTCTGACGCTCCACACATCCGCCAGCTCTGCTCTTCCGCCGAAGGTGCCCTAGAGCGGCATTGGGCCAAGCGAATGCTTCGCTTCGACGAGAAATTAGGTTTGCCAGACCCCCTTAGCTAATACCTACCGGCGGGCGGTCGACGAAGAAGAAGTGTGTCGGTGTCTATACAAATACTTACCCCCATACGTACCAGAGCCTAAGCCGCTGCGCTGCTTCCCCTACTACTCCAACTACGTCGACCTCTGCAATCTCGAGTGCAGCACTATTACCGCTGTCACAAATCATGCGCCAAAACACATCGCTTTCATCGGCTCGGGACCACTGCCGCTGACTTCGTTCTGCGTGGCCGACCGCTTTCCACACGCTAGGATCCACAACGTCGATAGAGATGCGGGTGCTATTGCCCTGTCAGAAGAGCTGGCGAAGAGGCACGGGTACGGGAAGATGACGTTTGCGCACGAGGAGGCGGCCGATTGCGGCAAGTTATGGGACTTCGACGTTGTCTATGTGGCTGCGTTGGTCGGAATGTCTGCGGAGGGGAAGGCGGTGATATTGGGTGGGGTAGCAAGACGGATGCGGAAAGGGGCACTACTGTGTGTGAGGAGTGCGCACTCGCTGAGAGCGTTGTTGTATCCGGTACGTGAGCTCAACTTTAGACGTCTGATGCTACATTGCTGAGAGTGGCTCCAGGTCGTCGCGCCAGAGACATTGGTGGAAACAGGGCTGCTGGAGCTGGTAGTCGAAGTCCACCCGTGGAATCACGTCGTCAATTCTATCCTCTTGCTGCGAGTCTTGTAAGGGGAGCATTGGAAGCGAGCTTGTAGGAAGTATAGAGAAAGACTGGTGGCTGAAAGCCCCTGGATACAGTCGCGTGGGCGGACCCTCGAGTCATATGTCGTTTAGAAGAGCGGCCAATTAAAAGCGTTTAAAAGTAGATCGAGTTCTGCTTTGGAAATATATATATCCGCTCATTCAGGTTCAGCAGAACGTATCACCGTGTTGCTGTAAGCTTACTCCCTAAGGAGCGGATCGCTTGGGCCCTGGACCTTGGTATGTCGAGACCACTAGCATTTCATGTACTTAGCATACTGAAGATCTCGTAAGCAGTGCAGCAAATATCTGGACTCATGTAAATGTAAAATTTGCTACAGCTTAAATCAGACTGACTAGCTGCTATATTCACAGCTTTTGACAGTATCTCCAATCGTTGTGGACAGTGAAGACGTGATGTAAAACTGACCTTGTTAATGTTAAGGCTGCGAAATAGAACCTGAACGAGCATATGAATGTTAGGCACAGTTCATTTTTGGCCTCGTCCAGAAATCAGGCACACGCTGTATTTTACGGCACTACCTAACTACCCTACCTATCAGGTGCCTAAACTCAGCCTCGTGGTGGAGTAGAGCAAAAAGGAGCCGCGACGTGGGCCCAGGATCAAAAGCTGCCTCGCCACATCTTCAGCCACTCTGCTATCCCAAACAGCGCAAGTGTAGAATCACTCCCTCAAAAGCAGAGGAGCCCTGCCCTCAATTTACATCCCTATATTCACGGATATACTCAGCCGCCAACATGAGCTCCGAACCCGACTTGCACCGCGCTATTTCGATGCGACCCTTGCCCTTCAACAACGGCTTCCGGCAAGAGAGCCCTCGCCCGAGCGAGGCCAGCCTCCACCCGTCTTCTTCCGATGCCATAACCGTTATCAAGTCCGGGAAATCCACAGCCATCGATTCTGACAAGATAGATGAGCCATTCGCTCGCCATGGGCACCGCAACGAGACCGACATCGAGTTGCAATCGATCCCCACCTATGACGAAGACACGGACCCGTACCAACTGGCGTCCAAGATCAAGACGCCCGACGAGATGGCACAGATACGGGCGAACTCATCGCGGAAGCGAGACGGCTTTGGGCCCTTGAAAACAAACAAGAACGCGTACAGGGCACGCAAGATCGCCAAATTCTACGAGGCCCAGAATGAGAATATCTCGGATCTGCTGAAGCCGGTTGAAGACCATAGAAGACTAGCGAAGGAGGAAGAGGGCGCCGACCACCTGCAGTTCAAGATTGCGGTCCAGGGAAGCTTCATCGCGAACGTCATTCTTGCGGGCCTGCAGCTGTATGGTGCGGCGTCGTCTGGGTCGCTTTCGCTGTTCACAACCATGGTCGACTCGGTCTTCGACCCAATGAGCAACATTACCCTGATTTTGTGCAACCGCGCTGTCAAGAGGGTCGATGGCAGGAGATTTCCCTCCGGCAAAGCGCGCATTGAGACGGCGGGGAACATCTTCTTCTGCTTCCTCATGTGCGCCGTCTCTGCCATCATCATCGTCGAATCCATCCGCGAGCTTGTGACGTATAATTCTGGCCAGGATACCAAGAAACTACATATCCCGTCCATTATCGCGGTTGCTGTAGCCTTTTGCACGAAGTTTGCCCTGTTCCTCTACTGCTGGGCGCTGCGGAACAAGTACTCTCAAATCCGCATTCTATGGGAGGATCACCGAAACGACTTGTTCATCAACGGCTTCGGTATCTTGACCTCCGTCGGAGGCGCCAAGCTGAGATGGTGGATCGATCCTATGGGCGCTATTCTGCTGTCTGTCTTGATCATCTTCCTTTGGCTCAGGACAGCGTACTCCGAGTTCCAGTTGCTGATCGGCGTCACGGCTGACACGCACATGTTGCAGCTTATCACATATATCTGTAAGTTCCCACATTTCTAGACTGTCAAAGCATACGTGGCTAACATTGCCTTATAGCTATGACCCACTCCCCCGAGGTCAAGCAGATCGACACCGTCCGCGCCTACCACAGCGGTCCCCGCCTCATCGTCGAAGTCGACATTGTCATGGACCCCAACGATACCCTCCGCCACACGCACGACGTCGCCGAAGAGCTCCAGATCAAGCTCGAGAGCCTGCCGAACGTGGAGCGTGCCTATGTGCACGTCGACTTTGAGACCAGCCACGCCCCAGAGCATTTCTTGAAGAAAGAGCTGTAAATCGCATAGAGCCGGCTACAATCACATTGGATACATTGGATACCAGCTCGGATGGTGGAGTGCCAGAATAGCAGTTAGGCTACGAATGGCATGAAGAATAGCCTCGGGCATAAGGAAATTGCTTTTGTGCATAGTTCTGAGAGCTGAAGCGAGACGGTCGAGTTGAGTCTCGTTTGTACATTACTTCCTAGCGGTTAGCGTTGATTCCTTTAGATGAGAGGATACCGGGTACTCGTTCACCATTCTTATAGGAGCGAGAAGGGCCTATTGCAGTTGATTCCGACACTGCGGAATTGAAGAACTTTTCAATCGTCCTACAATATTTGCCCAACTGGAACTCCCAGGACATTGATACAGTACTAGGCCATACGTCTGGGCACATGGATTTATCACTGCTCGACTTCAATCTTGCTCACTGCGAGGTGCAGCGCGGCTAGTAAGCAGCCACTTGGTCAAGAGGCAGTATAATTTGCACTACTCGAAACTTGACATCGCGCCTAGGATTTTGAAATTCCATGGGGGCACCCTAGGCAGTGGTAAACGCGTGTGCACAGACTTATGACTTGTCACTGTATGGATACTGCATTGAGACACTCTATGGAGCTCTGAACCAGTGTATGCGGAGAAACGGCCTGATCATATACAGTGCCTTGCCATAGATATCTGTACTCTTCCCTCCCACTGTTTGTGGGATTCCAAAGTACTAATAGAAACCGGGGGCAGTGGATCCACTTTCAATCCGCGTACACTACTGAGCATCTCTCTCATTCGGAAGGCTGAAAATGCTATGAAGCTCCTCGCGCAGCGGTAAACGAGTGTAGGGATTTCCATGACGAGGCATCATGTACTGATGGCCGTCTACTTTTCATTGACGAGGCTGTTCCTTGTGTGCACCTGAGGTGACGTTGCCCCGCCCAGCCTTATTCTACTTTAAACCTCGCTTTCGCTTCCGCGACGCGATTCCTCCACACTACAACCACTTCCACTCTGCTTCCTTTTTGTTCATCTATGTAGAAGCTCTGGGTAAAAAGGACCGTTTCACTGCGTTCCGAGGTGCTCAATACCTCTTAATCACACCAATGCGCTGTTCTCTTCTCTCCATGGCCGGCTTCAACTCTCCGTCTCCGAAATGGAGGCAAGTCGATATAATGGGATGGCAGACGCACGCTCTTGGCCTGCTTGCATTCCTCTTGTGGCGAAACTTCAAGGACCAGCCTATTCCATGGGCAATCGGCATCTATCCGCTGCTCCTCCTCTTCTCGCGACTCGAGTACTTCCTCAAAGCACGTGCCGACCCTAGAGAACCGCCTCTGATCCCGCACCCATATCTCCCTTTCGTTGGTCACCTGATTGGGATGTTCCGCTACGGTGCCAAATACTACGATATCGTCAAGTTCGTATTATCGCCCATTTCATTGTCTCTCTACCGACCCCAAGTCAACCAGCTACTCCCATCCTTCCTAATTGCCAACTATAAAGCACCTCACTCCAGGTTAATCGCCCATTACCGAAGGCTTTGAATTCCCCGGATCACCGCTAATCTGCGATACAGCAAGGAAGCCAAGTACCCCATCTACACCCTCCTCACTCTCACCAGCCGCACCGTCATCGTCGCATCCCCCCAAATCGCCGCCGTGGTCCAGCGTGCCAATAAATCACTCTCCTTCTATGGCGCCATTCTCTCAGTCACGGAGCGTATGGTTGGCTTCGACAAGACCGCCATGTCAGTCATCTGGGAGAATGTGGATCGTGATTCCGGCGACCATGGCTTGATGAATGAGTCGCACGACATGGTCTCTTCCATGCTAGGACCGGGGCCTACTCTGAACTCCATGAGCGCTATCCAGCTTGATGCCATTGCCGATGCTATGAATAGCTACATTCCAACTCCGCGAGCCAGGCCGGACACTTTGGATTGTGGAAAGCCGGCGAAGCTCACCCGTTTGATGGACTTTACGAAGCATGTGTTTACTACTTCCAACGCATATGCTTGTACGTAGCCTGCAACTCTTCCCGTTACTAAAATCTCAGATGTGCTACAAACGTAGCACTTGATGTTGTATACCGAAGGGCTTCGAATTTGTTCCACCTGCCCTTTGTTACGAACCCTCCGCTGACTGAACCCTAATCTCTAGTCTACGGCCCGGAAAACCCCTTCGTTCTCAATCCCGGCCTTGACAAAGTCTGGTGGACGTTCGAAGACAGCATCAAGCAATTCATCGCCGACATTGTGCCCTCCCTCACTGCGCCCACCGCCAACACCGCTCGCAACAAAATGGTCGCCGCACTGGAAGACTACGCCCGCCATGAGCGCTACAACACGGCTTCCCCTCTTATCCGCCAGCGGTTTGCCCTCAACTTTCGCAACGGCCTTTCTATCGCCTCGACCGCGCGCTCGGAGCTTATCCTCCTCTTCGCCATCATGGGCAACGCCGTTCCGACTACATTCTGGCTCCTTGCGAACATCTTCAGTCGGCCCAAACTACTCCAAACACTGCGCGAGCAGTGTGGAGCTGCTGTCACCATTACCAACGGCGAACAAGGAGAGGTCCGCACACTTAGTATCTCGAAACTGAAAGAATGTGCACCCTTGCTCGTTTCCTGCTTCCGCGAGACCCTCCGTGGCATCATCGCGCTAACCTCAGTCCGTTATGTCCGCGAGGATGTATCTATACTTGAGTACCGCCTCCGCAAAGGCAGCGTCGTGCAAATGGCAAGTGGCGTAATACATTCCGACACCTCGATCTGGGGTCCTGACGCCGCCGAGTTCAAGCCTGACCGGTTTCTCGGACGGGACGAGTCTGGAGCTACATATGCACTCCCACTTCCTCCGTCTGTGCCCAGCGCTGCCTTCCGTGCTTTTGGTGGTGGGAGCGTGATTTGTCCCGGTAGGCACTTCGCGTTGTCGGAGATCATTGGATTCACGGCATTGGTATTGCTGGGCTGGGAGATTGAGAGTGAGAATGGCGGACTGATTCAGTGTCCTCTCAAGGATGATATGAAGATCCCGTTTACGCCGATGAAGCCGGTAAGGGACGTGGATATGAAAATTACAAGGCGAGATGGGTATGAGGGCTGCGAGTGGAGGTTGGAGTTGTAGAGGCAATAGGAGTAAAGGCGGCTAGGATGAATGTCCAAAGATCATTCAGGTCGAATGGATTACCTCTTCTCCTGAGTGACTGCAGCGCACTAGAGCAGCCCTGACAGTATTAAGAGCTCGTGGAAAAGTAATGAGACAGACTGGTTGTCCGTTTGCTCTGTAAGTACAGCTACTGCGTGTCATAGCGCGACAGCCCAGCTCTCAAATAGTCGCACAAAATCATGGTTTAAGTCACCTGACGACGCGATTTAGCTCCCAGGCTCGAACGCGACATCTCCCACTTTCTTTCCACCTCAACCCCAACCCTCAACCCGTTAACATCATCCGTTCAACCCAGAAAATACTCCAATCCGGCATAACGATGCCGCCCAAACGCTCCGCCCCCAGCTCTTCCACCGTACCCGCGAAACCCTCAAAACGCGCCCGTCTGGGTTTGGACATCACCGAAGACGCGTTGGAGGAGATGGACAAGCAAGAGCTCATCTCCCACATTCTGAAGCTCCAATGCCACATCGCTAGCACTGCCAATGAGACGCCAGTCCATGCCTCACCACCTGGCCTCACGCCCGAGGAACTAGCCGCCAGGACCTCGAAGACTAGGGATATGATGATGCGCGGGATCAAGAGCTAGATGAAGGTACGGCACACCCCTCCCCCAATCTTTCCCTAGATAGTACTTGTAATACTACCTAACACCGGTCCCAACCGTTACCCGCCGAGCCTCCGCCTTCCTACCTCTATACTAACACAGACCCCAGTGGAAGCCCTCCTGCAAGACCAAAAGCGCGAAATTCAGCTACGAGGCCACTGTCACCGACCCGGCCATCTTCCACAAGCTGTTCAAGATGCCCGCCGGCTGGAAGAAGAAGCAGTTGCAGTACTCGCCGGAGGAGTTTGCGGAGGTCACGCGCTGCTATATCGAGGCGAGCATTCGGTATGGTACGCTGAGCATCTAGGGGAAGCATATTACGGTGAAGTGGGATGGGGAGGAGGTAAAGGTGTACAGACGGAGTTCATCTTACAAGTACGTACTCTACAATTGGTTTCATTTTAGTTCTCGCGCCCTACCTATAGTGAGTTCCTGCGATATGGATCCCATGCTTTCCGTATCAACGCCATAGGCAACATTTCAGTCAAGAAAAACTATCGTGAGATAGTCCTCAAAGTTAAAGAGGATGAGCAACCAAATTGACTCCTGTTCTCCATCTGACCTCTGTAGCGCTTGAGACCGTTGGTTTATGAGCCGAAAAGTGCCACCATGGGCTCGTTCCTCCGTCGTCTGCTGGGTACGTAAGAAGTGTATAGACTGATTCAACCGAAGCTAATTGACCCCTGAAGGACTGCACGAACGCTCTACTTCAAAGACTAACTCGTACGTAGCTTTGTTTTTGGCTGATTTCTGCTTAGGTGGACCAGGGCCAGGTCACTCTGTTATTCATGAGAATGTGACTGTATTCACTTCCAAGGCTAATACGCGCGGTCAGCTGTCGGTGAAAGTGAAAGCAACGTGCTAGAAGCTGCATAAAGCCCTGACTTCCCACGGCCTCTTTTCTTTCTTCGTACCATCAACAAGTTTTCTCTTGCCACCACCACCACTACTACTCTCAACACCGAGCCGCATTTATCTCTCCGAATCTCCATTCACTCACCAGCCGGGTGGGTACATATTCATCAACAGGCAGCCCTATCACCATACCCAGCCATGCCCTTCTCCTCACTGCCGAACGAGCTAGTTTTGGAAACCGCGAAGTACCTCGATACCAAGTCGCTGAGCAGACTCTCTAGTGCAAGCTCGCGGTACCGAAGCCTACTGGAAGACGACCTGCTGAAGCGCGCGAGCCCGAAGGACTTGAAGACAGCTATCTCTCAATCTAATATGGAACTCGTCCGATACTTCCTAGACCAAAACATCACGGGAATCGATCCATCGACTGGCACCTAGGACATCTTCCGAGCTTTCATTAAAAATTAGAGCCGTCTCTGTTATTGCGTCCCTTGCCGTCGCATCATCATCGATCTCCACGTCGACATTACTTCGCTGCTTGTCGTCAAAGGGAGTGAGCTCGGACTGCTTACCCCCAAAGATGCGATCAAGCTCCTGCAAAAAATCCTAAAGGAAGTTAATTGCGGTAGTAATCCAACCTATTTGTGCGGCTCCAAGATAGTGAAGTTGATCGATATGCTCCTGTCACTACGCGGTGACAATCCGATCGGTGACGACTTGTATCTTCGGGCTATGTATGATACCCGCGTATTCCAATTGCTTCTGCAATGTCGTGCGGACGTCAATTCATACACTCGGAACGCTCCGCCACTTCTTCACCGTGTGCTTGAACTCCGGCGGAGGATCCGCATAGATCATAGCAATGATAATATCATCGTCCGCATACTTCTAGATGCGGGCGCTGACATGGACCGGCTTTGGATCAGATGCCACTCCGATGGAACGCCTCATAGGGCATCTCTACCACTCGCACTCGCTGCAGCTGGGGTGGATCTAGACCTCGTCACAATGTTGATAGAGGCTGGAGCTGATGTCAACGGGCACGAGCCGATGTCTCGACGAAGCTATACCCGCCCCCTCATCCATCTTGTGGAGAACCCAAACCTTTCTTTCGGCCGCCAATTCCAGGTCATCTGCAAGCTCCTAGAGCTCGGAGCCGACCCAAACGTCCGCGCCATCCACTACCACGGCCGTAGGCCTGCACTCCTAGACATCGTATTGATGATCGGCCTCCTGATAGACCATGGCGCTGACTTGGAGCAGCTTGACCATCATGGCCGTAATTTCGCACAGCGACATCCTCCTAATGGCTTCCTTTGGGGCATCGATAATGTTTTGGAAGAGCGACGGTCGCCGCGGATACTCATGAAAGTGGCGCTGGACAGGAAGCTTCCCGGCTTATTGCCCGTTAAATACATCCTACCGAAGACCGAAGCTGCTCTCCACAAGCTACAGACGACACCGGAAACGCGCGAGAATAAAGCTGCTGTGACGGAGGCTGGGAAAGAGTTGAAGGACTGCTGGGGCCTATGCCGATCCATCTATGACACTTTCACGCTGGATCAGCTGCCGGTCGAGCTTCGTTGTTTCTGGGGCGAGAACCACGACCATATCGAGCGACTTTTGGCGTCGTTGACTGATTAGCCGCTTCGGTATCACTTACGGACGCGGAAGTAGCGCAGGTCTCTTTTCGTACTGCGACCAATTCTTTCCTCAATATGGCTCTGCTTCACTTGAGGTGCCAACATACTGACCTTTTTTCTTTAGTCATGCTACTTACTAGCGTTTTTAACCTCGAGTACGTCGAGGCCAGTTAATGGCCTGATTTGGGTAGCAGAGACGAGCGCTGGCGGCAGATTTACGTAGCCAACAATGCTGATTCACACTCTCCCGAACGTCAAACGCATCTTCTCCAAGCGGTGAAAGCATTCCAAGGAACCACTAATAATGCCTGGAATAGATGTGCCTGTGAATTCTCTCAAGCCACTTCATTCATGGAAATTACCAAGTCTCATTAACACAACTCGTACCAATTCCAAGACTACCCAACCACCCCCATCCTTCCTAGTCCCTAATAGTACATCGAAGGTATTCCCCCCATCCATCACAACCTCGCCTCCATCTCCAAAACCCCGACCCCTCCTGAACTCCCAGCAGTACTGTTCTAGCACACGCATCAGGAGCCCTCCTCCATGACGGGGCCATCCTCCATGACGAAACCATCCTCATCCTGCACACTCTCTTCCGCCTGCATATCCTCCATAATCTGATGCATGCCCCTCACCTTTTCCCCCCACAGCCTCCTTCTTTCCTCCCTCGCCTCCCTCGCCCTCGCCTCGCATAGCTCCCTCTCATGCTGCTCTCTCACAGCCAACTCCTCCCGCATCCCCCTCGCCGCCTGCGCCGTCTCCATCACACACGTCCGACACATCCACGTCCTACTCTCCACTATATGCTTCGCCTCGTCCAACTCCCCCCTATCCTCGCGCTCTTCCTGCAGCCGCTGGCGCTGTTGCAGCGCCAGCGCGCTATTCCACTCCTCCTGCCTCTCCACCGCCTTCCGCTCCGCCGCATGCAGGCAATCCGCATGGTAGAGCCCCACCGCGCACTCCGGGTTCGCGCACTGCACCATCGACTGTCCGTCTTTATCAAACCCACAATAGCAGAACGTATATCCGTGCTTCTTGTACGCCCGCCGGAACGCCTCCAGATCGCCCTCCCCTATGCGGCGCGCCGCGGCCGTCTTCACCCACGACTGCTCCGACTCCTTGAGCTGCGCGGCGAGGTGGGCGTCCAGTTGCTCGCGGGACCAGGGCCCGGTGTCCTCCGCGTCGACATCTTCGGGGGGTTGGGTTTGGCCCGCGGGCTCTTGGTCGCGCATGGTTAGAGACTCCTTGGCGGCGCTTAGGGCAGCGCGCTTCTTCTTGAGCTCGGCGGAGAGTTTGCGCTTCGCGTCCTCGGCGCGGCGTTTCTCGCCCGCGAGCCAGCGGTCTGTCTCGCGCTGCTTCTGGAGTCGGGCGACGATGTCGTCGTACTTTTGCTTTCGGGTTGGCTCGGCTAAGACACTGCGAGACGGGGCCCCTCTGGTGGCTGAGGAGAACGAAGGCGTGTGTAAGCGGATAGGGAGGCTGGCGATTGGCGACGGCGTACAGCTGAGTGTACGCTGTAGAGCATGCAGGGGAGGCGGAGACATAGAGTTTGGGGGTAAGAACGTGACGGAGGTCCTTGGGGGCGTGATGGGAGCGCGAGCGGCGGCGGGAGTGCTCATGCGGCGGTACTGTTGGACGAAGTCGCGCTCGCTGTCGTAGACTAGCTGCCCTACGCGTGCGGCCGCATTGCGGATCTCGGTGCGGGTGACGCCGCCGCGGAGGGAGGGGCGGGATCGGGGGTTTGAGATTGAGTGTTGTGACTGGTATGGAGATATGTAGACGGTGGGGACGAATGCGGGAAGCATGTATTGCGGGACGGTAGACTCTGCTGTGAATGCTGATGGCGTTGGAGAGACGTTAATTGGGTTGTAGCCGGAAGAGTAGGAGAGTTGTGGAATATCTTTGGCTGATGCTGATGCTGGTTGGTCTTGCCTGTCTGCGATGACGAGGGAAGGGACTGGTTGCATGGCTGGCATCGAAGATGTGCTCTCTTGGCTGTCGGGGAGTGTGAGAAACAGAGGCTGCCGACGATCTGTAGAGTCAACAGTGCCGTCAAGTCCCATGTTTAGATCATCTAGCTTACTCAGATTTTCGTTCGAGATGGTTGGTGGGTATGGAGAACGGTAGATGCGTGGCTCCTTCTCACCATCAGGAACCTTCCTCAGCCCCCCCGAATGCTCGGAGCTAGTGGAAGCATCTCCGCTTCGGTAAAGGCTACCTGCCTCATTCCAAGTCTTATAGATCGGCGCCTGCCTTAGAGATACTGGTGGTCTGAACGGTTGCCTCTCTAGGCGTGCTTGGCCATTATTAACCTGAGGACGCTGCTGCGGGATAAGCTTTGATTTAGCTTCAAGTCCAGAAAGCGGATCCTGGTTTCGTAGAACAGGACCCGTATTCAATGTAGAAAGTGCTGGCTGATTATGGTGTGCTGGATAGTTGACATAGGAACGCCGCTGTGGAGTGTGTATTGAAGTCTTTTCAGAATCCGAAGACAATACGGGCGCAGAGGGTAAGCTCGATTGCAAAGAAGGCGTTGCAGAGAGCGCATCTTGTTCCTCATCAGTAGCAGGCGTGAAGCCAGCGATGTGACGCTGATTCCACAGATCTTCCAGACAGCCGAAACAGAACTTCAATCCCTCAGGCATGACTTTGCGGAGGGTAAAACCCCTGATTTTGATATCGTCATTGCGTGTGAAGAACAACACCTTGTCTCCCACGTAGTCGCAGTCAGGCACGCATCGTAAGGTTTCCCATCCTACGTATGGCTCAAGGCTCAGGAAACTCTTTTGCTCTGGTGGAGGTGTCTGTTCTCTATTATCGCTCCAAGGAGAAGCTTGCGCGCCGTTGGTTCGAGTACATAACGGATGATCACAAGGAGCGGAGAAGTATGCAGACGGACGAACAACGAAAACGTAGTTTCCTAAGAGACGAATTAACCTAAGCCGCGGTAGCATTAGAGAAGAGGAATGCTGACTGGCAAGATCTCGCACGATGTCTGCGACGACTTGTGCAATTTTAGATTTTGTATCATAGTGAGGTCGCTTTCCTGAAGTAGAGGCGAAAACCTGGATTCCTCGAGCAAGCGGTGCATCTTGCCAGAGCTTGACCTGACATCCGGCGAGCTGGTGCACTGGTACGATGTCGGATATGTCGGGGGAGAAGCCATGTTCATCCCGCCGAGCGCTTGCGGGAAGATATTGATTAAGATAGGCTCGCATCGCTTGGCCTCCCTCCCCCATGTTGTCCGATTCCATGATATAACTAACACTCGAAGGTGGTGCGTTCGGGTTAGATGAGTCGGAAACAAAGTATACGTCGTCCAGCAATTTACCGTTCTCCCCGATACTGGTGTCGATATGTCGTCGGCCGTCGGGTCCAAGATAGAACTCGTCGCTATCGTCGGAGGCATCATCTGTCAGCTCGGGCGGATATTGCAAGCCGAATGGATCGAGATTCGCGGTGCTCTGAAACAGGTTTCGTTGCTCGCTGACATTTTGGTGATTACGGAAAGCTGCGTCCAAATCTAGCTCGAGGTTGCTGGCGTGCGCATGAGGGGGGACATAGAATGGGTCGTCGACGCCGATATCATCTCTTAGGTCCATGATGACGGAAGGAAACACGAGACGATGCAAGCGAGAGGTGCGACAATACTTTTAAGAAGGCGGGGAACGCGTGAAGGAAAGATCGTGCGACAAGGAGAAACTTGGTGAGGCTTGGCTGGTGGAGGAGGGCGGCGAAAACAGAAGCACGTGGCACGGATCATGGTGGTCGTCCCTGGGAACCATTCTTTCTTGCGGAGGTCGTGAAGCGACGGACATCCTCGGCCCGTCCACCAGGACTGGATAAGACCAGTATTTTGCTTTGAGTGCAGTGAAGCAGATGACTTTCGTGGGATAGTCTGCCAGCCTGTAGATTAGCAGAATTAGTACTGTAGAGTGAGATGCTATTAGTAGGCATAGAACTCTACGGGCGTCTGCTTCATCACAGATCATGACACATCCCCGTGCTTTCCAATTGGGAAATTTAGACCTTTAAATTGATGTATGGATGAGAGCCTTGAGGGGCTCCCGGACGAAGTGTAACCATGACGGCACGAGAGGTGACAGCTTCTACGTGTTATGAGACATGCAGTCCAGAAGAAAGCTATGTTGTGTCGGGGATCTTTGACAGCTTTCGCTCTTGATGAGATCTTTTAGCGCTTGAATGCTTCACTCTACAGATTAAATGGAATTGATAGACTTGAAGAAGAGTGGTAGTGAGATGGGACGAAAGGGGCGTTTCTCACCGCTTTTCATGCCGCTGAGTTCTGCCGGCGGAAATTTCACGCCCACCCCAATTTTCTCAAACTCTACTCTTTAACACAAAGAACGAGCAATCATGGGTAAACGCAAAGTCGGCGCGCTTGATAAAGTGGATGCGGATCTGTAAGAGCTCCCATGAGTGTGAACAGGTTACCTGGCTAATACAGAACAGCCCGAACTTGCAGTACAAGATCCGCCGCGACCCACAGTACGTACTTTCCCTCCAGCCAGTACGCACGGAGCTGACTATTTGAAGGTCTTACAAGGACGACTTCCAGAACCAGTACAACCAATATGAGACCTTCCGAGAGCTCTTCATGCAGGCGCCTGCGTCAGCGGACGACAATGGCATTGTCTCCCTCCGGGACCTCATAGATTTTGTCTCGCACGTCGCGGATTGCTACCCTGCAGTCACGGCGAACTTCCCGAACGATCTGGTTCAAATACTGTCGCTGCACCATGCTGAGCTAGAAGTTGAGTTGAGGGATAAGATTGTGGGAAGTTTGGTGCTTTTGAAGAACAAGGATGTCATAGACTCTTCTACGTATGGTATCCTGAACTCTAGGAAGCATTCTCGACTGATTTGCGCATCTAGTCTCTTGAACACCCTCTTTCCAATCCTCGTATCAACTCCAAGCAAAAGTCTTCGCGCTCTTCTATTCCAGAAAATTTTGTCCGACCTCCGCTCGTCCAACGCCAAAACCACAAACCACCGCCTCAACCGCACGATCCAAACTGTTCTCTACAACCTCCTCACATCCGACCGCGCATCACCGAAAGGGATATGGGCTGTCAAGATAACCCGGGAGCTATGGAAACGGCAAATATGGACAGACTCCAAAGCGGTAGAAATCATGAAGGAAGCAAGCTTGGCAGAGAACGACAAGGTAATTACTAGCGGCGTGAGGTTTTTCCTAGGCGGCGACAAAGAGCGAGAAGAGGCTGCGGACGAGAGCAGTGACGAAGAAAACATCGATATGGGTCAGTTGCGACATCAGGTCGGCATAAACAAAAAGACGAAGAAAAAGCAGAAAGAATTGAAGCAAGCCGCTGCGACGGTCAAAAAGAAGGAGCGCAAAAAGAGCCAACCACATCCTCTCAACTTTTCTGCTTTCCATCTCCTCCACGATCCGCAGGGCTTTGCTGAGCAGCTCTTCTCAAGACATCTTCAGAACACGAAGTCGAAACTTAATCTGGACCAGAAACTCGAAGTGCTTCAGCTGGTATCGCGACTCGTTGGTCTCCATAAGCTTACAGTTATCTCGCTCTACTCGTTTTTCATCAAATACCTTACCCCTCGACAACCGAAAGTCACCTCATTCCTAGCCTCTCTAGCCCAAGCGACCCATTCTCTAGTTCCCCCGGATGCACTGGAGCCACTAGTTCAGAAGATCGCAAACGAGTTTGTTTCGGAAGCCTCGGCATCCGAGGTTGCTGCAGCTGGGTTGAACGCTATTCGTGAGATCTGCGCGCGGCAACCGCTAGCTATGAACGATACCTTATTGCAAGATTTGGTCATGTACAGGAAGAGCAAGGACAAGGGAACCATGATGGCTGCGAAGGGGTTACTGAGTTTGTATCGGGAAGTCGGTGCTGAACTGCTGAAGAAGCGAGACCGAGGCAAGGACGCCACTATTGGGTTGAAGGTAGGCGAAATCAAGGAAAGGAGATATGGCGAAGAGGCAGCAGGCGAGATCGAAGGCCTTGAGCTGCTGGAACAATGGAAGGCAGACGAACGACGCAAGAAGCGCGAAGAGATGGGCCTTCCTCCTGACGCCCCCTCTGACGAGGACTCCGAAGACGAAGCCGAGAACTGGAAAAACTGGGAAGTCGAAGAAGACGAAAGCGATGACGAAGAAGGCTGGATCAACGTCGAGAGCGACGGCGAAGACATCAACATCAGCGACAGCGACGACGACAAGCCCCCCGCCGCAAAGAAAGCCAAAACCGACGCCGGTTCTGCGACTCTAGACACAACCCACGACAAAGAAAACCCAGATGCTGCAGAGGCCAGGCGCATCTCCAAACTCGCCACCACGCGGATCCTCACCCCCGCCGACCTCGCCAAGCTCCAAGAGCTCCGCCTCGCCTCCTCCATCACAAAGTCCATGCCCTCCGCGAAACGTCGGCAGGCCCTCGAAGCCCGCCACGCCGACGACCCCCTCACGGCGGCCGAGATCGAGGCGCCGGGCTTGCTGGGGAAGAAGACGACGAAGCAGGAGAAGATTGAGATGGCCAAGGGGGATCGCGACCAGACGCACCAGAGCACGACGGCGATACGGAAGGAGAAGAAGCGCGCGGAGGGCAAGAGCACGACGAACAAGGAGAAGGCGAGGCAGAAGAACTTCTTCATGACGCTCGGTAAGGCAAAGAGCAAGAACAAGCGGAGTTTAGTGCAGACGCAGAAGACGCTGCGGGGGCATATCGATAGGAAGAAGAGGGGTGGGAAGAGGGGCAACCAGGGGCAGTAAGGGGAAGGTGCTTCACGGTGTGTGTATATGATGGTTTCCCTTTCGGTTTGTGCGAGAGATAATGCTTGAATGAGATACCCGTTCATCCCAAGCGTTTTTGGCTACTCGAATCACTTCGATCCTTGAATTCGGATGCAAAAGGGTATGAATTATATACATGCGTATCGAATAAATCGCCATCCCCCCTATACACTAACACTATCCCACCAACCCCTGTCATATATATACACCCCCCTGCTCCTCCGAATCCCGTGGTTCACTAGGATTGAGAGAGAGCAGCTCATAGCTTCACAGACTCCCCGCCCGAATACTCGCCCTCCGCTCCTCGAGCACGGCGTCCTCCTGCACCGGCGGGCCGGCGTAGTGCTTGCGGCCCCAGACAAAGTACCACAGGGACGCGACTACGAAGAAGGCGAAAAAGACGACCGAGGCATAGTTCATGGTGGTCGAGGAGACGGGCAGGTACGAGGGCATGCAGAAGAGGGGGATGGCGAGGGCGGACCAGGCTGTACACACAGAAATCAGCTTGTGTTTCAAGAGAAAACAATGGAGCGGGCTGTTGCTCGCTGGTGGTTTGGTGGGGGGGGGAGCGACTTACCAAGCGCCACGACGTTGGCGACCAAGCCGACAACGCCCATGTTGTAGTCGCCCGTCTTGACGTGCGTGCGCCCGCCGATGAGCGAGACGGCGATGGGCACGGCGTACGAGAGCGTCAGGCAGATAACGCCGACGCCGGAGAAGGCGTTGAAAGCAGCCGTAGAGCCGAAGTAGATGACGCCGAGGATGATCTGCACGACCATGCTAAGCATCATGGCGTTGAAGGGCACGTCCAGCTTCGGGTTGACCTCCTTCCAGTACTTGCTCCCCGGGATGGCGCCGTCGCGCGAGAAGGCCCACACGCAGCGCGCCGCGGCGGTTGTGCAGCCGATGCCGCAGAAGAGCGCGAGCACGAGCAGCGGCACGAGCAGGCCGAAGGCGCCGCCGGCGGAACCGACGGCGAACTTGAAGATGGTGGGGACGGGCTGCCCCGAGAGCAGGCCGATCAAGAGGGTGAGGTCGGGCAGGACGAAGACGATGGGGATGAGGAAGACCAGCCCGCCGATCGTGTTGATGATGATGGTGTAGACCATGGCTTTGGGGACTTGGGTCGCGGGTTTTTCGACTTCTTCGCACATCCTGCGGGCAGCGTTAGCTGCAGTCGCTTACTTCAAGGGGTAGGGGGAGAGATGGGGGAAGAGGGGTGTCGTTAGAAGAGTAGTTCCGTCAGGTGTTGTCACGTGTGTTGCTCTGGAACGGTTGCTCTGGAACGAAGGAGGTGTTGCTTGGGATGTAGCTGCTAGGGGAGTAAAGCTGCTTGGGGTTGGATTCGCGCTGGGGACTAACGAGATGATCATGCCGGTGGACGAGGTCGCGTAGGCTGCTTGCAGGAGGCCGACGCAGAAGGACCAGCCAGCCGGCCAGCCGGACTGCGGCTCGAAGTCGGTGAAGACGTATTTGGCGCTGTGGCGGCCGTGTTTGGCCAGGGCGAGGATGCACACGATGATGGAGAGGACGCCTGCAAAAGTCCAGAAGATAGCGAAGGTCTAGTGTCACGTGAGTAGAAGAATGGGGAGGGGTCCAGGGTCCGGTACGTACGTCGAGAAGGGGGAGGTATTTGTTGCCAAAGGCAGAGACGGCGTTGCATAGGAAGGTAATGGCGACGAAAATTAGGAAGACTTGGTAGGTCTCTGCGGGGAAGATGCCCGCATCGGGAGCCTCCAGAGTGCTGCCAAAGACATTGATGCAGGCGACGAAGAAGAGGGTGGTGCCAAAGTTCACAGACAGGGTGATTGTGATGTTGCCAACGACGAACGACCAGCCACAGATCCATGAGGCGATCTTGCGATATGACGGCGGCGCAAGCATGAAGGTTTGATAGTAGACGCCGCCAGCAGTTGGATATACCGACGTAATCTCTCCTAGGGAAATAGCGACACAGAGAATGATGATGGACACTGTTACCCAGCCCCAGATGATGTTGGCTGGGCCGCCGCCAACGAGCGGATAGAAGAAGGTGGTTGCCAGTCCGTAGGGAATTGAGGCCAGCACGAAGGACATGAAGACAACCTGTAGCGTGGACCTGTTCCGGACCAACTCCGACTGGTATCCCATGGCCTCGAGCAGGTCGTCGGCGGAGTTGTCAATGCCTCCTCCATGGCCCTTCTCATGATCTGCCTTGGTAAGACTGATTTTCCGTGCAGAGCTGCGTCGGTGGGTATCGTGTTGGTCGCCAAGGGACGAGGACTCGCCGTAAGGGCGCTCTGGGAGACTCATGGCACAAAGAAGCGCGGAGCGAGTGCTGGAAAATTAAAAAACTGTAGAAAAAGAGGGATCACTGTCGCGACTGAAGCCAGAGAGTCGAGTGAAGACTCAGCAGTTAAAGTCGTGTCCGTAGATTGCGCTAGGCCTCAGCAGGTCAGGATATACGAGGGCCCCTGGAAGACGTGCAGCCGTTCACCACGCGGTGTCCCCGCGCCTGAGCGTCTGCGGGCGTCTGCGTTGCAGCGTTTTTACGGAGGCGTGATAACCACCTGCTGCTTTGGCCACAGCCCGGTACGGCAGCTTGTTGCGGATGCCGAGCCGCTGCAGTCCCAGTGGAGTCCTTTGACCGATCGGTGGCGCTAGAAGGCCGCTAGAGGCAGCTAGAAGTACGTAAGGCCGTGAGAAACATGCCGCGTTGCGTCAGGAGAGGGTGGGATATCTGGGAGAACTTCGGCTGCGAGTTTCACAATCAGACCCCGAGCATCGTGCGGCGAAAGCGTGAGATATATTCGAGATAGTAGGGATGCCTAGGTACGAACACCGTCGTCAAGATACGAAATAGCGGATGAAAGATAATGGAGGCATGACCGAGCGGCCGAAGCTGAGGCGTGAACAAGCGTCTCCGCATTCTTGGCGCGGGTTGAAGCGAAGAAAATTCAAACTCCAAGATTTCCGATCTAAGGATGCAGGCTTTGATTCGCGACGCTGACCTCGAGTCCCTTCGGAGGATGACGAGTATACCCGCGAGTTCCGTCCCGCGATAGACAGGATCAGGACCCCGCCGTACAGCATGTCTATCGAGGAGATGAGGATGAAAGAAATCGAAGCCAAAAGGGATAAATTATTCTATCTAGCGATAGGAAGATAAGAGTATCGAGATCTTCTGCACGTAACAGCTGGCGTCATTATTAACAGTGTCGGAGACTTTTATCGGCTGTTGGATATTCTTCTTCTCGGCCTTTTCATAGATTGGCGGCCAGTAAGCCTTATGTCTCGTACCAACCTGAAGTCAGACGAGAAGGCAGCAGGAATAAGGGATCAATGGATGCAAAGGTATGAAAAGAGTGGACTAAAGCATCATCAGACCTGATTGGGAAAAGGGCGTCTTTTCACCTGTAGCTCTAACGACCCGCTCAAGCCGTTCTATCATCACTCACACAACCTACACACCACCCACGCATTCTCTTTCATCTCTTGCATATGTGTTGCATCTCCTAATTACTCTTTCATTTCTCATAGAATATCATTATTTTCAGCCAGTCACATCCCTCAGCGGCCTCTGTACTTCTGCTTTTCTCGACCCCACGCTAGCCTTGCCACCCAATCGTGCTAATCTCGCAATCATGCACACCCCGCACTCTCAGCGAACCACATACCCAGGCCCTCCATCATTCTTGGACTGCGACAAGCCCACAGGCCACGGCGGCCCAGACGCACACATCATGGTCTTGCCACTACTTCATCGCTGCAAGGCCATGAACCCCCTTCAACAGATAGACGTTATGCCTTTCATCCTCATGGAGAGGCTAAGTGCCGTCATTGACTTCCGGAAAAGCCCACGCTTCAAGATCGTTTCGATTTTCACCTCTTTCAACATCTTATGTAATCTTTTGAGAGTAGATTTGCAGTCGTGGACGTTATCTTTGATAATGACCCATGTATCGGCAAAGTCCCCAGCTAAAGCTGACCGGTACTTTTCGCAAGCTTTCTGAATAGCAGCGGCAACGGTTGTGAGGGCCCTTGTCTCTGAGCGTAACCCTTTGACATCTTCATCGACACCGCGTACACTTCTTACGATATCGTCGAGTAGCAAATAGACCTGATTCAAGAGTGAGCTGTAATGCTTAGAGCTAAGGTTGACGTTTGAAGACTGCCTTGCCGGCCACAGAAACGATGCTCGCTGCAGAGGCAGCAATAGATATTGGATCCATGGCAAATGATCGCGATATCCGTCGTATCCCTTAACCCGTCGAGGCGCAACGCTCGGGCCAACGCCAAGCGAACATCATTCTCAGATATACAAACAAATATTGTCAGGCATAACAATCAACCAGAACCCACCTAAAAAGACAGCAATTGATGCCCAATCATGCCCAGAACATCAAATGACATTAACTATGTCAAATGGAAGGATTCTCGTACAAAACAAGCGAAAACACCCCCCCCCCAAAGCCGGCGCCGCTGCCCGAGTTCTCTCCGCTCCGCATCAACAGTTGGCATGCTCCAGGGAGAGCCTCTATGCCCTCTGGTCTTAATCGGCATAATCCTATGGCCATTTTCAAGCTATTCTTCACCAATAAAATAATGGAGAAGATGGTGCAGTGGACAAACGAGCATGCAGAACAGCACCGGCCCACCGACGTGCGCCTGCCACGGCCATGGAAGCCAACTACAAGGCACGAGCTCTATGCCTATTTTGGAACACTTATTCATATAGGAGTTACCGTGGAGAAGCGCGTTAAGGACTATTAGGGCCCTAGATCACGTGGTGCTAGCCATATAGTAAAAGACTATATTTCAAAGACCCGGTTTAAGCAGATTGATCGGTACTTTCGGTGCTCTCCTATGCCCCAGGATGGATTCCATTCGACATTTAAGCGTATAGATAAGCTCTCTAAGTATCTACAAGTACGCAGCCGCATGTACTGGACCCCAGGCCCTTACCTTGCCGTCAATGAAATAATACAGAGGTTCATAGGACGGGCTAGCAAAATTATCGACATTCCATCTAAACCAACGCCGGAGGGGTTTAAAATATGGGTTCTTGCTAATCAAGGCTACATTCTTAATTGGCTATGGCATGCTAAGGGAGATAAGAAAAGCCCTATTAACCTTAACAAATCATTCCTTGCAGAGGGCTTCACTAAAACACAAGCCGTTGTGCTTGATCTTTTAACACAACATAATTCTATTATAAATCAACCCCTCTATCCACCTTATAAGCACGTAGTTTAGCTGGATAATCTTTTCTCTAATATAAAGCTATTTAAGAGGCTCCGTAAGCTTGGAATAGGAGCAGCTGGCACCGTGCGCACAACTAAAACAAAGAGAGAAGAGATGGAAGGAATTAAGACAAATATTGTCGCCATTAAGGAACAATCTAGCGCTTCACAACGCCAGATAAAGAGGAAGAAGATTAAGCCTGCAGAGAGCTTCTCTCCATCGCTTGTAGACCTTAAGTTAAGCCACAATAGGCAAATTCCGTGGGGCACGCTATATAGCGAGTTGTCAAAAAGTCATAAGGTGATGGAAATCGCCTGGAAAGATGCAACAATAGTCTTGTTCCTGTCTACTGTGCATAACGGGAAGGATTACATTGCTAAGCTACGGAAACAACCTACAAAAACAGCTACAGGATATCATCAAACGGTGAAGATGTTCGGTAAAGAGGCGCAGGCGTGGCTTAATATTCCAGTGATGATCGATGAGTATAACCTCTGGATGTGCGGCGTGGACGTGGCAGACCAGATGCGCAGCTATTATAATACAAATCGTGTCCACAGAAAGACATGGAAGCCATTGTGGAGTTTCCTGTTGGATACGGTTGTGGGCAATAGCTACATGCTCTCATCATACAGGCCCGAGCCGGGCTCAGGCGAGCGCGCATCACGCCAAGATACTCATCTACAATTCTGTCGAGACCTACGAGACAAGCTCCTACATGCATCTATTCGCTATCGCCAGCAAGATTCTATGCAGAGAGCGAAGGGGCCTATGGATCTTGTTTGGAGACCGGTCAATGAGCATCAGCATGTTAAAATGTTCACAAAACAACCCACCTGCGCCGGCTGCTCAGCTAAGCACCGCGCAACTTCAAAGCCTCATCTTGGCGCTCGAAAAGCTCTTGCTGAGCTATCTGTCAATACAACACAGAAGAAGCGAGAGGATAGCAGGGGGTGGAAACGCCGTGAAAGGCCGCCAAGAACGAATTAGGGCTGTTCTGTATGCAACATTCCGTTCTGTAGAGAGGGCACGTGCTGGAGCGAGCACGTAGCCCGGCTCAACACCATTGCCTAGCTCTACAAGCAGATATGTACATAGAAATCACGAATTCAAACATTCTCATCTCTCCGTAGCTCTCATACTCAGGGGCCGATGCGGTGCATCTGATTGGCTACAAAAAGTGGCCCGAGCGTTGCGCCTTAATCGACGGGTTAAGGGATAGGCTTGGAGCTAAAACGTTGTTGATTCACCTCAAGCGGCTGTCGATGGAGGGTAGCCTGTTAGCCTGGTGAAGCCGTGTGTGGCGTTTAGAATCAAGCTGCACCTTTTCCGAAACCTACCATCTACTTCGTAAACATATTTGTGTCCTTGTATCGGCACTGGCGCCACCATTGTTCGGGATCAGATTTGTGCCTCCAACGGAGGAGTATGGATGTCATGAAGAGAGAGACTGGCGGGGTCGGATATGGGACTAGTCAAAAGCAAAGTTATTCTAGCTGACAAGGCTGAACTGCGCCTTCTTCAGCCTCGAAGCCAAATTCTTCGCAGCCGCATTTCACTCTGATGACGGTGCTATATCATCGCCAGGCTTCAGCAGGCCTAAGCATTGTCGGACTGGGAAGGACATGGGTTGGCATTTTCCGTTCCGCTTTCGATTGCAGGCTCATTCTCTCTAGAATACGGGGAGTCTTTTGAACTGAGCATCCCTCTCAAACTTCAAACCTCTGTAGTTGAAGGAGTATGGTGCCAGTGGGCTAGTCTGTGCTTCCAAGGGATTGGAGGCCACCGCTTGAAAGGCTGCGTAAAACTCTGCATCGACGTCACCTGCTCCCTCGTTTGTAAAGAAAAACTTTAGGTATCCCCGGGTGCAATACAAAGCCGCACACAATATAGAGAGGTAGAAATTAGTTGGCCTGCTCGGTGTCTGTTAGGTGAACGTGACGTTCGCGCGTCATATAATGATAGATCGCTGTACGTCACGGCGTTCCAAGGTTTGATTGGGCTTCTTATTCTAGCGCTAGGTTCCACAACATATTGCAGCGCATGATTCAACGACATCTCATGCACCGTGCCTCATACGGTATTCTCTCCCAACTCAAGCCACTAGTCAGAATTAACCTCTTTGCTTAGGCCGTGTAGGATGTGTTTAGATGTCGAAAGACTGGTATAGAAATCGAACTCATAGAGCCTGGGGGTTCCTCGCCGACTGTAACACGCCTCGTATTCATTCCACTGAAAGGGTATCGTTTCTCAAAACAAACGTCTGCTCGAATTCTCGACTCTCACGGCAGCCAAGTTTGGATTGACGAACACGCGCTCCGAAATCCTTTGAACACCCTGCCTTCCCATTCTAGCGCTTCAGCTCATCCATTCTGCTGCGCCGCACAGTCTGCCTTTATTTGCTCCTCATATGACACCCCAAGCTGGCATCCACGGCGTCATGAAGTGCGACTGTTTCTGGCAGACCCTACAGTACCGCGCCGCCCCCTTCCAAGGAGGCGTCTAGCATGCTTTTGTGGATCAAGAATCTGTTATATGATTGGCATAGGAATGGATTGGACGGAGTGCGTTTCTCCGTAGGCTAGACAGCTGGGCGAACCTCTTGCTCATTCAGGAGGTTGAACGTACGCCCTGAAAGCTTTTACCAATCTTCTACTGGCTCGAATGTTCAAAGTGACCACTTCGTCAGTTTCAGGTTCTCCTTGACAGTAGTAAGTCGCTGGACGCCAAGTTCCCTATTCAAACTCTAACGCCTTCCAGTCCCCTGCTACCGGCGTAGGCGTCTCGAACGAAAGATGCAGTGGTTATCTAACCAATCATCAGATGATTGATGCCGTCGGAAAAGACCTCCTGGGTGTGTAAGGATTTCAACAAGACATAAAGTGACTAAGGAAATTCCTTGGGACGTCAAGGCCATTCTTTTTCAACTCGTTCTCGGTAAGGTTTTGAGGATTTTCCCCAGAGACCAAGTGATCCTTCTCATACAACCAGCACTCTCGAAACAATGCCTAGTCTTTGCCCCAATTGCAGCCAGACCAAATACAACTGGGTCAGATCAACGCCTTGTGGCAAATGCGGCGCCCAATATGGAGGCTACTACCTCACTTCTACCGCTAAGGCGTGTACTGACTCCAATTGCAATCATGGCGCCAAGAAGAACGATCCCAACAGAGACTGCACTGCGTGCTATGGAACGGGCAAGAAACTCACCCGCTGCGACAGAGCGGGTTGTGTCAATGGTTACATGCGGTATACTTGCCTGGACTCATTCCATGACTAAGGGAGAAAGGAGTAACTAGCAGGAGCTACTCCTCACATGGCAGCAAGCGTTGACGAAGAAAGCATGAATCATTACGTGCCGGCATCGTTTGTTCATGTTGTTCTGGTTCCTGCAAGTTGTTGTTCGTCGTTGGCTTGGTCGCTTTGGTTTTGCCTATTGTCTACAACGCCCCTATATGTACACCACGCTCGCTTGTTGCGCTGATTTTGTATCCTATCGTTGTTTTTCATTGAAGGGAAGGTGAAGGGCTGAAGGAGGGAAAGGTTGTGTATTTTGAAATCGGACTTCTTTTGGGCTTGGAACCCATACAACCTTTGCACGCATGTGTCTATTCACCGGCCATCTTGACGTTCTACCGTTCTTGTCTAATATTCCCGATGCCAGTTGGTCAGCTCATCTCCGTGGTTGCTTCTGAAAGACTGTTGTTGGGTCACTAGCCAGGAGAGTGCGTTATTGACAGTCGTACCTTTAGAGAGAGCTATCACGGAAATACAGTCATTCCGGGATTTGCGTGTCCATTTGTCGAAGGCAGTCAGCGCTCTTTATATGGTTGCGTATATATCTCGATCTATATCACCTTGATATGGGAATTGTTTTGCAAATTCAGCGACATAGGAGAGACGAGCACGCGCGTTTAGTAGACCTAAATCGTCCCACATGCGCTGATTTCAATCTAGCTACATTCTAGTCTATACTTCAGAGCGATCGGTGTGGGTTAGGAGATGCCTATGACACACTGCGCCTCTAACTAGTCTCCGTTGCCCAGCCTTGCAAGTCGTCTTGAGCTAGCTGGGAAGACCTCTCCTCATACCTGAGCCCGCACGCCTCGGTAGTTCTCTCCAATCTTTCCGCACGCCTCATCTAGACCCGGTGGTTTGGTGGCATAAGCGACAATCGTCTTCACAGCTTGCCCGAGGATCACGAGCAGCGTATCTGGACCGTTTCGTCTGTTTTGTCTTTTGACCCTTCAGTTAGAGAAGATCCTTAGTTTTCGATCCACTCCTCCCGTGGCAATAACGCAACGAATTTGCACGTTAGGGATATTCCCTACGGTCCCCTTCTTCGGTGTCCCGTTAGGTTGGGCAATTTCCGTAGGTGGTTCCTTTACAATTCCTGGAGCCCAGCCCAGACAGGTGATGAAGCGTTCATTCGCATCATCCAGCATCTTGACGCACCTTGCGTCCTGGGTCAAGTCCCAGCACCGTAGCGTCTTGTCATCCGACACCGACAGGAGATATTTGCCGCCGGGGTGGAAAGCGACCGCCCGGACCCAGTTGTCGTGCCCTGTTAGTGTCATAAAGCAAATTCCTCGTGCATCCCAGAGCTTAATAGTCTTGTCCCGCGAACCGGTCGCCATAAACTCTGCAGGACTGCTGGCTGGGGGTGGCTTCTTCAGTCCAGCTAAAGAGGCAAGATGTTGGTACGAAGCAGGCGGAGCAAGTACACAGCATTCGATTCTGTTTGTATGACCAATCATTTCCAACTTGCTGTCTGGATCCGGATCGGATATATCCCATAACCGAACAGTTAGGTCATCCCCAGCCGAGAGGAGGAAACGTCCATCAAACGAGGGGCAAACAGCTCGAACCCAGTCGGTATGACCCTTCAGCATCTTCACGCAGTAGCCATTGGTAACATCCCATACTCTCAGGGTCTGATCTCTGCTCGCGCTGACAAGCAAGTTTCCGGTTGGTATGAAACGAACGGCGCTCACGCTATGATCATGACCTAGTAAAGTCCGGATGTTCTTATAATCGTTTGCCGGATCCCATAGCTTAATTGTCAGGTCGCTGGAGCAGGACGCCAGAAGGATGCCACCTCTTGGGCCGCCGTAATCAACGTCTAGGACTGTTCTAGTGTGCCCTTTTAGCGTCTTCTCCAGCTCGCCTTGTTCCCAGTCCCAAACTTTGATAGTGTTATCGTCGGAGCCAGAGGCAACAGAGGTGAATATTGGATGGAAAGCGACGCAGTTGATGGTGTCTCGGTGCGATTCTAACGTGTGTCGAGGTGGCGATCGAGGTAGCCAAGCAGTGGGGTCTTGTTTGCGCCTGAAGCCAGAGGTAGATGACGCATTGTCGAGCTCCGATTGCATCGCGGTGGCCCGGGACTCGAGGTCCATTATCTAGCGTGAAATAATGGTTATGAGTGTGCCAAACGACAAGAATCCGGTGCGTAGACATACCCTTTTCTGTAGCCGGACAACGCCTATCCATTTCTTTTCCAGCACGGCTTCGTATTTCTTTATTGTATTCACGTTCAGGACATCTTCCTCGAGACTTAGCTCTGCCCGAAGCGTAGCGGCGGCATTCGATAGGTGGTTCGCTGATAGGTATGCTACAATCGACTTGTGTCTGGGAGCGCAACGTCAGCTTCGATCGCGAGATGATCCTCCACAGTATGTACGCACAGCTCTTCAGCTTGCCGAGTCGTTAATATCGAGCTCATAATGAGGATGTTGTGATACTCTCCGCGTCTGTTTTCGCGCGGTTCTAAAGAACTGAAGTTTACTTCGAAGCCGTTCCCCAAAACACGTTCAGGAGGGCCGAAGTTAATCAGGAGCGCGGATTGAGCAGATGAGATGCAGACGCTGGAGCGTCACATCCACATCCGATCAGGTGACCTACTCTCGCACTCGCTCCTCGCACCTTCCTTGTCACGGGCTATAGGTGCATGTGATGAGAGGGATTTGAGGTGTTGACTGTGTGTGGAATTAACTCGGAGGCACAGAGGTAACTTCGCCGAGATGCGAGATTCGAGATTCAGCCGGTACGACCCCGCCAATTTACGCGAGGCCGGGGCTGTGCTTTTGGCATCGGCGCGGCTCCGGAGAGTACAATAGCAGCGTACAGTGGCACGAGTGGGTCTCGTACAGTCACGTGCGTGCGATTATTGTAGCACGCCTGCGTATATTTCATCACATTCTCAATAAACACCCAGGCATAAGCCTGAAGCTCGAAGTGCCACAAGGGCACCCTAAGGTGCCTACAGCGACGCCAAGACCTCCAATTGGTGAGTCAGAAGGTGAGAAAAACAAAATAGCGTCCGACTTGCCACTCTCGGAGGCCTCGAAGCATATACTACATAGACTACGGGACAGAAGGGTGTATAACTACAAGTTTATAAATGTACATGGCAAGCCACGTACACCTGCGAAGCCCCCCCTGAAACCTTAAGCTCCGCCTGAGCCTTGCGCACCTCCAAAGGCTTAGAGGGCTACTAGTACTAAGAAAACTAAGCAAAAAGAGGCCAAAAGTTTGAGTGTTCCCAAGCGACGGCGGCCATTAACTTTGCATACAGACGAGGCACCTGCGCAGCCTGTAGTGAAGGCTAAGAGAGCGCCTAAGGCTAAGAAAGCTAAGGAGGCAAAGAATGGTAAGAAGATGGCGATTGAGGTTGATGGACGTACATAGGAGCCGTATAAACTCTAGATTATAATGTTGATGTTTCAATTTTGAGGGTGTGATGAAGTATACGCAGGCGTGCTACAATAATCGCACGCACGTGACTGTATGAGACCCACTCACGTGTCACTGTACACTGCTACTGTACGCCGGCACAGTACTCTCCGGAGCCGCTGCGTCTTGGCATGGCGGGAAAAGGTCCCCATAAGACGGCGTCACAAACATCCACTTTCAGAGGGGTATTTACCAGAAACCTGCGTTTATGTATAAAGGGAATAGATCCAAGAGAAGGAAAACCCGAAGAAGCTCGGGTCGGGAAAAGGCAAAGATACGCTTGTTGGACTTGAAAGAGACGAAACTATCGCCTTTGATGCTCGAAGAGATGATGGGAGTTCAAAATCATAGGTCAAGAAAATGTCTACTTCATCGTTCAGTTCCGACCAGAAAGATACGCCTTAGATGTCGAGATTACAGGAGCAGCGAAAGAGATATGCAGCCCTAAATGCCCCCATGTCGAGCGGGTGGAAATTCAAGATCCTAAGATTGTTCCAAGAGGTCTTCAAGTCTACGCTGTCGAGTTTCTACCCGGTGTTCCGTATTCGAAACTTCAACCAAGGGCCCGGATCCTGAGTTTCCAAGAATGGACGCATCAATCGCGACTCATCAAAGGCTTTACGCATTTTGTCGCACGAGGATGGCCGGCATCTCCCCAGAGCCGCCAGCCACAACCTTTTCCCTTGTCGTCCGGTTACCCTGAACGTTCCATCCAGATGACCGGCAAGGTCGGCGCCTCTATCAAATCGAAGCTCGCTCAATTGGTGTCCGACTTGCCGACCACTGCACTCCGAACGCATGCGCAATCTGTTCTCTATCAATTGCCCACTATAGAATCGCTCCCCATAGTCGTAAACCACGGCGATGTGGTTCCAGCCAACATCTTGGTTGAACGTACTACTGGTTCCCTAGCTGGTCTTGTAGATTGGGTCGAAGCAGAGCATCTCCCATTTGGGACGTGTCTGTATGGACTGGAATATCTCCTAGGCTGGATAGACTCGGGATCCAGCCAATCTTTCGTATATTTTCAGAAAGCTGAAGAGTTGCGAGAGCTCTTCTGGAACGAGTTGGCGGTGTGCATTGGGATCGATCTAGGGAAGCTAAATCAATGGAAAAGTCACGTTGCGCTCGCAAGAAACCTGGGAATGCTGCTCTGGTTTGGCTTCGCATGGGATGGTGGCAATATTGATAGAGTTGTGAATCGGGACGACGACCCAGAGGTCGTGGAGTGTCTGGAGGCATTCTTGAGCGTTGAATTAGGGAGAGCTAGGTTATGAGTCGACTGGGTCTTCTGCCGCCATTGAATTCTAGCCCAGCAAATATGGCTATCACGGAGTGGTGAGTGGGTGTGCCCAGCCCTTGACTTATCCAGAATCTGGCGAAAATAGACCCAAGGTTCCCAAAGTGGTGCCTCATGACGACCACGAACCAACCCCACGAGCAGACTGACAAGTTTTCTATTACAAGATTTCGAGCCACGTATGATCTTGGTTTCCCTGGTTGGTTTCGAACCTTGCAGCTCTCGAATCAAACTGCACCATACGAGCCGCGGCCCTCTCTTCGTAACAACCTTTAACTAGCTGGAGGATACTTCCTCAAAAGCAGCACAAGTCTAGTACATCTGGCTCTACCACCCTATCTGCCATGGAAAAAAACAATGCTAGCCGTTCTCTGATCCGCGCTTTCCTCTCACAAACCCTAGTTCACCTTCCAGTTTACGTTAAACAAATCCGAGAAACCAAACTTTCAGCTATCAGCTTTCCATCTCTCAGCCAGAACACCGTCGCTTCGACGTACATACTCGCTTCGGCAAATGGACCCGGAAATCCAAAACCTAGCACCAAGACCACGCCAGCACCCCGCAGCAATGGACAACGCCTCCCTCGTGTGGCAGCGTCCGAATTTCCACCTACCAAACCTCCCCACAAACGCCGCAGCCTCCCAGAACCCGACGTCCAGACCCAGCTACCGCGACGTGGCAACCCAAACCGACTTTCCCCGCCTCATCATCCGCCTCCCAGCCCCAGCCCCGAAACCCGTGGACGTGTTCCTCCACCAACCCGCCCGCCAGCTCCCTAGCCAATCGCGTGCCCTCAAACTCCGCCGGCAACGCGAACTCCGCACCTGCGTGGACCAAGCGGCAGAGCTGTTCAACGTCCTCCAGGAAGAGACATGGGAGTTCAGCGCCGCCGACCGCGACAAATTGCTGAGCCAGGCGCGGGTGTGTCTCTCGCGGCAGCATGAAGTTTTCTGCATGAAGGATTGGTGGAAGCTGCGGGCGCTGTGCAAGGACAAGTGGAGGGGGAGGGTAACAGCGATTGGAAGGGAGTATGCGTCGCTTAGGCGGGAGTATAAGCGCATTGTGCAGGAGATTGAGAGGAAGGAAGTCGTGGTGATTTTTAAGACGGAGCGGTTTAGGGAGCAGGTGGAGATGATGAGCGAGCAGGTGGATGCGTGGTATGATGCTGATGATGATTAAGCACGATTTTCTAGTAGGGATGAAGGGGGGAAAGTGTGGATGGGGTGTGATAGATTCAGTTTTACGGCATGGCGTTGGAGGAGATGGGCATGAGAAGTTGGCTAATTCATTCAAGCTTTGCGTTCTTTTTCCGAATTCTTAGGCGTGGTTGGATTATGGGGTTTGATAGCACGTTATCCCTAGTGAAAACTGTTCACGAATGCAACGCAGCCTTCAACGCCTCGCAAGACTCCTTGACTAACCGTCTTCCTTTCTCCATAACGCTGCTCGCTGTTAGCTCAAGCCCACTTCAACCACAAAAGAAAAGAGATCCACTCACCCAGCAAGCATCAACAGACTATGGGTACACCCCTCGTAAACCACCACCTCCGTTTCCACACCCTGCCCCTTCAACAGCCCTCCAAAATCTTCCGCCTCTCTCGCCAACAAGTCACACTCCGCGACCCCAATCCACGTCTTCGGACTACCTGCCAGCTGCTTTGAGCTAGAGAGGATAGGACTTGCGTCGAAATTTGCCCAGTCGGCGGGATTCTTGAAGTAGAGATTGCGGTAATTGAGCATGCGACTGGGGGTAAGGAAGGGCGCGTGCCGGTTGGAGTACCAGCGAGAAGTAGGGGAGTCGGCGGTGGCGGTGTTGTCGAGGACGGGGCAGATGAGGAGCTGGAAGAGAAGAGGGATTGGGGGAGTGGAGAGGGCAGCGCGCATGGTGACGGTTGCGGCGAGGCCGCCGCCGCTGGTAGATGTTAGGGGGCGAAAGGGATGGATAAAGGGTGAGCATACGCAGAGAGTCCGCCGACGGCTATCCGTTCAATGTCGATGCCTAGCTCTTTTGATCCTTCTTCAGAGACGATCCACTGAAGTCCTGCGAAGGAGTCGTCTGCGGCGGCGGGATAGGGGTGGTCGGGCGCGTGGCGGTAGTTGATAGAAATGACGACGCATTTGACATCTAAAAGATCACGATGTCAAATTTCCATTCTTCACTATTCCTTAGAAATTAGCATAACTCACCTCGACATACCCTCGTCAAGTATGCATTCTCACTATCCAAGCCCCCGAGCACCCACCCACCACCATGAAACCACAGAAGACATGGCCACTTCCCCTCCTCTGGTTCTCCTTTAGGTGTGAACACTCTCGCTTGCCAATCTCCCTTCTCGATATCCCGCGTACTCCCTACCGGCACTTTCTCCTGCGCGCCAAATCGCATTGGTGATGCTACGAAACGCGAAGCCGGGTCCCATGGTACCGATTCCGAGGGTACGAGCTGCGCGAGATGAGTGTTGTGGAAGGAGATATATTCGGGGTCTAGAACTGGGAGAAGAGAAGGGTGGAGGGGTTGGTGGACTGTGGGGGTTGGTGAGGACATTTTGCCGGCCGGAAATGTGGGGTGGATGTTAGAAAGCCTTTATGCGAGCCGTCCGAAGGGGATAACGACTTTATACCTTGCGAGAGCGCGCCCTCAGGTGCTGATGAGCTAGTCGTCGTATCCTTACGCTAGGGTTCTAGGGTGGTGGTGAGTATGTCGAGGATGAGATGTCACGTGAGCTCTTGGCTTTCGCCTTTAGGAACCTCTGTACGTTAGTGCTCGTATATTTGCCCTGATTAGTAGGCTTCTAGATGCTCTCTTATGACTATAGAAAGACAGTTTTTGCCTTATTATACAATATTAGCATTTTCTTGACCACTTTGGTGTTGGATATATCCGGTAACTTCGGCCAGGTAGATAGCATGGCTCTATACGAGCAATAGTTACTAACGCCGCAGTGGTCGGCGACTTCAGAGCTGTAATGCTCAGCGGGCCGGTCTAGACATTGCTTCCGCCATCAACAGGACCGAAGGTCTCTGCAATTGGTATTCTGGTAAATCCGCGTCCATGGTATGTCTCCCGAGAGCCGCAATTTCGGGGCGTACCAACACGAACGTCTGCACGAAAATGCTTTGGATCTTGGGAGGGAGTGTTTCTCCACGGCGTGGAAAATTGCCGGGTTCGCAAATTCGTTCTTTCGTGATGTGCCGGCCGGAAAGGGGGTCATGATAGGACGAGCAGGGAGAAGCTGGCTAAACGGGTCCTACAACGCAACACATTGGCCGAGCTGTGCTGCCGATAGGTAATATTTGGTTAACGATAGAACGCCCGATGGTGTTGATGAGGAGTTGGACAAGCTACAGCATCCGGAAAGCCAGCCGCAAAAGTGGGATAATCGAGGTTTGGAAAGTAACGTGTTTCGGTACGGTGGCTTTGGCAGAGCTAGCTCAGCTTTGGTAAGAATCAGGCCAGAAAAGGGCTTCTCAAGTTCTAACCCCACCTAGTCCTGTGGACTTCAATTTTACCCTGGTTCACCGGACGTGCCTAGATGCTGTAGACGTTAGGTGGTACCTAAGAAAGGGTGACAGAACAGCCTAGCACCTATTCTGCCTAGCGCGGGTCCACGGCATCGCTTCGCCTCTCCACATAAGTTTCCACGGCTCTCCTCTCAACGTCCCACCATGATCCAAAAAATGTTTTCTCCCATACGTGCATCACTCCCACGACTTCGAATCACTGGCTGTCACAGTCTAGGCCTCCACCGAGCAGCAGGTTCTCTACCAAAAAGCGGATGCTGACGTATATCATGAATGGAGCACCGATTCTTCATCTCCACAATGACAGGCGCATTACTGGCCACTTCTGCAATCGCTTTCCGCACTGTCACTGTTTCATGGATTTATAGCAGTCAGGGCGCGCCTTGTAATGTCGATTAAGCGCCGGTGCTTATAGTTTCACCCGTTGGGACAAGATGGTGCGAATCGACCACAATGAGTGGCTTCGGCTCCCAGCGAGCGGGTCGCCCAAGAAAACAGACCCGGAAACATGAAAATCGTACCTAGGTAGAAAAGACGTGGCGCACAAACCCATATAAGCAAGGCAGGATCTTGCGCTCTAACTTGCGCTCTGATCTCGAAACTAGGGTTCCAAGACCTAACCGCATACTTGCGTTTCTTTTAAATGTCGGGCCTGTCCTTACTCCAACTTTCTTGCATCACCCTACGTGAACCAAGCACAAGCCCTGCAAGTGGCTCAGTTTGCGTTTGTAGCCAACTGAAAGCCCAGTCGATAATCGTCGACAAGACTCACTCAACATGGCCTCCGAAAAAAATGTATCTATACATGATCAAACGAACATCCTTCCCACGCGCCAGCTACTATGCGTGTTTCTAGCCCTCGCCGCAGCTTTCTTCACTAGCTACTTCGACTCGAACTCCGTGGGAGTTGCTTTGCCCAACATCGGAAAGGACCTCCGCTGCGCCTCTACTGTCCTCTGGGCTGGTACTTCCGCATGGATTGCCAACACGGCAACCCAGCCGCTTGTTGGCCGGCTCTCGGACATCTTTGGTCGCAAGGTCGTGATCGTCACGTCTTTGTTCATCTTAGCCCTTGGTGATTTTCTCTGCGGTTTTGTTGCAAAGACGGGCCCCCAGTTTTACGCCTTTCGCGGCATTGCGGGTATTGGACAAGGCGGCATCACAGCGCTCTGCATGATAATCGTGTCAGACGTCGTGACCATGCAAAAGAGGGGCAGGTAAGTTTAAGTAAATCCACGTTGCACGACCTATCTAACATAAATACTACAGGTATCAAGGAATCCTAGGAATCTGCGTCGGGCTAGGAAACTCCATCGGGCCTTTGGTTGCGGCCCAATTTACGAAACACACCTCCTGGCGGCACACCTACTATCTGCTATTCCCATTGGCAATCGCCATCGCACTCTTGTTGATTTTGACCCTTCCTCCACAGAATATGCCGAAGCAAGACTTGCGCGATACTCTTAGGAAGATTGACTACCTTGGAATAGTTTTGAGTACTACGGGAACCATACTAATGTTGATTCCGGTCGCTGGCCTGGGATCGGAATTCAAGGTTACCAGCCCCTTGGTCATTTCGATGTTTACTCTTGGTAGCATTTGCATGCTGCTCTTTATCATCAATGAGTGGAAATATGCTCGTCTCCCTATGATACCGGGTAAGTTGCCCAAACCTGATTCCTACTTAGCAGCATGTTGATGATTATATTAGGGCGACTTTTCGGCACCTTACCACTCGCTGCAATGTTCACACAGAACTTCCTGATCGGAGGTGTCTACTTTAGCGAATTGTTCTTCCTCCCGGTCTACTTCCAATCGGTCCGCCGATTCGACGTTGCTAAGTCTGCATCATTGATCATCCCGCTGGTCATCTCACAATCGGCAGCCTCGGGATTGTCGGGACAATACAGTGCCTGGACGGGGAGAAATGGCGAAGTTATCTGGTTTGGCTTCGTTTGCTGGACTATTGGCGCAGCGCTGCACTTACTGTTCAACCAGACCACCTCGATAGTGGTGATTGTCTTCGTGCTCATCCTGACTGGATTTGGCGTTGGCTGCATATTTCAGCCTAGTAAGTACAGTTCCGAAAAGCACTCCGCAAACCAGGCTAACAATCCAAATAGCGCTCGTTCTTGCCCAAAATCAGTCGCGATCAGAGGACCGCGCGGTGTGTGTCACAACCCGCAACTACATCCGCGCCTTGGGTGCTTCTGCCGGAATGGCTATTGGTAGTGGCATCTTCTCGCGTACGCTGAAGACAAGTATACCCAAAACACTGCCCAAGTCAACGACTCGTGCTATTCTCCGCTCCATATTTTCAGCTCCACTCCCGGATAAAATGCTTGCCGCCAATCATCAGGCGGCGATGTTAGCTACATACTTAAAAGCCTGCAGAAGCGTATTCATCTTCTGGATTGCCCTCATTGGCTTCTGTCTATGTCTATGCCTCTTTATCAAAGATGATGGAATCAAGAAGAAGCTAGAGAAGGAAGAAGGAGGAGGAGGGACTAGGAGTAAAGACTCAGCTCAAGTGAGCATAGTTCAACAGTTGACGATAGTTGGAGATGCGACGATGGTTAAAGAGGCGACGATTGTTGGAGACGCGACGATAGTTGGAGACGGGAGGACGGTTAGAGAGGCGGCTATAATTCAAGAGCTGAAGGTGGTTCAAGAAGCGAGGATAGTTCGGGATGCAGAGAAAAGGAATAGAACATCGTCTCAAGTAAATCCTTTCGCAGACGAGCAAGAAATACGCCAAAATTCGTCAAGTAGTCCCTCATCTCAAAGGAGCTCAAAGGAGGCTCAAAGGGGCTCATAGTAGAGGACCAAGAAGTGGAGAAAAGTGTCCTCCGAGATCTTCTTTGGGCACGGGACGGCTGTACACATATACTGGAGTTTTGAAAGTTTGGGTAAGCATTCTGCTTTTGAGAAACCCGGCTACTATTGTAGAGAAAGGGCTGAAAAGTGTTCCTTTTAGTTCATAGATCGATATACCATGATACTTTGTAGTGCAATCTATTTCTCTTTTTCGGCAAAACGAAAGCAGAACTCTTTCGATTTCCATCGTCCTATAATAAGTACGTGAAACTGACCACTAGTTTCCACCCCTCCGGATTTAGAAGCATTGTTATTTTGTTGCCCTAATAAGCCTGATTTGTCTGCGTACTGCTTGTCCAAGAGGATAAAGCACTGAGGTGACCTCAATAGCCTATCAAGGGTAGCAAAACAGCGATAGCACGAAGTTCAATTTCCGTCGTTCTGCCGGTACTTCGTGAATCCCAAGTCTCACTTCGTACGTTCGTACAGCTTGGACTGCTCTTCGCTACAGTTTGAGGACCTCCAGCATCCTAACAAAATCTCGGGCGAATGTCACGGTTCCTCCTCTTCAATTCACACCCTGCTTTCTGACGGCGTTTTGGCGGCTCTAGAACGCCGTTTGAAGTCCCCTGGAAGCCTCAGAAATCACCGAACGAATATCATGATTCCGCGTCTTCAAATCTACCATCTGGTTTCCGGGGCGGTGTGATCAATTCTGAATGGCGTTTGAAGAACCCCAGCATCCTCAGAAACATCCATACGAACCTCGAATTGCCAGTCCTTGGAAATTAGAAGTAACTCTTTTACATTTTGACAGCCTCGTCAGCCCATCGTACCACCTGGGGTCCTAAAAGGCAGGGACCGTATTAGTATTGCTTGTTTATTAGGACAGTGTATCAAGATGGCTTCGATAGTCTATCAAAGCTAGCAAAACAAGGGCATAAGTCTTTCAAAATCAAAAGGGCTCGTCATGACTACGTGAACTTGACTCCCAACTTCCACACCTCACAAAACTGAAGGACTATTGTTTCATTTTGACAACCATTATAACCATTCGTACTACCCACAGGCATACGCAACAGAAAACACCCTCACGTTTTTTGCCTGCTAGGATATGACACTGAGGTGGCTTCGACAGCGTATCAGAGGTAGCAAGACAATAGCAGCACTCATTCAACGTTCATCGCCCTATCATGCCCGCGGAAGCTTGACTTCCAATTTCTCCCCTTTAAGAACGAGAAGTAATATGAATTCATTTTGACAACTATGCAAACCCAGGATAACCCACTGGGATTTCGCAGCAGATACCTTTCTTATACTGTCTGACTGCCAGGATATATTACTAAGGTGGCTTCAATAGCGTATCAGAGAAAGCAAGACAGGAGTAGAACTCATTCAATATCCATCATTCTATCATGCCTACATGAATCTATCCCTGAACCACTTCACCTCAAGAACCAGAAGCCCCAACCCTTCACTCTGACAACCACGCCAACCCACCCCACCACCCCCGACCCTACGCATCCGAAACCTTCCGCGCCACCCAAAAGGAAGGCCGATACGTATTCACGAGCATACTCCTCGGATTCTGCATATACCCGCTCTCCACCATCCCCGTCTCCTGCCGCTCAACCTTAAACCCAAAACACTCCACCAACTTCACCATCTCCTCATCCGTCAGCTCCACAGCCCCCGGCTCCGCAACCCCACGATCCATATCCCGCTCCCTCACCCCTGCCCCGCCCTCCCGACTCTCCGCCGGCCCCTTGGCAACATGATGCCACAGCAACGGCCCCAGATTAACCCACACGCCCCCTTCCCTCAGACAATGCCGCACCGCCTCGACATACCTCACCACATTCGGCGCCGTATCGACAAAAAACACCGTCGCCACCGCATCGAACCGCCCCTGCTCCCCGCCCTGCCCGTCCTCGCCCGGCCCGTACAGCACGCAGAAATCCCCGCTGCACATGCTCATGCGCTCGCTCGCGTGGACCCGGCTGCCGCTGCCCGCGTCCGCCAGCACCGCGCGCGGGAGCACGTCCGGGACGGCGAAGGTCTGGAATTGGTCGGCCCGCGAGTGGTGGTTCGACCCCCCGAGCGCAAAGGGCGCGATGGTGTACTCGCCCGCGCGCGTCGTGTGGTTCAGCACCAGCGACGAGGCCATGAGCTCGTGGTAGGAGATCTCGTTGCCCTCGACGGTGAAGCCGGCGCGCACGAGGTCGAAGACGAGGCGGGCGAGGCCGGCGCCGGGGACTAGGACCTGCACGTCGTTGAGATCGGGTTTGTTGTTGGTGAACTCGGCGACGAGGGCGGAGATGACGGGGCTGAAGCATGCGTCGCGCTCGACGGAGCCGGCCGCGCTCCAGTCGCGGTAGAATTGGTTGATGCAGCTGCGGGCTTTGTCGCAGTCTGTTGGGGTGGCTTTGGCGTCGAGTTCGTCGAGGAGCGCGGAGCAGATGGCTAGATCGTCGGAAGGGTCGAGGCGTTTGGATTCGATGACGGAGGCGACGAGGGAGGGGGGAAGGTGGGGCCCGACGAAGGCGCGGAAGCCGGTGATGAAAATTGCGTCGGCTAGGTCGGCGTTGGCATCGACGAGGGTGTCGAGCTGGTCGAGAGAGGAGAGGATGTTGAAGGGGGGGGCTGCGAGAAGGGTCCAGTGCGCGGAGGGAAGGGCGTAGAAGGCTTGGCGGCGGGTGTGGGTGCCGTGGTGGTGCGCGAGGCGGCGGTAGGAGCTGAGAGGGGTTATTAATGAGTGTTTTTGGAATAGAGGTAGTAGACTGGAGCTAGTAAAGAGGGTTGTGACGTTGCACTGATTGGAGTGCTCCGAGGAAGTCTTAAAGATCTTTAGGCGTGGAAATTGCTACTGGGAGCAGCCGGTATAAGATGACGGACCTGCAGTCTGTCCCCGCATGTAGATCGTAACAAATAGCTATACGGGGTAATTCAACCATCAGCAGACTGACCCCATGTCCCCCTTGGGGGGTGTGGGTTCGTGATAGGGGAGTCTAAAGCAGGACTTTCTTGGTACATTTGGAAAGAATGAAAATCGGACAGAATAAGACTTCGTGATGACAATCTTTCTGGAGTAAAAGAAAAACAGGAAATCAAATGAGCCTACCGGAATGAGTCTAAGATAGAGAGTATGTGCCGCTGCTCTTCAGGGTCCTCAAGCGGGTCATATTCTCCGTGCCACTCCCCAGCCGCCGCCATGGCGAGAAGCGCGTCTTCGATTTACTCTAGCTACGGAACCAGTAAACGGTGGGCCCTACAAAGCCGAATTATCATTCTGTGGATGTATAATTCGGATTTCCTTGCTTGCCGGAAGTTGGTTGTAGACAGAGTAAGATAAGAGGTGAAGATGTTGCTCGGCAATTTTTACCCCTTCTGCGGAGCACGTGATGACGATCAGTCATTCACAGAACTCTTTGAAATCTTTACTGAGTGCTGTCTCTGTTTTGCTATCCTTGATAAGCGATTAAGCTCACCTCAGTGCCGTATCCTCGAGGACAAGTAGTACATAGACAAACTAGGCTTAGCAGGGCCGGAGGCGGTACAAAGAGTGGATATGGTTGTCAAAACGAAATAATAATGCTTCGGAATCTAGAGGGGTGGAAACTGGGGGTCAATTTCACGAACTTGTAGTAGAACGATGGAGATTAAATGAGTTCTGCTTTCGTTTTGCCATCTTTGATAAGTTGTCGAGGTCACTTCAGCGCATTATCCGAACAAGCAAGTAAAATGTTAATATTATATATATTGTACAACAGATCCCAATGCTTTTTCCGCAGAGGTTAAGACAAGGCCTATATCGTGTCATTTTGGACACGCTGAAAACACCTTAGAGTCACCTCCACACCCGGCCCTTGCTGCCAAATATCACCCAAAGTCAAGCCCGTTTCAGGCTACAAGACAAAGAGTGGAGGAGAGACAGTCCAAATCATAATCCATATCAAACCCAATTGAACACTAGAAAAGCACCTCGAAACCGCCCCACGGGCTCAACCCAAGAAGCAAAGTCGCCATTCAAACGTCCCGATAGTTGACGTCAGTCGTCAGTAGCTATTCACCAGGTTGCAAATTGTCAGTTTCAGTATTCCTCGAGCTCGTCGATACGAGGTAGACGGTAGAGATACAGCGTGTTGAGTGGGGGATCAGTGATGTCAGCGGGGATAACGACACGAACCTCATTCAAGTCTTCGGACTCCTCTTCCTCCTCCTGTGCACCAGCCCGAGTTGCTTCGTCCCGTCCAACAGCAGTCGCTTCGCCCACTCCAACATCATTGACTTCAGCCATTCCATCAGGAGCTGCTTCGGCCATTCCGGCAGCAGTTGCTTCGACCACTCCAGCAGGAGTAGGGAGAATGACCCATCCGTCTCCGCCCCAACGGGCGTACGTGTATCCCTCATCCTGCCTAAATGCGCCTGTCTCGGGATCACGAAGCAGATAGTTTGGAACGAGCGTGCCTTCGCGAATAGTTGGGTGGATCTGAGGCGGATATTGCTCCCAGTACGGCTCCTCGTCTTCCAGTTCGTCTGGCGCCCACGCATTGATCCCGTACCTAGCCAAGATGGTCTCGAGACGATCGCTAGGATATTCCTCCTCGTGCAGGTTCTCGACGTATTCGGCGAAAGCATGTGACATGAGTGGGGTAACCGGCTGGGTGAAGGTGTAGCGTGTGATCGCGTCTACCAGCGCGTTCTGACTGGCGTACTCGATGACGTCGTAGTCCTGGAGCCCATTGTAACGGTCTCTCGGATTGGGATTGCTCGCAGTCATCGTCGCGATGTGGGCAAGCTCGTAGACGGCTCTATGGTCTCGCGCGCCTGGCAGATAGCAATTATTGACGTGAAGGTCGCCAGCCGTGACGAGTTTCTGGAAGAATTGGAAGACGGGTCCATTTTCACCACCGGGGAAGGGGTTCTGAGACCAGGTGATCCAGGCCATGTTAGAGTCTTCGGGAGCCATGAATATGATCATGCTGGCATCTTTCCTGAGGACGGACTCGAGGTAGAAGACGTCGCCACAGTTAGGGAGTTCCTCCTTGGTGACACCATCGCGAACGACAAGAAGGAGGGTGTGAAGATTGATGCGGTGGAGTTCGCATTCCTGACGGAGGTTCTCGCGGATTGCGGTGTGTGTCTTAATGACGTTGGGGGTTTTGAAGGAGATGATCTCCTGTTTGTAACGCAGATAAGGGACGATCTGTGGAGGCATCACTCTAGTAGTAAGCTGCCTAGTAGGAAGATCTTCAGTCGAAAGCGCTTCGGTGGGTAGGCTGCCATCATCCTGGGGAATCTCATCTGGTTCACGGGCCCGAAACTCGGCCTGTCCTTCGTTCAGGAATCTGTCCATTGGCGCTAGGTCCTGGCGAGTTGCCGTTTGAATGAACCTAGTGGTGGGCAGCATTCTGATAGAGGGTCGGAGGTTGGTAGTTGGTGGTAGGAGGTGGAGGTGGGAGATGGGAGGTGATTCGAGGAAGAGAGGAAGGGGAAAGCCAGAAGTTATAGTCGGCAAGCGAATCCAAGACTGGTGAACATGGCCTGCCAAGCGAAAGTGAAGGTGGTAGCTTAGGATGCCTGAACCTCATGACTGTGGTATAAACTTCACCCTGAAGTGGTGAAGCTTGGCATTAGAGGCAACTGGAGCGCGAGCACTGAAACTGGTGAAGATCTAGCATATTCTTCCAACTTCCGCAATATGACCGCTGCATGAAAGATACTGTCCGGGTAGGCCTATTCGCTTCGCAGATGGCGGCGTGGATGTACGGATTTGTGGCTCGTGAAGCGCGTGTACGCTTAGGATACACGGTTCAGCGCGGGCGGGTCCGTCTTAAGTAATCTCGCAGCTGCAGTAGAATTATGAACATAAACGTATAAACTCGGAACTAAAGGGTGTATTTGAAAATGCATTCTGAATTGGCTGATATGGTCTGGAACTAGTTTGGAAGAAGTACTAGATTGTAATTAATGTAGAGGGATGTAGCTCGTGAGTTGTATCCTCGATTGCTGAAACTTATTTCCTGCGCGGGCAGTGCTGTTGGGTCAAACCTTTGTCTCATATGTAGGCTCGAGAATTCTGCAACCGATTAGCAGCTATGAAAAGGTGATGGAGCGATCTATGGCCAAGCTGCCGATCTGATCTCCATGCTCTAAGTTTATCAAGGCCATTCTAGTCTGGATGCGTTGCTGATTGATTATACTGATTGATTATATATGAAGAAAAGACAATCTCAATGAAAACGATGATCTTACCGGCATCAATCATAGCGACGTACGATATATTACACCATGATTTGGACCGACATGCATCCAAGTTGTTCCCATGAACATGACCTTGAAACGGTCTACAGTGTCTAACACGGTCCGCAAACTCAAGAGAGGATGTTCCTATCCTGGCACTGGTAGACAATCTCCGAGGGTTTGTAGTTCAACGACGATGCAATTTTGCGAGCGGGCCAGATCAGGACAGCCCCAAAATTTCTTCTTACTGCCATGCCGCGGTCATTGGACTGGCTCTAGAGAATTCAAAGAGTATCTCCCATGTGATTTTTCTGCAGGATGAATCATACCGAGTGTCAAGGCATCCTTTTGATACCGTACCGCACCTGTTCAGACTCCGAGAGGTCCATATTTCCATCAATCTTGTCCTAACTTCCAGAGACCAAATCTAGGCAGGACTGAAGAGGTCATCGCAATACTGTACTGCAGCCGATAGAAAGATTCCGGAGGATGCATACTTCATTGTCCGGTGAAATGTTGTGCACAGGCCGATCAAGTCGAGTCTAAAAGCACCATCTCATTGCCATGCTGAAGTGGTCAGGACGCCTCTGGATCATTGAACGTCTCTTGCATCGAATACAATGGCTTGCTGGAGCCTTCAGCGAGGACAATGCATGGCATATGAGCCTGGGTGAAGAAGTTGTTGAGGACAACACCACGTCGCACAGGCCGCTAACCGAATGCGGACAGGCGAACTCCACGTTGTGACGTTGTTGGCCATCCCGGCCCAGGCCCGGTGGCGTTGGTGGGATGGACGCCTTTTGCAAGCCAATTGACGCCGCGAATGCCATTGCGTGATGTTCTAAGAACACCTCCAAAGGAAGCACAGTTGCGACACCCCACGGCGAGCACAAGTCACACTGCGTTATCGCGGCTTCATGGCCGCCTCACGCGCTCAAAATGCGTTTAGAATCGGTATCCAAACACATAACTAGGAGCGCTCCTCCGCCTGGCTCCAAGGTCCATCACAACGCTTGTACTACTGGTCCACCCCACAAGTTTGTGCCCATCTCCTCGGCCTTTCCCGGCTTTGCAAGGTCACAATTTTCTAGTGCCGTAGCAAGGACGTCGGCGGCACTTTACGCGGGTAGAATTGGAAGTACTGTATACTTGAACCTCCATCATCCCGCTTTCAACCTTCTTCCCTCAACGACACCACGGTCTTGAAATACAAATCCCACCATGTCGAACAAACCCATTTTCGTAGCGACCCATCCGCGGGCCTGCTCAACTGCGTTTGAGAGGGTGAGAAAACCTTGCAAAATCTATTTTCTTTCACCGTCTTGGACGCAAGCTCATGACTGCATTATAGGTGTTTATGACCCGACGAGACACGCTGCAATGCGTCCACGAGCCCTTTGGCGATGCCTTCTATTTCGGTCCGGAGCGACTGAGTGAGCGCTACGAGAAGGATGAGAAGGGCAGAGTTGAGAGCGGCTTCTCCGAGAGCACTTTTAAGACTATCTTTGATAGAATCGAGAGGGAAAACACCGAGGTTCGATTCCCCTCTTTTCCCTTCATTTCTCATCTCTTCTCAAAACAAACTGCACTTATTATATTGCTTTTTAATTCTTCGAGTCAAGAAATATGATAATTGTTACGTTATCTCTTCTCCCTTTTGAGATCGTGTGCATGGTCACGTGCCTTTTCTTGTCCCCACCCGTCTGTCTTACCCCAGACTGCATCCAACACATGCCCTGCATACTGCCGATGCAGCCATCGCACATCCTGAACCCCCACGTACGCAAGCACCCGCGATTCAACTCGCTGGCCAAGAGTCACATGGCACTTTTCGTGCCGTGTTCGAGAGCACCTTCCTTTTCGTCCCCTTTTTCTTACCACTCTCTAAGTTGTCAAACGGCTCAACAGCAATGTCGCAGCATTTCTCCCTACCATCCCCACTATGCCCAGCTATTCCCTGTTTCCCATTCTCTTCAACATGCCCATACCCTCCTATTTTCCTGCCGAGCCCGGCTTCAAAAGTCCAAACCTAACCTAACACTCCTCAGGGCAAACGCCTTTTCATAAAAGATATAACCCACTACCTCGTCCCGCCCTCCGGCGCCCCCGCCTCCATCGCCCCCAGCCTCGCGACCTACAAGCGCGGCGTCGGCACCGACACCACATCCCTCCCCACCCCACCCATCTCCTCCCCCTCCTCCGACAGCGGACCGCCATACCCATATAATACCAAGCCCGAGCCAGGCAATCCTACCGTTGTCCCGACAGAGCTCCTGAAATCGTTCCATTTCACCTTCCTGATCCGCCACCCGCGCGCCTCCATCCCAAGCTACTTCCGCTGCACGGTCCCGCCGCTGGACGAAGTCACCGGCTTCTACAACTTCATGCCGAGCGAAGCCGGCTACGACGAAGTCCGCCGCGTGTTCGACTACTTGCGACAGATTGGGGAGGTGGGGCCGAAGGTTGCGGGACAGCCGGGGCAAGAGGGGAACGAAGGAAGCGGTGTCGAGATCTGTGTCGTTGATGCTGATGACTTGTTGGATAACCCGTCTGGCATGATCAAGGAGTATTGCCGCAGTGTGGGGCTGGAGTATACGCCTGATATGCTGAAGTGGGACTCGGAGGAGGATCATCGGATTGCGAAGGAGGCGTTTGAGAAGTGGAAGGGGTTCCATGAAGACGCGATTGATTCCACGGAGTTAAAGCCTAGGTTGCATGTGAGTTTTCCCTGGTGGACTGGGTTTGGGTGTGTGATGCTGATGCGTTTTAGAAGAAAACGCCAAAGAGTGACGAACAGCTCTATAAGGAGTGGACTGATAAGTTTGGCGAGGAGGGTGCGAATGTGATTAAGGAGACGGTTGAGGCAAATATTCCGGATTACGAGTACTTGAAGCAGTTTGCTATCAAGGTCTAGGTGATCGGAATGGATGGATGGGTGAAACGTGGATGAAAAGCGCTCGGTTCTTCTTTGCATCAATTTAATCAGTGTTTTTGGTATTGATGGCTCTGGGGAGGGAATGCTGGTGATGTTTGGTGACTTGAATTGCCTCGAACTCTTAGGAAATGATTGGAAGTCTTGAGACGTGGAATCGAAGCGTACCATATACACTGGAAAAGAATACATCAAAACGGATTCTGCGTCGAGTCGTTTACCCTGAACGGGAGTCCCTTTTCGAGTGTCCTCAAGTTTACACATTTTGAAGAGTTCCTGTAAGTATCGCGCGATACCTCGTAGGTCACTTGTAGCAGCGCTATCACGTCCTTGAAGAAGTTTTCCCGGAAATTGCTATCCATGAAAATCTTCGTTGCGGCAGGCCTAGTGAACTGGCACTGGAGACATCGTTCTGTAGCGGAGCCATAGAAATTACCCCCTTCGAGGTAGACCCGTTCGATGATTTTGCAGATCTGGCGGTCCCGTGTGTCAGGTGAAAAGGAACCACTGAAAGCTGCGGCGAGAAGCGCAGACTGATCTTCGTTCAGGCAGAGTTCAACCAGCAGAATGCCCTGAGAAAGCATTGCTGGGCTGTGGTTCCCCAACGAGTTAATCCTCCCAGCTTGTTGGTTAGGCCTTCGCGGAGAAACCACAGAGCTGGCTGGAGATTGAAACTCGTGGAGGACACGGACGTCTTCTAGAGTTATGTCCGGTGTAGTTTCTTGTTTGCGTCGTGCTAGACTAACATGCCCTTTACCCCATTTTGAGTCGAGCCAGGGTGTTTCACCGAGGTGTAGAAGCATGATAGCCATAGCATATGCTATGCCGAGGCGCTGAACACGGGATATCAGGTCAAAACGTCCAGAGAGGCCGACGAAAGATTCGAGTGTGTTGTATTGAGTTTGGTGGGGTTCAGCTTCTGTATTGCTGACTTTGATGACCATCCGTCGCCTATTGTCCGCCTTCACTCCGGGCAAGCTACCTTCTTGAAAATCATGACGACTAAGCGCTTCACATAAGCACTCGACATCAGTCGCAGGTGACTTTGCTAATAAGCCAGTCGTTAGCGGTTGATATATGGAGAGCAGTTTTGTCTCAGGTGGTCAATGCTTACGAGTTGATGGTATATCACTGTTTTGATGGCAGGACTAGGAAATGAGGTTGAGCTGAGCTGTTGCCAGACAGCGACTTTTGCTTTTTTGCTGATGTTTGTGCTGTAACCTGGAAGTCCTGCATGCCTAACGTCTTGCATGTTCTACAATTGAAACCATTCTGTGATGCTGGGGCAGACGAAGCACTGGGCGGTAGAGGCTTGGGGTCGGGGTCCGGTCCAGAATCTACTGCTGGTACAGTCTCGAGTTTTGCGAGCGTCTCGATCCAGCATTGGGTCTTGTTTTCATGCTGGAGAAGCGCATCTTGGCCTTGTAGAGACTTAAATGTTCTGATTGCCACCTCCGATATTGGAACACGAAGAGTCGAGGATACCGTGTCGAAACGTATGCCGGTTTGGTGAGGACCGACACAAGAGCATTTCCAGCCCAACTTGAAATAATTGAATACTTCAAAAGCATGCACCCGTATCGTGTCGCATTTTGAAGACGAGTATTGGGACTGGGCTTCCTGGATGACTGGGATGATGTCACAAGAGTAGCGTGGTGTTTTGGACGTCTTGATGTAAAGAGTCAACATGTTATTAGAATGTTGGAGTTCTTCCATGGTCCCTTGCGGAATTTGGCAGTGAAAGTATGTCTGAACCGGTTCCACGCCTTCGTTGGTTTACTCTGACGCTGGTCAATCGCTATCTTTATTCAAACGTTTATAGAATGCGCTCACTCTACGCTGCGTATCGTCGCATCTCTTAAGTTTCTTCCTGAGTCCTTCTATTGTTTCTTCGATAGACCAGATAACTCCAGCCACCATTTCAGGGTGCTCGAGGTCTGGACGGCTGCAGTAGATACGGTTCCGTAACGCATGATGTGTGGACGGGATTGAAAAGTCATCAAACCCGAGCTGCTTCAGAGATTGCTTAAGTTGATCTTGCTGAATGATGAGGTCGAGTCTTAGCTGCTGAATTGTGCAATGGTAGTTTTTGAGGCCATGAACGGTCTGAGAGAGGTTGTGGTAATGCTCGACAGCTGCGATTGCGAGGCTGATGCCACCAAGGACCAGACCACCCACTTCAGCGCCCGACATCGTTGTGCGTCTTCGCCGAAACAATTAGAATGAACAACTTTCGAAAGATTATACTCCAAGGAACGGGGTAGACTCAGCTTATTGAGATCACCTTTTCGGCTCTGGAGAGACTCGTAGTCGGTCTCGTGTGCTCAGCCCCGTCATTCAAATTGAACCACCTGCAGGTTGGCTGTGACACGACAAGAGAGAAACAACGAGGCTGCCAATGATGCCACGATATATCCAACAATCACTACTGCCTTGAGTCAACCTTGGAGGCTGAGGCCTCCGTTGTGCTGCCTTGGGTTTCACGCCCGTTACCGGGCGTATGTCTTCTTCAGCAAGCAAAGCGTAAAACTAGCTGTTTTCTCATCGAGGTTATCGTTCCACGTCAACCTGTTCGTTATTTAGTCGCTCCACCGATATCCCATATGATGGATCCTGAAGCCTCGACTAGCCATAGAATAACACCGTCGACATCCAACCTCGCATCGATAACATCAGCATTCATCAAATGCCGAGACAAATATAACGACTTTCTGCCATCTCTGGCAAACTATCCTTGTCTTCCTACAGAAATCGATCAAGCCTGCAAGTCGGAAGTAGCAGACGGCGCTTCCAGGCTTGGACTCTGGGGCCTTCAATCAAGAGCGGCCAACTCCCGAGTCTGAAGCCTCTCTAGATTATGTTCTCCGGGCAGAGGTTGAGCTAAGTTCAACATGTTACATGACAACCTACAGCTAGGTGGGTCGCCTTCCGCACTGTGGCTTCAAACGCACGATGATGATCTAACTTTCGCAGCCGCAAATATTGCTTCAAGCCCCTCGGAGCATAGTGCAATAGATCTCGATCCAGAGAACCTAGAAATCCGATGCGTAGACGATAACGACGAGGTAACCTGCGACTCAGAAACGATCGACACCATTAGTATTTCTTCAGACGATTCTTCAGGCACTGATAAGGATACCGACGCCGATATTGAAAGCACGCGATCCCAGATAGTGCTAGAAAACGGTTGTGAGCACGTTCGCAGCCTGTTTTACTTCTTCGCACTCCAACGTTAGTCTGAGACCTTTCTGAACATCAAACCTTTTTCAACAGGAACTGTGGAAAGTATCGAGTCGACTTCGAGAAGCTCGATAGCAGCTTCCGTGAAATACCCATCAAGCAGTCTTCCCTTCGCCGAGCCAGCATTCATCTCAGGACTCAATCGCGACAATGGCCCGGTCACCTTATCGGTTCACCCTAGTGATGCTAGCGGGAAGAAGGAGCATACGGCAAATACTTCTACTAAAGTTCCAATTGGGCTTTGCCAATTCACACAATTGAGATATCTCTTCATGAATCGGCGATGATCCCTACTATATGAAACTCCTGGAATGACTTGGAAAACCTACTGGAATCGAGGCTATGGTAGCACATAGAGGGCAGCCTTAGGCACTTGGATGATCCTGAGTGACGAGTCTATTGACATGCAGAGTGAAAGTTCATCCCGACGACGACGACGTGAAACCAGCAAAAAAGATGCCATGTAGCCGGGGAGGACCTATGACAACTACTCATATAGGTGGTTACTGCATCAGACCAGACTATCTGCTTACCTACGACCCTCCATCCCGTGATCCACAGCTGATGTTTCGGAATCACAGCAATAGCACCACCACAGCCCACGATAACCTGACCCCCATACTCAGCACACCCGACACATAGCACAAATGCAATCGTCCCAGAAAACAGGATTTGAGTTCACACTAACCCAGACGCCTCCTAGCTACCCAGATAATGCGGCGACACCCAAGCCACTCCTTCCAAAGCTTAAGCCTCGCCCGAGGCTACTCGAGACGGCTACCAAGGGTCCTCAGCTGAAAACTCCACCGTGATGCGCGTTCCTCGACCAAATCAGGAAATGTCAACGCGGTTGTGGCGCGGCTCCTTCTTACCCTTCGTGATTCCGCACCAATCTTCACTGCGCGTCGCTGACAGGCTGCGGATGTTGAAGCCACGTAAGGGTAGGGCTGAAGACTTACTGCCGATGCCGGTGGAATAGTGGATGATTCACGGGCGTTGCAAACATTCAGGTTGAAACGAGATGGGAACTGCCGGGTGGGACATGGAAGTGCCGGTGTGAAGGGGGTTAGAGAGGTGGGAGACGACGCCCAGATGCAGACGTGGTAGGGCTGCGACGCGCTTCTCCACATTTCGGCGGCAGAGATTGTTTCAGGTGGGCTTCTGGAAGAGCCAGTTGCGGTGGGAGGGCGGGCTTACTTGTGACAAGCTGGAGTGGATGGCAGGATGGCGTGAAGACGCATTGCATTGCACGTCGCGCTGAAAGGGAACCTCGGGAGTCGTGAATGCGACACATGCGCCGGGTGCGAAGCAACAGCCGAGAAGAGCGGCTCGAGTTGCGCCTATGGAGCTCTACGGACCCGACCAAGCATCAAGAGACAGGAGGCTGAGAGGTGCGGTGGTGCTGTGGCGAAGAAGTGATGCTGATTTCACGCTGATTTCACGCTGATTCCGAATCCGATCACGTGACGGGCATACAGCCTCATCTGCGACCTCTCCAACAGAACAACGTTGCGAGCCTTGGCACGATCGTCCCCAACCGTGGCAGCTGAAAATCAGGGCAATGCCAAAATGTCAAGCGAGTGGACGAATCACCGAGAGGCCGCCGCAAGGAGTTCCTTAAAGGGCAAGGCTGGAGGCTTGCACAGCCCGCTTGTACCGCTTCTTCTTGCTTCTGGCCTTGCAGCGTCGAGATCGGTGTCGGCGCTGGCCCCGCCCCGAGAGCACTGGCTGCAGACGACTTGTCCCAGTCCAGAGGCTGCGTGCGTAATCCTCACGGCGGCCCAGCTTGGCAGGCTGACGGCTACGGCAGTGCGGCGGCCAGGTTGGAGCAGGCTGAGGCATGAGGGAGGGAGGCATGAGGGAGGAGGGCAAGGGAGAGGGAGAAGACGAGGACATCAGTCGACGATGGAGTGGGCGGACGTGGCGGTTGTGCTGGCACAGCTGGTGCTGAAACCGCGTCTGAGGGACGAAGGAGAGCTGCTTCAGATTCAAAACGGCATTTATTACATGCTCCGGATGCATCGCCGATACCAGCGGGGCAGACGGCATCTCCGAGCAAAAGACCGGCGGGCCGAAGTTCACACGGGCTTGGGGTGCTGCCAGTGGCCCAGGTATTTTTGGTGAGGACATGCTCAGCCACGATGAAACATGCTCGTCCGTCTCCTTTCTCCGCCTGCCCCAAAACCCGCCCTCGCCCTTGCCATCTCTAACCACGGATTCTCTCGCTGCTTCGACTTCTACACACACTCGACAACCTCCAACTCACCCATACCGCCCTCTATCACCGCCCTCTATCACCGCTGTCACCACTTCCAGCGCCTTGGAACGTTGTTGTAGGGCGACCCAAAATAAGCCATCCACGGATCCCTCCGGCTGAGCTTGCGCGTCCTCTTTAGCGCCTACCCAGACCACCTCACCCGCCTCATCACAACCGGTCGCCCATCGTCCTCAGTAAACACGCATCTCGACGCCTGATTATCGACCCGCTTGACATTACTGCTCGTTCAGGCACACACAATCACACTTCCTTCGATGGCCGCAACGCTCTCTGGTTTCGCCATGACGCCGTCGTACAACAACCAATGCGGCGAGCCTGACTACGACTCCATCTTCGACTTCAGCCAAGTGCCCTCTCCCACTCCCCGGATGCACTCTTCGCCCGCCTCAAACACCGCCAGCCCGACCAACACCATCGTTGCCCTCGATCAGTCCGAGGACCTCCAGACTCCCGCGAAGCCTAGCCACGAGTACGAGCGCTTCAAGCAGCAGACCGGTCTGCCCTCCAACTCCGTTCCTGGCCTCGCCCAGCAATTCAGTCCCAGCTATGCCTTCTCCAACAGCGGCACTGGATTGGACGAGATGTCCCTCATGGGCTCGTCAAGCAACTCAATGCTCGACGCCGGATGGAATTCGGGTTTGGGGATGGGATCAGACGTCAACATGGAACTCGACCTGTCCATAAACACCACTGGACTCCCGCCTAGCTTCCTATACGGTGGCGAGTCGTCCCACAGCGGCTACATCGACCCTAGCGCCATCGCCACCCAAGAGGAGAGTGTCCGGTACTATCCTGGGATGCATCAAAAGCAGGCTGCAATGGCGAAGGCACACGCACAGGCCCAACAACAAAGGCAGCAGCAAATCGCTCAGCAGCAACTCCAGCAGAAGCAACAGCAACAGCACATGCTTCAGCCTGCGAGACGCAATGGCTCCCAGCAGAGCTCTGATCCCCACACCGAGGAGGTCATTGGTCGCATCATGGGCAAGATCCGACACGAGAGCACCCTGTCGTCACAAGACGGCATGTCGCCATCCGGCTCTTTCCCCCACGTCCACCGATCCAAGAAGGACGAGGAGGACATGGATGAGGACGAGAGACTCCTTGCAAGCGAGGAAGGAAAGAAGCTCAGTAGCAAGGAGCGCCGTCAGCTCCGTAACAAAGTCTCCGCCCGTGCCTTCCGTTCGCGAAGGAAGGGTAAGTCGTCGACATCAATCGGTTCAACGCCTCCGCTAATAGTTCACAGAGTACATTGTCCAGCTTGAAGAACAACTCGCCAACAAGCAGAAGGAGACGGACGAACTTCGCTTCCAGAACAGGAATCTCCAGGAGGAGAACGCCGGCCTCAGGGACCTCACCCAGAGCCTCCTGCGACACAAGGCGTTCGTTCCGTACATCGACTCCATCTCGCGCGACCAGTCTGTCATGAACAACATCAAGCCCGATCCTTCACCTTCACACGCCCCAACTCCGGAGCCTTCCCGCAAGGACCTCAACCCGTATTCGTCGCATTCGCAACAGTTTCAGGATATGAGCCAGAACGACCATCCTCAGATCGGAATGGCGCTCGTGCCCGAAACCCCCCTCGACATGTCTATGCTCAACCTGGGTAACAACTGGATGATGCCTAACCAGGGTTTCAACTACCAGCAGATCCAGACTTTTGCGGTCACCGAATTGCCAGAGGGTCCTGCCGCCCCTATCGACATCGACATTCTGTCTGGCAAGGGTGGCGAGTCGTTCATGCCCACGACATCTCCCGTCGATGATGCCAAGGCCGAATACCCCGTCATCGAGCGTCCCATCGAGCGTGAGGAGGTCACTGAAGTGACTGAGGTCGAGGAGGAGGAAGAGGATGATGACGAGTTTGATCTCTACCGCTCTTCGCCTGCCCGCAAGTCTAACGCCGTTGTTACTCCTATTGAGGATTGCGAACTCATCTTTGGCGATGCCGATACCGAAAAGGTCTTTGCGCACTTCGAGCTGTTCATCTCCGATGATGCTGCGTCGGAAAAGCTGATGGAACGTTTCGAGAAGATGTGCGCACTAGCTGAGCCTTGCTTTCAACGGATACAAGCCATGACCGCATACCTCGACTCATGAGCTGCTTGAATCTGCCTCAATACCCTCTCTTTTCTGCGCATTGGCCGTTGTTGCTCAGTCTTTGCGAACCTGAACCCCGTGCCTCTAAACTCAGGCGCTTTTACCTCTCTCCACTGTCAATCCGGCGGTTCTATGTTGTGTTTCAGTACGATTTTCACGATTTTCCTATGTTCGGGTGGCTAGAAGGGCCACACAAAGTGGAGGCGCCATGGGTTATGGTGTAGCACTAGAGCTCTAAGCATGTATTGCCAGCTCTCAGCAACTCTTTGTTTTCTTGTATCTGTTAGCTTTTGTGGGTGGGCGAAAGGGCCAGCATCAAGGGGCGTCTTGCGCGGCTGGGAACTTTGAGCGCTCTATGTAGCCTGAGAATATTACTTTATACGCCTGTTAAAAGAACGCTCTGCATTTTTGAATATCAGGGTCTCAGTGGTTCTATCGGGAGCTGTACCTACGATTGATGGTTGATCACAAAACGGGGCCGCCTTTTAGTCCCGTGCAGACGCGGCAGTCCGCCAGGCCGCCTCGCTACCTAAAATCAAAATCTTGGGATGGACCTCTGAGAAATGTTCAGAGTCATCCCAAAGCCACAGCACCGCGCCCTTTTTCGAGTCATTCACTAACGAGCTTATTTCGACACATGTACATAATACTCCTTGCCTTATAATCAAATTGGCGTCTCTCAAGAGCAGCGGGGTGCGTCTCACGATTTTCACGACTTCGCTGCACGACCTCCGACGTCTACCGTTTCCCGTCCGATCTTATAATACTAGCTCTTGTCGACACGTCCCACGGTCGAAAGCCTCCGACGCTCCTACTTTGAATGTCAATACCTTGAAAGACCTTCTCACTTCTCACTCCCCTAGGAAGACGACCGCACGACCCTCTTCTCACCGGCGCGAACCTCGAATATTCAAAGTCGATCGAGGACTCCCCTCTGGGACCGCGCCGGCAGTCTCCTTCGTTCAGCCTTCGAATTCACCTGTCCAACTTCCTCGAGAATTCGGCGGACGCCAACGCTCGCGACCGCGTCCCTCCATTCCGCCCACTCCGTCCAACATTGTACTCGAGCCGTTCCCGGGGGATGGTGATAATATCGAATTAAAATCTTTCAAAGGGGGGCACAAACACCCAATGAAGTCCTCGATCCAATTCCTTACCGTGCCGACGGCGGACACGCCCGGCACGGCGCTGTACCTGTTCTTCGACAACCAGCGGTACCTCATTGGTAACATGGCCGAAGGCACACAGCGGGCGGCGACTCAGACGGGAACCAAGCTTATGAAGATCAACGATATACTTATTACTGGGCGGACCGAATGGAGCAATATCGGCGGTCTCGTCGGCATGATACTCACGCTGGCTGACTCCAATGCTAGCTCTGTGGAGGGCAACCGGGCGAGATACGAAAAAATGGTGGCGACTGGGAAGCTGGACAAGATGCCAGATCTGCCCGTATTGAATCTATATGGCGCGCCCAATTTGAATCATATGCTGGGTACGTGCAGGAGATTTGTGTTCCGGAAAGGCATGCCGCTCCGCGCGGTGGAATTCAAGGACGACACTGTAAAGCGGGATTCTGAGGGGAACGTCGAGCCAACGTGGTCGGATGAGTACATTTCAGTTTGGGCTTTGCCTCTCAAACCGGCAGAGACGTCTGATAGTGAAGCTTTCGCAAAGCAAGAGCTGAGAAACCAGACATTCGACCAGCTGAATAGCAAAAACAAAGAGTACGTAGCCCCGGAAGGGGAGCTGCCAGAGGATCGCGAATTGCGATACGACCGGATGCGGCGATCGATTGTGCGTCATATGTTTGACTCCGACTGGAGGTTCGATGCTCTCGTGGAGAAACACATCAGCGAGGTGCAGATGCCCGCGGCGATATTCGTGCGCGATCCGGAGACACATAAGATCGAGAAGTACACGGGGCCTATGCCTGGAAGTGAGGCGCCATTACCGGATATCAAGGTGATGGTACGGACACCATGGCCGGCTGCCCTCCTTGAGCTGCTCCCACCAACAGAGCCATCTCCAGTAGCAATTTCGTACATCTTCCGCCCTCATGCACAACGAGGAAAGTTTGATCCAAAAAAGGCACTAACACTCAATATTGGGGATAAGAAGAAATGGTCTATCCTCGCCAATGGCGAAAACGTCTTGAATGATGCAGGGGAGACCATTACTCCAGATATGGTACTAGGCCCTCCGAGAACTTCTGGGGGAGTGGCCATAATTGACTTGCCGTCGATTGGATATGTTGATTCCCTGGTAGCAAGAGAAGAATGGAGATCAGAAAAGGTCAAGTCAGGCATCATGGGATTTGTCTGGACCCTCGGGCCTGGCGTTGCAGCCAGCCCGAGGCTACGTCAATTCATGAAAGAGATGGATCATTGCAAGCACATTGTGTCGTCCGTGGATACCTGTCCCAACACACTCACGATGGTAGACGCCGCGGCCTCTACCCTGAGATTGGCCCAGGTTGACAATGAGAGATACAGAGTGCCTCACCACGACAACGTATCCCTGCCGCAGGATATTTACAATCGGTCATCGACATTCTCGCCTGAGCTTCCGCCAAACACTATAGCAGCGAAAGTAGGAATGGCATTCGCTATTGAGCCACAGTTTCAACTCGACAATACTCTGGTTAAATACCCCCTGAATACCCAAGGAGTCCTCGATGATACCGAGGCTTCAGTCTTTGAATTCGCAAAGTCCGCTCGAGAAGAAATCCAGGCTTCACGGGGAACCTTAGATGCATGGAAGCAGAAAATGCCACGTCCAGACACTGAAATTATCACCTTGGGTACTGGATCTGCTCAACCGTCCAAGTACCGCAACGTCTCCGCCACCCTCGTCCGCGTGCCAGGCGTGGGCAGCTACCTCCTAGACTGCGGCGAAAACACCCTCGGCCAGCTCAGGCGCGTCTTCAAGCCCGCCGAACTCAAAGAAGTGCTGAGAGATCTGCGAATGATTTGGATCAGCCACCTCCACGCCGACCACCATCTCGGCACCGCCTCACTCATCAAAGCATGGTACTCCGTCGTCCACGACTCTACCCCCACCACCGAATCTCCCAACCTCAAACCAGCTCCCGGGAGCCCTCCCCAGCGCCGCCTCGCCGTCGTCTCGCACATGGGCATGGCCTCCTGGCTACACGAGTACGCTGCCGTTGAAGACTTCGGCTTCTCCCGCCTGCTCCCCCTCTGCATCTCGGGCAACGACCGCTTCCGCCTGACCGCGGCCTCCAAGGCCTCCGAACTCACCCTCTACGCGGCGCCCGGCGGCCAGTGGACGCCGACAAAGGTCCCGCCGTCCTCGTACGAAGCCCTGCTCGGCGTAGCAGACATCCAAGCCGTCTTCGTCAACCACTGCCACGGCGCCATGGCCGTCTGCCTCACCTTCCCGCCGGACGCGTCCGCGGCCCCGGACACGCCGCCGCTAAAAGTCAGCTATAGCGGTGATTGTCGCCCGTCAGGCCGCTTTGCGAGTATTGGCCAGGGGACGAGTGTGTTGGTTCATGAGGCGACGTTTGATGACGAGCTGGCGGCGGATGCCGTGGCGAAGAAGCATAGTACGACGAGCGAGGCGCTGAGGGTGGCGGGGTGGATGGGCGCGAGGGGGGTTGTGCTGACTCATTTTAGTCAGAGGTATCAGAAGATTCCTGTGCTGAGGGAGGTGGAGGATGAAGAGGAGGAGGACGAGGAGGAGGGGGATGCGTTGGGGCGGGAGGATGGGGAAGAAAGCGGAGGGGAGGAGGGGATGGTAGATGCGCCGGAGGTGGAGAGGGGAAGATCGCCGTCGCCTAGGCTGCGGGGTTCCGCGGGACGGGAGCAGGTGATTCGGGTCAAGGGGGATATGAAGGTGGCGATTGCGTTTGACTATATGAGGGTGCGAATTGGGGATATTGCGGTTATGGAGCGGTTTAATCCGGCGTTGGCGAGGTTGTTGGCGTATGCGGGGGCGGAGGAGGAGAGTACGAAAAAGGAGGAGGTGGTGGTGCAAAGGGGGGGCAAGAAGAAGGAAAAGAAAGGGGGACAGGATATGGAGAGTCCGAAGAGGAAAGCGAGGAGGTTTAATTAGGGGGATGGGAGGGGGAGCATTGCTGGCGCTAGGTTGGGGTTGGGAGGATTAGGTATAAGGAATCTGCGGACTTGATCTGCGACAGGAATAGCTAGATCGTGTACAAATACTGACAATCGAGAACTCGTCTTCATCCATTTCTGACACGCCTCTGTTTCTTCCGGTTGGGTGCTTTTCAACGTCACGTCCTAAACCGCCAAAAGCCCTTGCCTAGGAGAGTTCCACTCGCGCGCGCGCTCATTATGCAATTCACAGCACGCACATACACACATACACACGGTATCTTCCGGAAAGAAAGAGAAAAAACTTCATATCATAACTCGAACGTTCTACTACCAAACGCCCCTAATTCCATCAGATCCTCAGGCCACCTACCTCAAACGGGGGGCCGAGCGAGCCTTTTCGCATTTTTCAGCAGCACTGAATTCTGCCCGCCTTTTTTTTTTCTTCTCTACCTTCCAACGGGGTTTGTGAGGCTGACCTCAGCCTCGGGGACGGCGCGGGCAAGGATAGTGTTTGGGAATGGCGGCGTAACAGTCGTGGCCCTCGTCCTCGTCGGGTGGGTGCGGGTGGTGGTGGTGCCGGTGCTGGCCGGGCCGGCGCTCGCCTCGTACTCGAACTTGAGCGTCTGGAAGTGCTGGAAGTCGTGCCAGTCCTCGAAGTCTTCTTCTACTTGGTCGGCTTTTTCGTCGTTGTGGTTTTTGTGGCCTTTGTGGACGGGGTCGTTGGAGTCGAAGATGTGGTGCTCGCCGCGCTTCCTGTCGGCCTTCTTGCCTTCTGGTGGGATGAGACGGGGCGTATGCGTGGCCAGGAAGTGCTTTAAGCTCGAGAGAAAGGGGTCAATGTCATGTTTCTCGCGGGCGGCAGAGGTCACGGTGGCGAGGGTGGTGGGCTTCTGGATGGATCTGCCTTGGAGACCGAGGGTGATAGGGTCGAGGGCGAAGTCAGAGGCTGCGGGCTCAGGGCTGGAGAGTGGGATGACGGGGCTGGTGGTAGCGTTGGCTATGAGCGCTGCGACGACGCCGGAGGGTGCGGCAGAGGCTGCGGCATTAGAACTAGAGAGTGGGATGACGGGGCTGGAGGTAGCGCTGGCGCTGACAGCGACTACGACGCCGAGGCTGAGGAGGGCGAGGCTGAACATTTTGGCTTGGGAGTTGGTGGAGGGTCGAAGGCCGTTTGGGGGAGTTGGCGAGGTGTGATATGAGACAAGAAGTGAAGAGAGGAGATAAAGCTTGTGGGCGGCTAGTAATGCGTCTCTTTATATATTTAAATGTCGGTAGCATGAGTCCGGAAGCGAGTTGGATTTTGTGGAACGACAGTATTTTTTTGGAGATGAAGCAATGAGAATTCGATCTAGAGCTATAGGGGCGAGAGGTGTGGAAAGACAGTAATTTTTTTTAGAAATGAAGTAATGAGAATTAGATCTAGAACTATATGGGCGAGAGGTGTGGAACGATAGTTTTTTTAGAAATGAAGTAATGAGACTGAGTATATGGGCTCGATGTGTCTTCCATGGTTGACTTTGAGCAGATACCTGGGTGACACATTCTAGGCACCGATGAGGTTTTATGTAGTCGAAGTTCAGTACGACTGTTTGCTAACGTGCAAATTGGTGAAGCTACCATTGGGGGAGGGGGGATGATGGAAAAGATGGACAAGATGGACAAGAATTGCTTTGGAACTCCGACGGTCGTCAGTTTTAATGATACTTATCACGTGATCAACCAACTAGCCAAACCCACGGATTACAAGACCCCGTGATTGATACACTTTCATGTGCACACCCCCACCTTTTTGTGCCTTCTCCGTGCCTCCGTTCCATCATCGGCCGGGCCCTTGCGCGCCAAGAACTTTGAACTGAGATCGACTACCTAGACAGCACAGATTCATAATCAATCACCACCCCGTCTTGACTCCTCTTCTGTTGTATTCGGCATGTCCTCTCCCTCCAATGCCTCTCACGACTGCCCAGTTTAGCTCTTATGGCACTATTGCCTCCACAACGGCTGGCGCCCGCTGCCTCACGCAGCGCAACGCGATGGCTGTTTGGACGTGGCAAATATAATCTCGAGCGCGCTCCCAGGGCGCTGTATACGACGCGAGAGATTGCGACCAATATCTCGGTGGCAGAACCAGCCGTGGACTTTCCAGATGCATCGACTGGCATTTCCACCGCGGAGCAGCCTTCATCACAAGGATCGCGAAGAGAAGCTGTCAAAGCCGCGAAGCCCTTCTCAGACTTCCTGACCGACGCCTTCAACCGACAGCATGACTACCTTCGCATTAGTATCACAGAGCGGTGTAATCTGCGCTGTCTGTATTGCATGCCCGAAGGTACAATTCCAATACCCGTCCATATCAATTCTTTCATCGCTAATTGACCTTCGATTTGCAGAAGGCGTCCCTCTCTCCCCGCAGTCCCATCTCCTTACAACGCCCGAGATATACTACCTATCCTCTCTCTTCGTCAACCAAGGTGTGACTAAGATCCGTCTTACTGGCGGCGAGCCCACGGTCCGCCGCGACATCCTCCCGCTCATGCAAAAGATTGGCTCCCTCCGACCACGGGGACTCCGCGAGCTCGCTATAACTACGAACGGCATTTCTCTCCATCGCAAGCTGGATGCGATGGTTGACGCAGGTCTTACGGGCGTGAATCTCAGCTTGGACACACTCGATCCGTTTCAGTTCCAGATCATGACGCGGCGGAAAGGCTTCGATGCGGTCATGCGCAGCGTTGATCGAATCCTGGAGATGAAGAGTCTCGGCGCCGATTTGAAGCTCAAGATCAACTGCGTAGTCATGCGTGGATTGAACGAGCGCGATATCTTGCCATTCGTAGAACTCGGCCGGGAAAAGGACATCGAGGTGCGATTCATAGAATACATGCCTTTTGACGGGAACAAATGGAGTAAAGGGAAGATGATCTCCTATAAGGAAATGCTAGATCTTATCCGCGCCAAGTATCCTGGGCTCAAACAGGTCCAGGGCCACAACAATGACACGAGCAAGACCTGGGAGGTCCCGGGTTTCCTTGGAAAGATTGGGTTCATTACCAGTATGACGCATAACTTTTGCGGAACCTGTAACAGGCTTCGGATTACAAGTGACGGCAATCTCAAAGTCTGTCTATTTGGGAACGCTGAGGTCTCGCTGAGAGATCTACTACGACAAGATAACAATGGCAAGCCGATCGACGAAGAAGCATTTGAGGCTATCAAGAAGATGGAAATGGACCGGCGACAGGGCTTACTCGGCGACGGAACCGCGCTCGGGTGGGGCCAACGAGAGCGAGAATTGTTGGACGTCATTGGTGCCGCTGTGAAGAGGAAGAAGGAGAAGCATGCGGGCATGGGCGAGTTGGAAAATATGAAAAACAGGCCGATGATCTTAATTGGTGGGTAGGTCGGTTCATTTACCATCATTTCACTTGTCTGTATTTTCTATAACGACAGTCCATGTAACTAAGTTATGGCGAAGCTTGCATCACACGAAAGGCTATGTTGAGCATGCTGTATGGGCGTTTTGGGCATCTTGTCTTTTTGGAGCTCATTTCTGGATTCTTCGGCAGGATATATACGCCATATACTTACGCCCTCCTTGTCTATTTTCCACCATCAAGCCCTTTATGTCCTTTGGGATGCCTCGTCTGTGTTTGACTAATTCGTGAGTATAGATAAATTCAGCCACAGCTTACCAGTGCCTTCCAGCACTACCCCGGCCAGCCATTCATCTCGTATTTTGCCACCGCATTCGCTTCTACGGCCCTGGAGCTCAGTCCCATCGCAGCTGTTTACAGCATCATACCAAATGCAGCCACCCTTCAGAATGACTATTCGAACTTACAGAACTACCTCTCGGACTCGACTCGTTGGCATTGTGAGGAGGACGAAGAAAAACGCTGATGATACTGACATGCCGGAAAGCTCTTTTCGCACTCGGCTTTCCTCCAACCCCATCGACGACCACGTTTCAGGGAGAAGTACGATATCTAGAGGCCTAGGTAGGACCAAGAAGTGGGCCAAGTTCGCAAACAAATGGAAAAAAAACCGAAAAAAGCTCGCAGCCCACTCGATTGTAAGGCCGCTCGACCGACCACGAATCCAGAGTAGTGGACTGAGCCCTCGCCCGCTGTTGTCAGTTCAGCTTTTCCACCCCGGAAAACAAATTCGTCCGCCTCCCCCTCGCGTCAAGGAAGTCCGTCCGTCTTTTATAAGGAGCTTGCGCGAGCGAGAAGCTAGACAACAAGAAATTCCGATGCGAACACGTCATGGTGAGGCTGTGCAGGCAGAAGGAGATTCAGAAGACCCTCTTTCTAAAGACGACTTAATGAAACGTTACAATATCGACCTCAAAGCTAGCGCTAATGTACTTGAGCACAAGTTGTGGGAGCTTGAGGACAAATTCAATGAGATTCATCCTTGTAAGAAGGAGAGAATCTATGCGACTCAAGCTCGCAAGGCACTAAAGGGAGCGGTTTTTTCATTGGCGCTAAAGCTAACCCAAGTGGAAGAATCATTAGCACAGGCACTGTCACAGACGATGATCGAGTCGCAGGCTCAGAACTTGCCGCGGCAGACGCAGCGACTTGCAGAACCGAAAGCTCTGGCAGAAGCTGTTCGTGTTATCATCAAGGCTAAGGCTAAGCAAGAGGCGGGGGTGATAGAGGACAGCGCGAGTATTAAGTTGCGATTTACCGCCTCAGGGCCGCCTCTAGTCATCCCCAAGGATGAGCTGATCAAACGTTACGATGCGTGGGTGGCCAATGAGTTAACTTTAGAGAAGGCGGAAAGCATACCGCCGGCGTCGCGGAGGGAAGGAGATAATAGCAAAGGAAATCTCAATGACTACGAGGCCGACACTTCCCATCCTCCATCCGCTGCATCGGAGCCGCCCCTAGTTCTGCCCACGGCTGAGCTGATCACACTAGAAACCCGTGCCAGGACGAATCCAGAGCTGGAGAATGCGGAGGGGAATGAGAGTTCGGCGTCGGTAGTCGTGAAGCCAGAAAAGTTCCCTGGGACGAGGAGGATTCCAGTGGGAGACCCTGGAATAAAGAGGCTGGAAGTGAGACCTGTTACAAAGAGCCTACCAGTCCTAAAGCCGAAAATAATAAGGTTGACAGTAAGAGGGATGCAAGTGGTTCAGCCGCTTATTGAAAGGCCGGAAGCGGTAAACCCTCTCATAGAAAGGACAAAACTCGCAGAGACAACAAAGACGGAACATGAGGTGGAGAGGTCGTCGTTGGAGGAACCCCTTACGGCGCCATGTAAACCGGAAGACTGGACCGAGAATCGTGGAATCAGCAGTGGCCAGGCAGAACCACCGAGTGACGACCAGGACGTCATAGGAACGATGAGGGCTGCTGTGAGAGCGGCTAAAGAAGAGAGCGTGAACCCCGATTCGACGCAGAGTCCCAGTACGAAAACGGTGCTACAGGGAGGAAAGAAGGCTAAAGACGACGTGGACCATGAAGACTTAAAAGCAACATCCGACATCTGGGTCGTAACCCGCCGGGTCGTTCACGTTGGGAGAGCTTGCACAGTAGCACCCAAATCCGTGGCCAAGATTCCCATGAAGTTTAAAGGCCGGCCGGGTTTACAAAAGCTCGTGCAGGCTGCGGGACCTGGTATAGAAGATATCTGCAAGCCCAAATTCACGCCGAATCCCTTATTGGTACCCAACGGGGCTGCAAATGCTTCTAGAATGACGATGATATCCGGCGCCCGTTCCTTGTACATGCATAATGACTCAAAGCTACCGTATCAATTTCCTCTTGGCACTGTGCTGGGAGAGATCGTGTGGAGAGAGTCTGGGGGAGTATTATTGCCTCACACCACACCTGCAAAGGCTGCCGCCGATGCGGAGCGGGCTATCAAACAGAAGAGACGTGCAGAATTCCTGAAGAACAAGAAGTGGGTCGGGAAGAAGCTGACGAAATTGGAAGCGGAGGAAACCAGTACTGAGGGGCAGGAATCAAAGTTCGCGTTCTTTAGATTACAGCTTCCGAGGAGTCGGCCTGTTGCTGTTACGGTACAGGAAGTGGATGTGAATCCGCATACGGAGGCAAGCGAGGGAGAACTGACGCAGAGACTGAAGCGGCAGGCTTTGTTGGAGTCAAAGGAAGAAAAAAAGCCTTATCATGGAGTCAAAAGAATCCCGCTTCGTTGGTTGTCACCCGATGCGGATAGCAGTGCTAATGTTGAGCTAAGACTGATGCAGAAAACGGAAGAGGTAATGACAGCTCTACATAAAGACCTAACGCAAACCGCAACAATGGAACGTACCGATCAAGGTCGATGGAAAACAATCCAGGCGGAAAATGAAGAGACACCGGAGACGACCGAGCCGGATTGGAAAGCAAGCGTAACGGCGCAGATTCAGGAGCTGGGGACGAGGAAGCTTGCACCAGAGCAAGAACAACTGAATTCCAAGCCGCAGAGGTTACAAAGCACGACAGTCGAAAGTGATCCCAACGTAGCCGTTGCTGCAGAAGCAAAGAAGTCGCGGTCTCGCCGGGGGAAATCAACTAATGCCCCAAGTAGAGCACTCCCAATCGCGCCTCTGAGTGGCTCTGAGTTACAGACCATAAAGCGAGCTACGCTCACTTCAACGCCGCAGTCTCCTCGTCTGACTCTGAGAAACCCACCAATGCGGCCTCTCACCATCGCTCCTTGGACGAGGGAATTCTCCACCCTATGCCCCAACCCTGAAACAGATCAGCCTCGGGATACAATACAGGAACCAGCCTTTTCTAAGCAGAAATCAATCACGCCCTCGCACCTACCCCACCTTACCGCTTCCGGCTCTGCCCACATGGTCTCCATCACGACAAAGCCTGTCACTTCCCGCACCGCTGTCGCCGTCGGTCGCGTCCGCTTCTCGAATTCTGCGCCACTCCCGCTCATCAAGTCCAATGCCCTGAAGAAGGGTGATGTGCTGGGCGTGGCGCGTGTCGCGGGTATCATGGCAAGCAAAAAGTGCCCGGAGATCATACCACTCTGTCACCCAATTCTACTCAGCCACGTCGGGGTCCAGCTCGCTCTTGTGGACAGCGGGGCCGAAGGGGCCGAGCACGGTGCTGTCGAGATCGAAGCAAAAGTTGAGTGTACCGGCGCTACGGGAGTGGAGATGGAGGCGTTAACGGCGGTGATGGCCGCGGCGCTGACGGTTGTGGATATGTGCAAGGCGGTTGATAAGGCTATGGTGGTTGAGGGTGTTACGGTGGTGTTGAAGGAAGGGGGCAGGTCCGGGACGTGGAGGGAGGACGGGTGGATTAGTCGGTTTGGGACATGAGAGTGTAGGGGATGTGCATATGAGTGGCGTTGGGTTTGTTGGTTGGTTTCATGTTCATTTAAGCGGGTTCCATGAATTCTGGCCAGGGACGGATGTGTTTTTTTTGTAAGATAGGTGTATATAAGATGGAGGACGTAGACACATAGCCGCATATCAAATGTATCATAATTCCTGAGGGGCGGGAGTGCCACTGCAGAGTAAGGCGTTGATCAATGAGACGGCTGTGGAGAAAAACGCTAATCTAGCTTGTAGATATCGTGACATTCGAGACGAGAGATAGTACACCTAGGCACCGCCGTCTGAGGTGACTCAGTGAGTTTGCCGGCTATTCAAAATGATGATCTTCCGTCTCGTTTGATTCTTCGAAGATGAGTCGAGGAACTTTTTCACAGTAGCGAACCACGGTACTCAGACCTGGAACCAAGTAGTTGAAGGTATGTCGTCCCTTACTGATGTCAAGTCCTGATTCCTGACCTCCAATCGCCAAGAATTCATCTAGCAATCCAGTCCGTGTACAGTGGTTTGACACTGCCTGAAACGCCCCGAGAGATTTTTGGAAATCGAAATCAGTTGCAGGGGTATTATTTTGACCACGCTGATACCTCGCTGAGTGACCTCAGATGGTACCATCACTGATTCTCGTCTCGATGTGAGGTCCGGGTTAGGGCCAAGGTTCATGTAATAAGTAGAACCATGGTTCCAAATGAGAGGAAGCGAAATAAATTTCCCACAGAGCAGCAATAGCACACCTAGCTCTTACAACCCTTCATCTCTATTCCTTACATCACTCTACTTCTCCCGATCATCCGGCGGCCGTTACGAACACCATGCCCGTTACTGTCCATGATATCCCTCCTGAGATTTTCAGCGCTATATGCGAAAACATTACCGATGCCGCAGCTATTTGCGCCCTCCGCCTGACCAACAGAGACCTGTATGAAAAGACTCAGTATACATTCGAACGAAAATGGTTCCATACGATCAAGATCATGCTGCACCCGGTTAGTCTGGATGTCCTGACGGCTATTTCGCTCTCGGATTATTCTAAGCATGTCAAACGTTCTTGTTATTGGCTCTGAAGTCATTGATTGGGCTTATAAGAAAGCTGGCTTTGGAGAGCTCTACCGGCAACAGGAGAAAATGAGCCAGAATTATTGTAGACGGTATCTTCAATCCACCATTCCTCGCTTTCCGAACCTGCAGCGTCTTGATGTGCAAAACATCTCCCACCCGAGCCCGGCTTTTAGCGAAAGATTATGGGGCGTATCTACGCCAGGGGTCTGTGGAATGAAGCGGTTGCGTTTACTTACTGGAATCAACTACCCTTCGCAACGGAAACGTTACGAGCGCTTCAACCTAAGATATTCATCGTCCCAGCAAGATGGCGGCTTTGGGACTCTTTGCAACATGATCCTTGACATGCGCTTGCAATATGTAAGCATTGGTATCGGTGGCAGTACTGCGATATGGAATCTGTGTCTAGGAAAACCATTTCCAGGGTGTCACGTATACATGTCCAATGAGAGAACGTTTTCGCGACTTTCAGTTTCAGTGCGCTGGAAAGGCGTTCAGGTGCGGAGCTATCGCTTGTATTCCACAACCGAGAGGATTTAAAGCTACCACCATTAACTTTTGTACCGCGGACCACTCGTCCCCGTTTCTCAGGCCTAAATATTATAGGAAGAGGAGGAATCATACACGCCCGCCATGTCGTTACACTCCTCAACCAACACCGACAAACTTTATCATACATCGGTATTCATGATAATTCTCAGTTTCTAAGCAAGAATTACAACGATTGGCAGCTCTTGCAAGAAACACTTCTGAACACGCCGAAAGTGCATTGGGAGGCATCCCAGATGGAGCTTATCCAAAAGGGGCTGCGAGCTGTAAGAACTCTCAGCGTAGCTTCAGAGGCGTCGGAAGATATTCTCTTTACTACTGATTGGAGCTGGATGGATACCACCTTATCGTAGGTCTGTGCAACTTTCTGGCGCTGCATATAGGCCTTCAAATCATTTTCAGAGGTTCGAGCGAGATGGGAGTTTGTGATTTGGAACAGTCTATAAACTCGAAGCATGTCAAGCGCGTCATCATCGGCACTGAGACCCTCTGCCACTCTCTGTCAGAAGACAACTAGCAGGAGCAGAGGCGACTATGTGACAAGAACCCCGGAATGGAGGTCAACTACAGAAGTCTCATAATACAGGCGTTACAATATGAGGATCCGACTTGATTTCGCTTCTCAAGGCAACACTGCTTCGCTTCCAGAACTTGGAGCGTTTCGATCTATAGAGCGACTGTCACACTACCGACCGGGAACAGCTGTGGGGTCTGCCAACACCGAAGTCCTGTGGCACGAAGCGACTACTTGTAATGACTGGAGCTGATTGCTCACGCTCAAGGACTAATAGCCTAGGTAACGGCCTGCCTGTATATCGATATCTCTGTGACGCCATCTTGGACATGGACTTGAACAGCGTGGACGTTGGGGTCGGTGGGGACTACAACTGGTACATTTCCATAGACCACAGTTCCAAGATCCGCCGTGCTCACTACAAGCTGAGCTCTCCCGAAGCTGGCCCTGAGTCCGGCATTGAGGCGTTGAGCTGGTTGCGGGCTGGATGCGAAGAGCTTACCCTTCGATTTGCTCGAATGGATTTGGAGGAGGAGCCTTCTGTGTTCTCTGGATCATCACGCTTCTTAACACTTCCCAAGAAACTCTGTCGCACATTACGCTCCGCAACCGTTTCTGTGCGGTGAGATCTCGACTCGATGGCTTGGGCTTGCTGGGATTACTGAAGGAGATGCTGGCTACGTCACGACTGGTCGAGCTGGAGTTGGGCCCCAAGATAGTGGAGACGGCCTATGCTACGGGACAAGCGGGGATCCTTGGCGACCACCTGACTTACCGCTCTGCTAGTCTCACCGACGGAAAGCCAGTCCATTGGAAGGGCGATGAGGTTCGTGTGCGTCTTCAGGAGACGATTGACAAAACACAGGAAGGAACGGAGGAGATGTAGATAGCTTTCCCTCTTTCTCAAGGATGAAAATCACTTTCCGAATACAGTGCCTTGTCACAGGTATCCATACACTTCCCTGCCACTGTCTGTGAGGCTCCAATGTACTAACAGAGACCAGGGCCAGCAGACGCAACTTCAAATCTACGTACGCCATATCGACGCTGTCTGGAGTAGCCTCGTGCATTTACTAGTCGTCCAAAATACCGAACTTCTCGCACACTCGGAGTGCCGAAAATGCTATGAGGCTTCTCACGCAGCGGTAAACGAGTGTACAGATATTTATGACGAGGTACTATACACTCTCCCGCCACTGTCTGTGGGGCTCCAACGTACTAACAGAGACTAGGGCCAGCGGATACAACTTTCAATCTGCGTACACCATGTTGACGCTGTCTGGAGTAGCCTCGCGCATTTACCACTTGTCCAAAATACCAAACTTCTCTCTAATTCAGACTGCTGAAAATGCTATGAGGCTCCTTATGCAGCGGTAAACAAGTGTACGGATAACTATGACGAAGCATGTTACTGTTTATGCTTTCTTAAGGCAGTAAAGTGATGACGGTCATCTCTTGTGCCTAGAGAAGACATCGATCATCGATGAAGAAGGGTAAGACTATTTGGTGTTGACGTGCATTGTTAGGCCGTGCTATTTGTGGCGATTGAATGGCAACTTCAAGAATAACGGACAGCACTTGTAGAGGAGATTGACGGGTAGGAGCTCTGACGGCATTATCGAAGGTCGTGTCAAAAAGGAAATTCATTAGACCTCGTAAAAACTTGATATAATACACCCAGAAACGCCAAAACACGTACTCAGGGGAGGAGAGATTTCGGGGCCTACTCGATCCGACGCTCAGTGTCCAGTAACAACCATCCGAAAAGCCCAAGTATCGTGCAATTTACAAATACATCCACCTAGTGCAACACGAGGCACTTCACGCCGCCCTGCCCATACTGCCTAGAAGTACTAGTCGTACCAGTAGTCCATAGCGGCCTCTGCCGAGTTTGAAGCCGGCGGTTCCTCCTCGCTGAAGAACTCCTCGTCGCTTGCCGTCATCCCAGACCTGTTTGCGTACACATCGCCCTCCGCGTGGTGTGCCTGAGCAACAAGACTGAGGGAGGTGGGTGTGCCATCGTGCTCATCGTCGGTGGTATTAGAGCTTTGTGTCTGGTGGTCATCGTTCCAGGTCGGATGGTAGCTGCTGGAAGGAGACAACTGGTTGAGCCATTCGAAGACTGAGCGCGTAACTCGCACGCGGGGTTGGAGTACGGAGGTTGTCTTTGGTGGCAGATCGTTTGCTGAATCGATACCTGTATCTTCGTCTTGTTCTGCTTCATCATCTCCATCATCGTCTTCATGGTCAACATCTGAAATACGAACAAAAAGTATGTTACAAGCGGCGAATTTGGACGGAACAAAACTAAGCTCACTAAAACTAGTGGCGTCGCTGTCGCTGTCGTAACCGCTGTCACTGCTTATACTCTCACCTTCGTCCCACCTGCTGTCACTAGCAGACTCTTGCTGCCTAAGAGCTTGCGTCTCCGGAGTTGCTCTCCATTTACTACGTCCACGTTCTACGTCGTCAAGGATTGCTGCAGCACGACTGGCTGGAAGATCTTCCAGAAGCGGAAGGGTGTCGGCTGAGCTTGTGATACCCTCGAGTGTAGTGACCTCGCTTGCACCAAGAGAGCGCTTTTGCCTCTTCTCGTCATGGGTAGGGCCGTGAACACTCGACGAGCGGACGCGCTTTGTTGGCTTCATGTTCCGGGAAGGATGAGGCGTTGAGCTGATGTGTGGAGGAGATGCGCTCCGATTCGGGTTGAGTGTGCAGATAAGGAGGTTAGATCAGTAGAGGAGGTAAGTAGCGTGGTGGAGACGGTGAGGACTATGTACTCGCACTGGTTCGAAACTTATAGCGCCTGTCGTCACGGGCAACGTCCGGGCCCGAGGTGGTCTGATTGCCAAGGATTGCGACAGCACGGTACTGAAGGGCGAGCGAGCCTTCGCGCTGAGGGGTACGCCGTGTCTTATCTTTATATCTTCGAGTCTCGTCTCCTGCGTGGCTGCCTGGATCTCGATGCCCAGAATAAGGCGACGATTTGATAGCGCACGGATAGTCTGGGTGCCTAGAGTCTGCCTTGCTACTTCCATTGGTCCCAGAAGGGTCATCACTCACATCAACGGTCCCTAATAGGTCATCTTGAGGTTGTGGAGTTTCAAATATGGAGGTGCGTGCATAGAATGATACACGTGATTACGCGTAAGCACACGCGTCGCTGGATCGCGAATCTGTTCGCCCTACCGGTGTGCCGCATCGAGAAGATGAGTCATTTGTTTTTGCTTGTCTCGGCAATAGATGCAACAATAATTTCAGCCAACAAGGGTCGTGTGGGGTATACTGTGGACGTTTGATCGCTTAGAGCGCTAGAGAATGAAAGTAAAGAATGCTGGATGAATGGGAGAACCCTTAGTCAACGACGGAAGGGCATGAAGAAGAGAAATTACCAATAAACTCTCCTTCGCATGTTGTTGGGCTGCCATGGTCTGATGCACTATTGACGTAGTCAAGTACTTGGTAACACGTGGAAAGGCGGAGTATATTCGACGGCGAACGATATCCTAACGCCAACTAGCTCTCTACTACTGGAGGAAATGCCTTTTGCTTTTGACGATGTCGTATTCCTCGAGTGGTGTTCTGAGTCATCGCCATTCGTTGGCTCAAACATCCTTCCAGATGCCGAGTTCTCTGAACCGGGCCGAGGCGCAGGCCCTTGTGGAATCCGCGAGGCACTTGAAACGTGCTTGGGGTGAACAGATACAAAGTCCGTCGCAAGACACAATCAATTGGCAGATGCTGTCCGCTGTCTTAAGGAGAACTGAAGGTCGAGTGCCTCAGTCGAGGCCATTCCGGAGTCCGCATACCCAAAACAAAATCCGCACGGTTAGCGATCTGCGAGCGGTCCTCTTTTGGTGGATGATGGCCAGACTGGTGGTTTCGAGATGATGTAGGTGAAAGTCTAAGGGTATCCTATCCGCATAGCCTTGGTCGGTATGACTTACTCGTTAGTCCTGCGCCGACTAGTATGAATTGAGCCACCCCAGAAAGCCGATGCGTTATCTTGAGTCGTCTTATGCGACGGACGCGTGGATTGGGAGTAGTGAGGGTTGAGTGTAGAGAAGACAATCGGAAAGGCTTGGGAAACCTGGGGAAGGAGGCCTGGTAGTCCGTGCCACCCGTCCTCGACTCCATCGGCGGCTAATTCACAAACCTAAACAACACAACCACGCCGTCTCCTACACCAGTCTTGGATTACCACGAGGTCAGGATCGCGTGAATTCTCGCGCATATTACTCAAGAGGCTATCGACATCTAGCATGGACACGGAACCGTCCACAGCGTTCCAGACGCAAGAACCAGAGGATGCTGTCGAAGCCAAGGATGAACAACCACCATGGCCGCTTTCATTCAATATGAGAAGACCTCAAGAGCTGATAAACGGGTCAGTTTCGGGGAGACCCTATTGGAGCTACACCCTGTATCGAGGCCCCAAGAAAGAGATGGTCCAAGTCCATTATTGCGGAACGAAAGCTTCTTCAGAAGCCGCGGCGCAAAAGTTCCTCAACGAAAAAGTGCTAGGCTTCGATATGGAGTGGCCAATTCATCCCACGAGTGATCGATTACAGCAAATGATCGGGTTAATTCAGGTGGCAAGCGAATCCCAAATCGCTCTCTTTCATCTCGGCGTGCACACTGGGACCACTGTCGATGACATCCTGGCCCCGTCACTGCGTTATCTCATCGAATCTAAAAACATTGTTAAAGCCGGCAATAACATATGGGTAGCAGATTGTCCGCGCTTGATAAATTTCTTCGGCCTCAAACCCCGCGGAATCGTCGACTTGACAGTGCTGCACCGCGTTGTCAAGTACGGCGCAACCGACCCACGGAAAGCACGGGGCAGATGCATCGCAATGGCCAAGATAGTCGAGGAACATCTCTTCCTACCCTTGAATAAGGATCCGAATGAGAGGACCAGCAACTGGTCTAGGGGATTGAATCAAAAGCAGATGAATTATGCTGCAACCGACGCCTACGCGGGAGTTATTCTCTACCATACGCTAGACTGGAAGAGGAGGTCAATGAAGCCCATCCAACCAATGCCCGAGTTTAAAGAATTGGAGCTTCCTATCAAACTCATACCTATCGAACGCGAAGTCAATGCAGACGAAGGCGATGAAGCCACGCCATCGAAAAACAAACGCTCACCTCTCCAGAAAGACGAGGAGGCGCCTTTGGATCCCAACTCACAAGCTCTCTTTGAACTTCTCCGTAGAACACGACTTCAATTAGCTGCGAAAAAACCGGCTTATCATGTTGCGGCGGACCGGACTCTGAAGCGGATAGCAAGGACTAAGCCTCAGAGTTCCGAAGAGCTACTGGCTATCCATGGCATTGGTGCTGGTTTCATAGCCAACTACGGCGACTCTTTTCTAGCCACTATTAAGGAATTCATCTCGGCGCTCCCTCCGCCTGCCCCTGTACTTGCAGCTGAAACAGTTCCGGATACATCACCACTTCCCGCGACTCTCCCAACCGGCCTTTCCTACAATATGGGGTCGATGGGTCTTGATCAAGAAGAGAACACGGACATCCCGAAACATAACTGCGACAGCCTGCAGAAGGATGCGAACCCCTCCGCCGGCTCTGACCCCGTCCAAGATCCAACACTCCTCCCGCCACGATCTCGCAGGTTCTTATCCGCCCTCTCGGGTCTCCGAATCCGACTGAGTCACCAATTGTCCCGACCCGCCCCCTCAATAGTCACCGACACCCTTCTGAACCAACTTGCCGCCAATCCGCCGCGTACGCTCGAGACCCTCAAACAAACACCCGGCATCGCGAGCCTGATCCAAGCTGCCGATGAGGCCGCGGTAGATCTTTGGAAGTTTATCACTAAGCACGCACCTCCGGAACAGGGGATAGAAGAGGTTGACTTGACTGGAGGCAGCTGAGCCCATCACGGAAGCATACACTTACCCGGGCAGAGATTACTATGTGCACCCTCAATTTCCTTTGATATCCATTTTCCTAGTCTCCCTGTCAATTTCCTATTGCTCTCTCTGTTCTCTTGTTTACTCTCTATTGGCATACACACAGTACGCTTGCATGCGGGCATCCTTGCAGTCATTTGATCATGGTCTTTCGTACGGTCCATACACACAATGATGAGGCATGCATTTTGGATTTCTACATGTCTCGGATCATTATTTATTTTTTTCTTCCATCAATGTTCATTAGCGTCATTGATAATTCATAGCCTTTCATGCGTGCCGCAGGCGGCGAGATTCCACCTGAACTGAGCGAAAATAGCACATACACGTCTACCACTATTAACACCCTAAAAGTGATATCATCATAGTTAGCAGCGAGATAGCCTAGGGCCATTAGATGGTCCATTAGCAACTTTCGTTGTCGATTTAATTTATAAGCGACTGCATCTCCAGCCCTCTTGCGCATGCTGGCAGTGTGTAGGAGGCCGCAAGGTTACAATACGGTATTGGATGTTGATGAGAGAAGTTTGATTGGCCTCATAGCCTTTTGCAAGGTTCTAAAGCATCTGTTACGCAGATCTTCTGGAATGCGCTAACCACAGCCTGTGCAAAGGGGCTGTGATGGCGTGCAGTCGAGAAATCCATGTTCCCCGATGCAAACCTTATGCGCAATAACTGCAGTGGTTGGGCATTCTCCAAGGCTGATTATCTACCAACGCACAGCTTGCGTACTTGCTGGTGGAGGCTGAGGGCTGCATGCATAATGGCGCAGCTGAGGCCTTCTGGGCGCGTTCATAAATCCAAAGTTGTAGCCGACTCATGCAAATTTGGAGTACCAACTCAACAAAGCCCCAAGCTCATTGAATTACTCGCAAACTGAGCAACTAAATATGGAGTATGTCGGGAGCAGCGAAGAAGAGTCTGAGCATGAGGTTGAATTGACAGAACTTGAAGTTTCATCAACCTCTGCCATCGAGTCAACCTCCACCAACTCCACTGTCCGGAGACGAAGTCATCACCCACCAGATGGATTGGTGCATCTTTGTAAGTGTCGGAGCATCAGGTCTTCTTGCTATTTCTCACCTACTAATACGGCACTTGCAATGGCTTCAACAGACCCATCTCAAGAGAGCGCCCAACAAGACCACATCAAAGTCGATGCTCTTCGCAAGATTGCCCGTTGCTTTGCTTTGATCGGCATTTGGGCCTTGGGAACGATTAAAGCATCTCCCCTTATACCAGATAAGGTAGAATTCGATGAGTTCAAAGACCATCTCGGTCCACACTTAGCCTATTTAGCGATTCAGCTTTTCAATGTGGTGGACACTTTTGAAGCTCAGTTTGCAAAGAGCCCGGAATTCATTAGTGCCTTGAATTCTTTCTCTGCAGATCAACTGTTAGAGTTCGTGAGACAGACAAGAACCACCGGCTACTACTCGAAAATGCTGCGGTTTCGAATAACGAGATATCAATCGTCGAAGTCCCTTTCGGCTTCCGTTAAACAACTGCCAACCGCCAGTAACCCTAGCTGGTATCAGAATTATTCTGATTATCTAGATAGGGTCACTACGGGTGTTGGGACTGCCCGAAGCAGGCTTCGCGCAGTTGTGAAGCAATGCCGAGCGCTACGGGACTGCATCGCATCAGCACACGATGGCGGATTGCTGAACGCCTCAGACATGCTGATCTTGAAAGGAAAAGTGGAGGCGCTCGATGAGAACTTCGCGGACGCGTGTGCAGAACTCGACGAACCCGCCGTACATCTCATAGTAAACCCAACCGCTCTACGATGGTGGTAAGCCACTCACTCCACCAACCCTTTGAGAAAATGCACTCATAGCTTTGCTAGGGAGCAAGAAGAAAAGACGGTCATGGACGAACCACCACCAGCCACCACCTTCGCGGCGCAAAACACACCCAAATCTCCCAACCTCGCACCCACGCTCCTCTTCTTCGTGCCAGCAATCTGTCTCCTCTCCTGCATCCCAACCGCAATGGCTTGGATGCACACCACCCCCGGGCCCTCACCCCGCCCAACCGCCGACGCAAACTTCTACCAACTGCTCTCCAACTCCGCGATGCAGCTCATCAGCTTACTCACGCTTGTCTGGCCCCTGATGTTCCACGATGAACTCGCGAGGATGAGCTGGGTGTGGACGTGGGTGCTTGCGGGGACGAGCGCTTGCCTTACCATAGCGGCTGTGCTTACATATGTTTGGCTGTCGATGCAATGGAGCGGGCTTCTTTCTTTTGCGGGGGGTGTGGCACAGGCGCTGGTTGTGTTGCAGATGGTGCGGTGGATTTGAAATGTGTTTTTCTTAATCTAGATTTATGATGAGTTCCTCGCACCTCTAACTCCTCATCTCACGTCTCAGGTATTGGACAACGCTACGATATCCAGGACATCCCATCGGCACTCGTGTGAATCGATCCTATCTTCTTTGTATTACTTTGACTGCGCAACGTACACTCGCTCCCATCACAGCGCCACTATTTACCGTAGCGAAACTGCCACCTACGCTTCGTTTCGACAAAGGCCCGCCTCGTCACCTTCCCCTCGCCCCTGATTTCCTGACGGTTATACTGGCAACCCAACTGTGATTGCAACTGCAAATCTGAGCCGACATCAACACCAACACACCCACCGATCCAAGCCAGCACCACCACCCGCCATGCCCATTTGTGCCCTCATGTACCGAAAACGACAGGGTATGTGTTCATATACTCTTCACCAAAGAAATTGGGAAACGCCCCCCCGCCACCCTCAGCTTTTACGCCCTGCTGGAACGAAGAACATGGGGCGAAGTAAATCGCCGTGAATACGAGACGGTCCAAAACATGTTACCTGAAAAAGAAAGCAGGGGGCGAGCGTTGAGCGAGGTCGCCCCGAATCAAGCGAGCCGGGTATAAAAAAAGATCGTACAAAGGGGAAACAAACGTAATCAGGTATCGAACATAATTGTAGCCAGCACCTCCCAAAGCTGCCTCAAAGGTCCCAGAGGGGTGTTCAGACCGTGCTCTTCTCTCGCCCAAAATCCACAACCCGCGTCTGTTCCAACCCTCCCTCTTTCTCCAATTCGCCCTCGTCTCGCCGCCGCTTGCCCATCCGGTCTAGCCACGTCTCGGCACTGACCACCGTCCCGTCCACGACAGTGCTCACCTGCGCCATCATATCCAGCCCCTCTCGCGCAAAATTCAGCATGCGGTGCGCCGTCCGCACCTCGCCAGTCTGCTGCTCCCCCGAGCTGGCCGTCCGCCGTTCCGCCGCCTGCCACCGTTGCGGCAGGCTGAGCACTTGGCGAGAGACGACAGCGCGAGCGTTCTCGGGCAAGGCGCCGCCTGTGAAGCGGTTGACGGACGATACGACGGTTTGGATGGTCTGCCAGATATCCGCGCTGAGCGCCTTCATGCGATTCGCGATTGCGCGCACCTGGTCTTCGCGTTCGGGGGACATGTTCTGGGTCGTTGAAGACATTGCCGCTTGATATTCCACGTCGCCTTGGCCGTCGGACTGCTCTCGTGAGCGCATAGCTCGCTCGTACTCTTCGAGAACCAGCTTCAGAGCGTGCATGACCTGGTCGACGTGGGTCGTCGCAGTGCGCAGGAGTCCCAAGCAGAACTTCAGAGACCTGAGCGAGGAATCCGAGAGGGCGGCGCCTAGACCAGAGGTTGTGATCATAAGCTGAGTGGGCCAATTGACACGGCGATCCTGGCTTTGGTCCTGGTCTTGTGGGTGCTTCTCGACGTCCAGCTCTCCGAGGGCGACTTCTTCGTACTGCGGGGAACGGTGGTCGTCGTATGCTGGGAGAGTCTCTGCGTGAGAGCTTTGCGACGCGCCGCGTGTACGTGGGGTCTGGAAGCCGCCGACGATTTCCATGGGATCACCACTCATGACGCGCCGTCTCTTGTGGCCAGGGGCTTCTGCAGAGTTACCGTCTTCAAGATCGCTGGGGCGACGTTGATCTGAGAGGTAGCGACGTATGTTCTTCTCGACGCCGGTACGCCGTCCCACAGAGCTGACGGTGTTGGTGAGGGGAGAGCCAATGTTCCTTTCAATGAAGTCGGCGCTATTTTGGACAAAGCGTGGCGTATATGATTTTGTGGTGGTGTAGACAGTGTGTGCCCCGTTGATAGTACCCCCTACCCAGGGGTGGCTCGAGGTGATGAGCTTCAGAAGAGGCTCTGGGTCTTGGTCCTGGCCCAGAGGGAGTGCAATGCTGCGATTGGTAGGCGAACGAACAAAGTCTTTAGAGTATATGTCAGCATATATAAGACAGTGTAAGGTGTGAAGCTGAGAGACGAAGCGCGCCCCGAAGACGTCTAGCAAGCAAGAGCGAGGTAAGATAGGCGGGGTATAAATGCCACAAGTGAAGATAGTCCGTCCCAACAGAGACGGCCCTGCAAGCAAGAGATTGAAGACGTGACTGACCTGGATTGCCCAACCCTGACAATGCCTCAGCGGCTAAGCGAACATCGGGATCATCCATGGAGATAATGCTGGCCGACTTGTAGCTGTGCTGATCCTCGACGCTGGCCATGCTCTGCACGTCGTCCATGGGACTGCCTATGCTCTCCTCTGCTGCAGCCCGCGGGACCGTCGTAGGGACCTGGGGAAAGTTTGTATGGGACAAAGGGAGTGTATAGTGCCATTGTTGCGGGTCGTTGGAGGCATTCTTGCTCACGTCAACGACGACATGGCTGCTGTTCGTGGTGTAGTTTCGAGCGACTTTGGTGGGCGGGAGATGCAGCGCCTTAATTCCGGGCAGATGTTGTCTTGTGCTGGACTGCGGACTGGAAGGTAGGTCGTGCTGCGGCACCGATGGCAGCTGGAGCTGGTCTGGCTCGTGGGCGTAGGCAGGAGGGTGCTCTTGTTGTACGTTCATGGTGGAGAGAAGGCTCAGCGCCGCGGCGTGAGGGGGGTGACGGCGGGGGAGAGCTGGGACGCCAGGTGATGCGACGAGGCAGTGCGGAGGGCAGCTGGCGACAGTGCGAAAGCGGCGCGCTCGTATGCGCCCCTGGAGAGTGTCGTCGGCGCGTGAGAGGGGATTTGGAGTCGTAGAGGGTGCCGCGAGGGGACGAGTGCTGGCTGCGTGGGTTGCATTGGCCCCAGAGCACCGCTCGTGACATGTGATGCCGCCCGTGCTGTTCGGCGGGCACGTCTTTGTGTCGTCTCGGGCCGCTCCACAACTCATCTACGACTCTGCACAGCGACGCAATATTGTCCGACTGTCTGAAATATGTCTTGCTATTTCCTCGTGGTCCTATTGTCGCGCATGTGGCGAGCGGACCGACTTTCAGATGCTACCTGCAACGCTGGAGGAGCCACCCTGCGACTGCACGACAAGCCACTCACTATCACGGCGCTATGCGCGATTGCTGGAATTCTACCTGTCCGTTCGGGGAACTCGTGGAAAGCACATGCTTGCGTCGAATTGAAGCCCGTCATTGGCCCGTTCGATTCTTCCGCCTCTCCGCGGCAACCATCTCCAGCCTCACCTTCGGTCCCGGCTCCCAAAATGTGCCAGTTCTCATTCATAGCTGCTATCCATACTCCTCGTTCGAAACATTAAAAGACGTAGTTAGCATGCAGATTTCATTCTTCTTCTTCATTTACCTCGACACGTGCTGTAATAGATGCCAACCTTCACAAGGAAATGCGTCATCGCCATCGTCTCATCGTCCCAACGACCATACTGTGGGGAGCCCTCGTCCACGGTACCCACCGCTTTCGTCTCAGCGCTATCTATTTTTCCGTTGGTTTGCAGCAGCTTAAAGTCATTTGCCATTCGCATCACCTGCCTGACCCTCACCTCAAGGGCCCATGGCATGTGAAATGGCTCGTCAGAATCCTCAAACTGGTCCACGGCATCACGGCACGACAGCTTACCTCTTCTCCACACGACTCTATCTCAAACATACACCTGTTCCTGCTCCTAGACCCACTATCACACCGTCTTTCATCCAGCTTCCAATCTCGTGAACGGATACAGCGGAAGCATGTGTTATTCCATCTAGCTTGGGTGTCATGAAGTATCACGATCTAGGTCGAAGCTGAGTCGCGCTTGAACATCGCTCAGGGCACACCTAACCAATACCTCATGCATGCTGGCTCCGCAATCCTGCTCTCACAGAATTGTTCTGTGGAGATCGTCACATCTGACGTAAAATCCCCGCATGTGAGGCGAGCCTTTCACGAGCCGAACACTATCTTCCACAAGCTAGACCAGACGCTGTGTCAAATGAGTAGCATGGCAAAGAATCCTTTCTTTGTACGTGGGAGTAACCTTTCTGGACATCGAAGCTGAACAGAAAGTGTCTACTTGTTGCCTTGATGCTCATGATCACCCCATAGCTGGACTGTAGAAAACCGCCTTCCAAAGGGTGCAAGTGCTGCGCCTCCCACTTTGTATCCCAGCTCATGAAGCATCCAACAGCTTTCCACTACCTTCCAACTTCTGGCACCATTATCAAGCTGATATCACACTGTCTATACATACCCAAAGAGCCCCTGCGCCCGCCGACTCCCCTCGCTCACCCAAAAACCTCCTCCGCTCACTGAAAGCCACTACCGTCCGCGATGACCTCTGACGCGATGCTCTTTGCACTGATATCAGGGTCCACGCATTGAGGCCTTCAGCGCCCGCTCTATTCAAGGTCCAATGCCTACCACCGGGATGCCCCTTTAAACTCCCCCCCACCTCAAGCACGTCTTCCCACCTCACCCAACTCAGCAATCACATGCACTTCCCATCACATGCTTATCACGAGCTCGGACTGCGTCTCTCCGCATAAATCAAGGCATTCAATCCGCATTCCCCAGCGCCTCGTTTCCAAAAGCAGGGAGCCGCGATCGGATCCACGGCCCGTCTCTCGCCTGCATGTAGGGTCCCAACGCTTTGGATATTACGGACGTGAGACCTACTGATAAAAGTTTTGAGAAGAAGACAGCAGAGGACATTTGCTGGCTTCAACTACTTTACACCTCATTAAATCACGTTCCCGTGATTACTCGTGCCTTTCCAACCACCCTGTGCAGGGGGGTTGGAAAGCCCCGAGTATGCCGGGGACACGCAGAACCACGTCAACTGCACTTTGCTTCAAAGGATGCCAATTTCCTAGCCCTCTACCTGGCTAGGCCTTGGAAACTGCTTCTTGTGCCGGTGGAAAAGAACGTATCTATTCGTCTATCTATGTAAGTCCCCGTGACGTACTGGCATTGCAAACCTTTCAGGTATATGCGCGGTCTGTTCACAAAGATTTAAAACATAAAAATCATTTCACACGAGTGCGGTTCGATTTCCCTGACATGGCAGTGATGCCCAACCACACACCCATTGGTCCACCGGATAGATTAGCGAGACGTCTCCCGAGCGTGAAGTGATTGCTAATACTGAGGTCGTTAGCGGATAGCTATACAGCCGCGGATTTCTTACGTGAGGGGGGTGGGGCTCGGCTTCTCAATGGCGGAACTCGGTGAACCGTCGCAGAATATTGCCGAAGCATTATCGCGGACGAGAATGAGGCTGGTATTGCTTTTGCTTGTGTATTAAAGGAGCAGGCCCCTGTTTCACAAACATATCGGGACATACCCACGGTCCAATAGCATAGACACTACTACGGCCGAGTACGAAGTATGACTCGGCCATTGAGTGCCCAGGCGAGGATGAGTGGATTATCGCCAAGGTCTTGAGCTCCATGATTCGGTAAACGAGCAATCCTTAAAATACGGCGGCAGCACGCAGGTGGCGGAGCGTGGCGGACAGAGGTATCTTGTCCCCAGGTTGGTTGTTTGGTGGTGGGGCATCAATGTCAGCCCTACACCAGGTCCTCGGATTCGGATTCCTTTGAAAGCTCCCGACCACGCGCGATGTGCGGCCGCCCCCACGGACGAAGAGCTACGGACAAACATTCGACCGCTGCGTAATGCTCGTTCTGCCTCTTGCGGCAAGCAACGTGGTGGTGCAGGTGGTTTGGATGCTTGGGCGTCAGCGGAAAAGCGGGTTTCGCAGCTAAACGCGATCTACCCGAAGCCTCGCCGCTTGAGTCATGGGAAGATTTCACCCGGTGGTTGGCTGCGGGATGCGGAGGATGCGCGGGCGGTGAGCAATGATGCTTGCGGGTGGGGAAAGCGCAGAGGAATGGCTGACTGGATTACCAACTGCAGAATCCCCATCTCGAGTCGTCCATCCGGAATCGGCATCGGTTGCGCCCGAGCAAACGGGAGGCGGTTTCGGCGAGGGGGCTCGTTATGCCCTGCGTGCACCGCTGGGGAGAGATCGCAGAGCGATCCTTCGTGGCGGTGAAGATCTGGAGCTGAGTTCGACTCATCAAGACTCAACGCTGCTCCCTCAAAGTCTCCGCCAAGTGTGCGCCCTTCTCGCGGCAAGACGATGAAATAAGGGCGCCCGATCCGTGACTCAAAGGAAAGGGATTCACCCGGCTCGTCTGCTAGACCCACGGCCTTACTGCGTTATCATTGAGCAAACAAACTCCGCTGCTAACGCCGCGACGGCTGCACGGCTAGTGACCCTTCCTTTTCTCAAAGACCCATACGTGCCGCTGTTTAGCGTCAGCTCCCGACATCGTCCTCGCTTGGTCTACCTTTCTTCTCTCTCTTTATCCATTCTTCGTTTTTTCCCCATCCATATCGTCAATTGCACGCCGCGTGAGGTGCGACGCCAAAGCCCCCCGGAAGGCAACCCAAGGCTCTGTCACCCGCCTGCCCATTGGCTCCGAAGCGACCATGGACACGGATACACCCTTGAACCACTCGACGCAGCGCGAGGAAACATCGCAGACCTTGGGCCGCGTCTACGAGGCCATCCACCACGAGCACGCCGCCGACAGCCCCCGCGACGACTACGACGAGAAGCACTCCGCCAAGGAGCTGGAGCGCAGCTACAGCCATGTCGACCGCGGCGTCAACGTCGAGCGCGCCGAGGCCGAGTTCGCCGAGCTCAGCAAGGAGCTGTCGCGCGTGTCGCAGCACTCGCGCCGCATATCCAGGACCCACAGCAGGCAGAAGCACGAGACGGCTGCCGATATCGAGAAGGCTGCGAGTTCCGAGGACTCTGAGGCCGAGCAGTTCGATCTGGAGAGCACGCTGAGGGGGAACAAGAGCGAGGCCGATGAGGCGGGGATCAAGTCGAAACGGATTGGTGTTGTGTGGGATAATCTTACTGTCAGTGGGGTTGGAGGTGTGAAGAATTTTGTCAAGGTGAGAATTGCCCTAGACTATCAAGGAGACGAAGTTAATTGTGATGTAGACGTTCCCATGGGCTTTTGTGACCTTCTTCAATGTCGTTGAGACTTTCATGAGTGTCTTCAAGCTTGGAAAGAAGGGGAAGGAGTTCGATATTCTTAAAGATTTTAAGGGTGTGGCAAAGCCTGGAGAAATGGTTCTGGTGCTGGGCCGTCCTGGTGAGTCTGGCTCTCAGCTACGGAAGAGATGAACATGGCATGCTAATCCGTATTAGGCTCTGGATGCACCACGTTCCTCAAAGTCATTAGCAACCAAAGATTCGGATACACCAAGATTGACGGGGATGTGTTATACGGTCCTTTCGACAGCGAATTCTTCGCAAAGCGGTATCGAGGAGAGGCGGTATACTGCGAGGAGGACGAGAACCATCATCCTACTCTTACTGTTGGCCAAACTCTGGATTTCGCCCTCGAGTGCAAGGTCCCTGGAAAACGACCTGCAGGCCTCTCCCGGAAGGAGTTCAAGGAAAAGGTCATCGATCTGTTCCTGAAGATGTTTAATATCGAACACACGAAGGACACCATTGTCGGAAACCCTTTCGTTCGCGGAATCTCTGGTGGCGAGAGGAAACGAGTTTCCATCGCTGAGATGATGGTTACTGGCGCATCGGTACTCTCGTGGGACAATTCAACGAGGGGCTTGGACGCTTCCACTGCCGTGGATTATGCAAGATCTCTTCGAGTTCTCACCGACATCTACCAGACGACTACTTTTGTTTCCCTCTACCAGGCATCCGAGAACATCTACAAGGTCTTCGACAAGGTCATGGTAATTGACAGCGGTCGCCAGGTCTTCTTTGGCCCTGCTAACGAAGCTCGTGCGTATTTCGAGGGTCTTGGATTCCTCGAGAAGCCTCGTCAGACCACCCCTGATTATCTTACTGGTTGCACCGATCCATTCGAGCGTGAATACCAAGCAGGCCGAAGCGCGGAAGACGTCCCAAGCACACCAGATGCTCTTGTAGCCGCCTTCAACGCTTCTAAACTAGGGTCTAGCCTCGAGCAAGAAATGAAGGCTTACCACCAGACAATGGCGGAAGAGAAGCAGGTGTATGACGATTTCGAGACGGCCGTCAAGGAAAGCAAACGACACGCCCCACAGAAATCAGTCTACTCTATCCCCTTCTATCTACAGCTCTGGGCATTGTCGAAACGTCAATTCCTCCTGAAGTGGCAAGACAAGTTCTCTCTAGTCGTCTCCTGGATCACTGCTATCGTTGTTGCCATTATCCTCGGAACTGTCTGGCTCGATCTCCCCGTCACCAGCGCCGGTGCCTTCACCCGTGGCGGTGTTCTCTTCATCGCACTACTCTTCAATGCTTTCCAGGCCTTTTCCGAACTGGCTTCTACCATGGTTGGAAGACCTATCATCAACAAGCACCGCGCATACACATTCCATCGGCCATCAGCTCTATGGATTGCCCAGATCGGCGTCGACTTACTGTTTGCATCCGCCCAGATCATCGTATTCAGTATCATGGTTTACTTTATGTGTGGACTAGTCCGAGACGCTGGTGCCTTCTTCATTTTCACTTTGACAATCATCACCGCATATCTTGCTATGACGCTCTTCTTCCGAACCGTTGGATGTCTCTGTCCCGATTTCGATGTTGCCATGCGACTGGCTGCAACTATTATTACCCTCTTCGTCCTCACATCTGGTTATCTGATCCAGTGGCAGTCTGAGCAAGTCTGGTTGAGATGGATCTTTTACATCAATGCTCTAGGTCTCGGATTCAGCGCACTCATGATGAACGAGTTCAGGCATTTGGATCTCAAATGCGAAGGAACATCTCTTATTCCCTATGGTCCAACTTATGATGACATCAACCACCAAGTGTGTACCTTGACGGGAAGTAGGCCTGGTCAACCGCTCGTCTCAGGAACCAGCTATATTGAGCAGAGTTTCGCGTATTATCCGAAGGATCTCTGGCGCAATTGGGGAATTATCGTCGTTCTCATCGTGGGATTCCTCCTGGCCAACGCTTTCCTCGGTGAGTACATTCAGTGGGGCGCTGGAGGGAGGACTGTCACCTTCTTCGTCAAAGAAAACGACGAGCTCAAGAAACTTAACCAAACTCTCCGAGAAAAGAAGCAAAAGAGAAACCGCAAAGACGAGGGCGCTGCCGATGCTACGTCTGGGCTCAACATTACATCCGAAGCTGTTATCACTTGGGAGAACCTCTGCTACGATGTTCCGGTTCCTTCCGGTCAACTCCGCTTGCTCAAGGACATCTTTGGATACGTAAAACCCGGGCAGCTGACCGCGTTGATGGGAGCATCGGGTGCTGGTAAGACTACCCTATTGGATGTCCTCGCGGCTCGTAAAAACATCGGTGTTATCTCTGGAGATAAGCTCGTCGATGGTAAGACACCAGGTCTTGCTTTCCAGCGTGGTACGTCGTATGCAGAACAACTCGATGTCCACGAACCCGCGACAACTGTCCGAGAAGCTCTCCGATTTTCTGCTGATCTTCGTCAACCTTATGATACCCCTCAAGAGGAGAAGTATGCCTACGTCGAAGAGGTCATTTCTCTTCTTGAGATGGAAGATATGGCCGACGCGATCATTGGTGATCCCGAGTCTGGTCTTGCTGTTGAGCAGCGTAAGCGCGTGACGATTGGTGTCGAGCTTGCTGCAAAGCCCGAATTGCTTCTCTTCCTCGACGAGCCTACCAGTGGTCTTGACAGCCAGAGTGCCTTCAATATCGTCCGTTTCTTACGAAAACTCGCTGCTGCTGGACAAGCCATTCTGTGCACCATCCATCAGCCCAATTCTGCGCTTTTCGAGAATTTCGATCGCCTGCTCCTCCTCCAGCGTGGCGGACAGTGCGTGTACTTCGGTGACATTGGCAAGGACGCTCATGTTTTGCTCGACTACTTCCGCCGTCACGGCGCCGAATGTCCCTCGGATGCCAACCCAGCCGAATGGATGCTTGACGCGATAGGAGCTGGTCAGGCACCTCGCATTGGAAATCGTGATTGGGCAGATATTTGGCAAGACTCGGACGAGTTTAGTACCATCAAAGAGGACATCGTCAAGATCAAGAGAGACCGCATGGCAGCGGTGGGTGCAGTCGAAGAAGTGGTACAAGCTGAATACGCCACACCTCTCTGGCATCAAATCAAGATGGTCAACGCTCGTACCCATAAGTCTTTCTGGCGGACGCCAAACTACGGTTTCACCCGACTGTTCAACCATGTCATCATCGCTTTACTCACTGGTCTCATGTATCTTCAACTCGACGATTCTAGGTCGTCTCTCCAATACCGTGTCTTCATCATTTTCCAGGTTACCGTTCTTCCCGCTCTTATTTTGGCTCAAGTCGAGCCAAAATACGCCATTGCTAGGATGATCAGCTACCGCGAACAGGCGGCCAAGGCCTACAAAACTTTCCCCTTCGCTTTGTCCATGGTGCTTGCCGAGATGCCCTACAGCATTCTATGTGCTGTGGCCTTCTTCTTACCGATCTACTACATCCCCGGACTCAATCCTGCCTCAAGCCGCGCTGGATACCAGTTCTTTATCGTCCTCATTACCGAAATCTTCTCCGTCACTCTCGGCCAGATGGTAGCTGCTCTGACCCCGACGCCCTTCATTAGTTCCCTTGTCAATCCCTTTATCATCATCGTCTTTGCCCTCTTCTGTGGTGTCACGATTCCAAAACCGGCCATCCCTGGTTTCTGGCGTGCTTGGCTATACCAGCTCGACCCCTTCACTCGCCTCATTGGTGGTATGGTCGTCACCGAGCTTCATGACCGCCCGGTCAGGTGTACAACCGCGGAATTCAACAGCTTCTCTTCGCCGCCCGGACAAGACTGCGGATCGTACATGGCAGATTTCTTTACCGCCGAGGGTCCAGGTTACCTTCTTAACAATATGACGGAAGCTTGCCAGTACTGCGCCTACAAAGTTGGCGATGAATTCTACAAGCCGCTTGGATATGAGTTCGGCAATAGGTGGCGCGACCTTGGTATCTTTGCTGCGTTTATCGGCAGCAACTTGATCATCCTGTTTATCGCGGTATGTTTCTCCGTGTTATTCTCATTAAATCGAACTAAAACTGACATTTAATAGGCTCGTTATCTCAACTTCAACCGCCGTTGAGCGGTATAACACCACAGCGGTCCGTATTCTTCAAAGCATTTCTTAGTGGTGTCCATCAAGGCGACCTTGTGATCGGAGCACGGTAGACGGATCTTGCGGTGTTCTTTTAGAATACCCAAAGCGTTGGATCAACCAAAATTTTAGTGTACTTAATAGACTGCGAGCGGATTTCAAGGTTGGGAGCATGGACGCTTGGCAGTTGTGAGTTGGCAAAATAGTAGGTCATACGCGCCTCGCTGAGTAGCTGTTCCTTTACACTGCCAACCTTCACATTTACACTAGACAACCCGTATAATTTCCTCGAATCAGTTGACACAAATCTTACCACTTTTGGGTAGTAGATTACTTCTGACTTGGCCTTCTCTCTGTTATTTGGATGGTGAAGGGAAGGACAACGTGCAATCTACATCTAACTGTTTGCTCGTTTCGAAGTGTCGATTATATTAACGGCCTTATTCCTCCCTTTCCATACTCTTCCTCCTTTATACTCTCTGCTGCGGGCCAGCTCTTTGACTCACAGGTTACGGTCGATGTAAACTCATAACTTCTAGCTTTATTACCCCGACTACCAGTCATGGTACCACGCGGCATCGTCGTCCCCACACCTTCTGCTGTGCCTTCCACCCCTTCCGTTCCTCAGCAAAGCTCCGAAGGACTTGCTACGGTCAATACCAACCCCGACACTCTGAAGAGCCGCCACTGGGAGAACCACAGACCCTACGAGGCCTTCACACAACAGACCGTCCTGCAAGAGATGGAGAGCGCGATGTGGGGCATAAGACCGCCTGGGCATGGGGATGAAGCGACGCATCGGAAATCCCGGTATCCGCAGACGACCCAGCTGCAAGGCTTCGTCACTATATCAGTCCCTACCGCGACTATCGCACAACATAGAGGCATCGGCGGTGATGACTACGAACCACAGCAGCAGGTCACGAGAGTCAAACAAACAACGGTGTGGCATACGAAAACGGAAACGCAAACGAGATTCCTGGGGTGTGAGCATGCTCGGCATCCACACGCCTCGTGGCGCGATGGCTGTGGGGATTCGGCGGTGGAGTCGGCGATGAGCGTGCTGGACGGCTCGAAGATAGGGCAGACGAATGTCAATGTCCTAGTACATGACGCAGATGGTGAGGTGAACAGCGCCGATATCTGGAAAATCAATATAGATCGCCGTGGTATCCCAGCTACGCCTATTACACGTGGTAGTGAAGGTGAAGATTTGTGGGGCACGGCCCAAACGGTCACCACGTCAACACCTGCAACTCCAAGTCTCGCAACCCAAGACTTCAACGCTGGACTTATCGCGAACTCGAAGCATGAACAAGACACGACCAAAGTCCAGACGCGCTCTCCACTAAGCGCCGCAGCAGTCGTTCCCGGCATCCCGAAACACCTCACCACCCTCAGCAGCTCTCTCCCTCCACCCTCCCTAACCCACCAAGGGGCGAGCAAGATGTACACCGGCCGCGTATCCCAAGAAATAGACCCGCTCCTCCTTGAGCTTCTAAACCCCATCGCCTCGCCTACGCCGACGATCACACAACCCCCAACGCTATCTCCGTCACTAAATCGTTGGAACCGCGTCCCGAGCTTCGAGGCCGAGTGGGCGGATAACGCGACCGCGCCGTGGGAATTTGGCTTCGATCTCCCGGGCGTCCCGGCGCCACTTGTATGGTTGCTGTTTCTGGGCCTGGTGTTGGGGCTGCTAGGGAGTGCAGTGGTGTATCTTGTAAACTTCCCGCCAGCGTTTCTATCGCGCACTCCAAGCCGGAAGGGCGACGATGAGCATGGACGCGGCCGGTATCAGGGCTTCGAGAACGGGAGCCTGATGACCGAGCCACCACCAAGCGCGGTATCCACGGTGCGGGAGTTCGAGTGCGGCGCGGCAGTGCAGCGGCGGACGCGAGCTGCGCGAGATGTCGAGAGTGGGACAGATGGCGCTTCGCCTTCCGACCACTCTCACTCAAAGTTTCGGGGGGAGTCGCCGACGGGTCGCACGCCTCTCCTCCGCTCTGGCTCTTCTTCACCGCGTTCAGCGTATACCTCATCGCCGAGTCCGCCCCGCTCGCCTCCCCGAAACCGGCCACAGAAGAACTATCAAGAGAAGAGGAAACAAGAAATCCTCCTCTCTCCTCTCGGTACGCACTTCCCAGCCGCGGAGACCGCCGCGATCCCCCTCGTCCCCCTTTCTCTCCCACCGAGGGACCGAACAGCTCAAAAGATGCGCGCAGAACGCCGGCCTCAACCACTGAACCTGAACCTCCACCCACACACCGAGCCAGGAGGCCAGCAGGCTATCCCCCGTCTCCGCACAAGCGACGAATGGATCGCCGCCCGCGCCGCCTTCGCCTCTTCCCCCGACATGCCCCACCCCCAACTCCATCCCCTTCACACCCCCATCTCCAACGAGAGCGACATCGAAGCGCAGACGCCCAGCGCCCAGCGCACGCCGCTGATGAAGAAGAATCGATCGGGCTTCGGGCTCGCGGCGTATCTGCCCAGCGCGATGTCGCTGCCGGCGTCGCCGGCGGTGCGGTGGAGCAACGGGGGCGCCGGCGCGTGGCTGGAGAGCATTGATGGAGCGGTGGGGAGGGTGGTGGAGCGGGTGGCACGGTTTACGGCGGATGAGGGCGGCGAGGGGGGGTTGGTGTTGCCCGTGACGAGGGGGTGAGGGGGTTTGGGGGTGGGGTTGGGTAGAGTAAAGTAGATATGGAAGGCAATACTTACTCTTGAGATGGTTTTGGAGCGGTTTTTGAGGAGTGGGACGTGTGCCTCGCTGTGGCTGCAGCGTGTCGATTGAAAGAGTGATATGCGCGGTTAGATTCGTGAGTCTTTGTAATTGTATGGAAGGAAGAGGAGCCTCGCGGTCACTGCGATGTGTGCTACGTTGTGACTGCACGGCGTATATCAAAAGGGGGTTCATGCGGTTGAATTCGTGAGTATTTGCACTTGAAGGGGTCAGAGAGGTAGCTTAAGCTGACCATGCTCGCGCAAGCAGCGTGTACGCCGTGTATAGACTATGGAATCCACGCGGTCGACGGAGAAGGGCCTGGAAGTTGGGTCAGAGGTGTGCCACGCCGCGTTCGAGAAATCGTTCGCACAGTTCGGCTGGTGAGATTTTGCGAGATAAAGAAAGAAGGGAGTAGGAAAAGCAACTTCAGTGAAGCTCACCCCGCGAGCGCCTCAAATGCTCCGCAGTGCTATCAAATCTTAGTATAGACCATAGATCCTCTCCAACCATCTCCACCACCTCCACCCGTTCCCGCTGCTCATCATCAAACTTTCTTAAACCCCCTCTCGCCGAGACCATGTGCACGCCACTGCGGCGACAAATGTCTCCGCGCTAACCTCTTTTTTCAAAGCTGAGGGCGTTGGCGTCCCATCACCGCGATGCATCAAAGTGCTCCGCTGCGTCCACCATTTCATCAAATCAGAAAATGTTTAAGGCCGCAGAGTGCGTTGTATCCACTGGTGTCAGGGTGCAATGGGAGAAAAATCAAAATGGGTCACTCAGCATCTTACTAACAACGGATTTGCCCGGTGAAATCGAATGGACGCATCCAACATGCACTCAGCAGGATTCGAAGACAATGACTTTCCAAGTTGGCCCGGTTGATCACGGACTGATCGAGTTAAATACGTTCAATAAGCGGGTCCAAGAGCTCCGCGACAAGATTGACAATAAATGGCCAACGACGTTGAAAATACTCGAAACCAACTCCCTTCTATGGTCGACCAACCCAGGTGCATTCCTTGGAACCACCAAATGGGAGTTCACCGAGCAGTGGTCTTGGAGTTTTTTGCGCGACTCGCGCAATGGACTCAAGCTATACAATGCTCCTTTTCACGAAGTCAACTTAGCGAGTAGCCTGAAGAATTTCATCAACAAATCAAAGGAGATCGATTCCAATTTTCTCGAGATCAACTGCCGGAGAGGATTTATGGCAGCTGTGCATCCTGGCTATAGGAAGGAAAACGATCCGTCGCTCTCGCTCTTCAGGAGCTTGAACAGATCTATCGAACAAGGAGGCGTCCTTCTTTCGCTTCTCCTAGAATATCACACGGGGATTCTGTTGACGATGGCTTCGTTTCTATCAGGGGCTGAGCGCGCTTATTATCCTATATAATTTCTTCGTTAACTTATCTTCAGCCTCAAATTCTTATCCACGTTGGATAATTCGACTCGCCCGCTTTGGCTAAATGAAAAAGTTCAGAAATCAAAGGAGTATGAGGCTTTAGCTTCGCGGTTACTCGTATATATGCGGACTGGTATGTTAAACTATAAATCTCCAACACATTAGCTCACGTTCCCCAGCGATTCCGGAGCAGCAGCGACTACCTCTTCTCGAGGGACCCCTTAAGCAGGGCCGTCGGCCAAATATTGCAGATTCAATCCTATCGCCACTAGTACCACAGCAACAACTCGCCCCAACCCCTTCCTCGTCCGAAGAGCACACACCAGAACAACCATGGCCCCACGCAGACGCCTCCACGAGAATTTTCGAAAGGGATTCAGGTGCAAATCGCCCATCTGAACAACACGTCCTGTCGTCGGACACTCAGCCCATCGGTCCTCTTCCAACCCCGGTGGGATCTCAGGAGCACGTACTCAGTGAATTGGTGCATGGCAGTTCCGGGCAGCATTGCGAAAGGGAAACGACTTCCTATCAGGCCGAATCGCCAGATACAGAAGTCTCAACTGTCACTCAAGAGGCGGGCTGGGATGCTTTATCTCCTACAACTGTGAACATTTATCTGAAAAATTGGGAAGATATGGACGGGTTGGATGTGCCGGGCTGGAAATAGTTAGATCCCAATTTCGCCTCCTTCTGCTGGCTCAGTGCCCTCAATATCTGACTTCTCCTTTGACGGTGGCTCTGGCTTCTCTGACGGTGGCGTAGGAATTAGTATCAAGAAGAAAGGACCGTCGTCTGGCGGCTCAGAGCAGACTCTTTCACAGATCAAAGTTATGCCTGGAGCCATTTTCGTTTCTTCGCGGCCTCCTTCCTTCCTTCTAAATACTGGAAAATTTGCTTTCTTAAGCGCGTCAGGGGTTGTGGCAGGTATAAGTAAGCCGGTTTCGTCGGGCATCGTGGTAAGTGAGCCCGACGTACGGAGGAGTAACGCTGGCATTCTCTCCGGTTTCTTCCACTTTGTATTTAGTACTGCACTCTTGAACTCATTAACCTAAATATTGATTAGCGGCTGTACAAAGTAGCTTTACCTGTACATATTCTGCGGAGAACTTCTCGAAGAATCTCTGGACCCTCCTTAGGCCAATCATATATAAATAGTGTTGTCCCCGCTTCCTTCACCGGCACCTTGGTCTTGCCATCTAATGCTACAATGGCAACTAGCTCGTCCAAACGTGGCGTTGAGGGTAGAATTTGGAATAAGGACATCGGGAAAGACGTGCTGCAGTTCTCTTGGCAAAGGCGAAATCACATAGAGACTAGCAGGCACAGCACGACTACTTAAGTATATTAAAATTAACACCAGTAGGCCTGAATAAAAATCTGGCACATTGACGAAAGATGAACAGTACACCCCCGGCGTAAGTAGCAAGCGTACAGTGGGTCTCGTACAGTCACGTGCACGCAATTATTGTAGCACGACTGCGTATATTTCACCACACCCTCAAATTTAAACATAAACACGACTCTAGGCATAAGTTCACAGTGCCACAACGGCACCCTAAGGTGCCTGCAGCGACGCCAAGACCTCCAATGGTGAGCCAGAAGGTGAAGAAAACGAAATAGCGTCCGACTCGTCACTTTCGGAGGCCTCGAAGCATATACTACAAGTTTATGAATGTACATGGCAAGCCACGTACACCTGCGAAGCCCCCCCGAAACCTTGAGCTCCGCACAACTAAGCCTTGCGCACCTCTAAAGGCTCACAGGGCTACTACTGCTAAGAAATCTAAGGAAAAAGAGGCCGACATTTCAAGCGTTCCCTAGCGATGGCGGCCATCGACTTCGCATACAGACGAAGGCTAAGAGTGCGCCTAAGGCTAAGAAAGCTAAGGAGGCAAAGAAGGGCAAGAAGATGGTGATTAAGGCTGATGGACGTACATACGAGGCGTATGAACTCTTGTAGATGATGGTGTTAATGTTCAAATCTGAGGTTGTGATCATATATACGCAGGCGTGCTACAATAATCGCATGCACGTGACTGTACGAGACCCACTGTACGCTCCGGAGCCGCGCTGAATCTCTATTATTAGAAAGAAAGGCGGCAAACAGAAAAAATTCATGTGCAACGAAGCCCTTCCTGCCACAATGAAGAAGCTATCACATGGCAGGAAACAGTGCTTGATTGGAGGGCGTGAGCCGAGGTTTTCGAACGTGGAATCGTGCACAAAATCACGAAGGAGGAGGAATGGGAGGAACTTGGCTACATGAGAATCCTCCACGCCCTCAACCGTCGCATCCTCAACCGTCGCATCCTCAAACTCAATCCTCACGTCCGTCCTCGCAGCCGACACTCTTAGCCTGTGTTCGCCTATTTTCCACCCTACTCCAGAAATGGATACAGTAAAACCTCGACAGTATGATACTGGTGTATAGTGATATTTTCTATACAGTGATGCAAGTCGCCGGATTGTCCGATTTGCCTGCAATATCACTAACTCTCTGCTTACTATAGTATCACTAACCCTCTCATACAATATCATACTAACCAGACTAGATTTTGTATGGGCGAGTGGTCCGTGGACCCCCTGAATCTTTGCTGTTTTGGGGGCCACCGGCTTACAAATCCCTTACACAAATCCCTTACACGTGACTTTGATACAGTGATACATTCTATACAGTGATACGACCCCTAGCCCCCCGACCCCTATCACTATAACGAGGTTCTACTGTACTCCTGCAATGCGGTCCGTTTTAGGGCAATTAGGCGTAACAAGTTGCAATTTCAAGGGCGCACGTGACTTTATCAGTGGGGTTACATGGGCCTCCGCTTCTCCCGTCCTCATCCTCATCCTCACGCCTCTCGCACCCGCATCTTCACGCATCTTGCATTCTCACATGGCTCTCATTCAAGGTTAATGAGTTGCTGCATCGGTTCTTTTAAACCTCTCCTTTGTTACTATTCGATTCACACTCGTCGCTTGTTTATAGGTTTTCATAAGGCAGCAGTTGATTTCTATGAGGTAGGACTTCACACTGGATCGTTCCCGCTTCATCTTGCGAAAAGAATCAAACCTAGAAGAGGAGTACCGCCCAATCCTTCAACACCAGACTCCCAATTGCGAACTGAATCAAGCTGTCACTAGAACCAGCTCCTTCAGGACCCTCTTGTGTCCATCAGCACCGCCGGACCCCTAACAAGCTGCTTAGTCTCGGCTTAGGATGCGCTCACCCAGCACAGCCACAGCTCAGGCTGGAGCGTGAGCAGCTCAGTTCCCTGAACGGGAAAGGAATTGCTTGGGTGCACATTGGGATATCGTACTACCTGTTCCGGTTCCCTCCTTTCAGCCGGGCTTTTCTCAGCTGGTCCAGTCATGCAAAGCACATCTTTGCCGACGGCAACTACGCCAGGTCGCTTGAGACGATATTTGTCTTCATTTCGTTGGGCTTCGCTCTCGAAGGTGAGGACGAGACCTTTGTCTATAAAATTGGCATTTCCCGATATAATCTGCTAGGTAGACACCCCCTTACTCCACATTCGAGAGTCTTTCAAGCTGTCCTCTTTTTGACACCGTCTCTGCCGCTGCCGTTGTGGTTTGAGCAGCCCTCTGAGGCTTGAGTCCGTCATTTGCTGCAGGTGGCTCTGGTCCGTAGATCATCAACCTTGCAGCTGATGGCGGCCGGCTGGACCCTCGGCAAGATTTTCTTTGCGTCTTTTGCTGTTGGCAGCTCTAGAGAGTGTCACTTGTCTGTCCCGATACGACTTCTGCAAGCGACGGCCACCGTTGAAAACGTCAATCGGAATACACTGGCGGTCTGAGAGACATTCGTCTCTTGACCACAAGCCTGGTTATTGCCCTCTTAGATCAGCGCAATCAGGGAATATAACATGCGTCAGGTTTGCCCACACGGCTTTACTCCTTCACACGTATCTCAGCAGCTCCTTGATGTCTACGAGTTCCGCTCGTCTTCTGATGCTTGTCTGCTATGCAGTATGCGATTCAAGCCTAAAGTCCCAACCCTCTACACCGCGCAACGTAGCGCCCTTCCCCAGATCCCCATGCGCCGCGATGCCGTCAAGGTCGGGGCCAGCAGGAGCTTGGTGCTGCGCTTTAAAGCGGACAGCCCAGGCATGTTCCTCTTACATTACCATATCGAATGGCATGCGGAGAGCGGGCTGTCGGCGACGTTTGTCGAGGCGCCCGCGGAGCTGCAGAAGCACTTCCCGCACGGGGTGCTGAGGGCGCAGAGGGAGACTTGTAGGAGGCAGGGGTGCCGGTCGAGGGGAACTGTGCCGGGGGGACGCGGAATGTGTTTGATATGCGGAAATGTAATGCGGATTTGGCGGCGAATACGTACAGGGCGCTTGTGGACCCGCCGAAGAAGAGGATGATGGGAAGGGGGGTGTGGTGATGGGGGCGAGGCTTGGGGATCGCATATACCTACGCAGGATCTCGATAGATTCTAATTCTAATTCACAAATTTCGCACGAAGAACCGCTAATCCCGAACATCTTCCCGCCGTTTGTTTTTCTCCTCGAAGAGGACGAGAAGATATGAAGCTCCGTCCTTTCGATTCTTACCGTCTACTGGTCAAGCTTGTCACGTGTTGTGTCCGGTTTTCTTACTACAAAGCCTTCGAACCCCTAAACAGTTCGCCATCAGAGAGCCCATCTGGACCTTCGGACACAGATGGTTCAACTCAGAGAGATCAATCGTACTATGTTTTGCGAGCTAGAGGTTGGAGTGGCATTATTCCAGATTTAAGTGCTCATCATCACCTCCTTACTTTCCCGCACTCGCTCATCTCTCTGCGGTGCATCCCATACTCTATGCTGCATGCCCAAGATTAACCTTTCACGAAATCGAAGCTTAGCATAGCATCACCAATTCCCTCAGTCTTAACCTCCCGACCATGTTGCGCAGGATCTCATCGGGTCTAATCATCCTCGTCTCTCTACACCACGACCATTACTTGATCTGGAAGCGATTTTGCTTCCCACCAATCCGAACAGACGACCATTCGTCTTTGGCCTTCCTCGAGTTAATCCAATATGAATCCACCTGTCAGCCTGATTTGAACCCCAGGACCAGGTCTTCCATAGGTCAAATACCAGGGTGAAATTTGAACTCGATAACCTAATCCTTTCCTCCTCCTTGTTCCTCTCAGCAGCTCGCGGAGAAGTTTATATACAAGCCGCTGAGTCATAGTCTTTTGTTACACGTGAGGTGGGCGGATATCCCGTGACAAAACTCCTCGGCTAGGAGAGATGTTCGCAGGGACAGAAGCGTTAATATCACGTGCGAGCATCGTGATACCAGAGTCCGGGGGTATAAAAGCTTCTACCGGTTCTTTGAAGTCGAGTTCCAGTCATGGAGGAGTGGGGTTGTTGGAGTGGGGTAACTCACAGATGCCATCGATATATGGAGAGCCAACTCGCCTCAAAAGTCATGGTCGACATGTTCATGGTGTGAAGTCTGCGTGGAGGAGTAAACATACCGGCTCCTGATGAATGTGGAGTGTGTGTTGAGGTGGATGAGCAAAAGGCACTCGACGCATGTTCAATGGGGCTGGGGGGCTGGGGGTTTGGGTGGAGATCGAAACGGCGAAAGGCTATCACTCATGGAGTTGGGAATTCAGACAGAGGATCAAATGCTGGATTGACTTCCTGAAATGTAGTGGGCTCGTGGGAAGGCGGGGGCGTCGAAATTGTTTGATGTCCATCGTCTTTGCTCGGTGCTGAACGGCATCTGGAAAGGGTGCTATAGTTTAGAGATGCTGAAGAACAGCGGTGTTGATTACACGGACAGGAAATAAAGGGGTGTCATTACCATGAGAAGGTTATGATGAGCATTATTAACCTAGTAAAATGCCGACTACTCTATAAGCACCCAGTTCGTAGGCCATTCCAATGATCGGAACACCAGCAGATAGGTGCCTGTAGCCGTTGAACATTTCCGCCAGTAGAATCTACTTCGTTCGCATCAGCGTACGAGTAGTCTCGATGAGCGCGTTCGCCTATCAGGACTTGCTTTAGGTGGCTCGACTTGACGATCACGCTTCCGAGGGCAACTACATCGCGGCAGTTGTCCTGATTGTCGTAGATACTTGTGGATTCATCGCATAGTTGAAGCACCGAGGTCCAATACTTCAGGGAGTCGGTGGTAGAAGAATTGAAATGTTTCGGGTCGGGCTTGAAATCGTCTAGTGGGGGGAATTATCGACCATAGAAGGGAATGTCAGCGTATCGATCTGTCGTTGGGATTTTCTATGGGTTGGCTTCGTACGGGGTCATGTTGACAGTGTTGCTGGGCTGGAAAATGCCGAGGTTGGCGGAAGGATGAGGTCGGCATTCGTAGCTTCAGAATTGGCACTAGGCAGGCAGCAGCAGCATGACAAGTTGAATGAAATGTTTCTTGTTCGAGCACAGTCCGGGCTTCTGTTAGCTGTGCCACAAATCGACTTAAACCAGGACAGAGGAAGGACATGTCACTGCTAACATTGGGATATCGTTTGTGATAAAACAGTAGTGAAGCAAAAGAAGATGGGACTAATTAGGAAACCGAGACATGGACCATGATGCGCATAAGGACTGGCACCAGGTAATTCATCTTTTAATGTCATATTTTACAGTTATATACACACCTAGTTTCCCATACTAAAGGTCAACCTCTTTCATTCTCACCAGAGAAGGGGTTTTTTCTGGTTCCGGCGCGTCGGAGTACTTGCGAATCACCTCAGCGGATCCTTTCAGCCTCTCCTCGATCATCCCCATTATCGTCTTCGCCAATTCTAAATCTGGCATGTCTTTACCCAGGACAGCGGAAGATTGTTTTAAGGCGTTCCATACAGGAATCCATTGAACGATCTTGTGACCGATCACATACCGACGCTCCCTTCTTGCAGCTTTGTTTTTAGGAAGTTTGCTGAACTCCTCAACGTTTGGAAGCTCTTTCGCCAACAAGCCGGGGTGTATCTTCTATTACCAAAAGGTTAGCTCAGAATGCTGTAGGACGTCAACGCTAATATCATACCTCGGAGTAGCCTTCTTGCTTAAAGGCCGCCATTAATCGAGCAGCGTATGTGGCAACCTTGCCATCCTCGTCTTTCCCGTCAGGATGGAATGCCACTCGCGATGCTGCGAGTTCCAGCGGGACTGAAATTACCAAAGGACTTGCTCGTGGGTCTCCGAACTCCATCCTGCCTTTGGATTTGTGAGCAGGTAGTTCCAACAACTCGATGACTTGCTCGGCGAGCGAGAGGGCCTTCTTCGTGCTTGCAGAATCGAAGCCCGAGGACGAGGCTTTCTCGTGTATGCTCCCCAGAACAGCCTCCAGGATGGCGGGCCTCCGCAGAGAAACGCCTGTGTGCTCGGCCTGCTGCAGAGCGGAGAGCACAATATGCTGCATACCCGCCTCATTGGCACGCCGTATTATCTTCAGCATACGGCTGGTCTTGACGTCGATCCCGGCTCTGTGGAAACCCTCCAGCATCTTCACCAGGTTCTCCCAGTCGTCCTGTTCCTTGGAGAGCTCCACGGCCTGCTTGATCATTTCCCATTGATTTGGCACATCTTTCCTGACATCTAGGGGCTCAAGCTGCTGATCGACGGACCCTATTTGTGCGAATAGAGGCTCGTTCGTGAGCCGTGGGATGTTCTTTTTCTTGTAGACCAGTAGCCGTTGCTCATGGTTCAGGTGCTGCGGAAATAGAATCTTGGAGTTGATCTTGGTGAGGACGGCGTCAAGCTCGGGCGAGGAACTTTCGTAGTATTCCGGTAGAGCGTCTAGATAAATGTGTGTTAGTAAAGAAATGGCGAGGGAAGAAATCGAAGAGCCTCTTCTACTCACCCTTTTGCTGCGGCGCGACGCGTGAGAAAGCTCGTCTTGATCCATTGGCGCATCCACTGGCAGTTGTACTGCAGCGAATGACCGATTGACAGCAGCGCCGGGAGGTAGTCATCTTGCGCGACCTGGGGGAGATGTGACGGAGTCGCAGTAGGATGGATAAAGTGCTGGAAATCTTTCGAAGTGCAAACACGGCAAACTCTTGGCGGTTGCGGACACCCCTTCGACACCTCCGAGATCTATCATCAACACCACTCTCCTGTCGAAGGCATTTGTATTTCACTGCAGATCATAGTTACTAACGTTTCCCTCGAGTGGTACTACTTCTACGGCAGAATTAGGAGCGGAAGCTTAGAGACTTCTTACGCATTCACCATCCGCAATTCTCTTCATTTGAGCATCTCCCAGCGATGGAATGAAAACGAGCAGAGAACTATTGATGTATGATTTGAAGAGTTTCTAATGGCCACACCAGCGCCTGATTCCAGTCCCCGTCCAACTTTTTCACCACAACCGTTGCTGTCCGACGCAGCCACACTTCCATAAACCACCGCCGAGGCCCACGATACATGATGGCACACCAGTATATCAACAGCAACAAGGGTACATCCTCCTCCTCTCGTATATCATTTAGAAACTCCGTCTGGATGGTCGCTGGCCAGTCAATGTAATGACGCCACACACTTGGATAACCATGACACGTAATGACCCAGGTCTTGAAAGCCTCAAAGGCAGCAGGGGTTGCCTTTCTGCGATTTTCAGAACGGGGTCGATAGTTACTGACGATGCCTTCAAGATTCTCGATGGCCTGCTGCATACCAATGTCGTCGGATTGGCATATGAGCTGCAACGAAGCGCGATCTCGGATAAATGGCCACATTTCGCTTCTGAATAGATATGACGAGACCGACCTGGCAATGTTACTAGATATGCGTAGCACTTGCAGCATTTCTAGGTAGTCGAAGAGATGGTCGGGACAATATTGCTGGGTCGCGAATCGGAAGATGATGACCGATATCCCAAAAATGAAGACTGCAAGCCAATTCTGCTCGTTGACTACGGGTGCCATGTGGGTGAACGCATTGGATGCCATGATATGGTGGTGGTGGGCGAGGTTTGTGGCCTCGGAGAAGGCGTCCTTCGAGAGTCGAGGTCCGACGTGTAAGGTGTGTATGGAGAGCATAGTATGCTGCAGATACTGGCAACCGGCCAGGGCTTCTCCAAAAGCTGCGCACCATAGTGCTCTCTCGGGTCTAGAAGCAGGAACACATCCGACTATGACATTGCTCAAGAATGATACGCTTATAAACGAGGTTATATCTCCCAATTGGGCCGCGGGTAGTGCGAATACGGTGATAGCCGCAGGATTCGGAGGGGGTATTTCATATTCGCAGTCTTCATTCCGTCGACGACAATTCGCGCAAACCGGAGCTTGCTTGTTGCATTTCACACGTCGGGTCTTGCATCGTTTGCAACCCTTGTGAGACTTGTGGTGGAAGTTCCGAGAGCCGTTTGGCATGATATGGGTAGCCGCTAGTATATGAGTTGGGTGTTATTGAGCTAACATTTCGACTCTGCTCGCTGTTTTCTCGCTGTGGTTGAGAGGATGTAGTTGGCGAGAAAAAGTACCAGGTAATGTATGGCCGATTCTGCACAGCCACTCATGCAGCATGTTGTTAGTGTACGAGCATCCCTACGAAGATCACGAGCTAGGTATAGAGTGAGCTGCTGAAACGCCTTTCCGAAAACTAAACCTTGCAGAGCTCTGATAACCAAGACTTCAATCTCGCATTATCTATTACGGTAGCTGCCTGATGTTTCTAATGAATGAGCATGCGATAGAGGCTCGTCCCAACGCGTCCATCGAATATGGCTGCACAGCATCATGCATATATTGAAAATATCGACAGGTCCGAATAAGATACAAATACTACGTGACGTCGAGCTGTCCAGCTTGCAAACTACGTCTCAATTCGTCGGTATCTCCATCCTGTATTGAAGTCCAACATGAAGCTCTTCCTTCTCTCATTTTCTCCTCTTTCGTTGTTCCTGCGGCAGCATGAGCAAAGCCCAGTCAGCCGAGAAGCATCCGTTGGAGAATATCGAGAACACGCTAGATATCGAGAGGGCATGCGTAGCGGGAAGAGAGTACGGGGACGCCAAAATGCTAGACGAGAGAAGCGTTGAAGAGGATATGTAGGCTACGATCAGGAAGACGCTGTCAGAACTGAATGAGACTGAAATGATTACCTATTTGGCGGGCGCTCTGGCATTGCAAAAAGGAAATTGGTTTCCAGCATCTAAAAGTGTTCTTCACGAAAGGGTGATATGGTGAGTAGGCTAGACATGGAATATCATTCGAATGCGTTAGCATGCACTCGATGCCTGCCCCATACTGTACCTCCTATGAATTTGCCTCGGGTGGTACAAGGGTGTTAAGCTTGGCCTCGTGAGATCTTGCCCTTTGTGAATGCAGCAACTGGAGCCGAGACCGTGTGCAAACTTTCGTGGAGCCGTGTCGGTGCCTCAACACCAACGCCAACGCCATCCATCCCGTTCATGCTACCCTCTAGCAAGATCCTACGATATGAATTTAGTAGAGGCTTCAAATGTTTTTCCTTCATCACTGCTCCTCTCCCTCCCTGCTGAGCTACGCCTCTGCATCTACGAATTCGCGTTCATTCCCACGCACTATCGAGGCCCAGAGCTCCCTGACCCCTCCGACAAAGCCTCCCTACGCCTGTCACTGCTTCTCACATGCCGTCAAATCAAAGCAGAAGCATGGGCAGTTGCCTACTCGCGAACATCCTTCCACATTTCCAACCTAGTCGAGCCCCTCCTAGATCGCATCTTTCTACTCCGCGAACCGCTTCGAGTTAATCTCCGTTACGTCACCATCACCCTCAACCTGTCTATTGCACCCAAAATTCTGAACTGCATGGACCCCCGGCTCATGGAACTGCCGTTGGAGCAGCTCACTATCAGTATCAGCAAGCTCCGCGCGCACCCACAGGAGAGCGCCATCATTAGCAGCACTGTCGAGCCCGCCTCTATCGAAGACGTGCGAGCCTACTCGTACATCCCCGCGAGCTCGCTCAGATTTGAAATCCAAATGAAGAACTTGAAGTCGGCCATTTGGCGCGGGCTTACGGAACCCTCTAATGTCAAGCAAATCACGCTTCTACACGATGGGTGCTGCTACGGAAACAAGTTTCTTCGATTGCATATGATGCTTTGCATTCTTAAGAATAGCGAAGAGAAGCTTGCTAAGAGGTGGGATATATCGCTTGATCAGGCAAGGCATGCTATTGATATTGTGGCGGCTTCTACGGACTGCGGCGTAGCTGTGACATCAGCTAATGATACATTTCACGAGGTTGCTTGATATTGATTGTTACAATGGTTCTCTTTCCGTTTGGTTTCTTTGACAAGTATTATTTCTTTGGAGCAGCTTGTTTGGCAAGATGCCGTCCAGGTTAGGGTAAAGAGTATGGAGATACCGCGGCACAGGACAAACGAACTCAGCAATTACAAATACTAGAGTACTATTCTTGCTCTCTATTGCTACTTTTCTAGATCTTTGTTCGTAATCATTGAGCTCCTTCTATGCCTCCTTCATAGCTTCTCTATGGATGGTTCTCTTCGAGATCCCGGTTATAATCATGGCAATAAACCTCGTTAAATGAGCTCATCACCGAGTATGAATTCTGAGTCGACTCAAACGCACAGTGTGGGTCAAACCTGCTAACGGGTTTCTGGAATTCTCTCCGGGCAAAACACGAGAGCATCGCTGGAGTCTATATACTTCGCAATCCTCAAAACCCCTGGCGCCTGGATTTCTGATGACATGGTCGATTTTAGGGACTACGAAGCGACGGCCTACTCGCCTCTTTCCCGACTCCCGCGAGAGCTTCGAGACATGATATACGCTCGGGTATTGCCTTGTCCGTGGGGTTTACATTACGACGAATTCAACAGCCAGATGAGTACCCACAGCGTCAACTATGTCCCTCTTGACCTCTCTATAAACTATGTATGCCGTGCCTTCCGAGATGAGACCCAAGATCTCGCCCTTAAGCTCAATTGGCTTAGTACGTAAACTTCAGATTTTCTATATGTGCATAACCATTTCATCCATTTGCGAACTTCATCTGATTAGTCCTGCTTTAGTTTCGGCGCCTTTCCCGTAGACTCGGGTCGAGCGAGCTCAATGTCCCGATTCTGCCTCTTTATGAAACGCCTCTCTCCTTCGCAACGCACCATGGTGCGCTGCGTGGAAGTTTGCGATATCCTGTCCTTTCGCCGGACAGATTTCGATGAGCTATCTTGTGGTTTCGACGGTGCCTATGGCGTTCCTGGGATCTTGGAGACTTGTCATGGGTTGGCCAACATAAGGGTCCGCATCATTATTGCGCTATCCGATTTCGCACACACTGGCAGCGGAGACGACAGTGAACGCTTAGAAGGTGTCCGCAAATTTGCCACAAACGTCACCAGTCTTCGTAGTCGTGGTCTTATTGGGCACCACGAATGCAATAACCATGTCGTTTTGGGTAACGAGTGCGTCCATATCGTCTTCGATGAGCCGTCTGATTTCGAACGAATGGAATACGATGAAAGTGTTGAGAAGGATGGGGAGGGTTGCCCGAACTGTAAGTGGTGGTTAGAGAACGAATCTCATTGGATTGATGAACGGCAAAAGGTGGAGCCCAAATAAGTAGTGTACCTAGATTGATGATACTGCCGAACCTTGGTTCAAGTAAGCATAACTAGTATCTTGGATGAACCTTGGTTGATACTTCCAGGTACAACTGGTTAGCAATTTCGGATCTAAAGACACGTCGCGCGCGCAACGCATTCTCTCTTGTGTCAATCGGCAGTCTCTGTTCAGCACATCCGGCGCCACGACCTCGACTCTCTCGTCTAACTTTGCGTGCACGACGAACTCGCTGACTTCTAGTGAGCTTCATTATGGGTGTATCAACCGACCTTTTCCTTCACCAAGATCCTCCACCAAGATCCTCACGGCCAAGCGGACCCACCCGATCTAAAGACCGCTGACATTCCTACCGACGATGTGGCATCGCGCCCAACTTTGCCTTTCTTCGAGCTTCCTAGCGAAATCCGTAACATGATTTATGGCTACGTGTTTACAGCGCCATCGAGATGCCTATACTACGACGAATTCAATGGAAAGACAGTAATTCGATCCCCAGGGATTCTGCCTTCCGGTCAGGACACCTCCTATAGCTCTCTGAACCTCTCTCTCAACTATGTCAACCATTCCCTCGCGCACGAAACCCGACATCTCGCTCTCAAACTCAACACACTCATCTTCCGCGCTCCTGATCCATTCTGCGGACCCGCCACGGCCATTTCCAATTTCTGCCTTTTCATGAGTCGATTGTCGCCCGCTCAGCGCGCTATGGTCCGGCGCGTTGAGGTCTTGAACCTCCACAATACATACTTCGGGTCGCTTTCTAAAGCCCTTGAGGGCGAAGATGGTGTCCCAGGGCTTGCAGACACGTGCTGAGGGCTATCCAAGCAGCTACGCGTCGAGATCATGGTCGGGCCATCGTCAATAACTCTAGCGCACTACGAACAGGGTGAGCTGTACCGCCGGTCTCTCTTCCGTATGTTCGCCGAAAACGTCATTCGGCTGAGAGAGCTTGGGGTTGTTGGGAAAGGTCGGGTCGTTAATATCACGCTGATTGAACCGACTGCAATGCATAAAAGGATATATGACTGCGACCCTAGGAGGGATGCGCCATCTCGGCATGTTGATTACTGAAATTATCGTTGGTCTCTCAAGAACCAAGACCTAATCGGAAGAGTCAATGGGAAGCCGTGGACCCCGAAAGAACATAACGAATAGGAGGAGCTTTTGGGTTGGCCGGAGGAGTCCTCTGATGTTTGGGACTGCTATACTACCACGATTCGCAAAATATATTATCAGTGAAGCAAGATACATGGTAGCGTTCAAATGGCTACAATAGATTCTAGGTCTGCTTTCCATACTGCAATTTTTCAGCCTAGGTACCAGCCTAATCTATGTCCACGCTCTCGCTGCTAAATATCAAAGTCTTCATATCCACTTCCACGCTGAACATGAAAAAGGTCGCACACTCATCAAGCACTCTTTCTCGTGTGTACAACGAGTTTCCACATAGTCCAATGTGAAGAGCTTTCATCTAGTTCGAATTCTTGAAACTGCATCAAAGCACCCCGAGCAGTGGCATACACGCGCACCTGCGGCAGCTTGTTGTGGAATTAGAGTGCCACCTTTGCCATGCCCCGCGCGACTACTAAGAGTAAATAGACTAACCTATCCAAAACTGCCTTGGATTACCTCGAACAATCCTAAGTGCTACTATTCAGATTACCTGTTCACCATCTCCCCTGACCGTACAGTAGCCGAAGCGCTCTCATCAGATCCCTCGCTCTTACTAACTCTAGGTCCACTACACGTCCGCGCTCATACTCGCCCTCGTCGCCGAATTCATCGACCCAGTAGTCGCCGGATGATTCTCGTTACCTCCTCGTCGTAATTCTTAAGCCTCACCACGATGACCTTTCGAACGACACACTGCTCGTCCTCATCACCTCCATGTTGGCCTGACAGAACCTCACATATCCCTCCCCCTTCCTAATTCTCCTGAGACTCACTACGACAACCTCTTCACATCAACACTCCCGGAACCTTATATCTGACCGAAAAGCACCCAGTTCTCCCCCTCTGAGCCTCTCCGAGGTCTTTCGATCCCTCCGGACCCGCCCATGCCCCCCTTCTGCCCCCAAACTTGCTCTGGAAAATTCCCACGACACCTGGCCACCCTTTAACAAGGCTTTGTGAAGGTCTCCGAGAACAGCGTAAGGAAAGAAGCATCTCTTGATCCTCCTTCTATTCACACAACTATGGCCGCTTTCGCTAGAAGTTGCGGCTAGTTGAGCGATAGAGCCAGTAACACTCGCTCCTGTTTGGGCAGATCGACTACGTGGACTTGAAGTGGAGTGTCTTTGAGTACTCCCCGGTGCCTGATAGTACGACGTTCTGCTAGTGACGAAGCGTGGAGTCTTGTTCTACCTGTGACTTAAGAGCTACGGGCTCATTAGTGTAAATAATTTGTAGATGAAATGTATCAATGAATCTTGATACTCTCTTTATCGTGATCTTTGAGAAGTCTGAGTGGTGATCGATCTGAGTAGAGGCTCTCCATCTGCAACTCATCCGAGAAAAAATTCCATCCACCATCTTACAAGGTCGAGATTCCTTATGTCGTATAATATACAATGGTTCTACAGCCAGCCAATTATTCCAAAATCTTGCACATCCCATGTCTAAACGCCGCCCAATGCAATGCCCCTCCCCAACCAAAACGCCCTTCCTTCTCTCTCCCCTCCCGATCTACGCAATCGGCCTACTCTTCTCATCCTCCGGCATGCGCATATACGCATCAATCGCCGCGCTGAAGACCGCAAACCCTGCACACCCCACGGCCGCCGCCTGCGGTCCCGCCGCCGCCGCCAGCGCCCCGCCCGTGATACACCCCGCCGCGACGCCATTATACAAATCGCTCTTTGCCCGGAAGCCCTCGATCACGCACTCGGTGCCGCTGAAGATCGCGCCCACTTTCCCGAAGTTTTTGGCGGAGCTGTAGGATGCCCGCCCCATTTCGCGCATGCCGGCGCGCAGCTGCTGCTTGAAGGGGAGGGCGGCGATTTCGGCGCCTTGGGCCGTGTAGGGGGTGTCGTAGCGCATCTGCATGGAATGAATGTTGGCACAGTGCGACTTTGGGTCCATGAAGGATTGAGAGGAGGGAGGGGCTGGGGTGGTAGAGCGGAGATGGGATAGAAGAGAGAGGAACGTACACTACTCATGAACAGCCCAAACATACCCCCCAGTCCCGCGCCCATGACGCCGGACATGACGGTCTTGCCGGCGCAGCTTTCCATGCCCATTTGCATCTAATCCCATTAGCGCTGTTAGCATGGTCGTTCTCTGGTTGGAGATGAGAGGGAGGGGCGCGCGGCGTACGTATTTGACCATCTGTTTCTCCTGCTCGGACATCCCTGCGGTGTCATTGTTCATGCCGGGCATGCCCATGCCGCCTGGGAAAGCCATGATGTAGTAATGTGCGAAGGGAGAGCCTGTGATGGTAATGGTTGTCGAGGTTGAGGCTCGGGAACTTTTTTGCGGAAGCGGAGGTTGCCGGGCGGGATGCTTGGCGTTCTTCGAAGGGTTCAATCCAGATGATTGGCACGAGCAACAGCGTTTTGTGATGATTGCTCCTGCTCACACCTACGTACAGTGATTGATATATCTATTCACTATCATCTGTGGACAGTAGGCTAGAGAGCTTGAAAGCTGCGCAATTGAAGTTGATGTTCACTCTAGAGTGGGAAAGAAAAATGAAGCAATCGAAGCGTGGAGGTCACAAATGCACAGGCAAGAACATAGTGTAGTTATTCTTTCATTCGTTGTTGATTGTCAACATGCCCCCATCCAGTCCATCACTCCATTACCCAAGGGATATGCACAAGAAAGCAGCATTGATCGTCTAGTATTTACAGACAAATCGCCACATCACTCCGCTCCACAAACCACCAAGTCTAAGCCTTTTAAATTGCTTTTGGAAGCAAAAGTGCTTTTGAAGTAAAAACATACGAAATGCGTGTCTTGTCTCGTCTCATCTATGTCGTCGTCGCACGTTATGCTTTCCGTACCGGAGAAGCTGATCGCCCAACGTAATCGCCGCTCGCATGGCTGGCCTCGCGAGACTCGGCCGGGGGCGTAAGGCTCTTCTCCCACTCTTTCATGAGGTGGGATGCTGTTCGTTTCAGGTTGTTTGGGGAGAGCTTGACGAGGTCAGGCCAGGGGATGGAGTTACGGTTAGACATGGTGTCGGGTGTTGCTACACCGAGGCCGGTCGAACTGGAAGAAGTCAGTGAACAATATCATACAGTTCGGGGGAGGTAATAGTACCTTGTGCTGGTCCTGGGGCTGCTTCGTGCTGAGTCCTCCGAATCGGACTCGTTACTGGATCCGGTGGTGTGCTGCTCATTGGGTGTGTCCCACGTGTCCCAGCTATCTTCGAAATTGTCATTGATTTTCTGGGAAGACTTTTGCGGCGTCTGGGGAGTCTTTTTGGCACCCTTCTTGACTTGTGTGCTGGCCACTGACTTTGGCTCGTCTAAGCCGTTCTCTTTCCAGAACGACTCGCTGATGTCTATGAGGTTGGCTTCCTCGCCGCTATGCTTGTTGGATAGGCTTGCATTGCGGTTTAGGGACGGACGGCCGCTCTTGAGACTTGCCTTGCTGCTTTGTCGTTTGGCGTTCGGACGGCCTTCGATATCATCCGGCTGCTGGACGGCTTCGTCGCCGACGGTGGCTTGGCGTAGATCCTCGAGGAAGGTCATCAAGCCATCTTTTAAGTCGATAGCGACTCGTTTGCCTGTCTGTAGCAGAATGTCTCGTTGTATACTTGATAGATCGTAGCGTTCGTCTTTGATCGAGTTTGCGATAGTGGTGGCGATGTCGGGGGTGGTGGAGGTGCGTGTCAATGGTTGGCGCTTAAGCGTCTCGTCGAGAGATTGGCGAACATCGGCAGGTTGGGGGAAGGAGGGAGAGTACGTGAGCTTATCAGGTGATAGTAACGATAACGTTCGAGTATGGCGGGAGCCGCTGAAGACTTTTCGTTGAGACGTCTTTGTGTTGCTAAGAAGGGCCTTTCTTCGCTCCATTTCTTTCTGCATCCACGCCGACGAGCCGTCTTGGTCGTCGTCGTCGGTAGTTATGTTTGCGAGGCCGGTGTTCAGTGGTTGTAGTTGCTGAACACGGCGGACATCGTTACGCTGCTTGAGGCCTTCATGCCTTGTCCATTGTTTTTTAAGGTCGACGAGGTCCCGCTCGGCCTTGTTGAGCTCTTCCTTCAGCTCGAGCACGCGGCGCTCCTGAGCGGCGAGGACGGTGAGGAAACTGCCCTCGGTCGGAGAGGGCACGATTTCAGGGGAAGTAATGGGGGTGGCAACCCAAGATTGCGGTCGTGAGCGCGAAGGCGACGTGCTGCCTGCAGCGGGCGTTATGGGAAAGTTGAGCGAGAGGCGCTTGCCATCTCTAACAACGTCGGCAGACGACATGGAGCGGGAATGTGAAGTGCGGGAAGAAGCGGTGCTGGGAGAAGGGTGAGAGAGCGTGGTGGTGGTAGACGGGCTGGACGGCGCTGCCATGTGCTCTGCAGGAGGAGCTCTGGGACTGGCTGCACCCCCTGAGGGCAGTGTCTGCTGCTCTGGGGCTGCTGACCGCTTGCGAGCCATGTCTGCGAGTGCTAACTTCGGATCGTAGTGGGTGATGCCTCCAATGTAGCAGACGTCGCCTACACCATGGTCCAGCAGGAAGTTCAAGAAGATTGGGAGTTGCAGGTATCGAGAAAGTCGGTGGAGGAACAGCGACGTCGACGAATAGCCGTACAGCTCTAGGTGCCAAGCAAACAGGGCTATGGGCAGGCCAATCAGGCGGAGGAAAACTCTGCCTCTCAGTAGGGACAGCCACGACTTCAGCGAGCTGGAGCCAAAGCAGCAGAAACCCATACCAGAGGCATTTGGGACATGTCGCGATATAGCGGGGTGAGAGAGGAGGAGTGAAAGTGCGGTGTGGGCTGGTCGTGCAGAGTTATTCAGCGTGATGATCCATGGATCCGGCTGGGCACGGGTTGACACCGACGGGCTGTGGGCAGTGGGCAGTGGGCAGTGGGCAGTCAACAGAAGTGCGAGCCCCTCGTTGGGCCGCTCCCTTGCGTGCATGGCGGCCGAGCCCACACGGACGCGGGCTGTCTGCAGGATCGGATCGCGTTCGCAGCCGGCGAGTGCTTGACTATTGTCGCGCATCAGCCAGCGCCGCCAACGCAGCAGTTCACTGGCGTGTGCCGACGCTGGGAGCTCCTGGCGGGCGAGGCGACATAGAGCGCTGTCGCCCACGATGCCTTGCGGGACAAGGGTTTGCAGAGGCAGAGTGCTGCCAAGACCGGCCGCTATAGATCTGTATCGGGCATGCACCGAGATTGGACGCCAGGATACATGCCAGTGTGCCAGGACCGCTGGAGACTGGTCACATGGCCTCTATTCACACGGCCGTGAGGAATGACGTGTGGTGTTGTGTGTCGAGGCAATCTCCCGTCGCAAGTGTCAAGCGCCGTACAGGCAGATCCTCCGCAGTGAAGCCGTCAGCCTCGTGTTGCCACCGAGTCTGCCATGGAATGCCCTGCAGCCACTCAGCCGTGAAGCAGTATCTTAATATCTCAATAATGTCGGGATGCCAATTGAGACTTGTCTTCCGCCTGTCTGGTTCTGGAGATGGGTGGAGTCCGTGACGGCCTTGGGCCTAGGAACAGCCGTTGCGGACCCTGGCGCTAGGCACGTGCAGACTTGGCGCGCCTTCCCCAAACGGGCAGCGTGTTGTTTTTTGCCCAGAACCGCCTCCCGCGCCACCAGCCAGCCCGACACGGTACAGCCTCTCTTTACATCCGGTGGTCACTCTCTAATATTGAGCCACAGACTTATCGTATAAGGGAGCAACTCCAGGCGTCTTTAGGGGGGAGTAGCAGCGTTCTGGCCAATCAATCCTCAAGCCGGTCAAGTACCAGCCCAGAAAAGAGGTATACCAGGATCGACTCAGTTTAGCGCTATGTTCACCGGACGTAAAGAGCGGCTGTACTCGATCACAGATCTCACTGGCTGGACCCGGGGCAGCGGCATCTCTTAGAATAGCCTGCTACGTCTCTATCGTGTTCCTGCAGAAGTCTCTCGGGGTGGATGCGCTGCAGGAGACGCCGCAAGCGCCTTCTCAACCACATCAATATCTATGAACTCCATCTGTAGCACTCTTGAAGAATACATTCTTCCCGTCTTGCAGCACTCTGGATTGAAGCACACGACGCCCACTGTCACGGCCTGAAGCGGGGCCCGGGCCTCGAGCGGCGTTTTGCAAGTGATGTCGTTGCCATAGTAGCTATCGATAGCGTCCACCATAAACATCTTCACCACGCACCTCCTCCGTGTCTCAGCACTCCATCCTCAACCCTCCTATTCCTTCAATCTTTATCGCGCCTGCACCGACTATCCCTTGCTTCAACCTGGCATCGGATCGGGGCTCTGCTTAGTGTGCGCTCGTGTTATTCCTACATAACAGCATCGTCAACACCGCGCGCAATGGCCGACAACTACCAGGTCCTCGAAGAGCTCGGCAGTGGGTATTCGCAACTCGACTGAAACCTCCAATACTAATGGAATGCGCAGGTGGCAGCTTCGGCGTCGTCTACAAGGCCATTGAGCGATCCACCGGTGATCTCGTCGCCATCAAACACGTACGGTTCTCGCCAACCCTCATACCTCCCACGGCCTGATACTGACCTCCATTAGATTGATTTGGAGGGAAGTGGAGATGAACTGCAAGAGATTCAGCAGGAGATTGCTCTGCTCAGCACCTGCGAGAGCCCATACGTTACACAATACAAGACCAGCTTCGTGAAAGGAGTCAAGCTATGGATCGTCATGGAATATCTCGGGGGAGGATCATGCTTGGACTTGGTATAGGTCTCTCGTGCTATTTTTTCGCACCAATTCTAACCAGTCCAGATCAAACCCGGTCCCTTCGGCGAGGCTCACATCGCCATCGTCTGCCGTGAGCTCCTCCTCGGCCTCGACTATCTTCATCAGACCGGCAAGATACACCGAGACATCAAGGCAGCCAACACCCTCCTCTCACAATCCGGAAAAGTCAAGATTGCCGACTTCGGTGTCGCTGCTCAATTGACAAACATCAAATCGCAACGAATGACGTTCGTGGGAACACCTTTCTGGATGGCGCCGGAAGTTATACAAGAGGCGGGTTATGACTTCAAGGCGGATATCTGGTCGCTTGGGATTACGGCCATGGAGCTGGCAAACGGAGAACCACCAAATGCTGGAACACACCCCATGAAAGTCCTCTTCCTGATCCCGAAGGCTCCTGCGCCACGTCTGGAGGGCAACCAGTGGAGTCGCGAGTTCAAGGACTTCATTGCGTCATGCTTGATCAAGGACCCAGACCGACGAGCGACAGCAAAGGAACTCTTGCGGCATAAGTTCATCCAGCGGGCTGGAAAGGTAGAAGCAATGCGGGAGCTCATTGAGCGGAAGCAAATGTTTGATGCACAAGAAGAACAAGAGAGGGGTTCGCACCCAAGATACTACGAGGAGACCATGTAAGGACCCCAATAACCTTATTCCGTACGACAGATACTGACTACGCTAGGCATGATATCTCACCTCGCGATGAACAAGACGAATGGGTCTTCGACACAGTGAAGCCCGCCACCATGGCACCCGCACGGCACACATACAAACGACGAAAGCTTGCTCGCATACCCTCTACCAGTGCCCAAGACTGCGAGGCGCTCATGCAACGACTAGACCTGAACACTGCTCCCCTTGGAAATGCGCCTGACTCACCACATCTTCGACGTCCCTCCTCTCGAAAGTCATCGGCTGCAACCGCATTCCGTGTTCCATCGTCATCGACTCCAACTGCACGGAGAGTCAGTGCCCAGCAGGCACATAAGCAGCCTCTCGGCGTGGATTTATCCTTCGGCAACTCTCCATCCACAGTCCGCATGTTCAAGCGCGTGCCATCTGGAGAACGACGCGCTGCTCTCTCCTCGAATCCTCCTGTTAATTCGTTCCATCCAAACCCGCAGGCATCAACCTTTCGCCCATCTCCTCCTTCCTCAATGCACCCAGAAGAGAACTCGGAGAACACCCCGCCACCTTCAGACGGCCCTCCGATCGCAGTGACGAAAGAAGCTCTCCTCGGCCGCCGCGCTTATGGTAAATGTCTTGATCCGGCTTTCCAAGAAGCCTATGCTCAGAGCGGCGCCCCGCCACAGCGCGAAGCTATTGCCCGTGTCGCACAGGCTTGGTCAGACCTCGACCAAACGGACCCAGAAGGTGAGCTCCTGCTCCTCAAATCCATGATCGGGCGCCTCCAGGCCGACTCCAAACTCGCATCTTCCCTGGGCATATCCTTTGCGCCAAGCAGTCCTGTCAAGAACCCCGCACTCGCAACGCAGTCATCGTTCTCGGGCTCCACGGTGAACGGTTCGGTCTCTACAATGTCAGGTACCACGCGTATCCGCCAGAGCAAGCTCGTAGATGAGGATGTTATGCCTGTATCAACCCCCACTCGAACGCCGATCAGCACCGGATCACCCGCAAAAGGACCAAAGCTCGTGATGGCGCAGAACAACCCCCATCTGAAGAGTCACCATCGCCGACGGCAGAGCGCGTTTGTGGGCTCAGGACCGACTGGACTCGGCCTCGACCGCGAGTACAGCGCAGCTGGGTTGGACGAAAAGAGTCTCCCGGGCAATGTCCAGCCGGGAATGGAGCATGCGGGTATGCTTGCGGATGTCCTCTATGGACGCTGGATGGAGGGACTGAGGTCGAGATGGCCGCTGGCGTAGAGGCCACCGACAAGAGAGATTGAACTATGCCATGGTAAGTCAAAGACTGATGTGATAATGCCCAAAAGCTCATCATTTCCCCTTTCCTTTCTTGTATAAACTTTTGGCGTGAGGTGGTTGGCTAGGCTCATGTGGTAGCTAGCTGGATTTTGGGAGGGAAGACTTGTATTATTTCTGTATATTCTTGTGTCTCTATTACTCGAGGTCTGTGGCTTTATGTTTCTGAAATCGGTGTTTGCGGCATGGGAGTGCGATGCATTGCTGTAGTGGCGGTTGAAAATGGTGAAGGTTGTCAAGGAGGTGGAGGATAGTCGAAAGGGGTTGATGGGTGGATAGGTGTTGATTAGGAAGGGGAGGTATGTGATTATTCGTAGATAATGCAATCGAGGACTGTATCAAAATACTACGTATGCTACGCATTTGCTTGTGATGCTTTCAGCCACCTCCCTAGAGCGTAAGGCTGAGCAGTGATAGAGGAGATAACGGTCTAACCTTATGTCGTTTAGCTCTCTTTTGCTCACTAGTCGAGCGTGGCCATACGTGTATACTTGAACAACACACCCTCCCCTCTTCATGATGCGACCCAGCTCATATCTCTGAAATCTCAACGGCTACGTCTTCTTGCTGAAACGAAGTCTCTATACTCCGTATAAGATCGTTGCGCCGGGCTTGTCGCTTTTATCTTAGAGATTCACTTCGCTACTTCACCCACCTTGTCGTCCTCGTCCTCGCAAGGCTGTCTACAACTCAGCCTCGGGGCAACGTATCCGCTTGAGTTCGCCGCAGCTGATTCCTCTAATCCTTGAGACGAAGGCATCGATTTTCTTCCAAGGCTTCATAACCGCCGCCCTCCGGATTCCGTCTCAAAGGTTTCTTCATCTACTTCGCCCTGTCTTCGTTGCAAGGCTTCCCGGGTCTTTCGTTAGGAAGGTCATACAGCTCGGCCTCGGGGAGGTGGATTATCTGCGTTGAGACCTACAAAAGCTGACCCAAGCCGCCGAGATGGAAAGCGAACTCTGCGACGTGTGCAAAAGGCTTATCAAAGCTATTGATGAAGCACCACTATCCGAACACCGCTCTGGCTTCAAGCTCCGCATATACGAGGGCTCCTATCGTACCTCTTTTGAAGCTCTTCAAATCCCAGCAGTAGCCCGATGCGGCATATGTTATAAACTGAGTTGGGCAATAAATCGCTGAAGCAACAAACCAGTCGAACTGAAATCGCTTCATGTCGAAGTCAATTGTTATGACCTTTTGCGGCACAAAAGCGAAATCTCAATCGATTTCCATCTGGGTCGGCCCCAAGGATACGATTTGCCTTTATGCGGATTTCGTTGCATCCCAGTAGAGCAGAAAACAACAAGACAGTCATTCACATTCGAAGCGCTCTCTTCTCTTTATGAAAATTCCAGCTTCTATCAAAATGGACACACTAACACAGGATGTGTTAAACTTCAACTAGCGAGTCAGTGGCTTCAAATTTGTTCGACAGCCCACTCAATATGCTCACAGGATCGGGAGCCTAGCTAAAATATCTGAACAATCTTATGTCGCCTTGAGTCATTCCTGGGGGAAGAGCACGGAGGATTTCTTGAAGTTGACTCCAACCAACCTGGACTACCTTTGCAACAGCGTTCCAGTTGATGAACTCCCTCGTACTTTCCGAGATACAATACATATCTCCCGCTGTTTGGGAATCAACTACCTTTGGATCGATTCCCTGTGTACCATCCAGTCCGGCCCTTTGGGCCCAGAACATAGTCCAGAGCACGTCGAAGACTGACAAAGCCGTATACGAATCATGGACCGCATCTATCAAAACTGTATGATCAGCATTGCTGCTGCACATGGCAGGGACCTAAGAGCTGGCTGTTTCTCCACTAGAGAACCAGCCATAATCACGCCATGCCACATCCCACTACGACGCATAGCCAAGTGGAATTGCCAGTGGGCTCGTGATGATACTACTAGCCTACACGTAGGTGTTGAAACAGAACAACTTAGTGCAGTAATGAGTGGTTCCATCGGCCATTTTCAATTGTACTCTCGTGGCTGGGTCACATAGGAGCGTCCTTTGTCGCCCCGGACGATGCACTTCTCGCAAGATCATATCTTCTGGGAATGTGTTGAGGTCCCGTTAGCATGTGAGTCGTTCCCAACCGGGATTGATCCGCCAAGCAACCATCCGGATTTTCACTGGAAAGCCAGCAAAAGGGAAGAGCAATACGTTAAATGGTTGATTATATTGAGAAATTATACCAAGCGATGTTTATCACGACCTAAGGATAGATTACCCGCAATTTCCGGTATTGCTATGAGAGTTCAAACCATAGTGGAAGATGATTATATCGCAGGAATGTTCAAAATGTGTCTTCCGTGGAATCTCTTATGGCATCGTAAAGGCCCTGCTCATCCTTCAAAGTCTACGAATACGCCCCGATTCTCTACATGAAGTTGGGCTTGTCAAGATAGGCCAATATCTTTTGTGCTCTGTAATTCTTTTCTAAGCCTGAGAAGGACTGGTCGTTCAAGACGTACACGCCCAACTTGTAGATCCCAACAACGTCTTTAGCCAAGTTACCTCTAGGTACATCAAACTGCGTAGCCCTTGCGGACAGATTTCTCGCGAAACACTTTTTGAACACTCGGTGATCACACATTTAGGTTTGGAGTACTACAAGCCTCTGGAGTTCAGACCTTTTCCCGGGTTACATTTGTACTTCGATGATGAGCTATCTTCTCCTGGCTGGACAACTGCGGTCTTGTTAAAGATTGACGAGCACGATAGCAGTTCCTTCCACGGAATAATCCTCGTCCGGAGCGCATACCAAGATCCCACACAATACATAAGAGTTGGCGTTTTCAAGGACGGCAATTCCGGACAGAAGTATGAAACTGAAGTAACGATTATCTAGAAATGCAGCCCGGAACTACTTTGGCCTCAAGAATGCGTCGATTCACGTCATGCTGCTGTCTTAGTACTCGTCGCCTTCTTTGTTTATATCCAGATCCAGCCGTGTGACTTAAGTCTCGCGTTGCCAGATCAATCGTCTCAGTCTAGGATGCCTGAACTTCCAACCAAAATTACTGGCCACCGGTATATCCATGTCTCGAACCATAACCCAGTCGGAGTCTCATGCCTATACGAGTATCGTTCGCCTTGCCGGAGCAGGCAGGGGGCGAGGGCGACTTTCAAGAGAGAGAGAAGAGGATAGACGGAATTCGGAGGGATAGGAATCGCGTTCGCGTTTGCAAATGTGTTCTGCTTCGGAAGACTACTAGGAACACTATTGAGTCACAGCGAACGATACAAATTCTTGAATAGCAGACCGGCAAGAACTTCTTAGCAGATGCTTCATCTCGGCGTCATCGTCGTGGCTTATGAACTCATACAAAATCTGTGGACGAATCGAGCAGCGTACATCTCGTACCTTCTCCAAGACCAACTATACGGAACCAGCCGCCACAGGCAGTCGCGCACCAGAATTCTTCCCCCGTTCCTCTCACATGCCTCCCCCACCACGGAAGGAAGCTACATCCACCATCCCTGGCCGCCTTCCCAACCTCTCACAAAGACCTCCGCGAACACTCAAGCTACATAACCCTAATAATTCTCGGCGAGCCTCAGGACCGTTGCAAATTACTCATCTTATGATGTGGTACTTACGTCCTTAGTCCACCGAGGACCCTTTACTTTTGCCCATTTGGGAAACCATAGGGGTTCGAGACGCGAGGAGACTTCTTTCTAGACTTTTAGGGATCTCCTTTGCTCAAATGAGTGGGCGGTGGGGGAAGTGTTGGAGCAAACGCTAGAGCATGGACTATGTGTGCCATATTTTGACAGCCGCATGAACACGTCAATGAGTCTTGGAGGTTTCTATATCTCAAGGATGGAGGGTGTGGAAGGCACACCCACCCAGCCCTGCCTTCTCCTTCGAACGCAGCCAGCGTAGAGGTTTCCGCGTGGGCTCGGCCTCATGCTATATAGCTCCGATAGTTCTCGGTGGCCTTTATGAAAGTTGCAAAGACTCAACGCAAGATGTGATGCTTACGTCCTTACTTCACCGAGGACCCTTTCTTTTTGCCCCTTTTGGGAAGTTGGTTGGGAGTTCGAGGGGCGGAAGGAGATTCTTTATGCGGTTTTGGGAATCGTTTTGGTTGAAGACTGAAAGTTCATATACAGGTGATGGGACTAGGCTTAGAAGCATCGTAGCTATGAATCATTTTGTTCTCCTACGAGAGCTTCACGTGTTGTTCTGAGCGGCGTTCACGGCGCGCACGGGTAGGCGCGAATCATTCTCTCACCCCCCACGCAGGTCTCCATATTGTGGCACCTGGCAGCGGCACAGCTCCGAGGGTTGGCACGAAAAAAAAGGCAACGCCCTCGTATCGCGATGCAAGAGATGGATCGCTCTTGAGAGCGAATGAGTGGTTCTGCAAACGCCTCAGAATTTGGTGGGACGCGGTCAATTGTGATTGGAGGAGCTCGACGGCCTCACCGCAATCGTGCATACCCAAGCCATTTTACGACCCGCAGACCTTGGATCTATTCTGTTCTGGGCAGGCGAGTTGAGAGAGGCTGAAGTTGGAGGCTTGGTTTCTCTTCACAGGCGCCATGAAGGACTTCGTGTTCGCGATTCTTGTGGTTTCTTTTTTCACGATTCATATTTTCAAGGTATCGTGCTCTGAACCCTCTGTATCACCGATTTGTTGAGTGCAGCGGCGAGATACCTACTAAAATTGGCTTCTCTGCTGGCGAGTGAGCGCGGCGACACATCTCTTGCTGCAAGGCTGAGCGGATATCAACGTGTCGGTCTCAGCCTTGCGATGCCAGCGCTTGCCGTTCTCGCCCGCTGATTGTGGAAGTGATTGTGAAGATGAGCTTGAAACGCCATAGCTGGCTCAATAGCTATACTTGTCCAGATCAGCGTGCGCTTTTCTTGGAGAGAGCATAAGGCAAACGGCGAGAAGGCGTAAAGTTTTCAGCCTCGCGTTCTAGGCGTATCTTCTGACTCATAAATCATTCCTTATTTCTTCGGAATCTTCTCAGCTGTTCTTGAATTTGGATGCAAGCCACAGGCAGGGAGAGGCAATCATCACGAATTGCTCCTACGAGCAAGATCGCGATGGGCGGGAGACGATTTCTCAGAACGATATCACCGCTGGAGTTCTGCGTACCTTTTGCATAGCGCTCCCTTGTAATCCGGCTTAGTCGGCTCCGATATACTAAGCGCTCCTCCTGTTCCGCAATAGACTTCGGACAGAATTTACCTGGTGGGAAACGAAGGCGATTCAAGCGATCGACCCGCTGCCGGGGACGCCGGGGAGGGCCACGTCAGCAGTTGCATCCAAGATCGACGCGGTATGAAGGGTAGATGGCTACCATCGTGGCGGTCTCAGCCTTGCGATGCCCGTGCATTCAAAAACCTCAGAAAGTTGAGGCGTTCATCCATGCATATGTAGTGTAGGGGATCGGGAAGACATTTCTTCCGTGTTGTCAAATGAAAACCAACCAACAAATCACTTTCTCACGGAAAAGGCAGTGATACGTGACAGCATATGTATATATGCGGGAGGAGCTTGGCGGGAAAACTACCAATACGGAGCTTGATATAAGTAGTACCTTGAGCGCCACTGGACTTACCTAGAGAATCTGATTCGGCAGGTTAGCAGCAGTGTTCTTGGAAGCCAAATGGCGTTTACCTGAGGGGACCCTTAAATGCGCAAACGTATCAAATAGGAGTCTTGATGCGCCCCAGTCAACGCAGTCCAAGCAAGTTCGCATTTTTAACTTTGCGTTCAGCCGTGTATGGAGAGTTTAGAGGATCCCCCTGCTTCCCTTATTGCTAGGCCTCGAGTTATATAAGGGAGTTTCTTGCCTTTCTAGCTGGCCCATGATAGGAACCGAGACAATACTATATTTTGCAGTATTTTCCTTTTGAATTCTCTCAAGCGTTGCCCCGAAGATAATTCTCATTAAGTACACGCATCCAGCTCCAATGGAGACACAGCCAACTTCCTAGGTGCCATCGCCGGATGCGACAGATCCCTGCGTGCCAGCAGACCTAGGGGACCTAGATGTGACAGGCTTTGGGGTAAGTTCGAGAACTAGTTCTGCTCGAAAAAAGAGACTTTGCTCACCAGTTTGAGGTTCTCATTTCTTTCATGGTCTCCATTGTGCTCGTAATTGTTGCGATTATCTGGGCTTACCTAACCGATGGATTACCGAGAAAGTGTTATAACGAATTTGACAACTTCCTGCTTGGCCGGAAGAGCCGCAACGGAGACAAGAGGAGAGTTCGAGTGTTCCAGAGCTTCATCCTGGCATTGAGTGATCAAAAACTTGCTTCAGGCCTCGCCCTTGTGGTTGCCATAAACGTCATCAGAAATGGCGTCCACGACCTCGACACGAAAATAGGAGCATACTCGTATAGTATCGCTGTCATTCTGGCCTTCTTTTCCTGTATTATACACCTGGCAACCGTTGCTGCCCTCCGAGACTATCTCCGTGTCCGAGGCATTTTCAAAAACATAAGGGTCGCAATTATGATCTGCATCTTGGCTCTTCTCCTACAGAGTCTCGGGGAGACTTGGACTATGGACGAGACTGTGACGTTGAGGTGTGCCATCGAAGATGACTAATTCTTGATGGACTACTCAGGCACAGGCGCCCTGACAAAGCGACTCGGCAATGCTGGCAATGTGTTGGGTCTTGTCATCTTGCTTGGGGTTCTCGGCAGCGGCTACGTCCGCAGGATACTGGACCTCTACCTTCGGGATTCTCAAGGTGATCTTATGGCATGTGAGAGAACACTCTTTGCGAAGACAATTGGGTGGCCTACTTCGTCTCAAGAGGACCTTCTGGACGTCAAGCAACGGCTTGCTTCGAAGTTGTCAGGTACGACTCTGAGCACAGGCAAAATTTTGCAGCTTTTCTTTCTTGTAATCCCTCAGATTTTTGCGGGATCATTTATGTTCGAGATTGTTTGGCTGATTTTCTATTTCGTGTTTGGTCTAGCTCAGGTGATATTTTGGCTAACCTCACTTGGTTCTGGGTTTGTCGGCGTCAATTTTGAGCCAAGGTTTGGACAGCTTCTTCCACTTGTTTTGCTGGTGCTTCCCTTCCTGGCCATAGCCGAGGGCTACTCTGGTAAGAACCGGTATCAGAGTCTTTTTGCACTAGTACCCATTACTGACTTACTTCGAGACCTCGAAAAACATGGAAGGAAGGAACATCAACAGGAAAGCAGCACCAGCCCATCATCTGGGCCTCCTCCCTTGTCTGTACCGGAAATCCACGCAGCAGCAACTGAAGAAGGACCCAATGACCGCCATATAACCACACTCGACACGTCAGAGTCGGAGTCGCAAGAGGTGAGACTACACACTCCATCTTCTCGAAGTCCATCTAATAACGCTCTTGGATAGAATGATAGATACTCAGCCTTTTTAACAAGCTGCAAGAGACATCGCACCTTCACGAAGGCTGGGTCTTGGATATTTGTTATCTTGTATCTTTTGATTTGCTTATACATATCCCTCGCGGTGGGCGAACTCTTCACACGCCAGATAGGGTGGGGGTTTTCAGATCTTATGATTGTCCTTGCTTTCATTATGGCTGGTCTCTCGGTCCTCACCTCGTTGGCGGTCCGCCTTACTCAGCTTTGGAAATTACGGAGGGAACTTCAGAGAGTCCAGCGTGACAAAGGTGCAGCGTAACGGACTGGAATTGATATACCCAGATGACAAAGGTCATAATAGGTTCTGAAAGTAGCCAACAATCTGGTCACGAATAAGTTGAAAGAGCTTCAAACGCTACTGCGCTCTTTGTTCTAGAGGAATAATCTTTATAGAGATCTGAGTCACTCGAGAATTAATTTTATTAGCTTTATTACAGTCCAATTCACTGGATGTGATCTGTGGTCCATGGGCTCCTGTCACCCCGGAAACAGCGAAGGGACGGCCAAGTTGGACCCGAACCCTGATGGATGCCCCTCCCTCATTCGGCGCGATCAATACGGCCATTGGGATCGACAGAACGCGAACGTCTTGGTCGGGGGGTACCGGGGGAAAGTCCGTGCAACGCGTCGGGCACGTACAGTAAAGCCGGGTTATAGTGATACAGGTCGGGGACTTGGGTATTATCACTGTATAGAGAGTATCACTGTATTGAAGGCCAAGTGTACCTGATTTGTAAGCCGGTGGTCCCCACGGACCACTTTCCCATACAAAATCCAGCCTGGTTAGTATGATATCGTATGAAAAGGGCTTAGTGATACTATACTAAGCAGAGAGCTAGTGATACAGGAGGCAAATCGGACAATCCGGCGACTCGTATCACTGTATAGAAAATATCACTATAACCCGGTACTACTATACGAAGGTTTTACTGTATCGCGGAACATAGAAATTCAAGATTTTCAACTGGACGTGATCGAACACTTGGAGGATCCTGCGCGGGCTGGAATGACTCCGTCTAGCTGGCTGGAGTACGGCAATCTCAATGGGAAGCAGTTCAAACTGCTTGAAAACAGTAAGGAAACAAACAGCAACGTAAAGGAGTCTTTTTAGCGGACAATGGTGGCAAACGAGGGCCGAGATGGAGACGCGCCTCCCCCTCACCACGCCTTCTTGTGCGAGAAGACATTTACTACCATTGTTAAGCACGGCGAAGTCATACTAAACCAACTCCACGACCGATCAGATCACACTTTGCAGAAAGCGTATATCCGACGTGTACAGTCTGTAGTCTGGGGTCGCAAGCTGACGAAGACGGCGAGGTTTTTGGCCTTGGTCCCAAAAGACACGAAAGAGAAGGGCATTATCGCCATTGTCTTCGGTGCAAGTGTGCCGGTGGTCCAGCGCAAGCGTGGAGAGCAGTTTGGGTTCATTGGCGAGTGCTACGCGCTTGGAGCAATGGCCGGAGAGGCGTTTGACATCAGGAATCAATTGCGGGAACCAGGGATCAGGGAAAGCTAATGCCGTCTGGTGGGATCGTGCGAATAGGGATTTCCACCTTCGGTAGTTTCGACGATGGATCATGAAGATTGGTGATGACGGAAGAGATTATGTTAATGGAAAGGCTTGGAGAGGCGTGGAAATCAGGATCGGAAATAAATAGCAACGTTAATGAGTCTACTTGGTGGATGATGGTGGCAAACAAGGGCCCTGATGGAGAAACGCCTCTCCCAACTATGTGAGAGAGCACATCCCCCGCGCTGGACCTCTGCGTCATATTTCCAAGCAGCGGGTGTGCCCACCGGAAGATGAATCAGATTGGAAGATATGAAAGCGACCACGACGACAGATTGGCATCCGGGAGGGACTTTCGCGACGCTCCCATGTGGTGACAGCAGAGTAGACGCAGTGTCGACATGGAATGAAGGGCCTGCGAGTTGTGGATGCGAGCGTGTTACCGCTGCATGTTGAGGCGCATATCCAGGCGACGATCCATGCGATTGCGGAGAAGGCGACAGATATGATGTTGGGGGTTGGTTCTGATGACTCATACGATAACAAACTCGGGCTATTCATCCGGCCATCAAATGTAAGATGAATCGTTGGGGCGAAATGCAATAGTCGAAGAGAATTGTAAGGATGGGGAATCGTTGCTCGGATTCCTGAGCTGGACAAGCTACCACCTTCTACCACCATTTGTTTCGAGCCTGTATCGTCTATCGCGGAAGGATCCGTTGGAACTCATCGTTACTTAGACGTACAGAAAACATCTTCTGGCCCTTAATTACATCTTCTTTGATGTCCGCACTGATCCACATATCGAATTTATTCCAGATCTTGTCCAACTTCGATTGAAAAAACCAAGAATCTTGTCTCGTAGAAGTCTCCCAGGCTCCCAAATCAATATCTGTTGTGTTATCCTCTCGCTCAGAGATCCATTCGTCCCAACCATGCACTTTGTTGACATCGACCTCCTTGAGTGCCAACCACTGCGAGTTTCTTTCAATAAAAAATCTCTCTGGTTTTTCCGATCCCTGTGTAACGTAAGATCGGTAATGAACGAGCGCAGGAACGATTTCACGATGCGTTTTGAAGCCAGCATCTGATATGAAACTTTTGAAGTTGGGGTCGGTCGCTTTGTCGAACGCGCACTGAGGGTGTAGCTGGGAATCAACACCGACAAGCAATATTCGGCCGAATCCATCTGCCCGACCGATGAATACGGCACCACCTAGTCCACGCGAACAACGGAGAATGCCGGTTTCAGAGTTCCAAGACGCAATTCGTTTGTTCGGGAATACCTCCAAAACTGCACCGTATTGCAGCATCCGCTCAGGCAGCCCCGGGATGTAGAACTGATACAACGCAGTAGATTCAATCCTCGGGGCGACTTCATGTTGCTCAACGTACAGATTCTTAGTTCGGACGCCGCCAGTGATCTTTGATGTATTCGTCCCAGCCGGGATAAGCTTGTTTAGATGGCACCTACGGTAATAGCCTCGTTCGTTGCAAATGAGGTATATCCCAAGCGGTCCACGGGTATCGGTTGTGTCTTGACAGTCCAGGATAGCAAGGAACGTCTTGACGTATTTAGTGTTTGCCACGATAAAGGTCTCTATTTGGAGCATAGGAAGAGATATGTTTATACCAATGTTAGTCATGGAATATGGAAAGTGTGTCTCCTGGCCACTGTCCTGATCCCGAAGAAACTGGATGATGTGACGAGATTCTGAAAAGTCCGCTGGCGAGGTCGCCAACAACCCGGAGTGTTCATTGTCAGATGTAGAGAGTGGCCTTTTCCATGCAAACAGGGAATGATCCTCAGACCTTTTCATGATCTCTTCTTGTAGTCGGAGGAATGCCTTTTCTCTTTCCCCATACAAGAGAGGCATGTTGACTCCGAACAGGCCCATCAAACAATACGCAATGTCTTCCACTCGAGTAGTCTTTCTTCCAGCTGCCCAGGACATCCTCTTCGCAATACTGGATAGACCAGGATCCTCGCCATCGAGAACCGCTCTATCAATGCCAGTAGTTTCAGATATGAACGCCCCAAGCTCTGATCTAGTCCCTATGAATTGCCATGCTTCATTAAAGAAGGCCACAGAGGACGGCGCAATGAGCTCTTGCAGCGTCCAACCTCTTTTAAACCATCGACTTCTGGCAAATGCGGAGTCTCTCTCCGCATAATCTATGCTGGGGAATTCTAGCACATCTGCCAAATACGCGTAGCAATGGCGACCTTTATACCACTGGTACATCGAATTGATGGCTTCAGACAGTTCTGTGCTATTGGTCTTGTCGATGCAGCAGGTATCGCACCAGATATACTCGAAGCCGTCCTTTTCAGCCTGGGAGGCGGCGCCCAGAATCTTTACTAGGCCCTGCTTGATTGGCTCGATATTCTGGAGAGTGTCGCCATTGGCAATTTGTATTTTTAGAGAAATAAGATAAGCAGTGATTCTTTCTTGCTGTAGGTCTTGCAGAGTGACTTCCTCTTTGCCCCAAGTATGGGAAAGAATGGCGCATGGGGGAAGGTCTTGGTCGAAGAAACTTATGACCTTGAAGTCGGACGTACGGAGGAGACGCATTTTCCGCAGAAAGGCGAGACTTTGAGAACAAGTTAGGGACAGATGCGAGATTTTAAGCTCCTTACTGTCGAGAGTTTGGCATATCGTGGAAGTTGGCTGAAGTGTGGAGACATAGGGCGGACATTGCGAGCCAAGGACGCCGTAGAGGAGTCGGCAATTGCTCGCTGTAAAGTCGTGAACAGCAACGGGAAGTCTCCCGTGAGAGAGAACTAAACGCAGATTGAGAATTGGAGACCCCGAGAAGGTCGCGCATCTTATGGTCTTATGCCATTCTTGGTTCAGCCTTCCTGCAAGGCTGAAGCGGGGCAGCTTTTCGATTATCCTGTGTGGGGGTCTGTGGACTATCACCGAAACATCCACGCCACATCCCCGCATGCACCTACACAGCCTGATTACCGGTGTAATTTCTCTACCAAGGCTGCCCTTAAATCCATTGATTTTGCCAATGACTACAAGCCGGCCTGTAGATGTGTCTTTCGCAGAGCAAAGATTGCGAGTTATGAACTTTCGTCAGCTCTGGTGGTGTCCCCAAACGTCGACTCTAGATGTGTCCCCAAACGCCACGGATCCCCATCACCTCCAAAGCATTCAACATTTCACATCTCTTTAAAGCCTTGCACGGAAAAAGTCTCTCACCTGCCAGAACATCAAGTCGCGTTGGGCAAAAGCAGGTCTGTATCCGTTCAGCCCAGACCAGGGACTCAAAGATATCCAGAATCCATTACCGCTTCTTGTGCGTGAAAACGTTCACCACGGCGGTTGAGCACGGCAGCGATGCCATGTTGCACCGCATTCACGATAGGCAAGCTAGAGTCTTAGGCGTCTGAGCCAAGGCGGGAGAAGCCTTGAGGTCATGAGTGAGTTGAAGAAGAAGCCGGAAGCCGTTTCTTGGGATCTTGAGAATAGAGACTTCCATATCTTGCAAGCCCATCGATGGTCATGAAGGTTGGTGATGGTGTTGATGTGTTTGTAAGAGGGGTGAGAATCAGGAAGAAAGCCACAGAACCGCCACGACGCCACATCGGCATTTGCTGTCGCCGATGGACCAACTGGGCATGTTCATTCATCAGCGGCCGCGCACTCGCCTTTGCCTATTCACAACACCAGTCACTGCAGTGGTGTACGCGGCACGGCAGCCTTCCTCAACTTCCGTCTAGCAGGTTCGAGATTCGTCCAAAATTCGTGATCGCCTTGGCTCTGATTGGCGCCTCGGGGACTCGGGCGCCATGTTGACAGCGATCTCCCGATGACCAACACCACGCTCGCCTGCTGGGGTGGCGACGTACGTATGCTGTCGTCTGCCTGTTTTTGCTCTATATAAAATGGCTGCCGGTGGCCTTTCTCATTTATCTCTCATCATCTCGTCTCATCTATCATCTTATTCTACACACCATCATCACACAATCCATTAACCACTCAACAATCATGCCTTCAATACGCTACGTCAACCAGAGCGCTCCCTTTTGGGATTTTGTTGCCAATCTCGAGCAGCAAGGCCAGGCACACCCCTTCTTTGCCGCTCAGCAAGGACGTGAAGCAGGTGAAGAACGCGAAACATCTGGAGACGAGCAGCCGTTCGGACCTTGGGGTCATCCTTGGGCTCGTCGCGGTGGACCTCGTGGTCCTTACCGACACCGCGGACCTCCTCCTCCTCCCGAAGCACCCGCTCAGCCTGAAGGGCCTCCTGCTCCATATACGCCGGGCGAGGGTCCTTCTGACGCGCCACAACCCCCCCACCACGAGCATCCTGACCACGAACATCCCCGTCATGAGGGACCACCACATCACCGAGGCTGCGGCGGACGACGTGGCCGTGGATTCGGTGGTCGTGGAGGCATTGGAGGCTTTGGCGGCCCCTGGATGGGCGGGCCGTTCAACCTCGCTAGTCTGGCCACCCAACTCTTCGGCCAGGACAACGAAGGCGAAACCAAGGACGCCTCTTCCGACGATTTCAAGCCTGAAGCCGACGTGTTCGACACCGAGTCTGCCTTCGTGATCCACGTCTCACTCCCCGGAGCCAAGAAAGAGGATGTCGGCGTAAACTGGGACGCTGAAAAGAGCGAGGTCAGCATTGCTGGAGTCATCTACCGACCGGGTGACGAGGAGTTCTTGAAGACTCTTGCTTTGGACGAGAGGAAAATTGGCGCCTTCGAGCGGAAGGTTCGCCTTGGAAGCCGTGCCAATCCGGCTCAGGTCGATGCGGACATGATCACCGCGAAGCTCGAGGATGGTATCCTGCGAGTCGAAGTCCCGAAACAGGATCGTGATTATGTCGAGATCAAGAAGGTCGACATCGAGTAGGGATCTTAGCAATGGACTTGAGGAATTAGGAAGGATCTAGGGGCAAGAGGAGAAAACCATCACCGATTTCATAGTTGCGGCGCGTGGAAGGTTTCATAGTATAATCTAGTCGTTGGGGTAATACACTTTTGACACCGTGCAGTGACGCTTTACTCATGCTTGCTCTTTATGTGTAACTATAGAATAGCACAATACGAATGACATCGTTCGCTTTCAACAGTTTCCTGCCTGCAGTCTTCAAGCGCTCGTCTCGAAGCTATTCCGTCTGTAGAAGCAAAACTTCTTATAGCAAGCTATTGTGAATGCGATAGCAGTTTAAGAGATACTTCTCCGTTTCTCGGCTCCACTTGCCCCAGCGATTGCGGGACCAGGGCGCAGCTTCCCAAGCGATGACGCAGGACAAACGACAAGCAAATCACGCCGTCCCAAACTCTTCATTTTCTACTTCAACCACTCCGTCCCAAACTCTTCATTTTCTACTTCAACCACTCCGTTCCACTCAAGACACCACTAGTTATACCGCTATTCCGAAACCCCAGTTGTTCAATCGCAATTGCAATGTCCATCCCAACCTCCACCTCTGTGACTGAGTCCGCTGTCATCGAAGCTCCCTTGAGCTCCGTCTGGGTATGTCACTCCACCTCATTTGTGAGTACTCAGACGACGAATACATTACTGACGTGAACGTGCATAGCACCTCATCAAACTGCAAGACTTCTCCAAGTTCTGGAGCAAGCTGGACAAGAGCGAGTATGTCAAGGGCGCGTCGGACGAGACGGATATCGTGAAGTGGGCTTTCAAGGATGGGACTGTGTTAGAGGTGAAGCAAGAGGAACATTCTGTGCGTATCTACCCCAATATCTTTCCTTTGCCTGAGCTTGGAGACCTATGCTGACTTTGCATGTATGACCGCAGTCTATCGACCACTTCATCACCTATAGCGTCATCTCTTCCCAGCCAGCCTTGAGCTATACCTCCGTTGTTAGCACCGTGCGCTTGTACTCTGTCACGTCGGGCAAGCATGAGGGCCAGACTTTTGTGACGTGGACGGGCAACTTCTCGAGCGATGCTGATGCTGGTATGTTGCATATGCGTTCCTGCCCATACTGTTTACAGTCCTAACGATCTTTGTGGAATCAGGAGTCATCGAAGACGCCAAGTTCAAGCGCCGCGAAGCCCTCGCTGATCTTGCTGCCGCTGCTGGAAAGAAGTGAGGCAGAGACCTTCACAACGGCTCCTATTGGGAGAAATTGAGTGAGCTTTGAGTGATGCAGGATGAGCGATGAGCGATGGGCGATGAAAAAAGCGGTGCGGCTACACTGGTGGCGGAAAAATGATTGTATCATACCATGAGCATTGCGTGCTCTCTAAAGCAAGGAACATCGCAGGTTCCTACAAGCTGAAGATGAGTCCTTCGTAAAGGTTTGATGAATGTGATGCGATGTGCGAGATACCATCAGGTTGCATCATCTGCAATGCCACCTCTTTCGCCACTGCCTGGGGTTCTTCGATGCATATGCACTGTTGCCAACCCTTTGCAAACATGACGAGTCACGGCATGCCTCTTGATTGACCATTTGTGGCAGAAGGAACATGTGTATAGTGAATACAGGGGCATTTATCAATTGACCAATGAATCGGCATGCCGCATCCTTAGCGGCTTTCATCCAGATTGATTCCTCCGACGACCGTCTTTACCACCTCACCTTCTCCCATCGATCCCCCAAAGCTACAGCCAACCTCACTTCATCCTGTTCAAAACCTGTTCTCACTTAGATGCTGATATGTCAACCCTAGTATCAATACAAGCGGGGCTTTAGGATTCCCACAGCTCCACCAATATCGGCCTAGGGCATGATTCTCAAACGCGCTTATCATAGACGCATATGGCATTCCTGAAACAAGACTCCTGGACGGCTTTACCGCTCTCTAAATGATACCACAACGCGTTCAACCCGCTTGTTGTCTTCTTTCATGGCAATTGAACTCAGCGACCCGTGCGACAGAATCATCCACCGCCGTCCATCTTAATTCCACCGCAGCCGCATCGCGTCATGCACGTGATCAGACGTATCGGAATCTATGGGCATTTATGAATTCGACCGACCTTATTGTCGCGGCGAAGATGCCTAGTCCTTGACGCGTCATCTCGTCGCGGCCTTCGCCCGGAAAAGCTTTTTCTCTTGCCCCACTCATTACCCTCTTTCATCAATTTTCTTTAACGCTCCTAAGAAATTGTGAAGCTTGCGTAATCTTTAGTATGGTTGTCGTTCTCAGAGAATTTGAGACGAACCGAACCGTAGCGACTACTGCCAGGACGCTTCGTTGTCGGGCCGCAATAGTGACGCGACAACCACCAGGCCACACAAGGCCTGGGGTCTCAAGCCTTTCCGACTGCTTCATTCCAGAAGAACTTGAGACGGAGAACAAGAAACGCGTGGGAAGTCTAGCCTAATTCATTAACTGACTACCGACAGTGGAAGAAAACAACGACAAAGTCAAGCAATCATTCGTCAGAAACATGTTTATATTTCCTCAATCTAGTTCTAGGACCATGTCCACGCGGCTTATACCCCACAAATGTTTCGCCTCTGTAAAACAACGACAATCTGTTCATGGACCCACTCCATGCAACTGAAACTCTAGCCTTGATTGCGGGCCCAGTATTTCCCGCAACACTTCTGGGCGTAAGGAGGTAATTGACGGAGGCTCCACTACGAATCAGGGGGTGATCGACAGCCTTTTGCCGCCTATGGCTCCACCACGCCCGACTGCGAGGAAACAAATTGGCACCCTCATTGGTATACTCCTCTATATGCGGCTGCTCGGGAAAAGCGACCTTCGTTTACAGCCCACGTCTTCTGCCGATGGCGATGATGCATCACCTTTCGCTAATGAGGAAGGATTTAGCATATAAAGAGGGACCATCGACCTTTCCCTTTCATTCAGCAGAGCAAACATTCTTTCACCCTTTCACACTTTCATCCTTTCATCCTGTGCAGGCTCGCAATTAGTAAAAGCACCAATCTGCCATCATCATGCTGCATACCGTCAAAATTGCGCTCGTGGCGCTTCTTGCTTCCAGGCAATGAACCTCACATTCACATCGGTGTACATTGTTACTGACATGCATCAAGTGCCGTCGCTGCTCCCATTGGCGACAAGCCAGAATTCAGCGCTCATCGCCACAGCGGCGCTCCCCACCCTACAGGCGGATTCCCTATCAGCTTCCCTGTACCGACTGGCAGATTTCCTAAACCCACAGGGAGTCACTCAGGCTTCCCGTCCTTCAGCGGCTTCCTCGCGCCCTCTGGCAGCGAGATTGAAAAGCGCTAGTTAGAATCTAGCGCTCACCACCACAGCGGTGCTCCTCATCAGACGGGATTCCCCTCTTTCCCGGCTGGCCCAGGACCCACTCAATTGCCCTCCGGTACGTAGCCCTTCAGTACCCATTCACTTCATCAATCGATCTCTTGTCGGTTCACTTGATGCGACAAACACAATTCAAGTGACCATTTGAATGCTGGCAGCAAAAGATCTCGCGTACATACCAAGCCTCTTCTCTAGATACCAGTGCATATATTAACGTCTTTCAGGAGGCCTCTCTGGATTTCCTGGCGTTCCCATAGGTTTCCCCACAGGTTTCCCCACTCCTACGGCTCCGCTCGATAAATGTCAATTTCCAAGCGGCGGTTCTTTCAGTTTCTCCGCACCAAGTGGTTGGCCTACGAACTGGCCTTCATTCTCTCCCCCGAGCGGGCCTGCGCCTGCAGGAGGGTTTCCAGGCTTCTCTGGCGTGCCTTCGTTCCCTCTAGGACCTAAGCCTACTGGAGGATTCCCAAGATTCTCTGGCGCGCCTTCATTCTCGTGGCCCGTTCCAGCTTCAACTCCTACAGCTTAGTCCGTAGGTGTAGCGATAGAGGATGTGCTGGAAGTCGGAAAGGAGAGTCTTAAGACAAGGATGGTAGGATGTCTGGTGGATGATGGTGGTCTTTTCGATTCCCTTGTCGTTGAACGGGTTAAGATAAAATGTTGGAAGCTTTGGCATTTTGACCCCTTCCATATGATGAGTGTTGAATGAGTGCCACTCCAGGTTTGTTGTATTGCGCCGACATCTCCCGGGAAGATCAGTCCTAACCTCACTTCCGCTGCGTCGAAATTACCTATTTTGAGATTGAATGGACCATGAGTTATCCTGCAAAGCTTTGCCTGACGGCTCAATCATTTAGCAGTACGCGTAGTGCGCTTTACGACCGCGCGATTGAAATGGTAAGCTCTAGGGTACCTGCCTTCAGCTCCAGTGTCATTTACCGCTCGCTCTAGGTCTCAAGGTTTGACTTTGCCCACTGCAACTCTGCACTCGACTCCAGTCTCCTTTATCGCTTGCCCCATAATTGCTCGTTTGACTCTGCTGATTGCAAGTCTGCTTCCTAGACGAACCTTAAAGCCGCGAACGCGTGGCTAGGGAAAGGCTCGACTACAGAGCACTGCATTAGCGTGTCGAGAGGTAAGCACAAGGGTACTTGTCTTCTGTTGCCGAGTCTGAGCTAGCGACATATCCACAGGCCTCGCCAGCGGCTTCTGACTCTCACTAAGTAAGCCATGACCAACGCTCATGCCGCCAGTCTCATCTAAGACTCGTGTATAGATCTCGTTGCCGATGTTGTCACCATGTCCAACAACAAAGATCACGATTCTCACAACCACAACCACGGTCCTGATATTAAACAGAAGCCGGATAAGACCGCGATCCCGGACAGTGAAGACGGCCGGGACTACTCCCCAGACGATGACAACGTTTGCAAGCTTAGCCCGCTATGCAGTATCAATCACAGGATCCAGGTCACACTTCAGAATGCTATGATCAGAGGCGTTGCAGCACTGCGAGAGACCTTGTTCTGGTTTTTACTGGGCCTATGAAATGCTCGTCTTCCTATTCCTTTGCCATTCTTTGCTTTCCTCAAGATAGGTCAGTATTCAAACCCTCTAGACTCGTTCAATTCTCTCGTAGATGTTTTCTTATAAGCTATACGAGTGCCACCAGATACCATGGTATATTCCCAAAACGCCTCAAGCAAACGTCCTGCCCATTCCCCCAACATATCGACAGATTGCCACACGCAGGCCAGATAAGAATTAGATTAAGCCCTTCTACCCCATATCAACACCTTCCCACCAGCGAGCATCCCTTGAAGGAGAAGAGAATATGACAGCTTCCGTCAATACTATACGACTTCGTTGTCCTATCCCTCAACCCACTTCTCCTCCATCACTCCACTCGCTCTCTCCGCCTCCACATACCTCGGCCACGTATTCGTAAAAACAAGATACTTGATGCTCTCAAACGCGGCATCGAAAAGCCCCACATCAAACTCCTTTGGCACATGCTCGATCCCTATGCCGGACTCACTCTTCACGCTCTCGGCGCGGCCAAGCAGGCCGCCGAGCATCAAGGCGTCGTCTTCCCACGGACACACCACGTTTTCACGCTTTGAGTGCTCCGAGATGGCATCACACTCGTAGGGGTCGAAGACTACGCTCGAGAAGAGGGATTGTAGGTGCCGGAAGACTTTGTACTCGATATTGATTGGTGTTTCGGCCGTGAAAGGGTTGATCAGCGTGAAGAAGATGAGGGAGGCTTCGGTGAATTGCTGGCGGCGTTGCTGAGCTGAGATGGTGCTCGGCCCTGCTTCGGTTCGTCCATCGATTTGTTTGCCGAGTGAGGTGGGAGGTGTTTGTGTTTGAGGTTGGATGTACTCAGAAATATGTTCCCAGCGTTGGCGGAAGTTGCGCACTTCGCGCAGGAAGACCATGTTCTCGGCTGTGAATTCTCTGCGCGCGGCCCAGGTTATGAGTGGCTCGATGTTGTGCTTTATCACGAACTCGAGGGATTGCATGCTACCTTTGTGCTTGAGGGTTGCGGAGGAGGAGGCGGAGATGTGAGAGGTGAGGGAGGAGGTGCTGGTGCGGCGGGAAGGGTTGAGGGCGGATTTGTAGGCGTCCCAGAGGGGGAGGATGATAGTGACTTGCTGGATGGTTATGAGGCAGGGGAGGAACCTGCGGGGGAGTAGGGTTTTAGTGCAGCTCTTATGGGATTAGAGAACGTGACTTAGTTTCGAGAGGTGGTGTAGGAATGGGTGGGCGTGCAACTTACCATCCTGAGGTTGGGAAGTACTTGTTGATGGTCAACATCACGGGAATCTTCGTGTACGTAAAAGCGAGCCAGAGCGGTGTTCCAGGAAGACTATTCTGGGCATTAGTAAGTACTCAATGCAAGATTGCAAGTGATCTCACCCTGCAATGATTGCTAATCGAGTCTGCCACGCCCAGTAGTGGACATCATTGACCTTGCGAATCTTCCAGAGTAGATAGGGCCCAAATATTGTAGTCCAGAATAGCTGCATAAAGATGGATGGAACCCTGTTGAAGTGTGAGATTCAGCGTCGTCGGGAAGGAAGTGCTGCCTACCATTCTGCTCCCCTCCGGCAGCTGGATTGGTCGGCAACATGACCGAAAAAGCCGTAAGAGCGATGAAAGCGACGCGAGCCAAAGTATAGTATAGTAGATGGAATGAACTGATATCATTAGTAAGCATTGGCAAACTCTGAGGTCAAATGCGAATACGTACCGAGATCGCTAGACCAACAACAATCCACGCATATGTTTTCGCAGCAGCGTCAAGACGTAAGTACGCCTCCAAGATACCTTTCGGAGTCCAAGTGATTCGTTTCTTGCGTGCCCCCTCCGTATAATTACGAGCAAGTCTTTCTTGACTCTCGTAGTACTTGAGAAGCCTTGCATTGGCAGCTGGGACACGGTAAGCAAGAGCATCAATGGTTCACCGAAGTTCTGGAATACCAACCTTGAAACAACGCCATGCCCAGTGGTAGAAACACTGACATGATCCAGTACTCGGCAACGCAGGGCCAGTTCCCGTTTTCGGGGTAAGCGAGTAGAACGAGAACGAGGTACACATGGAGCATCGAGACGGAGCCAATGAGGACGCTGAAGCCGCGTATGCGAATGGAGTGATTGGACCGATGGCGGTGCAGCAAGTAGATCTCAACGGCCACGAGGAGAGAGTAGAGGATCGCCACCAGGACGTAGAAGATGCCTAGAGCATCGAGGTTGGCTCGGCCGCCGTTGAGCTGTCGAGCAGTGACGGCACGTTCCAGAATGAGACTCGCCATAGTGATAAATTACGAAAAGGATAGTTGGATACAATAAAGAGCGGACAGTTGAAGGAACCCTGGAGCTTATATCAAGCTCGATCTAAGGTCAAGACTCGCAGTCAATAGAGCCGGAGGGAAACGAGAACTGGAGAAAGCAAAGCTGGAGGTTACATAAGCGAGGGGATGTACCTAGGTACAGACAGAAACGGCGTATCGAGTAGGTTAGACGATGGAACATGCAGAGATCGGGGGGAAAGGAAGGGAGGGCGACAGCAGGTGTTCTTGTCCAGCAGAAGTGCAGCAGCGCACGCGGCAGTAAGGGAGAGTTAAGAGGTCGTGTTCGGATGGACCCGAGACAATGAAGCGCCGTGGAGCTCGACTGGGCTGCGAGTGCGTTTGGTGCAACATAGGAAGGGAGGGGTGCTCACGAGATGGCGATGGGGTGGGACAGGAATCGCGGTTGCAACACGCTCGACCACCTGTCCGACGACGCTTGCAGCCCTCACGCGGAGGCGCGCAGGGGCAGCTATATGGCGAGCATGAACACGCTGCCAAGCAGTAGGAGAAGAGAACATGCTGAATTTTGGGCGCTTTCCGCCGTGTCAGCTTGTATAGCAGCGCAGTGTTGGCGCATTGAAGGGTGCGGCAGGCAGCGTTTGGGGAGGAGAGAGGCTCTTTTTCGGGCGCGCCGCCTGCTCGGGCCGCCTGCATTAGGGGCACACTCGGTTCCTGGCTGCCCCTGGGGGCCCTTCACTCCTCGTTGCCCGGCACCACTCACCATTCACCACCCACCACCACCACGCTATGGCGGTATCAAGACACCCAGCGTCACCCCGCCTCGCTGCGGCTGCTGTTGGCCCGCGTCCGATGTGCCTTAAGCGGCTCACGATGCCTCTGCCAGAAACCGCATCGCGGAGGCTCTCTCGCTGCTGTCTCCATTCGCTATGTTTCCTTGGCCACGATATGGATCTACTCCCTGTCTCATGCCCTCTTCTAGAAGCTCTCGTCGTCTATCCTGAAGCGTGAACCTGCGTCGACGAGCCCTGCGGCCCACAACTTCCATGCAGATACCGCCTCGGCTCGAGTCGCCGTCTGCCTCGTTCCCACGTCGGACGAAACGCCAAAGCGTAGGCCACCCAATATAATGCTGAAAGACGTGGCTCCTGGGCTCGCCGCTGTATGAGACAGTCGTGGGCAGGCGCTGTAACTCGGTGGCTGCCTCTTCCCGGGTACGCCAGACGGGTCGCGAGGCCAGCGTCACTCCCGCCGCAGTACATGCACCACCATCAGAAGTCACAAGTGAGGAGAAGGTGAGGGTAGTCTTGTAAATATTGATTGCAGCGGGAACATGCGACCACTTACTAGGCCTTATCAATGTATGCTATTCCTGGCAAAGTTGCGGTGAGACAAGTCGATATTCTCGGACGTCGAGGGGCTTATTTATGCTGGTAGTGGCTAATATTCTGCTCGGCAGCCATCACGCAGACATGCATATGTAGACCCTTTGACCTGGTCCCAAAAGGAAACGCTGCCTTGTTGCTACTAGGTGTACTCGGAAGCCTTCAAATCTGCAAATGCAAATTTACCGCGGAAACTCTGCTGACTTTGAAACGATCTTCCTGGATAGCTACTAGACTCGCCCTCTCCAAATGGTGTCTCGCAGTCAAGAGCAGCACCGAAGCATTAGCCAAAAAATATGCATAGACTTACTCTACCTACCCTTGTACTTTATCTTTGTCCCTCGAACACCATCTGGTGTCGAGCATGCGTGGCCGCCCGCATTCCACGCCGACCCCCCACGACACCCATCAACACCAAGCCCGCTGAAACTCTCCGACCTCCGTCTCGCTCACGAACCCTAGCTCATCCACATCGTGCCGACGGGCGCGGCCAGACAGGCTGCTTCCTTACGAGTACGACATGTCCAATCGGTCTGTATCCTAGGGCCGGCTGATATGGCTTGTTGACAGCCCTGATCTGTTACCCGAAATACATCGACCGGTTTCATTACAAAACCTCGGCTGGCATACCCCTTATGCCAGCACTAGCACAAAGTGTGGTATCATTCTCTCAGCATTCCGATGTATTTCCTTGGTTGCAATCCAAGAACTCTCCATCAGGGTTTCTCAAATTACTGGCACAAACTAATTGGCTCATCCATGTTCCGTCACCCACTCTATAAGAACCTTAAAACAGGACCTCGTTTGATCGTTTAAGGTTATGACACCGGTGCACAAGTCTAAAAGCATATCTACACCTCACTTACCCCCGCCTCAAATATAGTATCACTGGAATCCTGACTTCTAGATCCTCAGCAGAAAATGCTCATGGTGCTTCAATTTACTTTGAAAGCTTTGAACGACATGTCAGGCCATTCCAAGATTCTAGTTACCTCAGCGGCCCATCGCAGCCGGCGTGCTCTGTCATCCGTATTTACGAGGTTTTACAGGGTTCCGAAAGTATAGCAGCGCCCGGTCTGCCGACTTGGACTGCCGACTTGGACTGCCAAGAAGAAGAAAGCCCACCCTGATACTCTCGTGTCTCTCTTCTTTTACGCAAGTTCTAGTAAAAAGCAAATATCACCCCAAGATAGTGACGACATCGATGAGAAGTTCTCGAACGCTCATGATAACCACCCAGATGCCCTTGATACATCCGTCCGACTACCTATTGCAACAACCTCAAAGCTAGAGACACCGGACTAAGCACTGGCACTACTGCATAGAGGATAATGACGAGTAACACTACAGTAGCGACAGCGTTCATCACAGATTAGCAACGATCTAAGCGATGAATTAAGGTATAATGGATTGCCGAGGCATTGAATGCAACAGAACCGCTACACGAAGGACGCTCGATGGTGGATATGCGATGTTTGCCACCCCCAAAAACGAAGGATTTATTCGCATAGAGAGTCTTCCCCTGTACAAAGAGGGAGTTGAAACCTACAATGAAATATCACCTTCGCCCTAGCCTTGCCCATTCGTTCTCGGATGGCTCAATACAGGTTGTCGACTGTGGTTTCGTCCATCAGTCTCATATCATTAGGTGTTCAAGTCTACTTCGGCGAGCGGGCGTATTTCCGTTAATATTTCAGAAGAGATTCAGAGAACCATTGTGCGGCGTGTTCAGGTCTGGAACCCTCGAGATTGAGCTCAGCTCCAGTGTTGATATTTTCAACAGTGTGCAACCAACCGATTGAAGGAGGACCGTCCCATTGTCTATACATGATCTCGACATCTATGTCTGAACCGTGCCTAAGGCCCAGCCATGCTTCATCTTCGATTTTGATGTTACATTCCAGTTGCGACATCGTTGCCCCTTGATCCAGTTCTATTTTCAGTCAACGGCTCCTCATCAACGCTTTCCTTTCCACCGTCGCTGGATTTTGATGACCGCTTCTTCCCGAGATATTGAAAGATATCTTGAAAACGTTCTATCTTCTTGTAGTGTTCCTGCAAAGACGCCAGAAGCGCGTTGCCTACTAGATATCCTAGTGTGGAGATATTGGCGCCGCGATTAACCAACACATCTAGTACTTCTCTTTGGCCTTCTTGGAAAGCTGCTCGAAGTACACTGCCGTATCGCCCACCTCGAGAATTGATGTCTGCGCCATGGTCCAGCAGCAGACCATCGACCTCCGTATTTCCCTGATATGCGGACGCCTGGAGCGCGACACCGTAGCTTCCACCCACTGTGTTGACATCGGCCCCATGGTCAAGTAGCAGGATAACAACCTCTTTGCGGCCAACAGCTGAAGCAGCTTGGAGGCGTTGCCATAGTCTCTGCCTTGTGCATTCACGTCGGCGGCATGGTCCAATAGAAGCTTCACTACCTCATAGTCTTCAAGCGAAGCGGCCTGAATTGCGTTGCCGTACTGTCCGCATTGTCTCAGGTTGTGAAGAAGCAGTTCTGTGTTGATTTGAAGAGGCATAAGGCCCGTATATATGGCCTATGAAAGGGGGGGGGTACTCCCCTGTTCCCCCTTGTTACGGATATGGAAGGATGTAACGCCACTGACACGCTAGTAGTGGCAACCTGAGTCATTGCGCGTTCACGTCCGCACTGCAGTCAAGCAGCAGCTTCACTATGTCCTTATGGCCTCCAAATGAAGCCTCCTGGAGAGCGCTACCGAAGGCTTCGCCGTATCCGTTGACGTTAGCGTTGCGGTTGAGTAGTTGCTGAACTATGGTCTCATGTCCATGCGCCGCGGCTTCACACAGCGGCGTTGTCCCCTCATGTGCTTTAGCACACAAATCAACCGCATCAGTCTGTAGTAACAGCCTCACTACCGCCTTATGCCCATATGTCGCTGAGACTAGTAGTGGCGTTATGCCGAAGTTATCCGCAGAGTCTGGGTCGACTCTGTCGTTTTCCCTTCAGAATCTTTAGAGTTTGGATCAACTCTACCAGTCTGTAGGAGGAGTTTGACTACTTCTTCATGTCCAGATCCTGCGGACCACGATAATACCGTTCGACTGGGGTTATCTGTAGTGTCTGGGTCAACTCTGTCGTCTTCTAGGAGAAGTGCGACTGCGTCCAACCGACCGCTCGCCGCCGCCCATGACAGCGGAGTTCTTCCTTCCGAATCTTTAGAGTCTGGGTCAACTGTTTTGTTTTCTACCAACAGCTTGACTATCCCCTTGTGCCCGTAATCCACTGACAACGATAGTGGCGTTCGACCGGTTTTATCTGCAAAGTCTGGGTGGGCTCTGTCGTTTCCCAGCAGAATTTTGACTATGTCCTCATGTCCGTTGCTGGCTGCAACGAACAATGGTGTCCTCTGTCGATAGTTCTAGAGTTCGGATGTACATCAGGCCTCGAGAGCAGCAGCTTGACTATTGTCGTATATCCCTACTCTACTGGCAAGAACAGAGGTGTTTGTTTGTGATCATTTTTAGAGTTTACATTGACGATATCATTTTCTAGCAGCAGTACAACGTCTTCGTTTCCGTTATTCGTCGCAAACAATAGCGGCGTCATGTGAGCACGACCTTTGGAGCCCGGATCTACATCAGGCCTCGAAAGCAGTAGCTTCAATATCGCCACATGCCCCTTCTCCGCTGCCAAGGATAGCGCTGTGTGTTGGAGAATATCTTTGCGGTCTGCATCGATGCCGCTGTTATCTAGCAGCAACCGGACGAACTCCTCATCCCTGTTCATCGCAGCCAACGACAGTGGCGCTCGACCAACGTGGTCCAATTCCCGATCATGGAAATTAACATCGATATCTTTGTATTGGAGCAGACGCTTGGCCACAGCGACATGCCCGCCGACTGCCGCTTTCTACAGAGCGCCTGATATATGGTCTAGACTTGTTCCATCGTCAAGTAGTTGGGTGATATCATGCTCAAGTCCGTGTGCAGCGGCAAAAAGTAGAGGGTCTTCCGGGGTGCTATCCTCGATAGACTCGAAGGTATTTGTAGCGCTTGGAGCGTCTGATCGCGTATCGCCACCACGGCGACTGTGCATCGCGCATTTCGAATTATCATTGTCGCTATCGTCAGCGCCTGGCGGTATGGCGAAGAGAGCAAGCTAGACCGAATGTGCTCCCACATGCTTGCGAAACTGCTCTAGTGTGACGAGCAGGTCGCCATCTAGTGGATTTCGCTCCTTCAAGTCCTTTTCCCATGAAAAACAAAAGGGACAGTCAAAGTGTGACATTCGATCTAGCCGTTGCCGACCCAAGTTGGTCAAGAACGGGAGTTGATTTTTGACGAAGTTTCCCGCGTGAAGAGCGGTTATATGAGTTTCGAAATTTTCGCAAGTTGAGAATGGTGAGCAGGAGCAGAATGGACAGATCCACTGGGCTCTATGTTTGTCGAGTTCGTGCTCGAACCATGCCCGCTCCTCTATGAAAAGGGTTTGATCGCAGCTATCACCTGGGAAGGTGCAGACATAGCATCGAAGATCTCGATAGACATGTTTTCTACATTATTCCAGGTAATTGTTAGTAATCCAATATTCTTAGGGGAACTGATAAAAGCTCAGCAACTCACCTCCACGACCGCTCTGATATGATGGTCAGGATGTCTCAGCAATAAGGACATTCAAAAGGGACTTTCCCGCCTGCGACATCTTTGAGAGGCACAACGCGAAGCTTAGACTCTTCGGTATCATCAGCCACAGAAGTTGCAAAGGACGTCTGCGACCGGCCGTCTTCAATGTCCCCTTGGATGCTCTCCAGGATCAAAGGAGCTAATGTTGAGGCTGTTGTTTGAGGGAGGCTACTAATAGCTTCTGACCGCGTATCTAGTGCGAGAATCCTGGTCCCAGCTTGTCTGTCTAGTTCTCGCACTAGAAGTTCCCTCTGGTCTTCTCTTCCAGCGTTGGGCAGAGTTTTCGGAGCGTGCGATGGCCTTTTATGATGATCTCGAGCATATCGAAGAAACTGTCTTCGCCGAGTAATTGCCCGTCCGAGGCGCACCTTGAGCCATTTCATATTCTCTTCTTCTAGCTTTGGAAACTTGTGAGCTACGTGAGCGATATCGTAGAGGTCGTCGAAGGGTTCCGTTGCCGCAGTGGCAGCCTTTTGAAAGCGGTCTCGCGGTGTAGCCTTTCGAATGAGCATTGAAATTCTGAAAAGACCCGAGATAGAATCTGCCACAGTTTCGAGTAGCTCGTCTATTTCGGAGATTTGCTGGTCCTGAAGCAGAGTACTGTTGGTGTGGCCGTCATCTCCGGATATCCAGGTCTCATCGTGGGGAGTCAAAAATGCAGTCCTGTTCGGCTGCTCCCCTTTCGCGATCGAGAGGACTTAGTAGCATCAGTGTTTGAAAAAGCGCTGTGAGATTGAACGCATGAAACCGGCTGCTCACCTTCGTCTAAGTGCTCTATGATTTCGTCCAGCAAACCAATGATTTCCTTTGGTGTTCTGAGACTCTCGTAGTCGAAAATCTAAATAACTTTGAGATTGAAGTTCTTGAAATGCTCCAATGTTCCCTCCCCATAGCTTCAGACGGCTGGCCTGATCATCGGCACCTGCAAGGCGGTCATTTGACTCAGAATCTTTGCCCAATTCGCGAAGAACGAGGCTGAAGGCATCTACAGCACAACGGCTTTTTGATTGCGATCGGAGACATAATGGATCACTGAGGGCTCGAGGCTAACCAGCACAAATCGGAATGTAACTGATTCGATTCTCTGGATGGCACGAGGTTGCGGGGATTGCATATGGTTGGAGCCTGGCCCCCACGCACTGCTATTTTAGAGCCTCGCGCAGATACTCTGGTCTGATCACATCATGATCGGCTTCATCATTCCTTTTGATACATCATTTGACTGCTTTACTTCGTCCCGCAGACGATGAGCGGTGTCGAAGTCGCTGGTGTAGTCCTCGGCGGATTTCCCATTCTCATCTCGGCGCTAGAGCACTGGCAGAGCGGCGCGAAGCTGCTTCAAGACTGGTGGCAATTCCGGCGCGAGTATCAGCGGTGCCTGCGGGATATTGGGTACCACGAGCTCGCTTTCCGACGGAATCTTGAAGAGTGCCTTTTGCCGCTGATTGCAGACGATGACGAGGTGAAGACGCTGCTTGCGGATCCCGCCGGGCCAGGCTGGAGTGTTCCTGAGCTAGAAGAGAAACTTGAGAAGCGGCTATCTAAGTCTGCGTATGAACAGTATAAGCAGACGATTGACGGTATGGTGTGAGTGATGAAAGAGCTGCAAGAGAGGGCAAGAAAAGTCCGGCCAGAGGACATGGCACCGTCAAATACGGCAACCATTTCAAAGGTAACGAAAACTTCCCAAATGATCGCGCTGACTCTGACAAGCCTAATGTAGGGCACCTCCGTGCTTTTGAATAAGGGGCGCAAGAAGGTTGAAGCCGAAACACCGCATAGGCTTTACCTTTGACAAGTCTACCCGAAAGGCACTCTTCGAGGAACTCGCGGAATACAACACACGTCTCCATGATCTTCTCGATACTAGTGACAGGATCTCAGCATCCCGAGCAACCGCTTATGCCGGCCGTGCTAAGGCGTCCTTGAATAAATCCGTACTGCAGTCTTGGAAATATGCCAACGGGATCTTCAATGTTATCAAGACTGCGTGGACATGTCACTGTCAACGGGTGCGCCACGTGGATTTACTACTTAGGCATCCGTCCGTAGCTGATTATAGCTTCCGAATGGTTTCTCTAATCGGGAATGACGATCCCATGCCGCAGCCGCAACCGTGGACTTGGAGAGAGACAGATATCAGTATGGTCTCTCAAGCAAAGCAGTCTCCAGTGGTTTCAATTCCTGTCTCGCAACTAGCGAGGACTCCTCGAAGCGCTATATCGATCCCATCAACTCCGCGGCCATCCATTGTTAGCCGTCAGAAAGGACACCCAGCCACGCAAATGCCGTAAGTGCAGCACTACACTACCCTACGCACATTTTGTCATAGCGCCAAATCGACTTCAGAAACTAAATTATAGAAAGGACTTTGAGCAAGAAGAACGCTCCCCCTCGCGGATAGCGCCTGTAGCAACAACATCACGTTAAAGTGCAACTGTTGCTTTCACCACCCAAAACAACACTATCGAGCCCAGTATCAGCAATCTTTGCGAGGAGCTAGGGAAGCCGAATGTGTCTAATATCGAACAACTAAAAGATGATGTCCCAGGTTGCAATTATACTGTGATTCCCATCGCCTCGAAAGAGGATATCCGAAAAACGATCTCTCTTGAACGTCTTTTGGCCAGACCACCCAGGATCGGATTGAAACGCAGCCAGCGGTTCTTCATCGCCTTCACCATCGCTTCATCCCACATTCAACTGCAGTCCACGCCATGGCTCGGCGGCCAATGGAGCAAAGCAGATATCTTATTCCCTTGCAACCCACAGGACTCTCACGGCATACTTGCCGACCAGCCGTTCCTCTCGTGTAATTTCGCCTCATCAACCGCCCAGCCCAGCGTATTCGGCGATACGACGTTTTCCACGCTAGGGATACTGCTTCTAGAGCTCTGTTTCGGCATGCCATTTGAGTCGACGGAATTCCGACAGCGCTCACTGCCTGCAAATGACCCCAACACTTTTTCAGATCTTGGCGCAGCAACGGAGTTGGCAGGTGAGGTTCTGCATGAAGTGGGACAGGAGTACGCAGATGCGGTGGCGTGGTGCCTAACGCGGTTCATGGTAGGGACGAAGAGGGAGTCGTGGAGGCACGAACTCTTGGTGAATGTGGTGGAGCCGTTGCAGAAGTGCCATCAGTCTTTGTTGTAATGTAGTTCGATTCTGTGACTAAATTGAGGCGGATCAATGATTATGAAATGAAATAGATTGCCCAGCTCTTACTACACATACTTGGATTCTACTCGATCTTTTCTATTTACCTAACAGATATACTTATCTTGCTCCGGCTGATTAACGGCCCATCATGGTCTACCACGACACTCCTACTTGTCTTGATTCAACTTGGGGTTTTGTCCGCAAGTGTTCCCTCGCTGATTTGTCTAAAGATCGATTCTGCTCCAACTCTAAAGAAGTTTGACTTAGAACGTTTGTTTTCCACCTGTTTCGGCCCTTGCTTTGAAGTGAGGACTTGAGGCCTAACAGACAAACGTGTGAAAAGTTGGAGAAAGAAGTCATTTGATTTACACACAGCGTCTGCCTCGGAACTTAAAATGTTTACAAAATGGACAAGGCTACGACATAGCGACCCCACAAGATCGAGCGAGGCTTGGGCGTGGGGCTGTCTAGCAAGGTGATTTTGCAGGATATTGGTCACAGGTGGCGGAGCGGGGCGCATACTGTGCCACCGAAAGAAGGGTAGAAATAGCAGCCTTTGCCACTACTCTAGGCTCTGTAGTCAAAGAATCTTTAGCATGGCTGAAACCGAAAAGAACCCTCGACAGGTCGACCCCAGGGGTCCCCGAATCTCCCCAGAAGGGTTCAAGTTAGTGTGGGGAGATTGCAACTCCAACGATCCTAGCGAGCTGGACTGTTTCTTGGAAACTTTGGATCCACGTAAGACAAATCTCCGAGATGGTCGTCGATTTGGATTCGAAGTTGCTATGCGCGGCGGCCATTACAAAATGCTAGAACACCTTCTAAACAACAAGAATGTCTCCATTGACAGCTCGATAGTGGGATCAGCTTTGAAAATAGGATCAATCCCACGTCTCAACTTTCTCCGGGAGAATGGATGGGAAGATACGAATATGGGGTTGAACCGGAGCCCTGGATGTACCTTAGTGTTGTACTTTCAAGGTCAAGCTCTCTTATTGTAAATATCTGTCCCAACCTGCGTTCGTTTAATTTGGTTGCATACCGTTTGTCCCCATCAAGTCACTGCATTCGTATTCCCTTCAAGTCGGTATACGACTAACAAGGGTCCCTCTGGCTTAGATCCGTCCCCGACAAGCCAGAGATAGTTTCATATTTTCTCTCTCATGGTGCAGACCCAAATCTTGGCCCTTTCAGCACAGTGGCAGTTGGGTTCTACGGTCGCGACAAATTAGTCCCTAACTCGGGCGCGATTCTTCAAGCGGCAATCTCGCGTGGGAACATCGAGAGTCCAGACAGTCCGATAGCTCATGGGGCTATCCTCGCAAACGCCAAATCCGTGCATACTGCCGTCAAGAGCGGGAGCGAGGACATGATGCTGTGTGTTTTTGAACGGGGGTTGTCGACGAAACGGATAATCTCTTCACAGTACGGGCCATGGTTATTGCGATATACCGTCAATGCGGGCGATCAGGGAAGGTAATACGGGCATGGTTCGGATTCTGCTTAAGAAGGGAGCTAGCATGATTGTGAGGGGCAGAAAAATGCTAGAAGTAGTGAAAGAGGGATGGGTGGATCAGGGTATTAGAATGATGGTTGAAAGTCATTGTACGAAGAGCGAGGCTGAACGTGCTCTCAAGTGAGCAGGCTCAGATACGAATATGAAAGATAGGGCTTTGTAATCATACGCTATGTCAATGCCGCTAGTACATGAGAGAACTGTGAAGAAGAAGGGGAAGAGGAGTGTTGTGGCTGATGAAAGAAACGACGGAGAAGAGGACGCGAAGATCAGTTGAATGCGCACGTAAATGTCACGTGTAAACTTGGTCGAAAAAATCGAGACCAAACAGGGTGAAGGCCCTTAATACGTTGTCTTGAGACTGGAGTACCTCAAAAATCTTTGAAACGCATGGATTCGTTTCGGTATTGGACATCTCGATGCATCGCGAATCGTTTTCAGGTTTTGAGGTCCTTTTCTGCTCTACAACCTCGGCAGCGTCCAGCAGAGGAAGCTAGTTTGGGAGGGTCGAAGGATATATATTGTTTCATCTCCTTCGCAGGAGTAGATAACACCATTTCGTTTTGTGCTTTCTCACGATCGTGAAACTAAACATACTCAGGTGACTTTAGTGCGTGTCCCAACAGAGCTAGCACCTACTCTTCTCGGCCTACGCCCGCCCCTGGCCGCCTCCAAATTCCACGGGCTACCAACCACCACCTTCGATCCAGAGACAAATCACCGAAGCAATGACCTTGCCCAGTCAAACCTCTCCGTCAATCATGTTGGAAACGCCGTCCGTGTGTCCTCTAGATGGTGTCGCGTGTTTCATCAAATCTTGTATAAGGAGTCCTCCGGTCCTTAATTGAAGCCTGGCGCATCCGCAGCTCCTCTCACTCGTTTCTATACACACTATTTCTAACGCTGTCTCCATGCGTTTGCTTGTGCCTGCCTTCCTGCCCCTCGCCGCGCTCGCTGCACGGATCGTGCAATCGAATGACGATGGATGGGCCGAAATCAACATTAGAGTTCTCTACAAAGTCCTCGCTGACGCGGGTAACGATGTGATTCTTTCTGGGCCCGCGGAGAATCAATCGGGCAGAGGTTCGTGGCGTTTTCTTTTGATCCCTTGAATTCGTAGAAGAAGACGATACTATAATGGTAACCTCCGCATTTCGAATCTATCGCATGACTGGTTCTATTTCTGTATTCACGAGTCCTAGGATCTTTAGACTCACCACCAACCAACCGAACTTCACCATGCGAATTCAACAGCTGTCAAGCCGGCAGCGCAACTGGCTTCAATGCAACGAATCCGCGGCTGAACTGGGTCAACTCGTTCCCGGTTACTTCAATAAAGCACGGCATCGATAACGTCGCACCTCAATTCTTCGGTGATTCGAAGCCTGATATTGCTGTCACTGGCCCGAACGTGGGGTCCAATCTAGGCTTGATCAACTCGTTCTCTGGAACAGTGGGAGCAGCTTCATACGCTGCTGGCACTGCATCGATTCCGGCTATCGCGTTCTCAGGAAAATCTGGAGAACAGACTGGCTTCGATCAGCCAACTCCGCTTTACACCAGCGTGTACGCCGACCTGGCCCTCAATTTGACTTCAACCATGATCGCATCGGGTACTCCTCTGCTGCCGACCGGGGTTTTCTTGAATGTCAACTTCCCCGATGTCTCGGCGAGCACTTGTAGCAGTGCTAGCGATTTCAAGTTTGTTTTCAGTCGAATCCACACGAATATCCTGCCCGCCTCAATAGACCCCGACGTCTACACGTGCGGAAACGGCAAAAGACTTCCCACTGAAAGCAAGGTGGTAGGGACAGCGGGCTGCTACGTGAGTGTAAGCCCTGGGAAGGCATCAGACAAGTCCACTGTCGATGCTGCGACTCAGGCGATCGTGCTAGACAAGCTCAAGGGGATTCTATCTTGTCTACCAGTTTGAAGTTGGTTACTCTGGTAGCAACTTACGTCAATACTAAGCCACTTCGACCGACTTTCTTCTTCAATGCGGCACGTTCACTTATTTTATTAATATCTTAGAGGCTTCTCCGAGTAAGGATAGGGAAGCACAGTCCGTAGATCTAACATCGTAGCATCGTTGAAACGGCTAGCTTTCAAGCGTAGTGCCTCCACACGAAGAGTCTGTCGAGCTAGAAATGTAGGACCATTCACGCCTACCATAACGCACCAAGACAAACTAAAACTGATTATCCCCGGCTTCATCCACTCTCGACTTGATCAAAATTTTCATATCCGGATTTGGTATGAGATCAGCACCCATCTCCAAAGGCTTTGGCCTCTCCGTCTTCCCATCCGGAAACTTCAAGTCGTACTTTGTCAACAAGTGCACCAGGATAATCTTGATTTCATTGGAAGCGAAGAACCGACCCGGACACGCGTGCTTTCCGTGCCCAAAGACTATGCTGTCGTTGCTGGTGCTAACGAATTGATACTTGGTCGCGCCGCCGGGCTCCTGGCTGAGATTCAAGAAGCGATAGCCATCGAATTTGAAGGGATCGGGGAAGACGGATGGGTCGACCGAGCGCAGCGTAGGAACACCGAGGGTGGCGCCTTTGGGAATGACGGTGCCATCGGAGAGGGTTACTGTCTCTTCGGCAACGCGGTTCACCGGTACTTTTCAGGCGTTAGAATACGACACTGATGGAGGAAAAGCAGAGTACTCACACATCGTCACGGGCGTGAGCCGCGAGCTCTCTTTCATGAAACTATCCATTAGTCTCAACTCCCTCAACGTCGATTTATCCCACTTCGGTGCCTGCTGGTACACGTCGTGAATCTCCTTGCGCAACAGCTCAATATACTCAGGATGGGCGATCAGGTCATAGAGGATATTGACAAACGTTACAGACGTCGTATGCACAGCTCCGAGAGTATAGTTCAGCTGCGCGTACACAGGGTCGACGTACACACCTTTGGCGTCTGCGACAGACTGTACCCACTGGATTGCATCTACGGGTTTTGTGACCGGCTTTCCCGCTTCCCGTTCTTTTTCCTGTGCCCTTCGCCTCGCCGCAAGCTCAGGTTCCAGAAGGCGACGAGCTGTTCGAATGGATGCGCGCAGTTTCCTCGTTTGGGGCAGGAACCAGTGTGCGATCGGGCGGAGAATAGGTGGACAAAGGCGCAGGACAAACGCAGCTGTGAAGAAGTCGACGGTATAGTCGACGGCAATGTTGAGCCATTCTTCGTTCCTGGCAAGGGCGGGGATGAAGATGCGAGTGGAAAGACGGGCGATGATCTTCAACGCAGCTTGGTCGAACTGGTATTCGCGCCACTCTGTACGTTGTCAGATTTGCGTGGTTGGTATCTGAAATGGGAGTAATACCTGTGCTGTATGGGAACAGCTCTTCCAGGGCCAAAGAAGCCTCGGGAGATAGTATCTCTGTCACATGAGCTACAAGCATGTAAGTATCCTTCACCCTCAATTACATTGGCCGCTCATGCGACAGAGAACAATCGAAACTTACTAAGAGACTGTGTAAGGCCGATCCTCACCGAATCCGTAAAAACGTTGCTATCTACCGCAGGTTTGAATCCCTGAAAGCCTGGATAAGTGGTAAAGAAATGCTGCTTGAGCCACGCTTTGAACGTCATTCGATCATCGTTCCTGATCTCATCCATCATCACCGGAGGCAAGAGGATTAAAGGCCCGCAATTTGCCATTACTTGAAATGGGGATTTTGTCTAGTTTCTGTCAGCATTTCCTCAGGGAACTCAATCTAATCCTAGGGTTCCTTTACGCTCCGCAGCCCCTCATTCATTATGTCTTTCGCCGATGACAGCCACCGCTGTTTTGCCTTCCATGAATTCTCATCCTTCCCTATCCTCACAAAGCCGGCGTATGGGCGGTCGTTGAGATAGACAGACACGGTCAAGATGACCACGAAGGCTGTCACAGCGATGGCAGCCTTAATACCAACGCCAGTTTCGACGAACATGGCTGGAATGGATGCAGGAGGAAGAGATGGCATGGCGAAGGGTTGAGGTGACGTTCGAGTCCGCGCTATGGGCTTGCTTTTGAAGAATCACATACGCTTGATGAGTATTTTGCGATTTGTGCACATTGAATTGAAGTATAATGTATATCAGTGAAGGTATCGGAAGCTCTAGTATCCGCTCCGAAGAAGCGGAAGCGAGGGAGCATAACCGCCCTAGACGGCAATTCCCCCAGATTCACCCCGCCTTTTCTGGTCCCCCGCAAAAGTCCGGCGCTCGAACTTGTCTTAGTGCAGATCTTAGTAGGATTAATGCCTCATGGAACATCTTGTACATCAGGCCATCGGCTTCTTTCCCCAAGCGTACCTGATGGCATACTCAGCGCCACTTTCCGCCATTTCCGCAAGGATCCTTGGGAATCAGAGTTGCCAACTCTTTCGCAGTGAACGACTTGACCCCTCCAGGAATCACCTTGGTATACCCGAGGATTCCCTTCAGAGCCACGGACATAGAGCTGCACCTATTCTCCTACGATGGAGATTCAGGCTGTCTGCATCCATACGGAATCGGGACAACTTTCGTCTTCACGTTCTCGAACCCTGCTTCCTTGAGCCACTGCGGCAATTCATGGGCATAGGTCATCGGAACCCGCACGAAGCCGAATAACTCCCCCATGAGCGAGAGAAACCGATACATTACTGGCCCGTCGTTGGGGCTAGTCGCTTCTCGGCTTCCACGAGTTCGGTCCAACTGCCTGGTTTTGCGAGTCTGAGGGTCTGCTGAACATTCGCTTGGGTGTTCGGATCAGCACCCGCCAGCATGAGGCGTTGGTGAATCAAGTCGAATGTGTCTAGGAGATCTGGTGGCCAGGGCCCAAGGATGTTTTATTTCTGGGATTGCATTTCCTTCACGGGTTTCGAAGGGAAATGAGCACCTAGAAGATCGACGGCGAGCATCCAGTCGGTTTTGCGAGTACCCTCGGGGATGAAAAGGCTGTATAGATCGAGGAGAAATGTGGCATCGTATGTGCCAATATCGTGGATGTGAAGATTGGGTTTCGTCAGGTCGATAGGAGCTAGTAAGATTTTATCACCGTTCGCAGCTCTGAACATATCCTGCTGATCCTGGAGACGTTGGCCTTCTGCGTCTGACTCCAAGAGATACTCGCGTGCCTTAAATACTTCCTGCGTTGCCATCTTGATTTTCAATATAAGGCTGCTAGTAAATGTTAATATGCGCTTGTAGGCTGAGAATTTGGATATAGGTCAATATTTAAGACGCTTGGAAGAGGCGCGGAGACATACCGGATACTTTTGCAGAGACGAGTAAGATTATAAGGCCATTCAGGCCTCCACGCCTCACATCAGTGCAAATTATGATGATGGATTAGGTTCATCAGCCGCACCTGAAAACTCCGATCATCGCGAAGCAGCTGTCAGTACGTCAATTCAGTTGATCATTGGCCAACTTCATGCGTTTTCGACATCTTGAATCAGACAGACTATCTCGCGTTGGTCCTTTTGTACTTTTGACACGTGCACCGCAGTGCTGAATTTCGCGCAATCCATATACAAGAAGCTCTACGCGTTGCCACGCATCAAAGACTCCACGAGCCTACCAAGGCTGCACCCCATCTCTGAGTATAACCTTCCCCACATCGGCATCTCTTGCTCCCTCCAAAACGCTTCTTATGAAATCACCCGCTACCGCCGGATCGCCAGCGCCATCTCCTTATTCGCTTCTTGGCTCCCTCCAAGCCCTGTGGCGAGATAACCGGGAGAGATACACCAAACCTTGACTCCGTCCTCCTTCAGCACTCGGCACCAATCCCGCATTCATGCCAGTCTTGCTGCTCCGGTACGCCGGAATACTGAACGCGTCCTTCGGCCAGCCTTTTGCGGGAGACTTGTTGACAAAGACGGCGAGGTCTTCCGTCCCTGCTAGGGTTGACGTACCGCTAGTTATGAACAAGAGACGGGAATTCGAGGACTGGATAAGAAGCGGCATCAACGTAGACGGGATGATGTGTGTTCCGACAGTATTGACATTCCAGGAAGCATTCCACATTTGCCGCACGGTCATGTGACTAGCCTTGACTTGCTGGTCGAGCTGGGCGCCTGGGAAGTTAGCTGAGTGCTAGGTGTCGTCGAGTCAGGCGGATATGCGTACCTGGATTGTTGATGAGGGTATCGAGCCGGCCATACTTGGATTGTACCTCGTTGAAGGCTGCAGTGATGGAATCATCATCCTCGATGTCAACTTGAATAGGGAACAGCTTGCTGCGAGAGGACGGGAATTCCTTGACAGCGGCATCGATTGCTTGATCAGCTTTGGCGAGGGCTCTGTCACCGAGGAGAATAGTGTAGCCTTCATCGGACGAGCAGAGGCACGGATAATCTGGAATCCAAGACCGGTGTTGGCGCCGGTGACCAAGATGACGTCTTGTGAAGGCATTGTCGGAATATTTCAAAGTAGAACAGTTCGAAATGAGCTGAGAAGAAGAATGATCGATCTCCGAGCTTCCATCTTTTATTGAAATGGTCGCCCGAATCGCCCGCATCACGTGACTTCTCACCCGACTCACCCGCCAAACAAAAATGGATCCGCGTCGTCATATGGTAGATCCAGAAACTGCTCCAAGTACGCCCATTCGTTGTCAATCGTCATTGGGTATTCATTCAGGGACCGGTCCTCTTCGTCATTGTTTAGTCGAGAGACGGTAGCTTCAAGTAGTCGCCGCACTCTCCGCGTATCTTTGTTTCTCGCTTCTTTGTCTTCACACAGCTTCCCCGCCTCCTCCAGCAGTCCCAGCGATGCCACTCGATCGATCGCAACCGCACTCGTATCTGCGGGTAGCTGTTTTGTTGAGCATAGAACAAGACACAAAGCCATGCATCCGAGTAAGAAATCATACCATGTAATACTGCCCATGAACCACTTCTCCGTTTCTAGCTGTCCACCTGGTTCGAACTCGCTACGAATGTCGAGAAACTGCCGCACGAGGTCGGTTGCTGCGGTTGCGCACCTCTGGATACTCTCTTCTCGGCCGCAGGTAACATATTTCCGGTGTAAGACGCAGAGACATTCAAGGTATATGAATTCGACGCACAATCGCGTCACAATGATAGAGGGGCTATCCGCGACTGATTCTTCCATGGTGCGGGACTGGAAAACGTCTAGCAGACTGGCGTGCGTGAAACGGAGCTCCGCGTCACTGGCGTCGACTTCGCTCTCCAGATATTCCCGCGCGGACTGGGCCAGACGGACAATCTTCTCCAAAACTGCCATGAGCTTGTGCTTAGCAATGTAGAATGGCAGCTCTGTGTGCTCCGTGACCGGACGTGCAGGCGGCAGTTCTGCGATACCTTCATCAAAATCCGAATCGAGGAGGTTGGTGGGCGGTAGCGTGTCCCAGGTGGGATATTGGACTGTGCTAGGCAGGCCAAGCTGGAAGGAGACGAGCAGGTCTAACTGCATCGCGAGAGACCAAGTGCGACGGCGCATTTCGACTGCGAAAAGTGAGATGCCGAGGAGCTTAGACCCATCGCGGTGATAACCCTGCGCCGTCGCAAGGCGGATGAGCGTTCCGAAAAGGACAGCAAGATCTGGAGACATGTCCATGCTCGTGATGCACTTCCGCTAAGCGTAGAGTAGAAGGGTTTCGACGGCTAGTTCTATTGGCTGAGACCGGAAGTACGACTCAGCAGTAAGGCGATGTGCGGCTGCAACTGCGAAGCGGCTGTGGCCCATGACTGCGCTTGGAGACAACGTCCTCGTGGCAATATCAAGTACGGAGAATAGGATTGATGTCCAGAGTGGCGAGGTGGAAGCTGGATCGTCTCAGAACTTGTGGTATATCCTGCTGAAGTGCCCCGAATGGATAAAGGGCGCCACGATAGCCTTGGATGTGAAGTACGACGAGACTAATCTGTTAACGTCTTTTCGGAGTGGCAAGAATCGGGAGAGAATTTCGCGATACGGCAATGGTCTGCCTTCGCCGAACAGCAGACTAGTTCCGTCGTCGTCGTCGATGTCGCTGGAGAGATTGGACTCCCCTTCTTCTTTTTCTTCAGATCCTAGCTCTACTTGACACAGCAGTCCCATCGCCGTTAACGCTCCTTAACTGTGACAGCTGCTGGGCCAAGCGTTCCAGATACTCCGCCCGCGCCTCCGCCCGTAGCCTCAACTCGCGCTCTTTCTGGATCCTGGTAACGTTGCGATCGTACACGCATGTTGTGGCAGCATTCCTGCGCGTGCACGCGCTATAGGTCGACTGTCTATCGCATTTAAGTTTGCGATTGCGGCACTCGATGCACGCGCGAAGCTTACGGTTGCCTGTAATAAGATCAAATAAGCCCGAAAACAGTATTCTATTAAGGTGGGGTATTTATGGGGGTCAGGGCTAGTTTTGGGAAGGAGTCAGTTTCGGGAGGGGTCCAGTTCTGGGAGGGGTAAGATTTTGGAGTGGGTTAGAGAGGAGAGCTATCCTTAGTGGAAGGGGGACATGGCTCAGGCGATTCACACAGTTTGGAATAGAAAGTAGAAGGAAACAAGCGTGTATTTCGTGGACTTAGAGTCTATAAAATACCAGGCCGTATCCCATTAGTTCCCATAACGAGGATGTCAAATAGCCAACTTTATTGGCTCGGTTAGTTATCTAAGAGACTGCGTTGGCTGCTAGCACTGGCGATTGGTCCATGGCACTGCTATTTCCAGAAATCCCCGGTCCCTTTAGCTTGAGGTTGGACGAGACGCAAACACTAGGAATTGTAAACGGCATTGTTAACCCTAGGCCGCTTCATCTCACCTTCTGATTTAAGCGCATTTCTCCTGATATTCCATGTATTTCAAGACCGTCCAGTCGTAGACATTGTCGTATTCGAAACCATGACGCTGGAAGAGACTGCGGAACAAACGGAGCAGATACTTATAGTCAACGCCCCGATCATTGTCGCAAGATGTCTTGATATGGTTGAAATATTTCACGAACTCATCCGGCAAGCTGTCGCACAGCTCTTCAGGTGACGTTGACTGTTTTTTCCGTAGAATGGCCAGTTCTTTTTCCGACCCGCTTTTGGCTGGGAGCCCCATCCAAGGAAGGTTGCCTTGCTGAAGGAAGTACACGAAAACGTATCCTAATGCTTCCATGTCATCTGCGGGCGATTGCTCTATATAAAATATCAGCCCTACGATATTTGTATACCTCAGTATCGTGCAAATGGTTACTCACCTACGCCGCGGTGAGCATTAATGCTTGCATACCGCGCAGTACCAAGAACAGGACCTTCCAGCTGCCGGCCGTGCCGTGCGGCTGCTACGTCCGTAGACTCCTTCGCGAGACCCATATCGGTGATGTAAACGATGTTTCCTCGTGTTCCGTGGCCCATAAGTAGATTCGCGGGCTTAATATCTCGATGGAGGAATCCCTTGGAATGGATGTACTGAAACCGGCGGATGAGCTGGTCTGCCAGTAACAGCACCGTCCGGAGCGAGAATCGTCGACCGCAATAGTTGAACAAGTCTTCTAGGTTCGGTCCGAGAAGTTCGAACACCATGACGTTGTAGTCGCATTCATCGCCGTCCCAATATAATTTTGGGATTCCGGCACTGCCTGCGAGTTTTTTATAGATATCGATTTCATTTTGGAGGCTCTCGGAGTGTTCGCTTCGAATGTGTTCGAGCTTGAGCGCTACACGTTGGGAGGTCATGACGTCGATACCTGGATAACTGTTAGATATTCAAAAATGAGGTTTAAAGGAAGATACCTTCGTAAACGACACCGAAGCCCCCGCTTCCTAGTCGTCTTAAGAGGCGGTACTGGTTGTTGACGCGAATATCCTGTGAATGCAGTGAGCTACGCTGTGGAATAAAGGTAGGGTCATCAGCTCAGAGGATGACGGACCAACTGTTTCTCTGACTTGGACATTGCTGTAATTATCAACAGCTACAGCGCTGGACTAAAGCAGAATAAAGGAGTATAAACTCAAGCTTGGTGCAACAATCGAGGGGTGATGTAGACTCGCGCCTCTGGGCGCAGGGTGCGATGTTCAAATGTCGGTTGGGCGTGAGCCCTAGTGCGGGGGGGCAGGTCACGTGTACGGTTTTAAATACCTTGTTGTTAGACCTACAAAGGGTGCGGCCGAATGCAGATTCCGCACTAGCAAGGGGGGGAACATCAAAATCATCGATTCTGCAATCTTTTGAAGCAGGTCTCTTTCCCAACAAATAAAAAAATCACTTTTTTAGAGGCTGAACATTCAAGCCGTCGTGTTAGTATAACATTCCAAAGATAAGTAGAATTTATTAGAAGCTGTTAATGATTTTATGAAATACAATCTCTTTCTTATCTAAGGTTCCCGAATTGGCAGCAAATCTAACAATAAAACCACTGCTCTTCGGCTGCTCTTCTATACACACAGCTCCAACCCGAGATGGCTTGTCGGTTGTAGCTAGAATTAATGCGAAAGCTTCTGCTAGTCTTCTCTCTTCGTTGAAAGTCAACACTCTTCTGCTTCCGGCATCCTCTTTTCTCGGCCTGTGGTTTGGCGGTAGTAAATCAACAACAGGGTCTGACAGAGTTCGTCCCTGGTTTGCAAATTGGCTAAGAAATGCAACATTTTCCGCCAAGGGTCCCTTTGGATCTGCCATGCAGCTAAGCCTGTCGAAGCATCCCTCCATTCTGCTGTCAACGGGTCGGCTTGGTCCTCCTCCCGTGGTGTGTGCAGCCCTCGGTGTAAATCAGGTTCGAATCTGGAACGCTAGAAGCATTTTTACACGTGGTCGTTCGTACGCGCTTCAAGGCAGGAAGACGAGGGTTATCGGTCGGTGATAGACCGTTCGGCGGCAGACTTAGCCGGAGCGTGTCCGCTTCGAAGCGCGAGCGACGGGACGGAGGGAGGACGAGGGGCAGGGCTTGGGGAGGTAGTCCGCGCGTATGTTGGGCAGGGAGGGTTTGCCGAATACGGAGTCTAATCGGGTGTCGGCGAGGATTTTCAATTGCTTGCTTTCCTGAAGCCGCGCCTGAGAGCGTGCGTCGGTCGGCAAGCCTTGGCATTGACTGCCGCCTGTCGGTCAACCATCATGCCTCCACACGTCTTCCGCCCTATCTAGCCACCTGCTCAGCCTTTCCGCCTTCCCCAACGCTATGAATCCCGTCCCATCCTCTATTCCTTGAGCACCATGTTTTGGTACGCCTGAATGCGCTTTGGAGGAATTCTTTCCAAGCTAACATGTCAAAGTTTAATGAACCCTCCTATTGAAAATTCAATTGTTCACACAGGACAAGGCCGCTGGCTACTGGGCTCTTCAGTAGTTTGTGAGACTGCAATACAGGTGCCCAAGGACGCGTTAAAGAGCTGGAAAGACGACAATGGAGTTATTCATTGCCTGCGAGAGGTCTTTGGAGATGAGGACGCTTCCATCGCATCAAGAACATGTGGGAGCTCCGAGAGCGGTCGTATTCATCACGCAGGCACCTCTGCAGCGGTTTGGAGCCTCGGAGGTGCTTTCATCAAAGTCAAAGCATGGCGACACGGCATGCAACTCGAGAGCGACACCATTCGCTATGTCAATCGCGTCTCTTCCGTCCCTACACCCGAAGTTGTCTACTCCTGGGTAGATACTGACTGGAACCGCTCATTTCTTGTCCTCAAGCCCTTGAAAGGACGGACACTACTTCAAGCATGGGAAACACTATCTATTGATCGACGTATGGAACTTGCAAGCACGGTTGCACGATTCTGCAAGACCCTGGCTCTCTCAACTTCGAAAATGCTAGAGACAGCCAATGGAAAGGGCATCATTGAACCATTTCTAACCGCCCAGCCTCCAAACTCAGAGCCTTCGTGGAAACCGCAGTTTTTGGGTCCATATTCCACATATCAACTCCAGTCTTACCTCTCGGATCCTTCAGTCACCGGGGACACAGAGTTATTCTACTTCTATCACGCTGACCTTGGACCGACAAATATCATAGTAACAGAGGATGGAAGTATTGTTGGGATTGTTGATTGGGAGTCTGCTGCGTTCTACCCTATGTTTTGGCTAGGTACAAAGCCACTTGTCTCTGCGGGCTTCTTTCTACATAGTGGTGCAGAGAGACGGGCGTGGGCAATTCTTTTGGCAAGTTCGCTCGAGGAAGAAGGGTTTGCATCGGATATGGTACGATATTTGGCATGGAAAAAGGCGGTCAATAACCGTCTCGATTGACGGCTACGTTCTTTGTCTATAACCCCTTCTTCCAAGCGGGGCGCATTCAAACCTGAAGTACCAAATATTAGTGACGCCCATGTCCCAAACTCCAAACTCGTGGCGCTCACGATTTTTGGGTTATTGAGTACCCCCAGTGAGTAGTTCCCCACATTTCTCGCACTTTTCTGCCCCGGATATGTTGCTGAACTGGCATTTCGAGCAAGTTTCGTAATTGATGGGCTCACCACCAGCACTTGCAGCCATGTTAAGGGAACCTCGGAGTGTATTAGTAGACAAAACGAATGTGATATAAGCGATGTACTTACATGGTTGGTCAATAGATTTCTACTTTCAGAATGCTTTAGATTATTTCAAAGTGCTTTAGGGAGGAAGAATATTTGCTTTAAAAGAGGAGCTTGGAAGGCGTTCTCTCCTGTATTTATATTCGTCGCACCGCTTCCTTACTTCTTATTCTCGCACGACCAACCGTTGTTTTGCAAGGCAGCCTATCACGTCGTAAGAGGGTCCACCTGAAAGCGAATAAGGCAGAGACTCAGCAAGGCAACAGAGCGTCAGCTGTAGCAAGGATCCTAGAGCCTGTCCAAGATGCATACTTAAGCGGTTTTCTATCAGGACGCAGACGCTTCGATTATGCGGACGGGATCAAAAACAGACATAGCGTAGTTCGGTGCAGTAGCGACGCAACACAACACTAAATGCAGAAGTCGTCATAGCAGTAGCCTAACGTCGGCAGTCTCTGACCCCTAGTTAACGACGCGAAGGTTGCCGTAGGCTGTAGGCGGACTCCCGCACTTGTAATAATTGGATATCGACCACGTGTGGAATCCTATATTCATAACGGCAGAGGATTTTGTTAAATACTTGTTCATTTTGTTCAACTTTCAAATTCTTAGGGTAGTAATTCACTCGGTTATCACAGCGCTCTTCGCTTTGGGCGGGCGTCGCTTTGGGCGGAGATCACCATAGGTTCTATTTGTTGCATTCAAAATAGCGTTCAAAGCTTGGCGTTTTTCCCTGCACTACACCACCTAAATGTCACGATAGCGCTACACGCAAGAGGTCGAGGGCTCAAAGAGGAGCGTTGATTAGGTGCTATGTACAATGCTACGTGGAGAATCAAGACGTTGTGTAAGGAACAGGAAGACGGGAGACGGGCCACCGGATATAAGGGCGTGGCCGAGCGCGTGGCGTACGGCCTCTATGCCGTTTCGGCGCGTGGCACGCGTGTACGCGAGGTCCTTACCAGATCAGGTGATAGGAAAAGGGGGCAGCCGGTAGGTGGCTGGAGCGGGACAGGATAGGAAGCGGAAGCGAGACGGGAGCGGAGCAGGGCAGGCAGGGCAGGAGGCCGGCTAACGGTAGTAGGCCGGTGCAGATTGCTGGAGTTGTAGCAATCTGCGGCAGAATTTCGGTAGGTAGGGTGTTGCGGTTGATACTATAACACTAAATTTGTATAAGCGCGCGTGGAATCGCACCTAGAAATCTACCTATTTTCAACGCCTTATTAATATACCTAACTTAATAATTAGTAAGGCTTTTTACGTATATATAGAGCTTATATATTAATAATTTCTAGTATTTTAGTGCCGCTATATAGAAGTAGTTAGTATATAGCCTTTATATAATAGGTTGTTTTTTCTATACTTTTTAAATATTATATACTAAAGTAAGGTATAGGTTAAGTTATTATTAGGGTGTAATAGTCTTTAAAAGGTAAAGTAAAATTAATTTTAGGTATAAAATAGGGTTATTACTTCTAATAAGTAGTATTAAAGTTTTAAGTTAAATATAAGGTTTCTATTTATATAAAAAAGCGTTTTTATATATAAAAGCTTTATTCTAAAAAACCTATACTTATTTCTAGATTATTCCTATTTACTAGTAGTTTATAGAAAAATCTAGAATACTATTATAGTAGCCTTTAAAGTAATACTTTATAAGTAAAGCTATTTTAGTAATATTAGTTATAAGCCCCGCTAGTATAGTATAGACCGGATTAGTCTAGATTAGCTAGTATTTAAAAGTTTTAGGCAACTATAGAATAAGGGCGCCTCCCCGCCCCTATAAAAGGGGTAAGCAGTTTATTTTTTCTTAAAAAGTAGAACTTCTACTAACTATTATATTAGACGGCTCTATTCTATTACTATATATTATTATTTAATAAATAAACCTTTACTTTAAAATACTTAAAAGCTATTTAGTATAGTATAAAAAAAGGAAGTTGCTACTAACTTTTACTAATTCTGCTTAGAAATAGCTAATTTAGCAGAAAATAACTAGAATAATACTAATCTTACCGGTAGTAAAAAAAATAGAAGTATAATCTAAAAATAGTAACTTAAAAAAGGCGAATAAAACTTATTTATAGAAGCTATTTCTAAAACCTAACTACTAAATATACTATTTACTAAATAGCTAGAAGCTAAAATTACTAATAATACTATACTTTTTTAATAAAAAAAGCTTATTAACTAAATTAAAAAATAAGAAGCTATTTTAACTAGAGCTAAACACCTAGCTAATAGTAATATTAAGGGTACTTAAGGCTTTTTATAGATAATTTAGGGCGATTTAATTAAAACCCTACTAATATACTTAGCAGCACCTACTATTCTAAACTATAGTAAATACTTCCTAGGCCTACTAAAATAAAAGCTACCTCTAACTTTTTTAAAAAAAAAATTGCCGTAAATATACTAATTAGGCCCGCGGCTGCAAAAACTACTTTTTTAACCTGTATTTTACCGATAATAAGTATAATAAGGTCTAATTTAGTTAATAATATATTGGATTAGACTAATAAAATTAGTAAAACTACTATATTTACTACTATAACTAGAAAAATATTACCTAGTAGGTTATAACAAGTTATTTTTTCTATACCTTCTAAGTATTATATACTAAGACAAGGTATAGGTAAGTTATTATTAGGGTGTAATAGTTTTTAAAAGGTAAAGTAAAATTAATCTTAGGTATAAAACGGGGTAATTACTTTTAATAGGTAGTATTAAAGTCTTAAGTTAAATATAAGGTTTCTATTTATATAAAAAAGCGTTTTTATATATAAAAGCTCTATTCTAGAAAACCCTATACTTATTTTTAGATTGCTATAATTTAGTAATAATTCTATACTTATTTCTAGATTACTATAATTTAGTAATAATCCTATACTTATTCCTAAATTACTATAATTTAGTAAAGAATTAGACGGCAAGCCTGTATCAGGAAATGGATGCACCCCGTTCAGGCAATCCGCGCCTCGCTTACGGCTTTCGCGCTACGCTCGACCCGGTAATCGGCCTCAACGTCCGCCATAAAAGGCCTCCCTTCGCCGTCATTTTCCCTCCCTCTCTCCTCATCCTTTTCTCTCTACTCTCATCCCTCCACCCGCAACCCCTTTGCATAGCCCTCGTCTTCGCCAACCGCCCCATGCGCACATGCAAGCCCTACCCACTTCCCTCAATTTCCATGTCTCAGACTGATGATAGTGCAGCGCCTTTTGGGCACTCCGACAGCAAATTCCTGCCTCACTCTCATCGTCACGATGGACGAAACGTCCGTTTCCTGCTCTCACCGCTAGAATCGCAATGGCCATTCATCCCTCCTTGCTGCCATTCGATTCCAGGAGACTCCCATTCAGGCGTGCGGGCATTCACGATGCTCGAAGGCGTTCCCCCCGGTCCCATACTCAGGCCATTCTTTCGCCTCCGGAGAGCCAGTATCCGTAGCCGCCAATCCACGGGAACCGCCACGTCAGCACGGCTGCCTGCTTCGTTTCCTCGACAGTTTTCATCCCAAAGCGACACCGCCCCCAGTCCCCTCGGCGCTGCAAGCTCCCTCGTATCTCTAAATAGCTCCTGGCCATCTTCAGCCGGCGGCCGTGCTTGATCATGCAGACGTTACTCGTGCTGGATGGGCTGTATGCTATTGGCCCCGGAGTCGCCGTGTTTCGCAGCTTATCAGTTCTAGCTGCTCCACAGGCCGTAATTAGTCCGCTGCTAGACCTCCGCTGTACGGGGCTGTGCTAGGCACCACTGAATTGGCGGATGGACGTCACTCCTACTCCTCCGGATCAATGTGGCACACGCATGTGCATGGTCCACGTAGGCTTGCAAACGTCGGTGAGCGCGACGGATCACCGGCACGGCTGCGGAGGCTCTCTGCTCTCACCGGAGCATTGCCCACCTCAGAGGCAGGCCTAGCAAGCATCACGCGACATCCTACGTATCCCCTCATGCAGTCCTCTAATGCGTTTCGCTCACCATGCATGCTACAGCCTCGGTAGCACTGAGAACGACATGGCTAAGGATATTCCCCCTGGACCAGGCGGAGTTGGGTGGTCTTACGACGTGCGTCCCCTTCGCCTCACTCCGCCTTTGCCATTCGCTCTCCGTTTCATTCTGGTCGATCTCGGCTCGGCGTCACCGCAGGTCGGCAATCATGCAAAATTGCAGCTTGTAGAGAGCCGGGAGGGAACAGTCCACAAGCATTCAAACGGCTGCAGGCTCGCAGAGTACAGAGGGCAGCAGTGATTTGAACGGGACAGAACGCTGGCGTTGCTTAGGCGGCATTGGCTCCAACAGCAACAGTTCACGGCACAGCCCTCACATGCCAACGCTACTAAGGATGGTCTCGCCAGGATCAAACAGGAACCCCGAAGGCGCACTAGGCTCGCTCCGCATCCTGCTAGCATCCTGCTGATTAGAGGTGCTCGTCCGCTTCCGCCAACACGCTTTATAACCAAGTGATCTGTGGCCGGGAGTTCCAGTAGGCTGCAGTCCCCCACTAACATTGCATGAAAGACGCCTTCGGACCCTAGGCGCATGCACTCGCTAGATGCAACACCGCAACTCGGTGACAGTCCTGCCGGGGAGTATCATCTTTTAGGGCGCATGAAGTGTACATGGCTCATCCACTCGCATCCACCATACACAGCAAGGAACGGTTGTTAAGCTCAGGGGGCGTCGACGGCAGAGCGCACGTACATGCACTAAGACGGTGGTCATCACCATCAAGGCCCATCGGCCTATCCCCACAACCAGTCACGGCATGGCACTATCGGACACGGCACGAATTGTCTGATGCGGCGCAGTGGGTCGTTGCAGGTCACTCGCTTACCGCCACTAACAGATACGGCACAGGACCGCATGCATGAAGTCACGGAGCGTCTGATGACCACCTGTTTCCGTATATCGGACATGGCACGGATCATCCGATACAGCACAGAGGGTCATGGCACTCCCTGAGGTTGTTGGTCTAGCCCTTACTTAACAAATGATGGTAGAGGATTTGCTTCGCCGCCAACCTCCTGATGAGGGGTTTGGCGTCACGATGGTATCAGCTGGAATGCGGCAGGCCGGATAGACGGATACGACTCGACCACAGCTTCCTAGGGGCGCTGATCAGGCGGCAAGCTGAAGCCCTTGTAATTCATGCATTGCGGGTGGCAAAGGCACATGCGTCACGTACGTTGATTTGCTGAGAATCTTGGGGTGTCTTTCGAAGGCTGATGCTGCACAAGAAGGCTGTGCGCGAAAAGAGGACCTTATAAGCCCTGACATTTCCCTTGCCCAAGGCCTACCAGAAAGGCACGAGGCAACAGCGACTCTAACGGCGCAACGACTGCAGAATGGCGACAGCGACAATGGCAACTTCTCAACGCGTTTTCCGTATACCTCCAGAGATTTCACTTGATAAAATCAATTCCTACACCTGCCCTCCCAAAATGCCGGCTGCGATTCTGCATGATTGCCGATCTGCGGTGACACCGAGCAGCAAATCTGAGAGGGAGAGGTCTCTTTCGCCGACAATGCGGGCAGCAAAGGCGCAAGGGTTGCTTTACTCAGGCACGTTACAATATCCCAATCTTGAATTCATACACTAACAGAGAACCTGCAGATGGGGAGGACGAAGAACATCTGGTAGTTATCGAGGATGATGGGTCCGATTCGGACTCGGAAGCTGAGGGAAGCGAAGCTGATAGGGAAGGTCCTGAGCTAGGTACGCACTTCGCCTTTAATGCGATGGTCTCGTCTAACGACCAACAGGTGATGGAGACGACAGTAGCGATAATGAGCTACCTACGCTGGAGGAACTACTCCGACGACCATCTCCCAAAACCAATACCGAATTTGCGGCGCCAGACGGGATGGATGATCCAGCTAAGCGCATGAGTGCTACGGCTGTCTTACAGTCTAGGCAGGCGCTCGGGATATGCGTGGCCGCCGATTAAGAGTCTTTAAGAGTCAATAAAGAAGAGAGCCTCGGTGAGTAGCAGACGCTGCTGTAACCGCAATCTTAAACTGACAAATGTAGACAATTCGCCGGCTAATGGGGAGAGTAATCGCAAGGCGAACACAGTAGGCGATCTGTTACCGACCCCAAACAAGCGGAAGCTCGATCAGCTTAGTCCACCCAACGATATCGATTATAATTCCGATAATTCTGCCAAAGACGGCACCGAGGGCTTGCGACCCCAGAAGCAACAAAAACAACCCAACTCATATAATGGCTCTCCAATAGATCGCGATACTCTATCGCTGCACGATAGGACTGGTCATAATTCCGGTAATAATAACGGTCGAATTGTCAGCAACGGCAGCAGCAATGGCGCCGACACCTCGGACCTATCTTGAAGCGACCTCCTTGATTTACAGAATGGCGGCGATGGCGAACACCTGTCTAGGCCCAGAACAGACAGCGTGACTCGGTCTGGCTCCCCACAAACATCCTCTCCAAGAGCGAAGGCTAGAGATGGACTCAGCGCCAACACGGCTTACCAGATAGCCGATGTTACTCTTTACCCTGTGCCAAAGGCCTTGTCGATTATAACAGCAATTGTCCGTTGCAATAAGTCGAAATTGCCTCTAGACCTGGGAGGGCTTGATACCAGCATTCTCGGAGAGAAAGGTCAAATCATCCGGATAACCCAGGTATCGCAGGATTCGTGGTTGTTACTGGGATGCCGATATGATGATGGTGCATCAGACTCGCGTCCTCGTCGAAGCTGGACGATGCTCAGTGCAGACCAGAAGAGCAATCCTCACAGCGATGCGGCGAATCATGACGCTAACCATGCAGACAACCACATGGGCGAAGAGGACGAGGATGAGGATGCAGGTGAAGACACAACGGAATACAGACCTTATGCTATGGGCACTGATCCGAGGTTCAACAGAGGCGATATGCCCTTCCGCAAACGAACGCGCGTTCCGTGGTTGGAGTCCGACGACCAGCGGTTACTCGCGTACAGGAATAATATGGCCATGGAGTGGAAGGATATATTTAAACGCTTCCCAGATCGGACTCCAGGCGCAGTACGGACGCGCTGGCACATGCTGCAAGGGAAATGATCTACCGTTTCGATGTGAAGAGAGATAAGCCAGGCTCCCCCACCCCCGCAAAGGAATTTCAGTGTCAATACTGCATCCGGCTAGCCGTCTGCCAAGGACGACCGGGTGACGACAAGGACGCACTTGCTCACTGCGCGTTCCATCAACCCAAGGCCCAAGGTCTACTTGCCTAAGAGGGAGAAGGAACCCCACCTCGAACGTGCCCAAGTTGAAGCCTTTGATACCCCCGAACTCCAACACTGGAAGGACGTGAAAGTCAGGAGAGTAAGTCGCTTAAAGCATCGATTGCCTGTACCTTTAGGAACGCTCTGCCTCTTGGACAGCGTTTGTCTCACGAGACCACTCCGAGGACCTGTAACGTACACTTCGTTGAGGAGATTTCGAGGTGAAAAGAGCTAAGACCGGCTCTCCTATTACCCCTACAGCAGCTCCTGTTCATAAACGACAGCGCATCTCCATGCTTGCAATCATTCGATCCGAAGGGGGCCAGTCCTTATCACACTCTTCGCTTTGGGGTTGCCATCACGGTGGAGGGCCGGGATAACCACGGGTCGGATCGCCCGTGAAGTCGCATCTGGATCAGCGCCACCTACAGCGTCCCTTTCTGGTGGGACGCGCTTGCGGATTGGGGTTGAGGCCGCAGACACTCGTAGGCGGAAGTGAGGTCGTTAGATGGAGCAAACTGTCATAGTTCGCGGTGTGGGCAATCGCCTAGTTCCGACCAGCGAGTTCCGCATCGTCAAGCTGCACGCACCCGGACGCCGCAACTTCCGAAGCAAAAGGCAAAACCGCGCCTTAGACTGTTCTACAGAATGGAACAGTTTGCATGGCGAAAGAAAGAATATTGCGCAGAATGATAGTCAAGATAACGACTTTGAGGACGACGGGAGATGTCGCAACTGATCTCGATTGAGCATATTTGGCACTGTGATACTCTGGCAGCCGACTATCTGTCATTCATGTCTTGCGTGCCATTCTGACGCGTTATGCAACTTTTGAAGCTTGCGGATTGAGCAGCGCGTTACACACGCCTTGCCGAGGAACATATAATTATCACAAGTGAAGAATTCAGTGAAAGCCTTAAGAAGCTCTTTGATGGAGTGGCCCACTATCCGTGAGGCGGATAGCTTCTGGAGTTTGCAACTCGAACCTCCCACATGCGTGGCCGCAATTCCACCTTGGTCACAACTGCGACAGGCTTCGGCGGCTGACCGCGCCGCTGCGCTAGAGTCTTGTTCAGCACCCCGCTATTCCGCTCTCTATAATTGCATTCCGTTATGTAGCCACCGGCGCAGATCGAGTCTAGGACTAGTAGTGGGTATTAGAAGCCTTTGCGCGGCCGGCCAGAGGCGGGAAGACGAGTCCCGTTGGTAGGCGGTGGACTGTTCGGCGGCAGACTCATCTCAGCGAGGGCGGAGCGTGTGCGCTTCGAAGCACGAGCGACGGGACGGAGGGAGGTTGTCGTTTTGCGAGGCTTGGGGAGGTAGTCTGCGCGCCGCCGGCGCCGAACAAGTTGTCCAACCGGGCGTCGGCAGGACTTATGGCGTTGGGGAAGGCGAAAAGGCAGTGCAAAGAGGACCTAGAGGCGACAAGAATCAAAGGTGGAGCATGCGAGGAGGCGACGTTTGTGTGGTGGTGTCGCGGGTCGCGGCGATCTGTGAGTTGCAATAAAGGTTATTTTGGTGGTCGCGAAGTCCCACTGCTGAGTCAGCAGGAGGTTAGGCTTAGAGTAGACTAGCGCCATCCAACAACCTTAAATAATTTAAGGTTGCTGAATGTGGCGGTGTGGCTAGAGAAGGCTTACATTCGGTCTAGACTCTACATTGACCGGGGGCAGCAGCATGCACTCATTCCTTGCCAGAGCAATCGCAAACGTACTTAATGAAGAAACCATCGGCCCGAACGGATCAGAAAAAAAAACACCTACCAGGTATCCAAAGAGCCGCAATCCATGCGATGCTCATTTGGAGCAAGGTACGATTAGCCCTATGCCGAAGAGTCTTGCAGTTGCATGTGTGTTATAGGCCTTTCTTGCGCCTTTACTGTTTTACTAATTTGTGCAGTCGCACAGTCGAAATGTCCCCTGAATGCGTGCCCGGGAGCACGCTGCCCACCCGTTTTAAAGATCTTGACAAAAAGATCGACCTCGCCATCGGCCTACAGCTACACCACATAACCAAAGCCGCCCTCTGCACCGAGCAAGCGAAAACTGAGGAACCCTCCAAGGCCATCAACCAGGCCTCGACCTTCATCCACCAAAACCCGCGGCTCCTCAGCATCGAGGTCAAGCGCACGTATGGCGGCACCGATCCGATAATCCAACTGGCTGCTTGGTCGCCGTCGAGTTCATTAAGCGCGAGATCGAAGAAGTAGATATCGGGATGCCGGCGCTGGCCATGGAGATTGAGGGCGACTGGCAGTTGTATGCTGTGGTTGCGACGATAGAAGGAGGGGTGACTGGGAGGGAGCCTGTGGAAGCGGATCTGAATGCGAATAGCACTGAAGGGACGCTCAGGCTTAGCGTTATTGGCCAAGTGACGCTTGGGAGTATGGATACTTGGCTTATCATGTGCCGTTTATATGCCAACCTGTGTTGCATTGTAGATTAGGGCCGGGCCGTGTATCTAGAGTGGTTTAAACGCGAGATTCTTAGCGTCTATAAGGAGGCAGCAGCTGTTAGGTGAAATTAATAAGTGTAATACAGCTCTTTCTACTTTGACCCGTCCGTGAGGAGCGAGCAGAGCAACCCAGTACTGCAGCATCTGAGGGCGCAGAGCGAGCTGGAGCACGCTGAAGAACGCGAAGGCAGTAAGCCAAGCGGGAGGAGGCCTCGAAGGAGATTGTAGCAGCCCGGTGCCATAGCGCCCGAAGGGATAAGGTGCACACGGTCTTTGCGCGGTATGTTGCCGAGGGCCGAGAAACCCGTCTTCTCGACGAGATGTTTGTCAATTCAGGATGGCGGCAGCCACGTCGATACCGGCGGTAATCCCTTGTCCAGCGCCCATCTTCTTGGTGGCGACTGGCACCACACGGGCAGTGCCGAAGTCAACACTGTGTATATCGGTGTAGCCGCCACAGCGGAGGGCCTCGATCACTTGTCGCATAAGGCCGATGAAGTGGTCCCAACGTCTCGAACTTCCCCTCAAACGCGTTGTATGTGGCGCGAGCCTGTCTCGTGAACCATGGTGCCGGGGCAGTGGAGGGACAATTGTTTGGTAGTGTAGGGTGGGATAGGACGAGGTGGAAGGAGTGAGGACAGCTGCAGGTTTGGCATGTTCGTGTGCTGAGGGTGACGGTCGGAAGCGTGAGAAGGTCGAGCAGCGACGATGATCAGAGCCTGTGACACTGGTTAGTATACGGAACGCAAGCCAGAGTGAGGCCTAATAGTGAGAAGCAATCAGTGCGCACTCACCAGAGAGGTAGAATTGGTTGCAATGGGTGGTCGCTGAGGGTCTTAATCAATGAGTGATACTGCCATACGCTAGCCTAAAGTAGGTAAAGCGTACGCCAAGAGTTCGCACGATCCTCCCGCTCTCACGATCCTCCCGTTCTCACTGTCGAATATCACGGTGGTTGGGACGCGTGCTGTCACATAATGGTTACACTATACTAGTCTCTTGGCACCGTGTACATATACTAGCTCTTACAGAGCCTCCCTCATCATCAATCGTATCACTTATTCCAACACTCACGATCCTTCCGTTCGCACGATTCTCTTGATCGCACGATCCCTCCCGCTAACGACTGCAGGAGCATTACCTGGAATGCTGATCTCAGGTGCCTTGAGCACGGGAGAAAGCCAGAGTGGGTCCCAAAAATCTTGTGCAAAAGGCGGTCTAATCAGTGCGTGAGCGGGCGAAGTAGTGTGAGGTATCGTGAACTCTCATACCCGGGATCGGTATCCCGATAGTTGGGCTCTGCTATTTCGGCACGCCTCATAACATTCGCATCGGCGTACCGACAGCCTCAGACCGACGGGGCTTTAGCTTCGATATATCAGGCCTGGTCTTGGTAACGAATGAATAGAGTTGGTCGATGCTATAGGGGTAGGGAATTGAAAGACCGAATACATATAACTGTAGGGAAAAACAGACAACTCTCCTACTCAGTCCGTTCTCCTTCCATGCAACCTCCCCGCCATCTTGCAGATGGTCACGTCCTACACAACGCCCCCTAACGATACAGTCTACAGGCTCACACCTCATCGCAAGCGCCCCATCCGAACACATTTCAATAGAACGTTCCTGGCTCAATTTCCTCGAATTCTGGGTTTTGGCCGCGGGAATAATTGTACCGTAGATATCCATGCACCGTATCCACGCTTGGATTACTCTGGCTGCTAATATACCCAGCCGCCCTTAAATCATTGAGGACTGTGACGCTGTTACATAAGATGGTAAGCACAAAGTCATTCACACGTGGGATAGGAGAGCATACACCCAATAGCGGCATCCCTTGCCGCTGGGGCTTAGATTGAACTGATGGCGCTTATTCTGATAGATGAGGTCCGTAACATGTTTAACAGTGAGTCCGGCAGATGGCTGAAGATCGAAGTACTGGAGAGAGGAATTCGAGCGCTGGTAGTCGTGAACCGTGATGCTGAGTGTTCCATGGTTATGATGCGCGGCTTCCTTGCGCATGTTGATGCGCAGTGAACCCCCATTATAAAGTAGAAAGATGTCTGCATGATTGCCACTACGTGTGTCCGTATCAAAAAATAGGCCAGAGTTGTGGACGACGACTGAGATTGCTGTGACGGTAGCATCGGAGCGCAGAGAGGTAGACATGGCGAGATATGGTTCGGCCGGAGGCAAGAGCCTATGTGAATTGGAAAAGACGGTCGAAGGGATAAAAGACAAACGAGTAGGAATTTCGATGCTAGAGGGAATTTTTTTGCCGTTGGTATGGCTCAAAGTCCATTTATAAGTCTGAGCCGCCCTGTGAAGTTGACCGGTAACGCATTGAAAGAGTACTTCAGTAATAGAAACAGAGCTTCTATTTGTGGGGAGAGCTCAGTCACCATACCTTGTCCAGCGGCTAGAGAGACAAATTCTACGCCCAAAGCCCAAAATCTCCCGTTCAGAACCATTGCTGTCCAAGCGGCTGTAGACTGACAGGACATTGGCCAAGCCGCCTTTCTCCACGCGAAGGATGTAGAACTACGCCGCAGGGCTGCAGCAGTTCTGTCAGAGATGTCCGGCGTATGGTTCAAGTTAGGGGACAGCATGAGCCGTCAAAGCAATATACCATCTAGCACCCAGCAGATCATGAAACTTGGAGGCGCCTTGCAGTGCCGCACGGCGCGCTTCCGTGAGGCGCGGTTTTAGAGGGTACAACAGGACGACTCGAGCGGAAGGAAACCAGTGAACTGTTGGGGGTGCAAGTTTGCAGCAGGTTAGAGAAGTTGCGGGATGGGCTGCGTCAATTTCCACCAGGCGACCTTCCAGGTATTAGTCAGCAGCTACAAGCGGCCACGATGCAGCTCTACGCCTCCTAAAACAACACTAATTCACCTCACGTTTTCAGCCAACCGCCGCCCAACTGATCCGTCCAAAGTGATTGGGCTTTGCCGGATTACCGGCTCTGTCCAAGAGAATCTTGGCCGCGGCTCAGACGCGGAGTGAGCGTCTGATACGACAACACAGCCAGTCCAAATTTATTCAAAGTAACCATCCTCACCCAAGTTTGAATCTGAGTTTCTGTGCCCACTTTCCTGCCTAGAGGTATGTATAAAAGGACTGTTCGCTCTGACTCAGCGCACTCCAGACTCACATTTCTTAGCCATACGTCTATCACTAGATATCCGCTATCACGTCCTTATGTCTTGGAACATCTCCGCCGCCAGCGAAGAATGGCTGAAAGACTTTGTCAGTCGCATGAAATCCCAGAATGGAGTCCTTGACGGTCCAATAGGAGGCGGTTCGGTGGTCCAGCTTTCAGACAACATGGTAGTCAAATACGGGTTAGGGGTGACTGCTCAGGAAGCGGCGACTCAGGACTTCGCCTATCAACATGCCAACCATAGTATCGTTCGCATCCCCCGGGTGTACCGCTTCTTCGTCGACAAGTCAACTGGCCTCCCCTATGGATACCTTTTCATGGAGTATCTCCGTGGCTGGGGCTTAGATCACCTCGACCTTAATATTCATACAGATATCATTCCGCGCGTTGCTAGTATAATTTCCCACCTTGGAAGTATATCTAGCAACAGCCAGGCGTCGCCGGGGCCAGTTGGAGGGGGCAAGCCGCAAGGCTACCTCTGGTCCGACTATGGCACTTGCACTATATTCCGTTCCATCGAAGACATGAATACATGGCTAAACAAGAGGCTTGCATTGCACGGTAAATCCATCGATCTCACCTCCCAAAGGCTTGTGTTCTGCCATTTGGATCTCTGCCGTCGGAATATGATTATGCTACGCGACAGATCAATAGGCCTTATAGACTTTGGGCATGCAGGTTTTTTCCCTCGCTTTTTCGAAATTGTTTCCTTGGAATACTTGAATCCCTACGATCCCAATTATACCGGGCCACTTAGAGCAGCGGCGACACAACAATTGCACTTGAACGAAGAAGAAAAGGGCTTGATTGAGCTAATGCATCGAGTGGTTTCCGTCAATTTGCGATTTATCCACTTGTGAGCACAATCCCTTACCAAGTTTCCACTAAACAAGCGCCTCCATTAAGCTGGATCTATGCATACTGATAATAATTTCTTTAGTAGCGGTGAAGAGTATGCACATACCCATTCTCCACCTGAGGTTATCCCGCCGCCCAATGCAAAACCTCCAACACCTCCGAGACCTCCAACCCCTTCATCATCACGACCTCCTCCGCCGCCACCCCCTCCACCGAAATCAGACCGTCAACCACCTACATCAATAACTCCGCCGCCGCCTCCTCCAGCCCAACCTCGTTCCTCCATTGGACAAAGAGCCTGATAGTCGGGTCGGACCGGAAATAGACCGGGTTGGTTCAGTGCCGGCGCTCATTTGAGTCGGTGATTTGTAGGGTGCTTTCGTCTATAGCGAAGCAGCAGAGCATTGCTCATATGCTTGTCCTTCGATTCGCCTTACGTAGGTGGTACTCTGCAATTGTTTGCACACGATATATGGGCTACAAGCGCTGATGACGCGATTTGGATTATCGGTTTTCTTGCTCAGGTGAAATGCGGTCTATATCCTAGAGTTTTAGTTCGACAAATTGTGGACTAGTTACATATATCCGTTTGATTAGCAGTGAAAGGGGTTGTATAATATATGCTTAAATAATAACCTTAAGGCCTAAAGCTACCGTATAGAAAGAATAAGTTAAAGAGAGAAAGGAGATGCGAGGGCATTAAGTTTATATACTCGGGCACTGTAGAGGGACGGCTGTAAATGAACCTAGCATCAATTATGGACTCAGCGCCAACCAGGCCTACCAGATAGCTGATATTACTCTTCACCCTGTGCCAAAGGCCTTGTCGATTATATCAGCAATTGTTGCAATAAGTCGAAATTGCCTCTGGACCTAATAGCACTTAATACCAGCATTCTCGGAGAGAGAGGTCAAGTCATCCGGATAACCCGGTTATCGCAGGATTCATGGTTATTACTAGGATGCCGATATAACAATAGTGCATCAGACTCACGTCCTCGTCGGAGCTGGACGGTGCTTAGTGCAGACCAGAAGAGCAACTCTTACAGCAAAGCTGCAAATCATAACGCTGACCACGCAGACAACCACATGAACAAAGAGAACGAGGACAAGGATACAGATGAAGACACAACGGAATACAAGCCTCATGCTATGGGCCCTAATCCGAGGTTTAATAGAGGCAAAATGCGCCTTTCCAAACGAAAGCGAGTAGCATGGTTGGAGTCAGAAGACGAGCGGTTACTCGCGTACAGGAGAACCATGGCCATGGAGTGGAAGGAGATATTTAAACACTTCCCAGGTCGGACCCCAGGCGCAGTACAAGTACGCTATCACACGCTACAAAAGAAATGATCTATCACTACAACAACATCGATATATGTACCCTATCCATCCGGCGATGCCGCGCACATCATGTTACATCCTACAACTATTGCTCGGCCGCGTCGTATTGGGCCTGCTTCTACGACTTTTGGGGCTGGTTTCGTCGCGCGGCTCAATTCTCGCAGGTCTTAGGGCGATTCGTCGCGTTGTGGTCTTGATGTCAAGGGGCGACGTTGCCACGAGCGCAAACCTTGATCTCCTTTGGGACGATGCCGCGCCTATGCATCCCTACACGCTGGAGAGTACAATATGGGGTGGGAGATCTCGTGCTTCAGCAAAGTCTGCCTGTGTCCATGCCCAGTACGCAACCTTAAGGTCCGCCGTCTTCTTTATAGGGCTGCGGGATCAGCGAGAGCCGGGATAATAGCGGGTCGAGTCGCCCGTGGAGTCGCATCTGGATCAGCGCCATCTATAGCGTCCCTTTCTAAATGCCGCGAAACAACAGGGTTTGGCGGCCGGTTGCGCCGCTGTGCTAGAGTCTTGTTCAGCGCCCCGCTATTTTCGATTTCCATAATATTGTTCATTTGCGCAGCCCTCGGCGTAGATCGGGTTCAAGTCTGGGACTGCGCGCCAGAAGCATTTTTACGCGCAGTCAACCGTAGGCGCTTCGGGGCAGGGCGCTTTGGGGGAATCGGTCGGCGATGGACCATTCGGCGGCAGACTTCATCTCAGCGAGAGGGGAGCGTGTGCGCTTCGAAGCGCGAGCGAAAGGACGGAGGAGGATAAGGGCGTCGTTTTGCGCGGCTTGGGGAGGTAGTCTGCGGGCATGTAGTCTGCAGGTATGTTGGGCAGAGCGGAGGTTCATGTGCGCCGCCGGCGGTAAAGACAGTCCTTGCGTAGTTGTTAGAATAGCGCGTTGTTCGACGGGAAGCTTGACAGACATGTCCGACAGGTGCGCCTGGGCTGGAGAATCGCGGGAGAGGTTGCGTGGACGTCCGCAACTCCAGAGTCGATCAGATTGGGAGTCTCATTCTGGGCGCCTAGGCCTCTGTTGTGTTCCTCGCCGAACAGGTCGTCTTTGCCAATGTCCAGGTATCCTAGCTGTGCCAACATCTCTTCAGCGCCCGTCTGCACATTCTCCCAGCACTAGTCATCGTGCTAGCTAACGTCGACGTCAGCGTCGGTATCGGTGTTGTTCGCAAACACTCTAGCTGAGTGGAACGGTCTGCCAGACTGGTTGCTGCCAACGTACTAACTTCGGTTGCCGGAGAAGCCGTCTCGTGAGCCGCTGGGGTTGTGCGAAGCAGGAGCGTTGCCGTTTGTGATTTGGAGCTGGGGCCGCGGAATTGGAAGAGCCAAGGGCGGCTGCGTCGAGGTTGCGTTTCCTCGATGGTTGTACCGAGCCTGAGGGGTGTGAGTATTGCGCGGGTTTGTGAAGCTACCACCGCCTCAGTTCCAGGATCCGCCGTACTGTCTGTACTGTTGACGATGGGCCGTTCAGCGGCAGACTGGGCGGAGCGTTTGCGCTTTGAAGCATGGGCGATAGGACGGAGAGGGATAAGGGCGTTCTGCGCGGGCGGCGTATTGATAGCTGAATCATTGCTCGGGAGGAGCATCCGGGGTTTGAATGTAGAGGTCGCGAAAATAATCCGGGCTTAGAGTAGACTAGCATAGACAAGCAACTTCTGGAAAATAAGGTTGCTGGGTGGAGTGGCGGTGGTGGCGTAGGGGTCTAGTTCCATGCCACATCTACAACTTTCGGGGCTGGTTTCGGCGTGCGGCTCGATCTTCGCAGGTCATAGGGCGATTAGTCCCGCGTCGTGGTCTCGATGTCAAGGGATGACGTTGCCATGTCGGAGGGTTTGGATGAGGCGCCCCAATGGGAGACCAAGGGAGTTGAGGGGGGATAAAATGAGTGTGGTAGATCCGTAGCAATTAGTTCCAATATTGAACTCCCTACTTTTACAGTCACATTCACCAAAAGGGGACCGCAGTTCCGTTTCCGTTTTGGGACCTGAGCGAGGTATTCTTGGTTAAGTTACATGGCTGAGCAGTTCCGAATTGGATAGGACCAGATCACGGCCACGACTGAACACCAAGATTGTTGCAGCATGCAGTTTGGCCGCGCTAGCAGGAAGGGTGCCGACCCGCACCGGCCGCGTCCTTGTGAGGACCTGCTTTTTGGTTGCAGAGTAGAGAAGAAAGGATATGGGCAACTGTGGTTGGCTGTCATGGGCGTGGCGTTGTGGCGGTTAGCGTGGCGCAGGTGCTGAGTCAATTCAAGGGTTGGAATCCCAGTTCTTGCGCACTAAACTTTGTGAAATACGGCTCTCTGCGTGGAAGACGGGTGCGGGTCATTCCATTGCACAATGTTTCTGAGACACCACCAGCTGGACTGACGGCCCAAATGGTGCATTCTCGTAGCGCATGGGGGTCCGGTTGCACGGTTACGCAAAGTTATGAAGTACGGATTCTGTGAAACCCTGAGATAGCTCTGTATAACATCAAGCCAACGATAAAGGGAGTGAAAGGCCGCTTCCCTCCTAAGCCCCGCAGCTCACTTAACGTTTAAACACGCCTGACCTTATCTCTGCTCAGAGCTTAACCTACTAATAACTCCACAATGGCGAGTAATAGCAGCACCTTCTACCTCCCGTTACCCGCCAAATTCCAGCGCCAGTCGTTTGTCTAGCAACCTTGGCAAGACATTAGCCTCGTCTTTATACAACGACCAAAAGCAGGCGGACAGGGCGGCTGTGGTCCAGGCGCTCGCAGATCTAACAACAGCGGAACTAATGCAAAAGATGGCCAGTTCTTGCAAAGAGAGACGGAAGAAGGGTAGTGAATTCTAGTATACACTCTGCGATGCAAGTTAAGTTCATTGCACAAGTCTATTAATGTTTAATGCAGTAGTAATAGTAGTGTACTAGCTCGACGTCCAGAATCTATCTAAATATTTGGTCGGTCGCACGATAACGTTAATACACTCCGAGAGGATGCTGTGCTGGCTAGACACGGCAGCCTACCGATTTGGGATTACTGTAGATCTCACGGGATAGGTATAAGGAATAAGAAACAAGGGGGCGTTTGTTAAGGGGTGAATTTGGCGATTCTTAGCTAGGTTAAGCCGACTTTCAACCTTATTAAATTCTGTTCGTGGGTATTACTTAATATATCCTCCGGCTTAGATATCTATAAAAAGCGCAAGAACCTAAGGTGCTTAGGTAGAAGCTTTCTGGTCGGCCGGCACAGGGGTTAAAGGCGCGCCTGCGAAAATTAAGGGCGGTGTAATATTCTTATACTCTTTTATAGTGTCTATTATATAAATATAGCCGTCTTTTATACTGTAAGTTGCTCGCATTGCAAACTTAAACTATAACTGTTATAAGGAACTAGTTAGGGCTTAGGAGTTTCGGCACGGTCTATCTATAATATCTCGCTCCTTATTTATATTATTAAAAGAAGCTCCAGGTCTGCCAACTCCGCTAAAGCTTATTAGTTTAAAAGACGGCCTAGCTATACACTCTTTGTTAATATTCGAGAAGAAACGCCTTCTTCTTATCTAGGAACTAACTAAATCAGACGCAACGGTTAAAGTAGAATATATTAATATATTCTAAAGGATAGCTATTAATAACTAAAGAATCTCCAAGGGGCTTTAAGGTAGGCTCCGGATGCGCCCTTATTTAACTTTATTAATCTTATCCTGCCAGGGATAAAAGCTACAGCCGCCACACCTATTTAGCCTAGCCTATAAGCTAGTAAAGGACCGCTACCACCTTTATTATATTAAAGCACAACCTTATATCCCTAATATTAATTTGCTCCTAAATAGTTATCTTTTAGTTATTTTTAGAGATAACTAATAAGTGCTAATTATAACTATAGGCGATTAGAAGCGGGAGAGCGGGCTATAACCTACTTATAGTGCCGCGGATAAGAGTAAGGCGCTTTAACCAGGCATTGGTTTATATTATAATCTAGGGTTTACCGTCTATCTATAACTTTATAGGGCCTTTAGTTTAAATATTAATAGTAATAGAACTATAATAGGCCCGAGTTATATAATTCTAGGACTTAATAAATGCGCTAGGGAGCGGATAGAGGCGGCACTAGGTTTATTTAATAGCTGGGTCCAGGTTAAGTACAATAATATAATTAACAACGCGGCCGCGGAGATTGGAGCGTGCGAGTAATGCGGGTTTAATCCTGGCTGTTTTTCTATAGCTATTAGTATGCAGCTGTCCAGGTTAATAACAAAAACTTATATATTATAAATTTCAAGCGTTAGTTAGTACTTGCATATATTATATACAAGTTTAAAAAGTAGATACTAGACCTTAGAGTTCTACTTATCCTCGGAAACGCCTAAACTATAGTTATACTTCCGTGCCGTCTCTATAATACCCAGTACCTGCGCCGTAAAAGGTATTAAGCCGAAGATATAACAGTGCTCTAGGTTATCTGCCCAGGGATATTGGAATCGCATCCTATTTATCGGTAGAGCGGAAATAATTATATCTATATTATTATATCCTAGGATTCTAATGCTGTCTATAAAGCGTTAAACAGCTCTGTATATTAAAGTTGCAAAAGATAATAGGATATTCTTTATAGTTTTTAAGCAGCTAGAGCTGCTTTACAGGACTTAAACGTCCGCTCTAATACAACTTAGCTTTAGAGGCTTCGGATACTGCTGCGCTTAAGGCGCTCTTAGTTAGAGAGGGAGGAGCGAATTAAGGCGCGCTATTAAGGTCACGGAGTTTCTTTAGGTGGAATTAGGGAGGATAGGGCGATTTTTGCAGATATACTGTAAGATATTAGGGGATCTAATATAGACCTAGAGGACCCGAGAACACACTAGTTAACTAAATACACTCGGTTTATGAAAGGCTTATTATATAGCGCTAGGTTAAGTATATAATTGTGTATACTACTGTTCTAAGCGGCTCCGCTACTACCTTTTGTTTCGCACCACGCGGCTAGCCACACAGCCTTTGCGCATTGTTGTGGAGTCGGAGATAGGCCAGGGAGGTCGTCCGGATCGGCGTAGACGAAATTATAGGTGTTAATGGCTTCGAGAACGCCTGTTTTAATGCCTGTAATTTTATTCTTGCGCAACTGGGCGATAGGAGTGTTAAGATTAGTATTAGCAAGCTATTCGCCCTGCCACTAGGCTATATAGGGAGTGGCGCGCTAAAGCCACTTTACAGTTTCGGCTAATAATTGCTGCGGTGGGGAATTATAGGGCTGGGAGCGAGGATTGCCTTCTATAAGGAAGGGAGACTTATATACGGGTTGCACCCCCACTCGGTTAATACTACTACTTAGCACGCGTTAACTAGGGAAGAAGGGCCTAACCCGTATATAAGTCCCCCTTATATCCTAAAGCCCGCCCGTGCACGGCTGTTCCAGCTATCCTAGTGCATCTTGTCGGTATTTATTAACACGCCTGCCTATCCTCGTCCCGAGTGGAGATAATATCGCGCATAGTTACTGATATTAACAGGCGGGCTATATCTGCGGTCGCACTATAGCTATAGTTAGATCTGCCTCCCCTACTTTTATACCTTTTATAACCGTAAAACTAATAATTATATATAAGTAAGAAGAAATGCTTAATTTTTAAAGTAAATAAGGACTAAGCCTATATCTAAGGCTAATACCTGTAAAGGAAGATAGTAAAGTGGACACCTTTTATATACTCTATATAATAATAAACTGTTGCAGACCCTATAATATAACGCACCTGGGCGTTGCGTTGGTTTATTTGCCGCTAGAAAACTCTTATAGTTGCTGCCTTTGCCTTTGCTTTTACTGCTTTTGCCGCCCTTGCTGCCTTTGCCGCCTTAGTTGCCGGACAACGTTGTAAAAGGCCTTTTCAATATTTACGCATTTTTTTGCAGAAGCCTCTACAAAGTTGTATCCTAGCTCGCGGGCAAGTGCACTGCCTTCCTCTGTGGACACTTTGCGCTCTGTTACCCTATCGCATTTGTTGCCCACTAGTATAACGGGAGCTAGGCTGAAACAAGAGCTATTTAATATTGCACCCAGCGGCGAGCCAGGGTATATTAGAGATCCGGATAGTGATAATTCCTTAACCTGTTGGATTTAGTAGTGAAATTTCTAAATACAGGCAAAGGACGACCGGGACAAGATGCTGTATACTAGCACGAAGCCCTCGCCGTCTCGTATCTACTAGTCTTGCAGCGCAATATATTCTTCTTAATCTATAGTGTTAAGCACTTCCAACATATATAACTATTAATTAATCTGCACTTACTTATAGTATAAGTCCTTAATAGTCGGGTTGTAGTCTCCGTTTTTATAGAAGCGGTTTAGATATATCTAGGAATATAGTTAGTAGTTGATATATAACGGGTGTAAAGGGGCCTACCTAGATAGTTAAAGCTGTCTTCCTAACGCCACCGTTTCTAAGCACCACGAGCTTATATAAAGTTATTTTCCCCGCTATTATAGAGGTCTATTAGTCCAGAAACTGCTAATCTGCTTTTAAGTTAGGAGTAAAATACAAACCAGAGGTTTAGGGGTAAAATAGAAGAAGATTAGTTAGACAGTCTAGCGGTTTAACTAATGCCTAAGAACTTAGGGCGCAGGAAGACGTAAAAAAATATGCAGGAACGCAACTAGTAAGAATAGAATAAGAGCCGGTAAGGTAATAATAAAAGACCTGTTAACTACGTTAGGCGTAACTGCTTAATATAACATCCTCTCCCTTATACTAATATAGAATTGCAGGAAGTATATTAAAACCCTAAGTTAGTTTCTAGTATAATAGAAAAATAATAAGCAGGGTTTTTTAGCTATAAAAAGCAATTATTATATTTCTATAAAATAGACTACTATTTTTCCGCACTATTACCTATAGTATTACGTTGGTTAAATAAGCGGTGGTTATTTAAAAGGGTATAGGAATATTATATATTAGGAAGTTAAATAATACCTTTTTATAAAATAAAGCAAAGCTTAGTGCTCTATTATTATAAAGGCCGCCGGTGTAAAATAGTATAGAAAAGTAGTAAAAAAGGATAATATACGCGCCTTGCGCTAAAGCTAGGCACGGGCTCGCCTAATAAGTATACTAGCCTAAAATAGTATATTTAGCGTATTATAGCTTTAGAAGTATTCTTCTATAAGTAATTAAACTTAAGCAGGATAAATAAATAGCTATAAGTTAAATTACTATTTATAGACTAGTTACTATTAAGTTACTATATAAGCTGCCTACTAAGATAACTTTAGGGGCTTACTAATACTATATAATTAACTTATTTATAACTGGAATTAACGCCTTATTTATTTAACAGCTACTTAAGCCCGCTAGAGTATAGAAAAATAGAAGTTAAATAGGGCCTTTAATATCCACCTTTAATTCTAGATTAGCTATAACTATAAACTGTTTTTAAACTTAGCAGCCCGAGAAATATACTATTATGCTAGAACTAAACCCGTATTTACTTAGACCTGTATATTAGGTAGCGCGTAAAATAAATCCTAGTATCCGCAGTTTTTATATATCCTTAGTATTCTTAGTATAGAATTCTTTTTATAGAATATTATTATATAATAATAATTGCTGTCTATTTTAAAGTTAGTATAGGGCTAAAACTAGTATAAAGCGGCGGAAGAACCGGAAGAATACTATAGTTACGCTATAGAATTAGAACCTTATTATAGGTTAGCTCTAGAAAGTTCTAGTAGTCTAGATAGGTATAGTAGCTTATCCGGCTCTAGCTTAATAGTAGTATTTTTGCTGTTTCTTAAAGTTTTATTTAGCTAGCAGTTCCGCGCAATTTTCTTTTTTAGCCTCGCGTTTTTTTCCTGCAGCCTTACGATCTTTTATAGTCCTGCTTTTTCTTACACCCTTATATTCTCTTATAGCAGCCTTATAATTTCTTACAGCAGCCTTATAATTTCTTTCTATAGCCCTATATTTTTTTATAAAAGGCTTTCTGCAGAAAAGAATTAAATATCTATATATAGCCCGCTAAGTTTTATTTTATAGTTGGCGTAACTAGTATTATAAACTGTGCTTTACTAGATTAGAAAAGGCGCTTTAGTTTTAACTGCTAGAATAGGTTCTATTATAGAAAAACTGCGGATGTTTTTTATAGTTTATAGCTTATTTAAGTATACTATAGGGGCTATTGCCGCATTTAAAGGCTTTAATAACTGCTATATTATAGCTATTCTAGAACCTAGGAGTATAGTTATTATTTCTAGTAAAAGCTAGAAGTAATTATCCCGGCCTAGGTTAGTATTCTAGGACTAGAGGTTGCTACTCTACAGCGGCAAGGCTAGGTTAGGCGGGATATAGCTGGCAGTAGTAGTATTTAGGTTTAGGGAGGCGCTAATAGCAAAAGGGCTAGTAGAGGGGGTATTATTAGGCATGCTAAATAAGCTTTTCAAAGGTGGAATAGAGCGGCTAGGAAGCAACCTAGTTATAGTATTAGTGTCACGATAGCGCTACACGCGAGAGGTCGAGGGCTTAAAAAGGAGCGTTAATTAGGTGCTATATACAATGCTACGTGGAGAATTAAGACGTTGTGTAAGGGACAGGAAGACGGGAGACGGGCCACCGGATATAAGGGCGTGGCCGAGCGCGTGGCGTACGGCCTCTATGCCGTTTCGGCGCGTGGCATGCGTGTACGCGAGGTCCTTACCAGATCAGGTGATAGGAAAAGGGGGCAGCCGGTAGGTGGCTGGAGCGGGACAGGATAGGAAGCGGAAGCGAGACGGGAGCGGAGCAGGGCAGGCAGAGCAGGAGGCCGGCCAACGGTAGTAGGCCGGTGCAGATTGCTGGAGTTGTAGCAATCTGCGGCAGAATTTCGGTAGGTAGGGTGTCGCGGTCGATACCGTGACAGTTTTAACTTTAATACCGGCAAGTTGCTGCTTAACATCACGCACAGGTTGCTTATACTCCTAACGTTCTTTAATATCCTAAAGAAGGGCATCTCGCAGGCGCTGCCTTTCCTAATTAATTTTGCAACTAAGCTCTTTATACTTTAGATGTTTTATAGCATTTTAAAAGGTATATTTAAGTTTCTTTTGTTTTTAGAGCAGGTATTAAACGGCAGGATAATTGTTTACTAATATAGATTGTTCCGGAGTAAGCTGTTATAGCCGTCGGGTATTAATTAAACGACTTATAGTATAAGCTGCTTATATTATTATATTTTAGGGCTAAATACCTTATATAATAGCTTATATATCTATAGTAATCTTTCGTAAAAGATAGTGTTTTAAAAACGTCCGGATATCGCGGTGCGTTATTATAAGGTTTTATATAGCCTTGCTAATATTACCTATATATTATATTAATTCTATATCTTCCTAATAATAGCTTAGGCTAAGCTTACTATTTTTATTAAAGGCCTTCCCTTTATTATATCTTAATAAATAGGGATAGGTAATTTAGGTAAACCCTATAATCTCTTCTAGTACTCTAATCTAAGGCAGCAACGTGGAGTACTAAAGAGGCTAATTAGAAGAAATAGCCTAGCCGTTCGGGGTTTTTATAGGTTGCCGAAGTACTAGAATATT